TACCTCCACAGTAAAAGCATATCTTCTGTGGTTTATCGGCTTGGGAGTTTTTATTTGTAGGTTTTTTTTTAGTGTATGTAAAACGTGGCTGTCCAAATGCTCTTCGATGTCCGCCGCTTGTACTTTACTTGTTTCTTCACGCCTTGCTTCAAGCAACAGATCTTTTAAGGTATATTTAGGATCTCTTAATGCTTGTTTTCGTACACGACTGGATCGTCCACCAATAACAATTTGAACCATTATCTCAAAATCTACATCAGCAAATTCACAGTTTTTAGATAATGAGCGCAGTCTTGTATGAAATTGGTCGATTGTTTCGGACTCTACTTGCTTTGCTTGTCGAAATTTGTAAACTTCATATAACCGATTTTTCTGTGGTTCAAAATACTCCGTAAGAAGTATTTCCGCTTTGGAAATATCCTCATCTTCTCCCGGGTCTGGAAATTGTCTAAATATCTCTCGAATTCGGGGTCCTGCTTGATAAAGAAGTAAAGCCCGTTGCCGAGTTCTATTTGTTATATTACTGGCTGTTAAAAATGTTTTAAAATTTGCCAACCACTTGCGCCATCTATTTGCAATGTTTCCTCCGATTTCTTCATCCGGGTTGAAATGTGGCATGAGAGATAAAAATGTTGCCATGTTTGCGTTGGTATTTTATTCCTCGTCGCCAATGTAATGTTTTGAATTTATCTTCTTCCTTTAGTATCTATCTATTGTGCTCTCTAATATCTGTCTGTCAACAACATTTCTCATTCCTATATATATACATGTCATTGTCACTTTTAAGGGGCGTGTCTACAACACTACAGTAGCTTTGTATGATGTAGATTTGTTTAGATGATTAGTCGAGTATTGGGTCCAAATGTGTTGGTTCTTGGTGGAGTGTGTTTTGTAGTTTGTAAGGAGCTCAGTTTCCCTCGACGTCATTGCTAAATTGTACATGTGACTGTTCTGTTTGCCGTGAGCGAGAAAGAAACAATCATCTCTACATGAGTTCTGTGATTATATCATTTACGTATACCGAAAGAAAAAGGTGGTATTGATATTGATATAGGTATAGATGGTGGGGCTTGCATGACAATTTCAGCTACTGCCAGGGAAGGGCGAGTCCGTTGCTGTTCCGCGTGTAATTATGTAATATGTTTGATATTGTCGACAGATTTCAAACTGTATCATTGAAAATCATCGTGGCTTGAAAATGTTTCGCTTGACATTTCTTCTGATGATGTCCGTGTTCAATTTACAAGGTATGAATTTATGAAATATTTTACTTAATGATGCAGATATCATCATGCAGGGGCCAAGGAGAGGTTAGAAAATGGGGGAGGCGAAAGAAGGTTACAGAATCGGATTGTTGTTCCCAGTATAGCAAAGCTGCTTTTTAACAGTTATCAGTAATCATTCAGTATATAAAGTTTGTTTTATTTCGTTTGTAAAGTTTATTATAGTGCGTTCAGACTGAGTCCCCTGAGACGGTACTCAGGCACGGGCACCAATGTGAGCACAACATTTTGATGGTGGCCGTGTATAAGTGGCCAGGTCTGGGCACCACGAAAAGAGGTATTACCCAAGTACTGTGCTCCAGCACGGGCACCAATGTTAACGACGACACCTAAGTAACGTGTACAGAGAGACACGTATTCAGCACATGGTTTCAAAACTTGTTTACAAAGAAAAACATGAAATATAAATAGACGAAGCTAGTGGGCACTACGTAGTGTGAAGGGCCTCCAGATTTTCGCCCGAACCAGGATATCGTACTCCAGCATTCAGTCTGAACGCGCTATAATTGATCGATCTAACGTCAACTAAAAAATGAAAGTGGAACATAAGTGAGACTAGAAATAGTCTCCATAAGAAATATCCATTCTTATCAAATATAAGTATTTGTTAAAGTGGATTTTTATACTTTTACACTTTACAAAGTAAGAGATTTTGAAGAAAGGGGGAGGGGGCTGTCAAGCTTTGCTACAAACTCCATGTTGTTGATGTAGTTGGTTTCTTGTTCGTCTTAGTTAGCAAAGTCAGTAGTTGTCCCTCAGGCTGGATGGAGCTACAGTCATCTTGCTATTTCTTCAGTACAACGCAAGAAACCTGGCATGAAGCCAGAACAATTTGTCTACAGAAGGGTGGAGATCTTGCTGTTCCAAAGAATAAAGCTGAAAATGACGCCATTTACAAATTTTCACAAAGAAGAAAACTTACATATGCTTTTATTGGTTTGTTTCGCAATAAAAACGACTATAAATTTTATACAGTCCATAATGTAGCACCTACTTTTAAAAATTGGGGTACTAACGAACCTAACAACGAAGGTGGCAATGAGGATTGTGTTCAATTCTCTAAGCAACGCAAGTGGAATGACATTTCATGCACAAGAAAAAACAATTATATTTGTGAAAAGTGTAAGTACTGAAATAATCAATGTTTTTACGTTTTCTAAACTTTCACTAAAACAAACACATTTAGAATTTCAGAGATTTTTATAATTTTTCTTGTTTCTTCACCGCAAAAATTAATGTTAGGTAACATCCGAGCAGCTTTAGGTCGAAAATTGTTATTAAAATGACGTGACTGAAAACAACTTTAAGAATGCTAATTAATAGATTTCAATTTTTATTTACTCGCACCAAAGCATTTTTTGGTGTCAGCTAAAAACCCCACTTAAATTTTCTCTTCCCGACGCATTAATTCACTGCATACGGTTTCTTGTTTGCTTTACATAACAAAGTCAGAGTATGTCCACGTGGCTGGATGGAGATACAGTCATCTTGCTATTTCTTCAGTAGAACAAAAACAACTTGGCGAAAAGCAAGAAAAAATTGTCAAAAGAAAGGGGGAGATCTTGCTGTTCCAAAAAATAAAGCTGAAAATGACGCTATTTTTGATGAAATCCGGCAAAAACAAATCAAAACCCCTTTTATTGGTTTGTTGCGCAATAAAAACGACGATAAATTTTATACAGTCCATAATGTAGCACCTACTTTTATAAATTGGGGTCCTGAAGAACCTAACAACGCAGGTGGAAGTGAGGATTGTGTTGAATTCTCTGTGCAAAGCAAGTGGAATGACATTTCATGCACAAGAAAAAACAATTATATTTGTCAAGAATGTAAGTACTGAAATAATCAATGTTTTTACGTTTTCTAAACTTTTTGCGATTCTGTCTACTCTGAAAGCATCACGTAAAACAAACACATTTTGAATTTTAGAAATTTGAATAATTTTTCTTGTTTCTTCACCGCAAAAATTAATGTAAGCTAACATCCGAGCAGTTTTAGGTCGAAAATTGTCATTAAAATGACGTGAATGAAAACAACTTTAAGAATGCTAATTAATAGATTTCAATTTTTTACTCGCACCAAAGCATTTTTTTGTGTTAGATAAAAACCCCACTTAATTTTTCTCTTCCTGACGCATTAATTCACTGCATACGGTTTCTTGTTTGCTTTACAAAACAAAGTCAGAGTATGTCCACGTGGCTGGATGGAGCTACAGTCATCTTGCTATTTCTTCAGTGGAACAAAAGAAACTTGGCGAAAAGCAAGAAAAAATTGTCAAAAGAAAGGGGGAGATCTTGCTGTTCCAAAAAATAAAGCTGAAAATGACGCTATTTTTTATGAAGTCCGGCAAAAACAAATCAAAAATGCTTTTATTGGTTTGTTTCGTAATAAAAACGACAGTAAATTTTATACAGTCCATAATGTAACACCTACTTTTATAAACTGGGGTCGTGAAGAACCAAACAACTATCGTGGTAACGAAGATTGTGTGCAATATAAGATCTACTATGGCTTTTGGAATGATGAACCATGCCATAGATCATACCATTTCATTTGTCAACGTATGAGGATAAAATGTAAGTAATGAAATCATCAATGTTTTGTACTTTTTCTAAATTTTTTCACTAGTAGCATTATGTAGAAGTACACAATTAAAATTTTAGAGAATTTCATAATTTTTTTCTTCCTCCAGCGTGGAAACTGATATAAGTAGACGCATACTAACATGCTAACAGCTTCAGGCACGAGGAACTTCATTTATAACATAACTGAAAATAGCATTTACAATGCTAATTTATGGATTTCAATTTATATTATATCATCTCTAATAATTTTGTAGTTTTCCCTGAAACCCTGAAAACCCTACTTAAAATTTTCTTTTCCTGAAGCATTAATGAAAGTGAGCTTGCCAAAATATTGTTAGAGATGATTTTGGTGTACGTAATCATGTAAAAAGATTTCTACATAATTTTCATCCCATCAATGAAAGATGTACGGCCACGATCATATATGAATAAAAACATCGTGTAATCTATGCACATTTTAGTATCAGCAATAAACAGTAACTTTATCAATTCAATTGTATAGTACAATTACATGTTAAAGATGAAATATTTAAGTTCAACTCATGCTACACCTTGTATCGCTTCATGTACATAACTGTAGTTGACGGAAGGATTTATACTTTTCTTTAGGTTATTTACCAATCTTATCAATGAATTTTTTTGTCAAATCCTTGTATCATCGTATTAAACAAGGTCTTTTTTATGTATATGTTGTAAAGGTTATACCGGAGATGCAATATTTTGTATATACGAGGATTTATACAAATTAATTTATGTAACTTGTAACTGATTAAGTCTTCAAATTAAGCCAGGCTAGTGAACCATGTCAAAGGAATAATAATGAGGAAGCATAATTTATAATTTAGGTCGTTTTGTAATGTAATCAACGTTGTGTTGTACAAATAAGAAGCGGTGGCTTTTGATAAAACAACAAATTAATAATTTTTATTTAATTTTGATCTTTTATTGAAGATATTAATGAATGCTTGTCCGACCCTTGTCATGTCAATGCAAACTGCACTGATAACGAAGGTTCTTATGAAATGTCAAATGATGGATACACTGGAAATGGGCTCTCTTGCATGAGTAAGACACACATACCGTTGATGCAATATTTTAACTTGCCTAACAAATGTTTTTGTTTTTGTTTAAGATATCAATGAATGTTTGAATGTTCCTTGTGATGTCAATGCAAACTGCATTGATAACGAAGGTTCTTATGAATGTCAATGTAACGATGGATACACTGGAAATGGACTCTCGTGTACAAGTAAGATTTTATAGTTGGTATCTAAAAATTATTTTAAGGGCCTGATTACACGGAGCATTTTCAACCACGGGTTGAACTCAGCCCTGTTAAGTGGGAAATTTCACTACTTGCTCTATAAATCCTAATGAAATACAATGCGCTATTACATGACAGCTTTTCAACCCCGGTGCTGAACTCAACCCCGGCGTTGAAATTTCACAATCATGCGGCAAATGTTGAAAAAGGTTTGATACTTACAGGGTGATATGACAGAACTGTGAGTCTATAACTTACTATCAAATCTCGAATATGTTTAATGTAAAAATATTAAGTGTAAAAGGTTTTTTAATTAATAGCTAATCTTTATTGAGGATGCCAACATCACTAAAAAGTGGTTTACAGAGGGGTCCTCTAAAAAGTAACTATGTACTTTAAAAAGGTTATTTAAGTGATGTTCATTAATCTACTTTATTTTGATAAATGAAGTCCACTGTGCGCGTCCAAGAAGATTTTTTTGTCGCAGCAATGTCATCGATAACATCACTAGAATGATGTCATCGACTAATAATATTTATATATTTTATTACATTAAGAGAAATTGTCAAATTTGTCGTTCACGCACATTTTCTATAAACTAAAACTATATATGTTTTGAAATAAGCATATGAAACAAAGTTATAGTGCAGCAAAGTTATTTGTTTTGTCAAGAAAAGGAGGAAATTTTAATTTTTTTTTGAAACATTTAAAGGGAACAAACCCTTTGTAATAGTGAAAAGTTAATAAAGACAATACAATGATGAATTCATTATTTTCTCTAGATTTACCAACTTCACCAAAGTCTTCATCTGTTGAGTCAACAATCATAGGTGTTGCAGCTGGAATATCTGCTGTTGTTGTTTTTGTTATTATCATTGTTGTTGTTGCCGTTGCTTGCTTCTGTAAATCAAAAAAAAGTAAGCTACTCATTTTGTTATCATAAAATTTTTATAAAAGGTTATGTTTACAAGATAAAGTGTTAAAACAAAGAAGTGTCAGTATAAATTATATAATTATATTTTGAAGGGATCAAAGAGTTTTTACCATTGGTTGATTTTGGTTAATGACTGTGTCGTGTTTTTGCCACCATTTTTCTTGTTGTTTGCTTTTGTAAATTAAAACAAAATACGATATTAATTTTTTTACAACGTAATTCTTACAAGGAATCCGTTTGTCGTATGCGCGAAAGTGTTTAAAGCTTTAGTATAAAGTACTTATTTTTTTTGTATTAGGGTTGAAGGATTTCTATCATATCTTAATGTAGCCTTTTGGTTCGTTTTTGAATATTTTCTACGATATTTGCGGTTTGAATACTTGTTCAGAAAATTATACATAGATTTCATAATAAATTCTTTGTATTTTGCAGAATGTCTTTTTTCCATGGACTGCATGTCTTTGTTAAACTCCTAACAAACTATTTTCTAGAAAAGGAACAACATCAGGTAGTTGAGCTTGAGGCTAAAGTTGAACATGACAATGGAGATCAAATATACGAAGAGCCAGTCGATGTCATCTGCAGAATTCCTCCAAATTTTAGTGATGAAGAGCGTTATGAAATCATTCATAAACAGGAAGTTCCTCTCCCAAAGCTTCCGACACAAAATAAAGACGATGAAGGTAAATCAGAAAATTCACCAGAGAACTTGGAATACGTAGCAGTAATTGACTAGCATTATCAGCCATTGATTCTTCAAAAAAACGTCGCACCCACTGAACATGACGACCAGCAAGCGTTGCCGAGTACTAGCTTTAAAAAGGCGAATTATGGTACTGATCTGCAGGAAAAGTTAATTATCACAGCATGAACGGTATGCCTAACATTCTGGATGAAATATCAAGTATGGTATGGTTAAGTATGTACTACTCATGCTGCATCAACGAATTGAGGTGCTAGCTAAAGTTTTGTTTTAATTATGGTGGGGAGATTATTGGAAGTCCGCTCCATAAACACCAATGAATATATGATTTTTACTTAATTGTTTAGTATGTATGAAGTATTTTGTAGGAAATGTGCGCCTCTCTGCACCACTCCTCAAAATTATTTGTGCATTTTAAATCTTGAGAGGAGTATTCTCAAGAGAATTGTTTCCATTTATTTCATAAATAAGAAAATGAACTCGTAAACCATCTATTGCTTCAGTTGTATTAAAGTAGGCGCTATTGACTTAACGCGTCATTTGAATTGCCTTCATTTCAATGATTTTCATTTTCTACTTAATTGATCTGCAAATGCTGTACTTTCCTTGGTAAAATGAAAAATCAAACGAAACAAATGAACCCTTTGGTCAGATATCGTAAAATTCCACCCATGCACTTCTGCTGCCAATCAGATTGCGAGAAACGCCAACAATCCCCATTTTGTTGATTTGAAAAAAATAAACATACAATCATGTCTATAATGGTTCCCAGAGAAAAAATGCCAAGTTTATCACCTGGTTTCCCAAATCGTCTCGCTAAACCAATGTAATGCAATTTACAGCTTATTTTTATGAAGTCAATAAAAAGTATTTGCTAGACTGTTTAGAAACACAACTTTCTTTGTTTGATTAAAGATATTAAAAACTCTTATTTATTCAGAGTGGGATCCGTGTCCCAGATGGGTAAAACAAGCTAAATGGTGCTTTTTTAAGGAAGTTGTTGAGTATGGATGTGAATAATCAGAATGTGAAATGACGTTAGTAGTATTAAACTAAAGAATTCAAAATGTACTGAGTGGGAACTGAAAATGAGTTTGTCAAAACTATAAGAGAGAAGGACAACATTCAAAAAAGTTAAGCTCTCTAGGAGAGTTTCGAATACGTTTTCCTATATTTCAATGTATTATTTTGTACAAGTTGTACATAGTGCTTTTCAATCAAATATTTAATATGCCTGACAGTTAGACATATTAATATTGCACTAACAAAATGATACAAACCAGGGGTGGTAGGGGAAACACAAGAGATGATTGTCGGAAACCTCAACATACCAAAATAACAGAATGCATCACATTCCTGGCAATAGCAGCTCAAATACCAGACTGAAAATACATATTCAACAATTTCAAACACAAAAGAACACCACGATCATCTCTAGCAAACCAGAACAATCATCTTTAGCTATTTTCTTCGTGTTCATTATACCACTGACGTTATCTGGCTCATCTTCCTAGCATTATTAGTGCACTCCAAGGTACGCATTCTATATTTTTAGCCAGCTTTCAAACAGCAACATGTGATGTAGGATTTCGGCTCAAAGATGACCGAAAGGGAGGCAATATTTCAAGATGTATATTAAGAATGGCCACTTATTGATAACCGATCTGCTTCTTGAGATGCTCTTGAAAACTCATCAGTTAAAACAGACGAAGCATGTGATACTTGGATAGTGTTGCTCAATGGTTTGAATCCTGCACAAGAAGATTTTCTAGGGGAGAAAGTAGAATTTATCGTCCTAAGTAACAGCACCTGTTCTTCATAAATATCATAGCAAGGCTGACCTCCACTACACGAGATAGAAGAAATGGACAGTTTAGGGCTTCTAAAGCTCTACAAACTATGGTTACTTTCTTAGCCAATATACTGTTTTATGGCGAACGAAGCATTTTTTAAAAGTTGACTTATTTGCTCCCATAGAAAATCACACGCTTCGTCCATTTTCACTAATAAGTTTTCACAAGTATCTTTTTGCAAAAAACCTTTTGTATTTGAGGAAGAATATCCTTTAAAATATATAAAAAATAAACTCGAGAAATTATTCCTTTTTGCCATGTTTTGTCTTTAAACTATGCATTGTTTGAATTTCACCCTACGATTTACTGGTGTGTTGCAGGTAGACTATGAATTGTAATTAGCATGATTTTTCTCACTTAGCATGATTTTTTGCAATATAGCAATTTTGTCTGCTTTGGCGACTCATATTCAGTGCTTTTAATTGCGATATTTAACATTAATATGATTTCGCATATTGAAAACGTTAAGTGATATGATCTGATAAGAAGAGAAAACAATTTCACGTGCATTAACTCTGAACAAAGATTCTTTGTTTGTAATAATCATAATTCTCTGGTTTGATAAAACAATAATTCGGTGATTTGCAGTTATCTCTTTGGCCTGAAATGGGTGAAATTATTTGGAAAGTTGCGACTAAGCATAATATAAAGAAGATGACTAAGAAAACGTTTATATATTCGTTTGATTTTTTTAGTTTTAAAATTAGCTACTTGAATAACGGAAGATAAACGTCTATTTTTTAAATCTTTAATTTGCATTATAATGCATTACAATTGACGCTTTACGCGTTTGTTTCAGCAACAAGCTCCGACATTATCAATAAACACATTACACTATAGCAATCATTCTCATTATGTTAAAACGTTGTCCTTGATGGTAGTCTGTTGTATCATTAAATTTCTTTGTGGTTTGAAAATGTTAAAGCAAATAATTCTTCTAAAGATTATCGTGTTAAATTTTCAAGGTACTATGGCTTATGATATCTTCTACACATTCTATATATCTTCAAATCGTACACATCATAACATTTTTATTAATGATTCTACGTTTTTTAAGCAATTGACTTTTTTGATTCGTCTAGTAAGCGAAGCACTTCCATGTCCTTCTGGTTGGACAGAACTACAGACATCTTGTTATTATTTCAGTAAGAGACAAACAACATGGCAAAACGCAAGAACAATTTGTCAACAGAAGGGTGGAGATCTTGCTGTTCCAAAGAATAAAGCTGAAAATGACGCCATTTACAAATTTTCACAGAGAAAACATCGTACACGGCCTTACATTGGTTTGTTTCGTAAAAAAAGTGATAAAAAATTTTACACAATCGAAAATGTTAAACCTACTTACACAAATTGGCATCCATTAGAACCTAATGGCAGATTTAGTGAAAATTGCGTTCATTATTTGCATTCTAATGGACAATGGAATGACATTTCATGCAGCAGAGCATACCATTTCATCTGTCAACGTAGAAGAAGTGACATAAACTGTAAGTACTAAAATTATTAAAATTATTGTTTGTTTTATGCCTCTCTCTCTCATAAATATATATATCTGTAAAGTACCAAAAATGGCAAATGTGTGGTATTTTATAGATAAGAAAAAATAATTTATAAAACAATCATTTCTAATTTCATATTACTAAAGTTTTTTGAAATGGGATCAGTGAAATTGTATACATCTACATGTTACATAATGGCTTCTGGTACTATTATTTGAATAACGCAAATACCAGATTGATGAGTCATCCAGTCATAATATATTAATGACGTGTAGAATCACGTTAGTATTATATTTTCTTTGTACGAGCAGCAAAACAATAATATTAATATTAAAAACATGGCTTCAGTCACGATAAAATAAACAAAAATTCAAATAGAATAACTACGAAACGTGCCAAGACTCGTTCCTTTGCATGTTTGTGGATAAAGATCGTCCAGGTTTGTAGAGTCCTGAGAAGGACTTTTGTTGTTGTTGACTGACGTTTCGACAACCTTAGCGAAAACCATTTTTTTTTACTCTGAAGATGACTACCGCTAAGGTTGTCGAAACGTCAGTCAACAACAACAAAAACAGTCCTTTTCAGGACTATACCAACCTGGACGATCTACATTTACAAACATGACACCACCTTAGCTGTAGTCATCGTCAGAGTCGACTATCACTCTGACTTCATTAAACGCAACACTTAGAAACAAAATGAACCTAAAGAAACGAACAACTCAGTGACAACAGCAACGATACCATACATCAAAGGTACGTCTGAGACTATCTCGCGTATCTTACGACCATACAACATACGTGTCGCACATAAACCAATCACAACTTTACGACAAGTACTAGCGAACATAAAGGACAAAGAACAACCCAACGAACGACAAGGTGCAGTTTACAAAATAAACTGCTCCGACTGCCACGCCTCTTATATCGGGAAACTGTCAGGAACTTAAACATAAGACTTACTGAACACGAACAAGCTACAGAGAAACAAAACAAAACTAATTACATTGCCGAACATCACCGACTAAAAAAAACATTGACTGGGACTTAGTACAATGCATTACTTACAGCACTGACTATAGACAACGTTAGAAAGCTGGTAAACCAACTTAGAACAAATACACTTATTCACAATACAGACAAACAAGCAACTAAACACATTACTTTTAGTCAGGCAGATAAGTGAAGAAAATTGAGTAAAAACTTACCATATCTAGGGAAAATTTCATTTTATGCCAGAATTGTAGTTAAACACCTTTAAAAACCATCTGAATAAGTCGGCGAGTAAAAATGTTCTTGAGAAGGCCGACTAATAACTTTTACTGACAGCGTTTGGTTTGTTTTGAGAAGCGCCATGATTTCTGAATAATTTTGATGGAGAAGTGAGACTTGGATATTTTGAACAGCGGCACTTCGCGATACTTCATATAAACTAAATAAAAATCTTATGTTCCCCTGGCATGTGTTGTCTGAAAAATAATGTCTAGAAAACGAAAAAATATACCGTTTGAAGTTGATGGGAGCATTTCACAGTCAAAAGCACAAAAAAACTCTACATCAAATAAAACATTTATCGGGTGCATTCTTCAGTGCAGTGAAAAGAGTCCACGTGAATCGATTATTAGGTTCAGTGACACGTCCAAAAATTCTATCTACAAAACTGCAAAGCAACGTAAGGATAAGAAAGTTATTGCAATAATCGATTCTTTTGGGGAAGACCTTCCCTCGGGTATCATCGAAAATGTTATAAAAATATACTCACGGCAAGTTAAAAGTCAAAAAGCCTATACTTGAGCAACGGCGAGAGTCACCAAGAAAAACAGATCGAAGAGGTGTAAATCACGAATGTCTCTTTATTAATAAGACGCTAATTATAATTAAAACTTACAGTTGATTAAGTAACTTATGTAAATATATGTAGGTAAGATATTGGCAGATCACGAGAGTTGTGTGCTCTTTCATTTCACCCAGCATACGATTTCTTCAAAAAAAATAATAAATATACCATTGAAACTTCCATACAGATATAGCTTGTTTATCATTTTCTATGACTTCTACAATGTTAAATGCCTTACTGAGTGAAATTCAAAATAATATTGCACCCACAAGGTTCTATTGTACAACATGTTTCTTATCAAACAGCTTTGTAGGGGAGCAATTGGTTTGCTTTAAATATAGAACTGCTCTTTTTTGACTACTTTAATCCCAACAATTAAATTTTTGTAGTACGCAGGACTTTAGAAAATTGCTCACTTAGCGCTAATAGAATCAAAATAAAGAGAAATTTTCTGCGATGATGTTTTGGCCGCATGTAAACATATAAATTTCAGTCGAGAAACTACCTGCAAAGATAAAAAGCAGATGCATATAATAAAACTGAAATGCTGTACAGAACACATTTATCTATGGAATACCTAATTTACAGAAGTATCCACAAAAGCTGAGACTAATAAATCAATACTTCTTCATATTATTTAATTCTTAAACTTTGCCATTTTAGATCAACTGATATGCGGTGAAAATAAAATGACGTTTTTGATCAAGAAATCATTGTTAAACGTTACCTCAGCTTCTCAACTTCAACTTATTGACAGTTCTTGCAAACCTAAATCAACCTTCACATATTTTATCTTTACAACTTCACTAACTGGATGTGGGACAAAAAATACAGTACAAAATGGCCGGAAAGCAATTTTATTTCATAATAAAGTCACTGAAAGTTCTTCTTCGTTTAAGCACAAAATTTCAAGAGAAAAAGACATTCAATTTGTCTTTACATGTTCTTATCCTCAAAGTTTTCTCATTTCCTCGTCAGCCTTTGGTCTTGAAAATTTCACCATCAAAAATGAAACTATCAATAAACAAAGAAACTTGTCTATCATCATGTTGCTTTATAAAGATGAATATTTCAGACAGTCATTGACTGCAAATCCCTCAATGGGCGAACGTCTTTTTGTTGAAGTCAAGCAAAATGCAAGCAAAACAAACTCGACACTTGGAATTAAGTTAAATGAATGCTTCGTAACCTCAAAAAGCAATTTAGGTGAATTCAAACATTTTCTCTTAGTACGAGGGTAAGTTTGTGTAACACTGTAATATGAAATTACTAAAGCAATAATTTTATTGAAAGAAATAGGATAGCTGTTTGCAAGAATCTTAGCGAAGAATAATCATTAAAGAGAGGAGCAAGAAAGAAAGGCAATTTTTTAAATTTTCAATTGATAATTTTAAAAGATGGTCTTTCAAGCTTCGTTTTTGCTTAATTTCTTAAAAAACAGTTTTGATTAATGCTGGTAACTATTAGCTATACGATGTTTCCAGTGAAAATTATTTCAGTCAAAAAAACCCCCCAAAATTTAGCAAGCTTGTGTCATTCTACACGACACGACAGATTTTCAAAAATGGATAGGCTGTGTAAACTTAGGTGCTAGCTAAGTACATGGTTTTCTGGAGATTGGAGAACCCCACAGTCATTCGACTTGTTGACGTTTGAAAATTTTATTGTTGATAATTAAATGGAAAAGTAAATCAAGTGCGATTGTTCGTCTATAGCTGTGTTTGCATAGGCTTGTGCAAACCAAACTGAGATCAATCAATCAATCAAAGAGAATTAATTAAATCGATAAACTATATATATATATATTTATAAAAGATAACAGTTTCTCCGGATTATAATTGATTTTTTATTGAGCTTTCGACTCGTTGCTTCGAGCCTTCATCAGAATGAGGATATTTATTTACACGTGCTTTTTAGCTTGGAGACGTTTAGAGCGTCTAATTGGATTAGTGGGTGGATTAATGTGATTGGATGGGGTGAAATGCGTTGCCATGGGTTTTGGTGTGTTGTTAATATGATTGGTGTTAGTAATATTAGAGTGTAGTGTTTTAGTTTTGGTGTTGTTTGTAGTTTTGGTGTTGTTTGTATATATATATATTCAGAGTAAAAATTGAAACATTTGTTTTAAATTTGTCTTTTTTGCACTATTGTTATTTTTGAAAGAAATATAAGATGCTTTTTGTGTTTAGCTACCTGGCTTATACAAACCTCAAAGAGAATTAAGTCCATCATGTCTTTATAGCTCAAAACAGCTTGTGTTAAATTTGAAAAAACCAATAGCTATTCTTTCCTGAAAAACTAAACGACAAAAGGGTTTTTTTCATTTGCAACGCATGCATATAAAATAGACTTTTGAAGTCCATGGACGCCGGAGTCAAGGGGAGGGCTAGGGGCTAAAACTCCTCGACTTTTTGCAATAGTAAAACAAAAAAGATATTTAGACAGAGCTGAAGTTATTGTTTAGAAGTGTTTTTGTAAGACATTATAGCAGAATTAAAGATTTAGCCCACGCACTTCACATGTTGCTCCGCCGTCCCTTAAGTCTTTTTGCTATTTTCCCTTGTATTATCATTAAACATATGCAATGAAATTTTGTTTAAAAGCTCTTATAATAGAAAGTTATTGAACGTAGCAAAATTCTTTTCAATTTCCTACAGTTGTCCAAAAGATAAGACGGTGAGATTTTATAACACTTCATCTCACCAAACATCAAGATTCAGTTTTCTTGTCTTTCGTTTTCGTGGTTTACATCATTACCACACACGTGTTCACTGCAGAGTCAGTTTGTGTGTAGGGAAATCTTGTGAAGCAGCTGCAGGATGTCAACCATCCAAGATTGGAAAGCGTTTCTTCTCTCAGTTTAGTAGTGATCAACAAATAAAATACTTTTCTTCAGCAGTAAGTAATCTTGCATCTTAAAATAATCAATTGGTTTCTACCTACTATAGTGTTTCACCGTGCACAAATTTATCTGTAATAACCAATTCATATTTTTTAGGCGCCATAAGTAGACTGGGTGTGAGTGAAACAGTTTCTTGGACACTGTGAGTGATAGTGGTGTCATTTTTTTTATCATGAATATTTAGCAAGCTTTAATAGCAATTATTTTTCAAATAAGTTTTCGTCATGTGAGCAATACTTAGATGTTAGTTGTTAATACAAGTCATAGAATCATGTGAAAATCAAATATAAAATCTGAATGAAATATGTCTAAAAGTTCTTTTACCAATAGAGTTGTTTCTCACTCTAGTTAATTATGATACAGGCTTTTTATAATTTGTCAATTTTAAATTTTTTCATCCAATTCTTCCAAACCATGTTCAACTATTTTCAGTTTGCTAGTCAAATTAAATGTCTAAGATAAAATGCATAAATGAGTAATTTATTTATGACAAGGACAATCCTTGCACATTATCAAATTGTATTATACCAAATAAATGCTTCAGTGCTACATCGGTTTTATAACCAATGCAATAAAATTTATATATACAGCAAGTTTTGTAGAGATAAAAGAGAAAGGAAGAGAAGAGTAAAGTCTGTAAAGAATATAAGAGACAACAGGCAACTATAGAGGAGTAAAGAGGAGAAAAGAAAGGACAGGCAGGGAGATGGGTGACGAGAAGAGAAGAAAAAGTATGAGAAAGAAGATGAGAAAAGATGCAAAGAGAAGAGAAGGGAGAGGAGGCTAAGGGACAGGCAAGTATTGGTGTTGATAGGAAAAAACAGACAAAGAGGGAAGAGGAGAGTTGAAGTCACATGGAGTAGAACAGATCGAAGCAAGGCAAGTAGAGAAATGGCAACGATAAAAGAAGAGAGGAAAGAAGAAGTTTATTTCCTTCCATCCACTTCATTGTCTTAAAAAAACATTAAATTCATCAATATACTTTACCCCATTCAATCTTACCAAACTAAAACTGTAAAATCTATAAACTGTAACACAAACATTAAGACTAACACAAAGACCAACACTTACTCAAACACCAATATTAAAATCCGCACCAAAAACCATGACCAGCCGACAGTTTGAAGAAGTGTAGTAAAAAGCAAATTCCGAAAAAGCAAGACATCTTGAGATTGCAAAATATGCATCAAAACAAGACGAGAAGTGAACTGTAAATTTTCGACTTTATTTCAAAGTCATCCTCCACTCTCAGTAACAACTAGAGTTCCACAACTCTCAACTCTCATTCCTATCTGCGGAAAGAGGAAAACAAAAAAATTTTTAGACTACAGGGGACCACAATCAATACATGCTAAGCCTTAAAAAATGATCGCAAAAATTTCCATAAAAGTGCTACGTACCTGCAACAGCTTTAAATTTAAATTCAGTCAAATGTTTTACGCTTACATGAACAGCTTACATGCGCAACAAAGTCATTTATTAATGAATGTATAATATTTGGAAAGTAATATATTAGAACGAAGTGATTGATGACGCTTTTTGTAAGTAGTCACGATTTTTAATAACAACCATTACTACTACTAGAGGTTTACATATCCAGTGCTTTTATTGATTATATTATTGCATGACAGGTGTTGATGGCATCACAAGCAGTCGTATCCTCAGCCATTAAAAGATCCCCAAGTACCATAACTTTCATCACCAGAATTTCCATTACGGCTGTTTCTGAAACTAAATTAAGAATATTGTTAGAATTTGGTTTGCTTTGGGAATACACGTGAGTGATTAGCCTTATTGAAATTAAAAGTTTGGATATTTTTAAGCCAAAGTACTGATGATAAAATTGAAGCAGCCATAACTCAAATTATTGCATAGACGTCACATAAAAGTTCAATCACACAGAAATTTATGACAAAATAAGATATATATTTCATTATGTAAATACATTTCATTGCTTGTTCTCTTAAAAGAAAAATACTAGTATGACTTTGGCCAAGAATAGTTAAGAATTTGGTGCTTTTTGTCATGCTGCTATATTTTATCATCAAGACATTTATAAAGATATAGAAGTAGATGCACAATCATCCATAAATGACGTACCTTATCAGCGCACGAATAATCAAGACAATGGCGACTAGGAAACATATTGAAAGCCAAACTATAATTGCAATTAGCGCTGCGTCTACATCTTCTACATCGTCTTCATCAACTATAAAAGCATACGTATGTAAGAACAAGCATTTGATTTTAAACTACTGAGGCATCTCCACATGAGAGCAAACATAATGAAACAAAGTTGATTACATTAATAATCGAAAACTGATTGATTTAAAATAGCCATTAATTTCATGATTATTTTCTAAAGATAGAAAAAATAATGTAATCAATCAAAATACCTGCATTCGTCTTCTTTGGCACTAGAAATTAATTTTAAAAAAATGAATGAAAATACAATAATAAAGGTAAATTACTCATTAGAGCATTTAGATTCTCTCTAAACAATAGAATAGATTCAGCGACACAGGCGGATTTAATAAATTTAATTTACAAAAAAGCCACTTTAGTAGCAGCAGCTGTAGGTCTTATGTGATTCCTAAACGAAATCTTCTGGTTTAGCTTACGAAATCTTCTGATTTAGCTTACGAAATCTTCTGGCTTAGCTTACGAAATCTTCTGGTTTACCTTACGAAATCTTCTGGTTTAGCTTACGAAATCTTCTGGTTTAGCTTACGAAATCTTCTGGTTTACCTTACGAAATCATCTGGTTTAACTTACGAAATCTTCTGGTTTACCTTACGAAATCTTCTGGTTTAGCTTACGAAACGATCGGTTTTAGCTTACGAAATCTTCTGGTTTAGCTTACGAAATAATCGGTTTTAGCTTACAAAATCATCGGTTCATATTTTGAAAAACTTGGTTGAAACAGGAAAAACAGGTTTATGAAAGGAAGCAATGTGGCTGGTTCATGGTGCTGGCTTTTTCATAAAAACATTTTATCAAAATTAGAAAATGAAACCCAGAAACACTCACCGCAAAGGTTGCTCCCATTGTTCACGAAACCAGAATTGCAAATACAATCGAATGTCCTGTCCATGTTCATGCAGATCGAATTCTCTGGACACGGAGATCTTTCTTGATTACATTCATCAAAATCTGAAAAAATGAGAATAAAAACATTGACATCAAATAACCAGTAAATAAATTACATGAAATCAACTTAATTTCAAATATTTCGCCAAGCACATTTTGAAATAGCAACAGGTTATCAGCATTTAAGCTTAAATTGAGCCCGAATTGAAACTATGTAGCAATTTTGACCATGTAACCACGCATTTCAGACCCATGTTTTTATACGTAACACCACCGTTGGACAATATACGCCGTATGCTGTTCATGACACCATTATATTACCCGTACCTTTGTAAAAATGTAATCACGTGAATTAACGAGGCCAACTAGTTTCTATAAATATTATATGCGTTTAATATTAATACTAAAGCGTTTTCGTTTAAAAACGCATTTTTGATGCGTTTTAGCCTTCTGTCCGCATTGAAACGCTAAAAAACGGATACACTGCTAAATGAAAAGGCATCGATTCGAAAACGCTCTCCAATGTGAAGCGATTTGAAAACGCATGCGTTTTGTTTTAATGTGGATTGTCAAAAATGGAGCCTTTCAAAAACGATGACGTCAATGACGTCCTGAAATGGCGCAAAATGTCACTTGATGTCACAACTGCCATATTTTTATCTTTACACTATAGCCATATACATCACAACCGTCAAACTGTTCAAATCTAGATAATTCATTATCACGTGGTATACGTATGACCGTTTAAGTCACGGGTATATTTTCGTATTTTTTATCACGACGAGAAGAAAAAACGCCATTACAAAGTAATCGTGGATAGTTTGATTACTTAATCGTGTCAGTTTTATGATCAGCCATTACTAACAGGCTTTGTCCTAGAAATGATCGAATTGAAAGGCAGTGTGTAATCTGTAGATTATGATTAATAGCATTGATTTTTTATGTGAAAAATAGACATTCATTGAGAGCTGTATTGCACGGAACTAACATCAAATAACATGAAAACCGTGTTAAAAATTAAAAAAAACACATCACGTATTTCTCCAAGCAATATTTACCTGTAATTTCTATTGAATTTTTTAATTCAGTTGTATTGGTCGAATTGCTAAGTTGTAGGTCGCCAAGAAAAGTTCCATTTTCATTTTTAGTCAACGCGTTCACCAACTCATCTTGAATTTCAGAATTAGTGATGTTCAGGGTGTTGTTAAAAGCTACAACATATTCAACTCCAACGGACGATTGGCTAGAGTAAAAATATAGAATGGAAATAAGTAATGAAGCCCAATCTTCGCAAAACAATGATTACTCGTGGGTAATTATTGTTGTCTTTAAAATGAAAATTTTAATACTGTTTATATCGAACAAACAAAATATCTTAAACTATGTCGTCCTAACGCTCTCAACCTTTTGCCTAAACATGCGCTTTTATTTTTAGCTGGTCACTGAGCCGTATATGTAGCTGTATCGACGCAGTTGACAGGCGTCGCAGATTTACGTGTTATCATTATAATGCTCGACATGTTGAGAGTATTTGCACACATTTAAAAACTTTGTTGAGTGAAAGTTGATTTAACAGGTTGATAGAGTTTGCCCGTAGCCTTCAATTTTTTTCTTTGCTTGATAAAAACAATATTAAATAATAGCACGCGATATTGTTGTTCTGCGAATTGAAATAACCAGATAAAAAATCTCCTTCAAGAATGCGTGTTTGTTTTTTATGAAAATATCAACAAAAGCATTAAATGTTTGTAGATGTAGATCGTGCAGATAAGTAGATTTCTGAAAAGGAATGTTCGTGTTGATGTTGACTGACGTTTCGACAACTTTAGCGGCACTTGACACTAAAGATAACTGTCGCTAGAGTTGTAAAACCTTAGTCAAAATCAACACCAACAGTTCTTCTCAGGACTTTACTTACCTGGAAGATCTACATCTATTAAAAGCGTTTAAGCTGTCAAACAAAATTCAGGTAAATAGGGTTTTTTGTTACAATCTAAGAAACTTTTTGAAGGAATTTTTTTGTTTTGTTTAGTAAACAAATATTTAACAGATTTTCTGAAATTCTTCACTGAAAATAATTAATTAGTCACTTACAATAAACGGATGATTCTGATTTCCACAAAATTACGAAGTGATGTTGTTTGCCGATAAAGCGAAATTAGCTAAAACAAAGAGTTGAAAAATAAATTACTCCTTGTTGTTCTAAGGTATGTAAAATTGCTTGCCTGAAAAGACTGAAAATCAACCAATCGCATAATTCATAAAATAACTACCTTGAATTTATTTACATAAAGTACATGAAAAGTAATGTTGTAAATCAACGTGTCTTACCTGATTTATTATGACTCTGGTTATTTGAAAATACTGAATGCTGCTAATGTCATTGTAGGCAGATATGAATACCCTATTTATGATGCGAATCTGACCTTGAATAGCAGTTTCCGTTTCTACATAGGGAAAAATAATGAACAATTATGAAGCTTCTCCTTAAATACTTGAATGGTCATTTATATAAATACAGAAAACAAAAATGATAAAAAAGTCTTCGGGATTGGAATTGGATTTGTAGAAGTCAAGAAGACTGTTGATATTTAGCTGTTGATTTAGATTTATTTAGTGGTACGAATAAATTTAATGCTTTATTCCTGCATGAAACTGATTGTCTTTGTATGTTGGCCATCTTTTTTGATCTTTTACATCGCTAATTGTTCAAAAACGAGTGCATCACTATTGTATTAAGGATAAAAGATGATGTTCTTTTTGACTTGGTCGATGTAAGTTGTTTAGAATATACACATTAATCCTTAACTACACAGCAGTATCTCTTCAAACGAGTCTCAATTCGTTGCGTTCGTAACCGTTTCCCATATTGCGACCTGTGACATATTGTTTGGTTGGTAAATTGTTTTGTGGAAAAATAAATAGTGCTTTCATATTTTCAGCAAAAATTCAACCGAAAAAAATAAGTAATGAGTATTTTTATAATTCGTACCGACACATTGTGTTCCTGCTTCGTTCAAATGTTGCCTGGATTACTGCAGCTACAACAAAAAGCGCCAGGGAAAATAGCTCAGGTTTGGCCAGTTCCCGTGCATTGTTGATCGATGAGAGCGTTACATTCGTCAATATCTGAAATAAAAAGGAAATTTGTTAGTTGAAAAACAAAAGCAGAAACACAATGGTAAAATATGAAAGAAAATCGGGAATAAAAAATTTGACATATTTTAAACATTGATAATGTTAAATATGATAACAAACCACTTTTTTATAGGTGTGCATGTAGCTTGTGTCGTACTCAACTGCTGACAGATGCCATTGAATACCGTTGTTGTCAAGAGGTTGGGCCTACTTTACATAAACTGGTATTCGATGGTAGCATTGAAAAAATTAGCTGTGTTACTCTTCACGAAGTGTACACGATTATGACACATGCTACAGTCTTGAAGAATGTTGGCTCACTTCTAAGAGACCAAGATGGAAGGTCATACAAGCGTTGTAGAATACATGAAAATGAGTTAGTACATTTTTGATTTCTAATTTTGTTTTGTAACGAATGATTAATATCTTGCCATGTATCTCTACTTTTACCTTTATGTGGTTCATTATTGTGCTGTGATGCTTCACAATTTTGTTGTGTGAAGTCAAAATAAATAATCAAATAGAAATTACTATTTTGAATTTCTCATAGATACTTGAGAGCAGTTGCATACCGTTGGGTCATTCGATGGCTGTGTGGATGCCTTGGTTGGGAAAATTCTAGACCATTACCTGCAAGTATCTACACAGACATCCGAAAACGATTTCCATTACGAAATCCCCTAGGCCAAGAACATGCTGGCTACAAGTCAGCACAGGAAAGAAACTGATAGAAGTAGGAAACATTTTTTGTAGCATAGTATATTATTTTATAACTAACTTTAAAGTTGGCCTGCTAAGAATATTTGTCAAGTAATTCTTGTGGACAATGACTTTTTGGATGTCCTTTCATTGGCTGTCCACAATTTTTGCATAAGCGCGTTTCTTTTTGAATCTGAAGGACCTGTTGAAGCAGCTTGTTTTTCTTTGTCTAAACCTTTTGCTTGCAGTACATCTTGCTGTTGATCTATAAATAACAATTTAATGTGTTTACTTTTAGAATGCACTGGCCATACCTATTATACATGGTAGCATGAACAACTTACATGTGGGAAACAATGGTGTTGAAGATAGTTGTTTCCTATCCAAATGCCGTTGGATTGCCTCAGTTTTGGAAATTCGATCCGAGAACGTTTTGTTTAAGGCTTCTGGGACTTTTTCCTTATACTTCTTAAATATGTTGTCCATGGATTCCTCACAACTAAGAACCATGACATTTTGATTTCATTAACATAGTCTGGAAAAATGACAAGTGGTTAGATGTGTAAGTCAAGAGTACCAATGCATACATGCTAAACTTACAATATGATGGTGCTGAAGAAACAGTTCTTACTACTTCATCCCCTGATTTAAATTTTGGGTATGTCACAGAATAATATGGTGTTCTATTTTTTGGTTTTTTTGGCTGTCTGTGAAGGTTTTCATTGAAATGAAGTACTGCCAGTACGTGCCTAAACAGAACAAACCATTTAATATGTAATTTTTTTTCTTGACTAGGAACAAGTAAAAAAGCCTTGGCAGATAGAGAACAGTGATTACAAGTTACCTGCAATATGTACCAAGCCAAGAAAAGTGGGTCATCTTTGGATGCCAACCATTTAATGTTGAATGAAAACCTTCGAGACATTCTGTCGTGTTACACTCGTCGGAATTGCCTTCATCATCAGTATGTTTAACAGCGGGTTCAACATCTTTTACACTTCGTGTCACTTCACGCAACACCTGTTGAAGATAATAAGACACATTTACATGCATTTCCAGGTTGTGCATACAAACTTGTGTAATTTAACTTGTATAATTTTGTACTTAAAACTCTGCGGTCGCGATTGCTCTTATCACCTTGGATTGAAATGCCTTTTACAGAGTCTATGGTTGGAACAGCATCAGAGCGCAATTGTCGTCTCATGTTTCGCGATTTTGCAACTGTTGCGTTCACCGTGAATGCAGAATCTGTGAAATGCATTGAACATAGCACAGAGTACTGCTGAGGAACGAATTTTGGCCTATGTCTCCTAACAAATTTTGTCCATTTACTCAGCCTCTCCTTGTCATTCATGGGGAAACGATGTACTGAGACACCCTCTGTGTGTTGACTGTTTGTTTTTCCTTTGGGCCAACCAGCAACACAATATTGTCCTCCTCGACGATTTTTTGCAGAATTTTGCCTACTCGCCATATTTTAACTTGCGGTGTATCGTTACGTTTGACTAACTTAATAAAAAATTATTCTCCTTATATTATGTGCGTTGTGATAATATTGCATGGGTTTTAAAACCACAGACTACGTCAAGGATGCGACACCCATATGATAAGAATGATAAGTCTAATCCAGAAGTTTATAAAAGTAGTATACACTGGATGATTGGAAATAAGCGCGTTACAGTTAGTTTCTGATAACATTGCGTGAGTGTTAAAACTGCAGACTTCGTCAAGGATGCGGCACCCAGTTTATTGAGAAATATAAGTTAATTCAAGAAGTTTATAAAACTCTAATCGATTGTAAATGTTGCTTACCTATGCGTGTTGCTCATTTGTCACTAAATATACGCAATTTTTGCGAAGAGAAGTTATAAAATATGTAAAATTCCAGTTGGAAATATGCTTGTTCGTATATAATTTTTATATACTAAGAGCTTTAAAATTGAACTTCCGTCCTTTAAACGACGTCACGTACTCAAAGTCAAATTCGCATCAAAACAAGCAAATATGCCATGTTTGAACGCAAAGTTCGATGCGTTCCCATCGACTAAATTCAGTGGGCGATAGCTCAAAATGATCAGTATAATACAGAGAAAACGTTTGTATTGAAAAACGAAATATGAAAATTTTACTTCAGTAGCACTTTAACAGGAAAGGTTTCACAGTCGCACAACTGATTTAACTTGAACGAAATGTAGCGATAATCATTTCATAAACGTCAGGTTTCGCCGTATTTCATGTTTTTTTCGCATGGTTTAAGGTCATAATATTGTATTTACAGGAAATATGTGGGTGTCCGATGTTCTGGTTGTTGTCTATGGGGGTGTTTACATGAATCCGGAATGAGTTTCGATCCGGAATGAAGTCATTCCACTTTAAAAGAAATCCTATTGCATGTTTACATGAATCCGGAATGAGTCACAACTCGATCCGGATCGAGTTCATTCCTAGTTTCATTCCGGATCGAAATTTACTTTTTATCTCATGTAAACGCGAATTGAGTTTCATTCTGGAATGATATTGTGATTAATGACGAAGCACGCATGTGCCATGGGTATTGTCTTCTGGCAAATTGAAGCTCGTAAGCAAATAAAGAGGCTAAATGGGTTAAAATGAGTGCGAAAAAAAAACAACAACTAGTTTCATGTAAACACGGTTGACATCACGTGATTGAAATCATCGTGATTGAAAGTCATTCCGGATTCATGTAAACACCCCTTATTTTCCGTTTATTTTCAAGTGTACTTATTATTTGCTCGTTTGTTTGAGATTGTGACGTTTGTATAAATGTTTTCATCGATTCAACGGTTTTGCTATGCTGGTAAGACAAATTTCTAATACATAAAACGTATGTATAATATTCTGTATAGTACATGTAATAAATCGTAGTCTGTACACTTTAGTCGTTGCTACAGCACCGTTATGCATGCACCGGTTATGTGTTGTAGGAAATATTATATTTTGTTCGTTGGTGATGTTGAGCCATTTGGTTGTTATATCGTTTGTATTTGTAGATTGTTTATCTTTAGTGTGTCGTGGGTGGCCTAGCTATAGTCGGGGGTATTTTATTTTGTAAACTTCGCCTTGTTGCTTGTTTGGTTGTTTATCTTTAGTGTGTCGAGGTAGGTGGCCTAGCTATAGTCGGGGGTACTTTATTTTGTAAACTTCGCCTTGTTGCTCGTCTGGTTGTTTTCCGTTTATGTGTGACACGTATGTTGTTTTTATGACCATCATATATACGTGAGATTCTCTCAGACATAGTTCACCTAGCTTGGACGTACGTTATCGTTGCTTTCCTTGTCATTTGATTAATGGTCCAATTCTGTTTGTTGACTGCTATTATTTCCGAATGCTGTGTTTATGGTGTCATTCTTTGTGTTTGTTTCATTTATTTTCGTGGTGAAAATCGTTCGATGATTTCGTTCAAAGGTATTGTGCTCGTCTCGTAATGTTCAATATGGTAGCTTTGTATGATGTAGATTTGTTAAGATGATTACTCGAGTATTAGGTCCACATGTGTTGGTTCTTGGTGGAGTGTGTTTTGTAGTTTGTAAGAAGGAGCTCAGTTTCCCTCGACGTCTTTGGTAAATTGTATATGTGGCTGTTCTGTTTGCCGTGAGCGAGAAAGAAACAACCATGTCTACATGAGTTCTGTGATTATATCATTTACGTATACCGAAACAAAAAGGTGGTATTGATATTGATATAGGTATAGATAGTGGGGCCTGCATGACAATTTCAGCTACTGCCAGGAAAGTGTGAGTCCGTTGCTGTTCAGCGTGTAATTATGTAATATGTTTGATATTGTCGACAGATTTCAAACTGTATCATTGAAAATCATCGTGGCTTGAAAATGTTTCAATTGACATTTCTTCTGATGATGTCCGTGTTCAATTTACAAGGTATGAATTTATGAAATATTTTACTTAATAATGCAGATATCATCATGTAGGGGCCAAGGAGAGGTTAGAAAATGGGGAGGGGAAGAAGGTTACAGAATCGGATTGTTGTTCCCAGTATAGCAAAGCTGCTTTTTAACAGTTATCAGTAATCATTCAATATACAAAGTTTGTTTTATTTCGTTTGTAAAGTTTATTATAGTGCGTTCAGACCGAGTCCCCTGAGACGGTACTCAGGCACGGGCACCAATGTGAGCACAACATTTTGATGGTGGCCGTGTATAAGTGACCAGGTCTGGGCACCACGAAAAGAGGTAGTACCCTAGTACGGTGCTCGAGCAAGGGCACCTATGTGAACGACGACACCTGAGTAACATGTACAAAGAAGCACGTATTCAGCACATGGTTTCAAAACTTGTTTACAATGAAAAACATGAAATTATAAATAGAGGAAGCTAGTGGGTACTACGTAGTGTGAAGGGCCTGCAGATTTTTGTCCGAACCAGGGTATCGTACTCCGGCACTCAGTCTGAACGTACTATAATTGATCAATCTAGCGCCAACTAAAAAATGAAAGTAGAACATAAGTGAGACTAGAAATAGTCTCCATAAAAATATCCATTCTTATCAAATATAAGTATTTGTTAAAGTGGATTTTTATACTTGTACACTTTACAAAGTAAGAGATTTTGAAGAGGGGGCTGTCAAGCTCTGCTACAAAGTCTATATTGTTGATGTAGTTGGTATCTTGTTCGTCTTAGTTAACAAAGTCAGTAGTTGTCCGTCAGGCTGGATGAAGCTACAGTCATCTTGCTATTTCTTCAATACAACGCAAGAAACCTGGCATGAAGCAAGAAAAAATTGTCAAAAGAAAGGGGGAGATCTTCCTGTTCCAAAAAATAAAGCTGAAAATGACGCCATTTACGAATTTATACTATCAAAAATGCCTACATTACCTTTTATTGGTTTGTTTCGCAATAAAAGCGACAGTAAATTTTATACAGTCCATAATGTAGCACCTACTTTCATAAATTGGGATACTAATGAACCTAACAACGCAGGTGGCATTGAGGATTGTGTTCAATTCTCTGTGCAAAGCAAGTGGAATGACATTTCATGCACAAGCCGTAACAATTATATTTGTGAAAAATGTAAGTACTGAAATTATCAATGATTTTACGTTTTCTAAACTTTTTGCGATTCTGTCTACTCTGAAAGCATCACGTAAAACAAACACATTTAGAATTTTAGAGATTTTTATAATTTTTCTTGTTTCAACGTTATGTAATCAACGTTGTGTTGTACAAATAAGAAGCGGTGGCTTTTAATAAAACAACAAATTAATAATTTGTATTTAATGTTGATCTTTTATTGAAGATATTAATAAATGCTTGTCCAACCCTTGTCATGTCAATGCTAACTGTACTGACACTAAAGAATCTTTTGAATGTCAATGTAACGAAGGATACACTGGAAATGGGCTCTCTTGCACGAGTAAGACACACATACCGTTGATGTAGCAATAGTTTTAACTTGCCTAACAAATGGTTTGTTTTTTGTTTAAGATATCAATGAATGTTTGAATGTTCCTTGTGATGTCAATGCAAACTGCACTGATAACGAAGGTTCTTATGAATGTCAATGTAACGATGGATACACTGGAAATGGACTCTCGTGTACAAGTAAGATTTTATAGTTGGTATTGGTATCTAAAAATTATTTTAAGGGCCTGATTACAGGAAGGATTTTCAACCCCGGCGTTGAAATTTCACAATCATGCGGCAAATGCTGAAAAAGGTTTGATACTTACAGGGTGATATGACCGAACTGTGAAGCTAAAACTTACTATCAAATCTCGAATATGTTTAATGTAAAAATATTAAGTGTAAAAGGTTATTTAAATGATGTTCATTAATCTGCTTTATTTTGATAAATGAAGTCCACTGTGCGCGTCCAAGAAGATTTTTTTGTCGCAGCAATGTCATCGATAACATCACTACAATGATGTCATCGACTAACAATATTTATATATTTTATTACATTAAGAGAAATTGTCAAATTTGTCGTTCACGCGCATTTTCTATAAACTAAAACTATATATGTTTTCAAATAAGCATATGAAACAAAGTTTTAGTGCAGCAAAGTTATTTGTTTTGTCAGAAAGCAGTGCGAGGAAATTTTAATTTTTTTTTGAAACATTTAAAGGGAACAAACCCTTTGTAATAGTGAAAAGTTAATAAAGACAATACAATGATAACTTCATTATTTTATTTAGATTTCCAACCTTCACCTGTTGAGTTAACAATCAGAGGTGTTGCAGCTGGAATATCTGCTGTTGTTGCTTTTGTTACTCTTGTTATTGCCGTTGCTGGGTTCTGTAAATCAAAAAAAAGTAAGCTACTCATTTTGTTATCATAAAATTCTTATAAAAGGTTATGTTTGCAGGATAAAGTGTTAAAACAAAGAAGTGTCAGTATATATTATACAATTATATTTTGAAGGGATCAAAGAGTTTTTAGCATTAGTTGATTTAGGTTAATGATTGTGTCGTGTTTTTGTCATCATTTTTCTTGTTGTTTGCTTTTGTAAATTAAAACAAAATACGATATTAATTTTTTTACAACGTAATTCTTACAAGGAATCCGTTTGTCGTATGCGCGAAAGTGTTTAAAGCTTTAGTATAAAGTAATAATTTTTTTTAATATAAGGGTTGAATGATTTGTATCATATGTTAATTTAGCCTTTTGTTTCATTTTTGAATATTTTCTACGATATTTGTGGTTTGAATACTTGTTCAGAAAATTATACATAGATTTCATAATAAATTCTTTGTATTTTGCAGAATGTCTTTTTTTCCATGGACTGCATGTCTTTGTTAAACTCCTAACAAACTCTTTTCTAGAAAAGGAACAACATCAGGTAGTTGAGCTTGAGGCAAAAGTTGAGCATGACAATGGAGATCAAATATACGAAGAGCCAGGCGATGTCATCGGCAAAATTCCTTCAAATTTTAGTGATGAAGAGCGTTATGAAATCATTCATAAACAGGACGTTCCTCTCCCAAAGCTTCCGACACAAAATAAAGACGATGAAGGTAAATCAGAACATTCACCAGAGAACTTGGACTACGTAGCAGTAATTGACCAGCATTATCAGCCATTGATTCTTCAAACAAACGCCGCTCCCACTGAACATGACGACCAGCAAGCGTTGCCGAGTACTAGCTTTAAAAAGGCGAATTATGGTACTGATCTGCAGGAAAAGTTAATTATCACAGCATGAATGGTATGCCTAACAAGTTGAAATATATTCTGGATGAAATATCAAGTATGGTATGGTTAAGTATGTACTACTCATGCTGCATCAACGAATTGAGGTGCTAGCTAAAGTTTTGTTTTAATCATGGTGGGGAGATTGTCGGAAGTCCGCTCCATAAACACCAATGAATATATGATTTTTACTTAATTGTTTAGTATGTATGAAGTATTTTGTAGGAAATGTGCGCCTCTCTGCACCACTCCTCAAAATTCATTTGTGCATTTTAAATCTTGAGAGGACTATTTTCAAGAGAATTGTTTCCTTTTATTTCATAAAGAAGAAAATGAACTCGTAAACCATCTATTGCTTCAGTTGTATTTAAGTAGCCGCTATTGACTTAACGCGTCATTTGAATTGCCTTCATTTCAATGATTTTCATTTTCTACTTAATTGATCTGCAAATGCTGTACTTTCCTTGGTAAAATGAAAAAGCAAACGAAACAAATGAACCCTTTGGTCAGATATCGTAAAATTCCACCCGTGCACTTCTGCTGCCAATCAGATTACGGGAAACGCCAACAATCCCCCTTTTGTTGATTTGTAAAAGATAAAGCATACATCATGCCCAACATTACGGTGGTATCAACAGAGAGCCTTCCTTGGCGAAGAACTATCTCCACTCTCAGTAACAACTAGATTTCCACAAATCTCAACTCTCATCCCTAAGCAGTTTTATCTGCGGTAAGAGCAGACTTGAAAATTTTTCAGACAACACGGGACCACAATCAGTGCGTGCTAAACCTTAAAAAATGATCTCAAAAATTTCCATAAAAGTGCTACGTACCTGCAACAGCTTTAAATTTAAATTCAGTCAAATGTTTCCTGCTTACATGGACAGCTTACATGCGCAACAAAATCATTTATTAATGAATGTATAATACTTGGAAAGTAATATATTAGAACAAAATGATGGATGACGTTTTTTGTAAGTAGTCGCGAATTTTAATAAGAACCATTACTACAACTAGAGGTTTACATATCCAGTGCTTTATTGATTATATTATTGCATGACAGGTATTGATGGCATCACAAGTAGTCGTATCCTCAGCCATTAAAAGATCCCCAAGTACCATAACTTTCATCACCAGAATTTCCATTACGGCTGTTTCTGAAACTAAATTAAGAATATTGTTAGAATTTGGTTTGCTTTGGGAATACACGTGAGTGATTAGCATAATTGAAATTAAAAGTTTGGATATTTTTAAGCCAAAGTACTGATGATAAAATTGAAGCAGCCATAACTCAAATCATTGCATAGACGTCACATAAAAGTTCAATCACACAGAAATGACAAAATAAGATGTATATTTCATTATGTAAATACATTTCATTGCTTGTTCTCTTAAAAGAAAAATACTAGTATGTCTTTGGCAAAGAATAGTTAAGAATTTTGTGCTTTTTGTCATGCTGCTATATTTTATCATCAAGACATTTATAAAGATATAGAAGTAGATGCACAATAATCCATAAATGATGTACCTTATTAGTGCACGAATAATCAAGACAATGGCGACTAGGAAACATATTGAAAGCCAAACTATAATTGCAATTAGCGCTGCGTCTACATCTTCTACATCGTCTTCATCAACTATAAAAACATATGTATGTAAGAACAAGCACTTGATTTTAAACTACTGAGGCATCTTCACATGAGAGCAAACTTAATGAAACAAAGTTGTCATATTAAAGTTAAAATAGCCATTATTTTCATGATTATTTTCTAAAGATAGAAAAAAAATAATGTATTCAATCAAAATACCTGCATTCCTCTTCCTTGGCACTAGAAATTAATTTTAAAAAAATGAGTGAAAATACAATAATGGAGGTAAATTACTCATTAGAGCATATATATTCTCTCTAAACAATAGAATAGATTCAACGACGCAGGCGGATTTAACAAATTTAATTTACAAAAAAGCCACTTTAGTAGCAGCAGCTGTAGGTTTTATGTGATTCCTAAACGAAATCATTTGTTTTAGCTTACGAAATCTTCTGGTTTAGCTTACGAAATCGTCGGTTTTAGCTTACGAAATCATCGGTTTTAGCTTACGAAATCATCGGTTTTAGCTTACAAAATCATCGGTTTTAGCTTACGAAATCATCGGTTTTAGCTTACGAAATCATCGGTTTTAGCTTACGAAATCATCGGTTTTAGCTTACGAAATCATCGGTTTTAGCTTACGAAATCATCGGTTTTAGCTTACGAAATCATCGGTTTTAGCTTACGAAATCATCGGTTTTAGCTTACGAAATCATCGGTTTTAGCTTATGGTGCTGGTCCATGGTGCTGGCTTTTTCATAAAAGTATTTCATCAAAATTAGAAAATAAAACCCAGAAACACTCACCGCAAAGGTTGCTCCCATTCTTGACGAAACCAGAATTGCAAATACAATCGAATGTCCTGTCCATGTTCATGCAGATTGAGTTCTCTGGACATGGAGATCTTTCTTGATTACATTCATCAAAATCTGAAAAAATGAGAATAAAAATATTGACATCAAATAACCAGTAAATTAATTACATGAAAGCAACTTAATTTCAAATATTTCGCCAAGCACATTTTAAAATAGCAACAGCTTATCGGCATTTAAGCACAAATTGAGCCCGAATTGAAACTATGTAGCAATTTTGACCATGTAACCACGCATTTCAGACCCATGTTTTTATACATAACACCACCGTTGAACAATATACGCCGTATGCTGTTCATGACACCATTATATTACCCGCACCTTTGTAAAAATGTAATCATGTGAATTAACGAGGCCAACTAGTTTCTATAAATATTATATGACCATTAATATCACCCTTATGCTTATGACCCTGTCCACACTAATGCGTTTTCGTTTATAAACGCATACTTTTTGATGCCTTTTGACCTTCTGCCCACATTGAAACGCTAAAAAACGGATACACTGCCGAATGAAAATGCATCGATTCGAAAACGCTCTCCAAAGTGAAGCGATTTGAAAACGCATGCGTTTCGTTTTGATGTGGATGGTAAAAAATGGAGCCTTTTAAAAACGATGACGTCAATGACGTCCTGAAATGGCGCAAAATGTCACTTGATGTCACAACTGTCATATTTCTTTCTTGACACTATACCATATACATCACAACCGTCAAATTATTCAAATCTACATAATTCATTGACACGTGGTATACGTATGACCGTTTATATCACGGGTATGTTCTCGTATCTTTTGTAACAACGAGAAAGAAAAACGCCATTACAAAGTAATCGTGGATAGTTTGATTACTTAATCGTGTCAGTTTTATGATGAGCCATTACTAACAGTCTTTGTCCTAAAAATGATCGAATTGAAAGACAGTGTGTAATCTGTAGATTATGATTACTTGCATTGATTTTGTATGTGAAAAAGAGACATTCATTGAGAGCTGTATTGCACGGAACTAACATCAGTAACATGAAAACCGTGTTAAAAATTAAAAAAAAACACATCACGTATTTCTCCAAACAATATTTACCTGTAATTTCTATTGAATTTTTTAATTCAGTTGTGTTGGTCGAAGTACTAAGTTGTAGGTCGCCAAGAAAAGTTCCATTTTCAGTTTTATTCAACGCGTTCACCAACTCATCTTGAATTTCAGAATTAGTGATGTTCAGGGTGTTGTTAAAAGCTACAACATATTCAACTCCAACGGACGATTGGCTAGAGTAAAAATATAAAATAGAACTAAGTAATGGAGCCCAATTATCGCAAAACAATAGTTACTCGAGGACAATTACTATTGTTTTTAAAATGAAAATTTTAATACTGTTTATATCAAGCAAACAAAATATCTTAAACTATGTCGTCCTAGCGCTCTCAACCTTTTGCCTAAACATGCGCTTTCATTTTTAACTGGTCACTGAGCCGTATATGTAGCTGTATCGACGCAGTTGACAGGCGTCGCAGATTTACGTGCTTTCATTTTAATTCTCAACATGTTGAGAGTATTTGCACGCATTGAAAAACTTTGTTGAGTGCGAGTTGAGTTAACAGGTTGATAGCGTTTGCCCGTAGCCTTCGATTTTTCTTTGCTCGATATAAACAATATTAAATAATAGCACGAGTAATTATTGTTCTGCGAATTGAAATAACCAGATAAATAATTTCCCTCAAGAATGTGTGTCTGTTTTTGATGAAAATATCAACAAAAGCATTAAATGTTTGTAGATGTAGATCGTGCGGATAAGTAGAGTTCTGAGAAGGACTGTTCGTGTTGATGTTGACTGACGTTTCGACAACCTTAGCGGCACTTGACACTAAAGATAACTGTCACTAAAGTCGTAAAACGTTAGTCAAAATCAACACCAACAGTTCTTCTCAGGACTCTACTTACTTGGAAGATCTACATCTACAAACATGTACTGGGTTCAAAACATTCGCCAAAAGCATTATTTTAAAAGTTAATCTCACGTTTAAGCTGCCGAACAAAATTCACGTAAATAGGGTTTTTTATTAAAATCTAAGAAACTTTTTGAAGAAATTTTTTGTTTTGTTTAGTAAACAAATATTTAACAAATTTGCTGAAATTCTTAACTAATTAGTCACTTACAATAAACGGATGATTCTGATTTCCTCGAAATTACTAAGTGATGTTGTTTGCCGATAGAGCAAAATTAGCTAAAACAAAGAGTTGAAAAATAAATTAGTTCTTGTTGTTCTAAGGTATATAAAATTGCTTGCCTGAAAAGACTGAAAATCAACCAATCACACGATTCATAAAATAACTACCTTGAATTTATTTACATGAAGTACCAGCATGAAAAGTAATGTTGTAAATCAACGTGTCTTACCTGATTTATTATCATTTCGGTTATTTCAAAATATTCCACGCTGCTAGTGTCATTGTAGGCAGGTATGAATTCCCTATTTACTATGCGAATCTCACCTTGAATAGCCGTCTCCGTTTCTATATAGGGAAAAATAATGAATAATTATGAAGCTTTCTTCTCCTTAAACACTTGAACGGTCATTTATTTAAATACAGAAAACAAAAATGATAAAAAAGCCTTCAGGATTGGAATTGGATTTGTAGAAGTCAAGCAGACTGTTGAGATTTAGCTGTTGATTTAGATTTGGATTGGATTTGTAGAAGTCAAGCAGACTGTTGAGATTTAGCTGTTGATTTAGATTTGAATTGGATTTGTAGAAGTCAAGGAGACTGTTGAGATTTAGCTGTTGATTTAGATTTGGATTGGAATTGGATTTGTGGAAGTCAAGAAGACTGTTGAGATTTAGCTGTTGATTTAGATTTATTTAGTGGTACGAATAAATTTATTGCTTTATTCCTGCATAAAACGGATTGTCTTTGTATGTTAGCCATCTGTTTTGATCTTTTACATCGCTGATTGTTCAAAAACGAGTGCATCACCATTGTATTAAGGATAAAAGATGATATTCTTTTTGACTTTGTCGATGTAAGTTGTTTAGAATATGCACATTAATCATTAATTACACAGCAGTATGTCTTCAAACGAGACTCAATTCGTTGCGTCCGTAACAGTTTGCCATATTGCAACCTGTGACATATTGTTTGGTAAATTGGTTCGTGGAAAAATAAATAGTGCTTGCATATTTTCGGCAAAAATTGAACCGAAAAAAATAAATAATGAGTATTTTTATAATTCGTACCGACACATTGTGTTCCTGCTTCGTTCAAATGTTGCCCTGGGTTACTGCAGCTACAACGAAAAGCGCCAGGGAAGTTAGTGCAGTTTTGGCCAGTTCCTGTACATTGTTGATCGACGGGAGCGTTACATTCGTCGATATCTGAAACAAAGATGAAATTTATTAGTTGAAAAACAAAAGTAGAAACACAATGGTAAAATATGAAAGAAAGTCGAGAATGAAAAATTTGAGATCTTTTAAACATTTGAGTTTTCACTTACCAACACAATAAGTTCCATTGCCAGTATAACCAGATTTACATGAACATCTGAATGAGCCATTTGCATTAGTGCAATCAGCATTAACATGACAATCATGGCTTCCTTCAACACATTCATTGATGTCTACAAGAAAACATGATAAAAGTTTAGATATTATTATAAAAATAACGCGCAAGTCTTTTAAGTATGCAGTCTTTTCTTTGAATCTTTGTATCTTACCATTACAATTAGTTCCGTCGCCAGTATAACCAGGGTTACAAGAACAACTGAACGAACCATTTGTATTAGTGCATGTAGCGTTAACATGACAATTATGGCTTCCATTATCACATTCAATTATATCTGTAAGAAAACATAAGAAAAGATCAGATATAATAGCTAGTAAAAACAGTGCAAGTCTTTTAAGTATGCAGTCTTTTCTTTGAATCTTTGTATCTTACCACGACAATTAGTTCCGTCGCCAGTATAACCAGTATTACATGAACAACTAAACGAACCATTTGTATTAGTGCATGTAGCGTTAACATGACAATTATGGCTTCCATCATCACATTCAATTATATCTGTAAGAGAACATAACCATAGATCAGATATGATAGCTAGTAAAAACAATGCAAGTCTTACGTATGTAGTCTTTTCTTTATAACTTTGTATGAAAGAAAGTCGGGAATAAAAAATTTGACATCTTCTAAACATTTGAGTTTTCACCTACCAACACAATAAGTTCCATTGCCAGTATAACCAGATTTACATGAACATCTGAATGAGCCATCTGTATTCGTACAATTAGCGTTAACATGACAATTATGGCTTCCATTTTCACATTCATTGATATCTGTATGAAAGCATAATAAAAGATTAGATATGAGAATGAAAACAACGCAGGTCTCTTACGTATGCAATAGCTATTTTCTCTGAATTTTTGTGGCTATCTTACCATCACAATTAGTTCCATCACCAGTATAAGCAGCATTACAAGAGCATTTGAATGAACCATCTGTATTAGTGCAGTTAGCGTTAACATCACAATCATGGCTTCCTTCAACACATTCATTTATATCTGTATATAACAAAGCATAATAAAAGCTTAGATACGACAATAATGAAAAGTGCGGGTCTTTTACTATAAGTCTTTTCATTGAATCTTTATAGCCATCTTACCATTACAATAAGTTCCATTTCCCGTATAACCAGTACTACACGAACATTTAAATGAACCATCCGTATTCGTACAATTAGCGTTAACATGACAATCATGGCTTCCTTCAACACATTCATTGATATCTGCAAGAAAACATGACAAAAGGTCAGATATGAGAGCGTTTCTTTTTCGTATGTAGTCTTTTATTTGAATCTTTGTATCTTATACCATCACAATAAGTTCCATTCCCAGTATAACCAGATTTACAAGAACAATCGAATGAACCATCTGTATTGATACATGTAGCGTTAACATGACAATTATGGCCTTCATTATCACATTCATTTATATCTGCAAGAAAACGTAAAAAAAGTTCAGATATGACAATTAAAAAACGTAGCGTTGACATGACACTCATGGTTTTCTATATTTGCATTCATTCATATCTATAAAGAAACCAAAACTTCAGATATAAATGGTAGGTTAGAAAAAATATGACTAGAGCGCCAAAGTAACGCATGCATGATATGATTAATGCTAAAATAAAACTTACCAAAACAACTTGTTCCGTTGCCAGAATAGCCAGAGTTACAAGTACAGTTGAATGAATCACTAACATCTAGACATGTAGCATTACTATGACAGTTATCAACACCAATATCACATGCGCGTACATCTATAGAGTAAAAAAATATTAACAGATTAGTGGATTGGTGTATGCAGTATTTATTATATAGAATGACCAACTAAGTGAACACAACTTTAATTTAAGGCAAATAGCAATATAAAAAACCTGAGAATTCTTGGTACTTTTGAATTTCCGGGTGGTGGTCAAAATGGTTTCAAATAAGTGCAACAGTATTTTGAACCAATCGCATGCGACTTTACCAAATTATTGAATCGGAAAATATTCTTAGAAAAAAGAATGAGGTCCACAAAAAATACCTTCAGTTTCAAATTCTTGAATTAGTTCGGATGTATTCGTAGCATTACTAATTTGTAAGCCACTATCTCCAAGAAAGGCTCCCCCACTCGTCACGTTTACTTGCATAGCCAAATCGTTCTGAATTTCGGCGAAAGTCATGTTTACAGTTTCATTAAATGATACAACATAATCCACTCCAACTGACGATTCACTGCAAAACGAGGTGAAATAATTAGTAAAAAAAATATGTATCACAACTTTTGTATTATAAACATATGAGCAGACCGAGAGAGAGCGAGATGTTATATTCAAAATTGTAGTAGAAGCAATCAAAAACTGTTGATTTAATAAGATTTTTATACAGCAAGACATATAGCAGCCCCTATGTCAATATCATACACCCCACACCCAATTATCATGATGTTTACGCTTCTTGTATGAACATGTTTTGGTGAAAATGTATCAGTTTAATTCTCCAAAACATATCAAAAGTATTAACATTTAAGTTTGTAAATGTCTGTAATATGAACATATCTGTAATATATGAAAATGTAAGTAGAATATACAGATCATCATTGTAAATATAGCAGCACACACTACAGTAAACATAAGTAGCATGCACATATTTTAGTCTTTTCGCATCAAATTCTTAGTAATCTTTTATCATTGTAAAATATAATTCTTGATGCTCAAGAACAAGAACGTTGCAACAAAATATTTATAAAGTAAATGGTTTGAACCCGGGAGTATCGTTACATGTTTGTAAATGATGATCGTCCAGGTTAATAAAGTCCTGAGAAGGACTGTTTTTGTTGCTGTTGACTGACGTTTCGACAACCTTAGCGGTAGTCATCTTCATGTTTTCATTTGACTCTGAAGATGGCTACCGCTAAGGTTGTCGAAACGTCAGTCAACAACAATAAAAACAGTCCTTCTCAGGACTATACCAACCTGGACGATCTACATTTACAAACATGTTATATGATTTTTCTTAAAATCAAATCAATTTGACTTTTCATTTTTCTAACTTTTTGTTTTCAACGAAAGCAATTGTTTTCAACAAAAACAGTCCTTCTCAGGACTTTATTAACTTGGACGATCATCATTTACATACATGTAAAAATATTTCATATTCACTTCTTTTTTGCTTTTGTAAACTACAACTCTAAATACCAACTCACGATAATATACTTAGGAGGGAGAGAGCTCTTATAGAAAAAACAATTTCTAAAGAAAAGTTTGATGACAGCATTAGTGAAATTAATGTTATTAAAACTTACAATAGGTTGAAGATGATGATGTTAAAGCCTCTTCTTGGAAATACTAATCGGAAAATAAAACGAAGCTAAAAAAATGAAAGTGAAATTTAATGAAATAATGCCAACCGATAAGACACATGTTAAAAGAGCATGAAAAAGATTAAAAAAAAACGTGTTAAAATTAATTATAGTTGTGAAAAATATCAGGTACAGCTCTTCGGTGTTTATTTTTCAACCATTTGGTCGATAAATTTGTTTGACAAAATTCCTTTGAATGCAATTAACACAGGATCGAGAGTTATGCAACCGATGAAAAATACTTCACTCAGATTATTTTGATAGTTTGATATCTTCCATTATTTTGTTAGTTTTTTTTTGCCTAATTAAAGAAAGAAATCTGCAAAAAGCCCCAAATTTGGGATATTTCTTAACTAAAAAATAGATTCATGCATGCATGACCAATGGAACTCTCATGTTTTCTATCAAGAACACCAAATAAAACAAAACTTGATTGCCTGTTGAACGAGGTAAACGACAATCAAAAATAATGGGAATGAATGAGTTGGCAAAAAATTTGTTAGGGTATTCAGCTAAAGAAATTCGTTTAAACGATATTTGAAAGTAACGTGTTCTTACCATCTATCTAAAACTAAAGAAAATTGTGTTATACGTTCTCACTGTCAAACACTTCGACAATAAGACACAGTTCCAATAATTTGATTGCGTAGCGCATGCAAAAGGTTAAAGTCAAACTAAGTATTCTTTCATAAAGATCTATGAACACCTAAAAAAAGAGCTCAATGCACCTATTCTTCCCATTGTGTGTCAACGGATTTCACTATCAAGAGTCAGCAAAAAGTTTAGTAAAGAGGGGTGTATCGAAAAAACTGATCAGTTAGAAAAATGTTGCTATAGTCATCAGCACGTAAGATTTGCATTTCAAAAACATTTGAAGGAGATAGTGAGTTGGATTTCTAATGGTTCATTGGACCGTAAAATCTCAAAAAATAAACATTTTATGGTGAAAACATTGCTAGTGCGAAGCCCTTTTCGGAATATCTTGCGCATTGCAGGCATTTACAAAAGTAATACAGCCAAAAAACCCAACTAAAACACATTGGGTTAAAATATGGCGCAAGTTGTCCAAGCTATAATTAGCTAAGTTTTATAAAATTTTGCAAATGCGTACGCAAGAACTTAAATTACCTTTTTGGTTTTTTAATTTTCATAATCTTCGTAAAATAATTCATTTACGTATTCTTTAGGCGCAGTTTGCAAACACGTTGTATAAGCTTCAACAATATGTGCCATATTTTGACAATATGTGCAGTATCTGCTTTTTATTGCTGTGTCATTTTTTGTCCATAAGCTATTTTAAAAATGCTTCTCTTAGCACAATTACCATTTGAAATGGTCAGTCCTTGATACAATTTTCCAGTCAGATGAACCACTGGATGTCCAACTACCTACTTTACTTCGGTAAAGCTTTTTGCAGGTTATAAAGGCTAACATTTTTTTTCGCTTTTTCCTAACTGTTCTGTTTTTCTTAATGCACTCTGTGTTACATATAGCAAAAGATAACTTTACCGCCGCAGCAATCCTTCGGGCTGCTCTGAGAAACTGGATGCTCCGTCTGTTTCGATAAGCATCTATGAATCTCTCATTTCTTATGCGAGTTCTGCACTGAATTGCACTAGGAGCATCTTAAGCAGAGAAAAAAAAATTCAAAGATAATAAATAGTATGAAATAAAAAAATCCTTTGTTTTAAGTAGTATGTCCTTTACTTACCAAGACAGTCGGTTTCATCATCGTTAGGCTGTTGCCGTGGGTCGGAACATTCACAACGATATGTGCCTGGGAAGTTGGTACAAGTTTGTCTTGGACTTGTACATAAATTTTCACATTCATCAATATCATCTAAAAATGAAATAAGAAATGAATATGAACAAATAGCCACTACTTTATAGCATGATCAGCAATGAACAAATATGAATTTACTAAAGTATTTTAATGATTAACTGACGCTCTGGAGGAAGACAATACAGCAAAGAGTTAACATACTTTGTATGAATAATTAAATACTGTAAAATTAGGATGTCAATCCTTGGTAGTTACATACAGACATAAATAGAGTATCTAGTCTCAACGTTATTTAGTCTAAGACGACAATTTCATTAGATGTGAAAGAAGGCATAAGGCAAAAATCTCCTTTTCTGATTACGTTTTATTTTATATCAGTGGATTTTAATGATATGAAATCTACAAAACCACTCCAAACTTGTAGGCTAACTACGTCACCGTTTGTTACCACTGATATAATGTTGCTTCATTGTTCAACTTATTATTTATGTGATAAACATGCAGTTTAAAATTTAGGTAGGTAAGTCACATTGGCAAAACATGAATGACTGATCGAGCTTCACATAAATATAATGTACATACGTTCATTCGTTTCTGCACGAGATTGAGTTTATATCCTTTTTATTTTATTTTTTTAAAAATTAGGATGGAATTATTACTCTATGGCTTAGGTATTTTTTAATGTTTAATGAGAAAACTTATTTTACTATAATACTATGTTAGTAATTGCAAATGATTTGTTGAAACAAAAATCAAAAGCTACTTAAAAGTGCACAAATATTGACAAATGGCAAAGTCGACAATAGTAGAGGAAACAGTTTTACAAACAGACCAGATAGCCAAATGAGATTTAAAAAGAATAAGAAAATATGAAATCAGAATTTTTAATTCCCTGGAATAGAAGACAAACTTCCCTGATTAGTTGAGGTGCAGTTTCAGTGTTGATCTCAATGAGTACGAGTGAGAGTGAACTTTTAGAATACAGGCTATAGACTTTTAATTGACATTATAGAATGTGCATTTATGCATTTTGCTCGTTGAGGCGCGCACAAGCATTATTGTAAATGTTGGGGATTGTGAAATCAGAGGTTGCATTTTCTTCATGATTGTAACTTCTAGTACTAAATACTAAAGTACAACATAATAATTGAATAAACGATTCATCAGTGAACGTCCAAGTTAAGTTTATGTTTAACATTCCAACTTAATCGTCGACGAGCATTTTTGTAATCTAACATGTAGCACAAACAAGAATAGCACATTTACATGCTTATTAACGTACCGCATTGTACTCCGTCTCCAATATAGCCAGGGTTACAAGAACATTTGAATGAACCCTCTGTATTAGTGCAATCAGCGTTAACATCACAATTATGGCTACCATTTTTACATTCATTTATATCTGTGTACGAAGAAAAAATGATAAAGGTATAGATATTTCAATAAAAACAACCCAAGTCTGTTTTATATTATTCTTTTCTTTGAATTTTTGTATCTTACCATTACAATAAGTTCCATCTCCAGTATAACCAGGGTTACAATAACATTTAAATGAACCATCTGTATTAGTGCAATTAGCGTTAACATCACAATTATGGCTACCATTTTTACATTCATTTATATCTGTGTACGAAGAAAAAATGATAAAGGTATAGATATTTCAATAAAAACAACCCAAGTCTGTTTTATATTATTCTTTTCTTTGAATTTTTGTATCTTACCATTACAATAAGTTCCATCTCCAGTATAACCAGGGTTACAATAACATTTAAATGAACCATCTGTATTAGTGCAATTAGCGTTAACATCACAATTATGGCTACCATTTTTACATTCATTTATATCTGTGTATAAAGAAAAAATGATAAAGGTATAGATATTTCAATAAAAACAACCCAAGTCTGTTTTATATTATTCTTTTCTTTGAATTTTTGTATCTTACCATTACAATAAATTCCATCTCCAGTATAACCACGGTTACAAGAACAATTGAATGAACCATCTGTATTAGTGCAATTAGCGTTAACATCACAATTATGGCTACCATATTTACATTCATTTACATCTGTGTAGAAAGAAAAAATGATAGAGATTTAGATATTTCAATATAAACAACCCAAGTCTGTTTTATATTATTCTTTTCTTTGAATCTTTGTATCTTACCATTACAATAAATTCCATCTCCAGTATAACCAGTTTTACAAGAACAATTGAATGAGCCCTCTGTATTAGTGCAATTAGCGTTAATATCACAATTATGGCTTCCATATTTACATTCATTTATATCTGTGCATAAAGAAAAAATTATAAAGATTTAGATATGACAAAAAAAAACAACGCAAGTCTTTTTTATATTATTCTTTTCTTTGAATTTTTGTGTCTTACCTTTACAATAAGTTCCATCTCCAGTATAACCAGGGTTACAATAACATTTAAATGAACCCTCTGTATTAGTGCAATTAGCGTTAGCATCACAATTATGGCTTCCATATTTACATTCATTTATATCTGTGTATAAAGAAAAAATGATAAAGGTATAGATATTTCAATAAAAACAACGCAAGTCTGTTTTATATTATTCTTTTCTTTGAATTTTTGTATCTTACCATTACAATAAGTTCCATCTCCAGTATAACCAGGGTTACAATAACATTTAAATGAACCATTTGTATTAGTGCAATTAGCGTTAACATCACAATTATGGCTTCCATATTTACACTCATTTATATCTGTGTATAAAGAAAAAATGATAAAGGTATAGATATTTCAATAAAAACAACTCAAGTCTTTTTTATATTATTCTTTTCTTTGAATTTTTGTATCTTACCATTACAATAAAGTCCATCTCCAGTATAACCAGGGTTACAAGAACATTTGAATGAACCATTTGTATTAGTGCAATTAGCGTTAATATCACAATTATGGCTACCATTTATACATTCATTTATATCTGTGTATAAAGAAAAAATGATAAAGGTATAGATATTTCAGTATAAACAACCCAAGTCTGTTTTATATTATTCTTTTCTTTGAATCTTTGTATCTTACCATTACAATAAATTCCATCTCCAGTATAACCAGAGTTACAAGAACAATTGAACGAACCATCTGTATTAGTGCATGTAGCGTTAACATGACAATTATGGCTTCCATATTTACACTCATTTATATCTGTGTATAAAGAAAAAAATGATAAAGGTATAGATATTTCAATAAAAACAACTCAAGTCTTTTTTATATTATTCTTTTCTTTGAATTTTTGTATCTTACCATTACAATAAGTTCCATCTCCAGTATAACCAGGGTTACAATAACATTTAAATGAACCATCTGTATTAGTGCAATTAGCGTTAATATCACAATTATGGTTACCATTTATACATTCATTTATATCTGTGTATAAAGAAAAAATGATAAAGGTATAGATATTTCAATATAAACAACCCAAGTCTGTTTTATATTATTCTTTTCTTTGAATCTTTGTATCTTACCATTACAATAAATTCCATCTCCAGTATAACCAGGGTTACAAGAACAATTGAACGAACCATCTGTATTAGTGCATGTAGCGTTAACATGACAATTATGGCTTCCATATTTACACTCATTTATATCTGTGTATAAAGAAAAAAATGATAAAGGTATAGATATTTCAATAAAAACAACTCAAGTCTGTTTTATATTATTCTTTTCTTTGAATTTTTGTATCTTACCATTACAATAAGTTCCATCTCCAGTATAACCAGGTTTACAATAACATTTGAATGAACCATTTGTATTAGTGCAATTAGCGTTAATATCACAATTATGGCTTCCATATTTACATTCATTTATATCTGGAAGAAAAACAAAACAGAAGTTACGACTCAAGTTTTGTGGCATTTCCACAGCTATACCTCCAGCTTACATGCAGTCCATAGAAAAATAAATACAAGTAACTTGTCGTGATGATATTTGATGTGTCCGTGAAAAAATAGGAGGTAAACATATTTATGATAATAGAAGGAATATAATATAAAGCTGGTATTAAAAAGTGGCATAACCAGTTAAAAATTTTAGTCCTGCCATGTAAATTCAAGATCATTATCATATTGGTTTATTTAGAAATCTATTGTGTTATGCTTCGGGGGCTCGGCACATAATATTCATCATGGTTCGATTAGTTTTCGATATAATACTCAATCTCATCCAATAATTTTTGAACATACTGCATAATTTATGAATTTTTTGAAGTAAGATTACGGTGGGATCTGTCAAATGTAAGTAGTTGATCGCAATTATTAACTATGTATAAGATATTATTAACCCAGTGTTAAGTCTTTATTTAAAAATATAATGCCGAGGCGGTCTTTTAAAGACCCCTTTCTCTCGGTTATATCTTTATTTTGCATTGTTTGACCCAGCTTGAAGTTTTAGTTTCTCTAAAAGGCTGTTTTGCCTGCTGCTTTTCATCATTAAAATTCTCTGTTATTGTCTCGTTTGGATAATAAATCCATTTTGCAAGTGTTTTTTCTCTGACTAGCAATATACATGCATGTTATTTATGCCACTTTTTTCGAAGTCTTACAAAAGTTTTTCTGTTAGCTTTAAGAATTTTGTTCCTTCTTTTTCGTATAGCACGGAGCATCAAAAACATTTTAATCCAATCAATGCGTGATGTTTCACAGGAAATTACGTTTATGCCAATTAAAAACACGAAGAGGAAAAACTATCATAAATTTGTGTGTTGCTTGATACAATTTGTAAAATGATAAATGACTTTCGACTCATAATAAACTATTTGATTTAATTTGATTATCTCGTCACACATTAAAAGATTGGCAAGTTTATGAAAACAAGGCTGCAGAAATTTAAATCCCAATTGATAGAGGCACATTTTATTTAAAAACAAATGTACACAATAACAAGAGTAAAAATATTTTTACCTGTACATGATGTACCATTACCACTGAAGCCAGGATTACAAGAACAATTGAATGATTCAACAGTGTCAATACAAGTCGCGTTTTTATGACAGTTATGTGTGCCATTGACGCACTCATTTTCTACACAAAACCAAACATACAAAGATTTATGTTTCATGTTTACAAATATTAGTTAATGCAAACTAGGATACATAATGACTTAAATAAGATAAAAAATTGCTATTAAATGTAGATAAGACTGCATTGCATATGATTGCATTGCATGTAGATATGACCGCACTGCATATAACATTCTTTCATAAAAAATTGCTTTAGGCAAAATAGTTGGAGCAGATTAACCTAGGTTTACAAAATAAGCTTCGTTAAAGCAAATGTACCAAGCTGCGTACGTTGAATAAATCAACAAATAAACCATGAAAAAGTTCCAAAATGTAAAATTATTTTATACTTTTCATTTTCACAACAACTTACAGTAAAAATTTTAAAATCCTATAAAAAATTCCTTTCTATCTTATAATTATAAAACAAGTACTATTTTAACAACCTTTAGTCTGCAAGCATTCGTAATATCCAGGTCTATTATAGCATTGTTGACCAACAGGACATGCACAGCTGTTCAGGCACTCGTTAATATCTAAAAAGTAATTGATGGTGTGACATACATGCATTTTTACTTCATTAAAATAAACAATACCGAGCAAAAAATTTTTTCAATTTTACCTGTACAATTTTGACCATTTCCATAATATCCTCGCTTACAGAAGCATTCAATAGTGCCATTGATGATATAAGATTTTGCATTTTTATCACATGGATTAACTGGTTCTTTGCATTGAATAAATAGTACACAGAGTCAATTATGTGTGGAGTATAAAAATTCAAATGTAATTAATTTAATATAGTTACTTGGTCTTATGCACTCATAATATCCAGGTCTGTTATAACATTGTTGACCAACAGGACATGCGCAGCTGTTCAGGCATTCGTTAATATCTAAAAGAGTAATTGATGGTATAACATACATACATTTTTAGCTACTTCAATAAGTAAACTATACCAAGCAAAAAGAATATTTTTCAATTTTACCTGTACAGTTTTGACCATTTCCATAGTATCCTCGTTTACAGAAACACTCAATAGTGCCATTGATGATATGAGATTCTGCATTTTTATCACATGGATTAACTGGTTCTTTGCATTAAATAAATAGTACACAGAGTCAATTATGTGTGGAGTATAAAAAATCAAATGTAATTAGTGTAATATAGTTACTTGGTCTTATGCATTCATAATATCCAGGTCTATTATAACATTGTTGACCAACAGGACATGCGCAGCTGTTCAGGCATTCGTTAATATCTAAAAGAGTAATTGATGGTATAACATACATACATTTTTAGCTACTTCAATAAATAAACTATACCAAGCAAAAAGAATATTTTTCAATTTTACCTGTACAGTTTTGACCATTTCCATAGTATCCTCGTTTACAGAAACACTCAATAGTGCCATTGATGATATGAGATTCTGCATTTTTATCACATGGATTAACTGGTTCTTTACATTGAATAAATAGTACACAGAGTCAATTATGTGTGGAGTATAAAAAATCAAATGTAATTAGTGTAATATAATTACTTGGTCTTATGCATTCATAGTATCCAGGTCTGTTATAACATTGTTGACCAACAGGACATGCACAGCTGTTCAAACACTCGTTAATATCTAAAAGAGTAATGATTGTATGGTATATACTACTTGTAGTTGTATGTTATTAAAATAAACAACACCAAGCAAAAACAAAATTTTTCAATTTTACCTGTACAATTTTGACCATTTCCATAATATCCTCGTTTACAGAAACATTCAATAGTGCCATTAATGATATGAGATTCTGCATTTTTATCACATGGATTAACTGGTTCTTTATATTGAATAAATAGTACACAGAGTCAGTTATGTGTGGAGTATAAAAAATCAAATGTAATTAGTGTAATATAGTTACTTGGTCTTATGCATTCATAATATCCAGGTCTGTTATAACATTGTTGACCAACAGGACATGCGCAGCTGTTCAGGCATTCGTTAATATCTAAAGTACGTAAAGGTAATTGATTGTATGATATACGTACACACACTTGTACTTCATTGAAATAGACTATACCCGGCAGAAAAGATATTTTTAAGTTTTACCTGTACAGTTTTGACCATTTCCATAGTATCCTTGCTTACAGAAACATTCAATTGTGCCATTGATGATGTGAGATTCTGCATTTTTATCACATGGATTAACTGGCCCTTTTACATTAAATGAATAAAAAAGCAAAGTCAATTATCTTTTATAAATAACAAAAACAAATATAATTTGTGTAATCAAATTACTTGGTTTTATGCATTCAAAATATCCAGGTCTGTTATAACATTGTTGACCAACAGGACATGCACAACTGTTCAGGCATTCGTTAATATCTAAAAAAGTAATTGATTGTATTTTATACATAAACCTTCTTTAACAATAGAAAATTATATTTTGATGACAAATAGCATTTTTCAACTTTACCTGTACAATTTCCCCATCTCCATAATAGCCTTTTTTACAGAAGCATTCAATGGTACCATTAATGATATGAGATTCTGCATTTCTATCACATGGATTAACTGGAGCTTTACAATAAATAAATAATTCACATTATACATAAAGGATAAAATTGTAGAATTTTATCATTTACCAAAATATAATATGTGTAAGTCAATTACCGGGTCTAATGCATTCATAGTATCCAGGTCTATTACGGCATTGTTGACCAACTGGACATGCACAGCTATTCAAGCACTCATCGATATCTATGAAATATGGCAAATTATGCGTTGTCTCAAACTAATAAACTAAAAAATATTGTAAGTTATGTATTTGTTATAGATTTATAATTTACCAGAGCAGTTTTCTCCATCGCCAAAATAACCTTTTTTACAGAAACATTCAATTGTGCCATTAATGATATGAGATTCAGCATTTCTATCACATGGATTAACTGGAGCTTTACAATAAATAAATAATTTATATTATACATAAAGGACAAAAAATTATATCATTTACTAAAATGAAATATGTGTAAGTCAATTACCGGGTCTAATGCATTCATAGTATCCAGGTTTGTTACGGCATTGTTGACCAACAGGACATGCACAGCTATTCAAGCACTCATCGATATCTATGAAATATGGCAAATTATGCGTTGTCTCAAACTAATAAACTAAAAAATATTGTAAGTTATGTATTTGTTATAGTTTTATAATTTACCAGAGCAGTTTCCTCCATCTCCAAAATAGCCATCTTTACAAAAACATTCAATGGTACCATTAATGGTATGAGATTCTGCATTTTTATCACATGGATTAACTGGAGCTTTACCATAAAAAATAACATGTATTACATGATGATCAATGTTTATTGCAATGTTCGAAATCAAATTTGATAAGTGTGAGTTAGTTACCTGGTCTCACGCATTCAAAGTATCCAGGTTTGTTACGGCATTGTTGACCAACAGGACATGCACAGCTGTTCAAGCATTCGTTAATATCTAAGTAATATAGCAAGTTTCATGTTGTTTCAAACCATTCAACTAAAAAATTTTGTAATTTATGCATTTGTTATAGTTTTATAATTTACCAGAGCAGTTTTCTCCATCGCCAAAATAGCCATCTTTACAAAAACATTCAATGGTACCATTAATGGTATGAGATTCTGCATTTTTATCACATGGATTAACTGGAGCTTTACCATAAAAAATAACATGTATTACATGATGATCAATGTTTATTGCAATGTTCAAAATCAAATTTGATAAGTGTGAGTTACTTACCTGGTCTCACGCATTCAAAGTATCCAGGTTTGTTACGGCATTGTTGACCAACAGGACATGCACAGCTGTTCAAGCATTCGTTAATATCTAAGTAATATAGCAAGTTTCATGTTGTTTCAAACCATTCAACTAAAAAATTTTGTAATTTATGCATTTGTTATAGTTTAAAATCTACCAGTGCAGTTTTCTCCATCTCCAAAATAGCCATCTTTACAAAAACATTCAATGGTACCATTAACAGTATGAGATTCTGCATTTTTATCACATGGATTAACTGGAGCTTTACGATAAAAAATAATATATATTACATGATAGTCAAAGTTTATTATAATGTCAGAGGCCAAATGTAATTACTGTGTGTCAATTACCTGGTCTTACGCATTCATAGTATCCAGGTTTGTTGCGGCATTGTTGACCAACAGGACATGCACAGCTGTTCAGACACTCGTCGATGTCTATTAAATAAAGCAATTTTCGTTTTGTTGTTTTTGTAAATCGTTGAGCTAAAACATGTTCTAATTTTTGTTTTTTAATGAAGTTTAAAATCTACCAGTGCAGTTTTCTCCATCTCCAAAATAGCCATCTTTACAAAAACATTCAATGGTACCATTAATGGTATGAGATTCTGCATTTTTATCACATGGGTTAACTGGAGCTTTACCATAAAAAATAACATGTATTACATGATGATCAATGTTTATTGCAATGTTCGAAATCAAATTTGATAAGTGTGCGTCACTTACCTGGTCTTATGCATTCGTGGTATCCAGGTTTGTTACGGCATTGTTGACCAACAGGACATGCACAGCTGTTCAGACACTCGTCGATGTCTATTAAATAAAGCAATTTTCGTTTTGTTGTTTTTGTAAATCGTTGAGCTAAAAAATGTTCTAATTTATGTTTTTTAATGAAGTTTCAATGTTTACCAGAGCAGTTTTCTCCATCACCAAAATATCCATCTTTGCAGAAGCATTCAACCGTACCATTTATAATATGGGACTCTGCGTTTTCATCACATGGATTAACAGGAGCTATAAAAAAGTTCTTTGCTACTAAAAAAGTGGTGTTTTGCTCTTTTATTACCACATAATGGTAAATGTAGCGACATCTTTATTCTATTGACTTTGAGGCAACAGGTATAGTACTAAGAAATTTTGAAATAATTAAAAATTTAGACGGCGTTGTTCTGGGTTTTGCAAAACGTGTTAAAAAAAACTCCAGCTATAATTATTCTCATTGGAAAGCAGTTACGTAGCTACATGTCTTTTGAAGAAAATGGGAGTTTTTTTGTGAAATACAACAGATGATGGAATAAGTCCATTTGCTTTCTCACAAATGATCCAGAAAGAGAATAGATGAACAAGTATTTAGAAATAATTTAAAACATCCCAAATAAATATTTTGCTTAAACAGCTAAACTTTTTGTGAATTTAGGAGGGGTCGGTTACTAGTAGCATGAATAGTGTTCCCCATTTTATAAAAAACTTCTTACACGGTTAAAAACCTCTTAGAAAGGAAAATGTAAGGTTTGAGCTGAGCATTGACTGAAATAAAATATTGTTTCTGGATAACGCTATCCAGGACTCGTGAAGCAGTCCCAGGTGAAAAATTAAATGTCATATTTTACCTGGACTTTTACACTCAAATGATCCCGGTGTGTTAATACAAGTCAATCCGTCTGAGCATGCGCAGCTATTCAAGCATTCATTAATATCTGAAATGACAGCATTTCATTTTATTGTGTTGCTTCAAACGTAGAAGAAAATTTTCCTTGATTAAACAGTTCAAGAACAAAATTAATTGCAAAATATTAATTCCAGAAAAAGGAATATAAGCGATAGGTAAACAAAGTAAATAAGGAAAAAATAATTTTTTATTACAAATATCTTCTATTCATCTAAGTAATTTTTTCTTCGTCATTTTACTTTGTACTTTTTATCATACCTGTACACGTTGTTCCGTTACCATAGTAGCCATCTTTACAGAAACATTCTGTTTCGCCACCAATTATGTAGGTTTCAGCGTTCTCATCGCATACAGCTTAAATAAAGTATGAAAAATGTAGAATAAAAAAAAAGAGAGTGTAGATGCGTACATTTCACCAACCCTTACTCTCATTTTACTCGCTTTGAGCTTTTTCACCGACCAATATTAAACAATTTTTACTTTATACACGCTATTAAGACTACTACCTGCCACACCTTCGTATGAAGGCTTATATAATTGACTATTGAATAATTTAGCAGTCAGCATGATGACAGTTAAATGATTTAAATTTCGTGAAATGTTCCCCTTACATTACGTCAATTACATTTATGAACGTTCGAAGGTAAGTTGGTATCATTTCAAAAAAAATAAATACAAATTTACTTACTGCTTCCAGTTACTGACACAAGAGATACTGCAAATATACAGTACACAAAAAATCCTTGCATCTGCAATTAAAATATGGTAATAGATGTAATGTTGCATCTGAATAGCATTTAGCATTTTGTTACATAATAATTATTCAAAATCGTATTGATACACATATTATACCGCAGCAATCGTATACTCCCTTCCACACAATCGATTTAATTACAACTGCCTTTAATATCAGGTATTTAGAGGCTGCTAATTTTCATGTAGTTACAGTAATTATTTTTTCAAAAGCACAAGAAGAAAGATGAAAAGCAAGAAAGAAAGTTCCATTATTTAAATAAGAATAATTGTAAATTATGTTACAAATGGCGAACTGTTCAAGCCAAGTGCGCAAGACTGTTAAGCTTGAGCCTGCTTCTAAAAAACATTGGCATTCCGAACGTAAATAAATCAGTGAAAATTATGAAATTATTTAAGAGAACTTTAAACAGAAAATGAAGGTTTCGTCTGCTTAATGCAAGCTAAAATTTAACTGCAAAAACCAAGGAAAAGTATGAAGAATTTAGTGTATGAGTCACAAGTCAAATTTTATGACCAAAATGAACAATATCTTCTAAAAAGCAAAGTGGTAACTAGGAAAACTTTTAAAACAAACTACTAGTGAAAGTAGGCCATCACCCGAATTTTTCTAAGCACGATAAAGACGTTTTTAAACACTTTGTTTATCTTCTTATACAATCTCAATGAAAGTAGATAAGTGTGGATCTCAAATGATGTGTCGTAAATTGCTTTGGAAATTAGACTCCTCGAGATTTTATATGAAAATTTGAAAAGTACCAAAATAAAATCATTGCGATGAGTGTATCGTAAAAAAAAAAAGGCTACAAAATTGGTCTGGACAGTCATTAATCAGTTTCATAGCCGAATAACAATAACAAGAAGCGTTTTTGTGAAACACTTTAATGGATAGAAGAGGAGAGATAGGTGAGAACATTTCAAAAGAGCTTCAATGAAAAAGACGAAGAAAACAAGTGAAAACCAAAGTAGCCGTTGCCATCCCTCTGTTTGAAGGGCTACTACCTAGAGCGTGAACTTAAATGTTAAAGGTGCAACCTCAAGCGTGTGCTCGCTAGAGTACCATCCTGCAAAAAGGTTTAATCTCTATGATAAAGGAACGGATACTATCTATCAATGATATGGGAGTCTACTGTCTACCATTGATACGGGAGTGTACTTTCTACCAATGACATCGGAGCGTACTATCTACCAATGATATGAGAGTGTACTATCTACCAATGATATGAGAGTGTACTATCTACCAATGACATCGGAGCGTACTATCTACCAATGATATGAGAGCGTACTATCTACCAATGATATGAGAGTGTACTATTTACCAATGACATCGGAGCGTACTATCTACAAATGACATCGGAGTGTACTATCTACCAATAACACGGGAGCGTACTATCTACCAATGACATCGGAGTGTACTATCTACCAATGATATGGGAGTGTAATATCTACCAATGATATGAGAGCGTACTATCTACCAATGATATGGAAGTGAACTATCTATCAATGACATCGGATTGTACTATCTACCAATGATATGGGAGTGTAATATCTACCAATGATATGAGAGCGTACTATCTACCAATGATATGGAAGTGAACTATCTATCAATGACATCGGATTGTACTATCTATCAATGATATGGGAAATAGGCATGTAGCAAAATGCCTTGTCATCTAATCATAGAAACGCGCAGGAAAGTTCTAATCGATTGAGAGGATGAACTGCAAAATGTGTCGTAAATACATGGATGAGATTGATAAGTGCTCTATTTTTGTTAAGCCATTGTAATTAGAGATACGTAGAAAAATAACAAAATACAAAATATGATGCATTGTTTCCTTCCAACAGACATTATAACTAATACAAATCTGGGGAGATTGCGCAATGCTGACGTGTTTGATGATGGGGTTAAATACCGCGATCGGCATTTATGTCGAGACTTTTAGCATGATAAATGTAGAGATGTTGAGCATGATGAGTGTCGAGACTTTATGTAAGATAAATGTTGTGATTTTAAACAGCTTGTATAATAAGACTTTGAACAAGATGGCATGTCAAAAGTTCGAGAAAAATGCATGTCGAGAAAGAGATTGTTTAAATTTAGAGAAGAATTAAAAATAACAAATTTCCTGCGCATAGGCATTAACTTTTAAAAGGACACGTCAAGAAGCTTTGTTGAAATTTTGGTCACTCAATCATTTTAATCAAATCCAAACAAAAAGGGATATAAATTTAACCAGGTTCAACGATTGGAATATATATCAAGAATTATCTGATTTAAGTAATTTTTGAAATTCTCAAGTAATTCTAAATATTTGCATAATTCAAAACTACAATTGTGGCGTAATAAATTTGCTATTATGTTTCTGTTTTAGCTATATAATATAAAATCGAATTGAGTTAGAAAAAAGAACACTTTTGGCTTAAATCTTAAGCTCAATGGTGATTTTTGGGCATTAAAGGCACTTTTAACATTGTTTGGTGAACCGCTATAATTAAAAAGAAACTGCGCAATTGTTTTTCGTATTGACAGAAACGTAGCCTTATCTAATACTTATGAAAGTTTAAATGTGTACGAAGAGAGTTCTGTGTGCTACAAACTCAACAGAAAAACCTCTGTTTTTTGTTTTTAAAGTTTTGATAAAACAAAACAGTCTTGTAAATATGAATTTCATTACTTAGCTAACAAATTGTATGTTTTACATTCCTTGCTCAATATTTCTTATTCTGCTTCTTTTATCTGGGAATTGGTCGGAGTTTGCTCTATTAACATTTTCGCGCAAACTGTGTATAGCTTAAAGTGAAACTAACACGCAGGCAGCAGGAAATAATAACTTGATAAATGAAATCATGTTTTCATAAGATTTGCTTTTACTTTATTTCTTTTCATAAGTATAATCGCTCGACTTCATATAGATATATAACCGTTTAAACTAGGCAAAGATTTATGTGAACATAAATATACATTCTATAAAAAAATTCCCAAGTTGAATTCTTTAGCAACAATGATGATTATCTCAGTAAATATATCATGAAATTCATGCCATTCATCAAATTTCCCCAATTCACCTAATAGTCTATGTATGTAATAACGTCGTTATTGTTTCCAAAAGGTAAAAACAAGATCATTCCTATGCTATTAGGTATTAGTTTTACAAAGATCAATTCAAGCAAACCCGTTTCGCAAAACAAAAATTCCGATGCTGTATGTAGACACGAAATTCGTTTGAGGGCTTTTCTCACGATAGATAAACAAGAATAGGTTTGAGATAAAACTCAAGTATTTCGATGTGATTTGTTTGCGAAATTCTATGCCATTTAATAACTTAAATGACAATTACAATCTAGTTCAAGTTTATAAATTTCCATATTGGCTTTCATCGTGTAAGTGCTTCGATTAAATTTTTAAGTGACAGAACATTATAATCAATGGTTACAATGATATAAATAACGTCAATTTTACAAACCTTGACTATCTGTTTTGTTTGTATTCCACAATAAAGTAAATTCAACGTTAGCGTATTCGTTTGATGATAAATTCTTCACCTTCGATGTATGTAATGACGTTTGGGCAAGCAATTTTTTATAATTAATACGAGTTATGTAAAGCGCTTGTTTGAAAGTGATGGTTCGTTCGTCAAACACAATGACTTTTAATGACAAATATGATAAATATTTGTATTTCCTCTGAGCAACGGAATGAGTGGGCTTGTATATTTATTATATACCAACTTCGACAAAACTATGGTACTTATGGTGTTTAATTTAGTTAAAAATTAGCTTTTAAGAAATATAGTCACCAATGCAAATTGTTATATAAATATTGTGAACTTAATAACGTCACACTGCGAGCGAGAGTATTTTGTATCATCATTCAAATCTTATAGAAATCGTTTTAAAGCAGTATAGCAGTCAAAGTCCTTGGGAATTAAATGAAGAACAAAATTCCATAATATTCGATGTAACAGATGTCATGACTAAGGAGCCGGCAGATACATGCAGCGTTAGACCAAATGAACTGAAACAAACCATTAATTGAGAAATATTTAGGATGAAATTCCTAATAAATAAAGCGTTTTGACCTGACGTCATAGCGACCCTGGGAGTGAGTGTAAACGCTCATCACAAATAGCAACTTCAATTTATTCAGTAACCCTGAACTATGTAATGTTAGTAGTTTTATCAACTGCTCATAAAGTGACAATATTTTATTTTCACTACTGCACAGTTCAGGAATGTCGAAACATATGAATTATGTCCATACAGTAAACGCTGCAGTAGCTTTATAAAAGTTTGGAGATGAGAAATATTACTAAAAACGATATAAGAAGGCTAGGAAAGAGTGTAATGTAATTTTGAACGTCCATCAAAACTAGTAAATTACATAAAATGCAATTTAAAGGAATTAGCAGCAGCGCTATTTTAATGTGCTGAATATTTAATAAAATGACTGCACATGACACATCAGCACATGTGGTTAGTAATCTCAACATTTATGTTGCACAAAAAGAGCACTTGACTTATTTTGCATGACATTATAAGATACGTCACATTACGCGCATATTGACCATGGTGGCAGCAAGCAAATTGTAAAGTTTCTGAGTATGACCAAGTAACGCTAAACTGCCTAAACACAACCAGTAATTTGAAAAACATGCATAACTAATCTGGACAGCGCAGGGTCCTTGCAATGTAACAATAGCTGTTAAATAGGTTATGTAAGAATTATTATCAAAGATAATAAATGAATAAAGGTCAGAGGCTTGTTTCCACTTACCTGAACTTGGTCGTTGGAGCAATGTGAATAAAGCAATACTTTTGCTTATCATAACTGAGAGGGTGATTCAGGGACACCAAAGTTTTCACAGAGATTAAGAATACCATTGCCAGGAGAGATCAATATATCCATGTGTAGGGAGATCAGATACATTAGATCAAATATATCTGATTTCTTAAGAAGCCAGAGAGCTGTTTACCATATCATTTGTAAGATGAACTTAAAGTTGACAAAAGGGATGTGTATGTAACATAAATGAAGAGATGAAATGCAGTATTTAATAAGTTATACATTGAGAGATGTAAACCCCAGTTATGTAAGGGAAAATGTTGACCAATTCATTATCAAGAGAGTTTCGTGAAGATGGTGAAGATTACCTGAAGAGAAGTACCGCAACGACTAAGGAAGAGCGTGAAAGTAAAATGTTCTTAATGATGGAAATCTGTGGTAGAGCTTAAATTACATTAAAAATTGCTGAATTATTTTAATGTGGTGAAGATCAGCAATGCACATATCACCGAAATATATGCTTTCATTTTTAAATATATATTTTTAGCGGATGGAAGTAAGTTGATAATATAATTTGACCAATATCTCTGTTGACAAAATATGGCTGTCAATTCTGCTGGTACTGTTCGAAATCGTCGTGAAAATATCGTTAGTCAGAGAGACAAAAGTCCTGAAAAAGACAATAATCTTGTACGAAAAAGAAATAATAAAGCCGATTCTCCGATATTACCAGACGCATTTAAATGTGAAACATACTGGCTTACCAGGATTGTATTTTTAAGGTCATTAGCGTTTGTGTATTGTAAGTACAATTTTTATTCGATTATGGATTTGTTTTGTTTCTCCTGTGGGTATAAAATAAATGAGATTGCGAGTTTTTTTCGCACTTTTAGACTTTATCGCTTCTCCAAGACTCCAAGGTCTACTTCTGTTAAGTCCATCTATTCCTTAGGGGAATACCCTTAATTTACAAAAGGGAAGACATAAACACTGCAATTTTGCTTTGCCAGTTTTGAAATAGACTCACACATAAGTTATAAAATTGGTTATACTAAATTTAGGATATACTTTTGGTGATGTTATTTTCCTAGGTTCTGCTCATTCAGGATACTTTCTAAAACTTGTATTTTCTTTTCAAGTTGTTGCTTTTCTTGTGGCTCTAAATCAAAACAAACAACTGATTGGAAGCAATGGTCTTCTGCCAATTCCAAATTTCTTCAAAATGGTAAAAAATCATTTTGGTGCACAGTTTCGACTAGCATCATTTCAAGCAGTTCCTACTTTGCTTTGGGCTGTGAATCCTGAAAATATTGACTTCTATCTTGATATGGTTGCTTATGCTGGTATCCTGATCTCTCTATTTATTCTTTATTTTGGATGCAAAATATGTTTATGATGTTGACATTATGGATATTGTATCATTCATTGGTGAACATCGGACAAAGATGGTTAGTAATATATTTAATAATCTGATAAAGATTATTACATGTTATCATCAATCATTACAACATATTTTTACACATGTTTGTTGATGTTGGTTGTACATGTTAATGCAGTCCTGAAAAGATGTTCACTTTTAACTGTTTGTGTTTTAATGCTGTTGTGTAGTACGTAATGATCTTCAGAGTCAGCTGTCTTCACTTTTGATTCTGAAGATGAGTACCAATAAGAAAATTGAAACATCAGTGAACAATATAACATTAAAATTCCCTCCAGGTCTGCCCCCACCTTTAACAATCAACATCTACAATTACAGAACAATACTCCCGCATTCAAATTATTTACTTTATATTTTAATGCAGTCATTGGTGATTGTACTATCATGATAAGGATATACCGTGAAGATGCGATTAGGGATTATGGTGATATGATTAGGGAAAATAGTGTTGTTGTTAAGAAATGTGGTTGCTGTAATTGTGGTTTATAGTATTATGATTACAAAATGTGGTGTTATGATTCTAACAGAATGTAGGGATATGATTAGGGAATATGTTGTTATGGTTAGGGAGGCACTGTGTACGTGTTATGGTTAGGGAGGTACAGTGTACGTGTTATGGTTAGGGAGGTTCCGTGTACGTGTTATAGTTAGGGAGGTTCCGTGTACGTGTTATGGTTAGGGAGGTACCGTGTACGTGTTATGGTTAGGGAGGTACCATGTACGTGTTATGGTTAAATATTATGGTGATATGATTAAGGAATATAATGTTGTGGTTATATAGTATGGTTTTATCATTAGGGAGTGTGGTGTTTTGCTAGAAAATCTTATGATATGTTTATGGAGTATGGTGTTATGGTGTTATGGTAATACAAAGTTTTATAATTAGAGAATTGATATGGTGTTAGTTTTAGAAAATATTTAGGGATAATCAGAATATTTTGTGATGTTTAAAGAATATGGTGTTAAGACTAACTACATAGCATGGTATTGCTATTAGAGAGTATGGTGTTATGATCAGGGAATATAGTCTTGTCAATTCATAATGTATTTTTGAATTCATAATGTAATAATATGTTATTAAAAGGGAGCATACGTGCATGTTGTAAAATTCATAATGTATATGTTTGGCATGGCCCTTCAGATTGAGTGCTGTACATGGAAATACACATATCCTTTAATGTACATAAAATGTTTTCTTTTTTAAATTTCCACTTTTTATAAGAGAAGTTTGCCTGTGGGTGTCATCCAACATTATTTGAGAGTGCGGTATTCATGTATATTCTATTATTACAAGCTGTGAAATTATCTTATTTTGAAAGTGAAATTAACATACGTAGCATAAAAAATGAAGATGTGTCCCCCCCAATTTGTGCAGGGTTGGCGGCAATGATTGCCTGACCTTTGTAATTATTTTCTTCTAAGTATTTGTTTTAGTAAGTTTACTCACTTTAAAGTAAATGGTTTGAACCCGGGAGTATCGTTACATGTTTGTAAATGCATTACTTACAGTACTGACTATAGACAACGGCTTACATTAGAAAGTTGGTGTACCAACTTGGAACAAACCCCCCTGAACAGATCACAGCAATTACCGGCACCTTACAAACGACTTATTCACAATACAAACAAACGATCAACGAAAAACATTACACTTCACACTTATCCACAATGATAATACACATTTCCTGTACACACAATACAATGACGTAAGAACCAGATAAAAAATACGGCTAACCTGACGTTTACTCCTCATTTGACTCTAAAGATGACTACCGCTAAGGTTGTGGAAACGTCAGTCAACAACAACAAAAACAGTCCTTCTCAGGACTATACCAACCTGGACGATCATCATTTACAAACGTTTACACACTTTAGGAAACGTTTCATTGACTCAGTAAAGTTTTCTCATCACGTGAGACGTATGTCTGTACTGTCAAAAATAACACGCATTTGCATAGTTGAAAATGTTGTAATTTCATTGGGCTTATTCTCTTTTTAGGTATTCTTTTGGTATGTTGCTCGTTTAAATCATTTGGAATTTTTACGATTATGATTTTGTTCGGGCTTTCAAAAAAGAGTACAATAAAGGGAGGAGCAGCAGACTGAGGGGAACTGGATTACTTGAATTTTGTATATTTATCTTTTACTTCGTTTTCTTCCTATTTAACACGGCATGACTCATTGTAGTCTCCAGAAAACTGGTCACGAGCTAGTCGGATCATGTAAAATTATTATTATTTTGTCTTTGTGTTTTCGTCTTTGTGTGTTTCCACAATAATCTTTTCTTACTTTAGGATGGGAGTCGCAGCTTTTAGAGACAGGATTCCTGGCAATATTCCTCTGTCCAGTTGTCAAGCTTCAGCAAATTCCTGTTTATAGCCCAACCCCTGTTGTTGTCAAACTTGGATATCGTTGGCTTCTTTTTCGTATAATGTTTGGCGCTGTGAGTAGCTTCTTTATCGATTGACAAGAGGCCGCTGAAGATTAATACTTTATTTGTTCCTATTGAAATCAATTTTGATTGTGTGGAGATAAAACTTATTAATGCATATGGATATGCCTCCCTTTTCTGTGGCTGTTGTTGGCTGGGTTCGGGAATTGTATGCCTGCTAAATAGAAGTTTGTAGTAAAAGTTTGTAGTAAAATCTAACGAGAAGTATTGAAATGAAGTATTTTCTTCTTCAATCCAATCAAGGGAATGATAAAAATACGAGGTGATCAATGCTGGAGAGATTTAACTTGTATGAACTACCACTATCAGGTTTGTCAAATATAACATATGACTATGGCTGTATGCATAAAATGATGTGCAGTAAACACTCTGCTTTGGTATTCTACGAATTCTAGTGCTCAGTATACGGGCTGCATAAAAAATGTGTGCAGTATCCACTTTACCTTGATGTATTACAAAAGAGTGTAGAGTGTTTCTTTACATCGTGTGCAGTATCCACTTTACCTTGATGTATTACAAAAGAGTGTAAAGTGTTTCTTTACATCGTGTGAAGTATCCACTTTACCTTGATGTATTACAAAAGAGTGTAAAGTGTTTCTTTACATGGTGTGAAGTATCCACTTTACCTTGATGTATTACAAAAGAGTGTAGAGTGTTTCTTTACATCGTGTGAAGTATCCACTTTACCTTGATGTATTACAAAGAGTGTAAAGTGTTTCTTTTATCGTGTGAAGTATCCACTTTACCTTGATGTATTACAAAGAGTGTAGAATGTTTCTTTACATCGTGTGAGTATCCACTTTACCTTGATGTATTACAAAAGAGTGTAAGTGTTTCTTTACATCGTGTGAAGTATCCACTTTACCTTGATGTATTACAAAAGAGTGTAAAGTGTTTCTTTACATCGTGTGAAGTATCCACTTTACCTTGATGTATTACAAAGAGTGTAAAGTGTTTCTTTACATGGTGTGAAGTATCCACTTTACCTTGATGTATTACAAAAGAGTGTAGAGTGTTTCTTTACATCGTGTGAAGTATCCACTTTACCTTGATGTATTACAAAAGAGTGTAAAGTGTTTCTTTACATCGTGTGAAGTATCCACTTTACCTTGATGTATTACAAAAGAGTGTAGAGTGTTTCTTTACATCGTGTGCAGTATCCACTTTACCTTGATGTATTACAAAAGAGTGTAGAGTGTTTCTTTACATCGTGTGAAGTATCCACTTTACCTTGATGTATTACAAAGAGAGTGTGGAGTGTTTCTTTATATCGTGTGAAGTATCCAACCTATCTGGATAAACTAATCACAGTACCCTACTTTAAAGTGTAATGAATTGCATGCAAGCCTTGCTGTACGGACGCTACGTTGATGAACACCAATACAACTTTATGATAAAGTATAACTGACTCCATATCTGTTACGAAATCATTTCTTTTGTTTAGACACAACCTGTTCCCAATCCTCTGAGCTACTATTTTCATCAATCGCCGGAAATATTTCATAAATTTGAGACATTGTCAAACCATTTTATTGAGCTCATTGCTCCTTGGTTTTTACTGATACCAGGACGTCCTACGATGTTGTGTGGAACGATACAAATTGTCTTTCAGGTTTGTATGTAATAGTCACCATCTTTATTTGTTTGTAAATAGGTCCAAGAATTTTACCAGTATCATTTCATCTTATCTGAAAGACTCTTTTCATTTCATGTTTTAGGTTCATTGATTTTAGAATGTAGATTTAAATTTTTATTGTTGAACAAATTTCTGGAACGTTTTTGGTTTGCTGCATTGAAAACTCTTCTTTACTTTCACTCTTCTTTTAATGGAGTAAAGACTCTAAAAGGCTTTTAACCTTCTCGCTTGAACCCTTTATTTGACTTTCGTAACAATTAAATCATGGCAGACTGTCAAAGGAAGGTTTTCCAAGGCAGCTGTAGTTCGTTTGATTCCATGTAAATGTGCTGCGTGTATTGGAAAAAGCCGCATAAGATATTTCATGAATACAAATATTTGTCGTTTTTTTTTAAACTTTTAGGTTGTTCTAATTCTCAGTGGAAATCTTAGTTTCCTCAACTGGCTGACAATACTACCAAGTATCATGTGTTTTAATGATCATAATCTTTCATCACTTTTCTCTACCACATCCTTTGCAAGACAGGAAGTAAATCGACTAAACAAACTCATTCATGAGGGTAAATCACCAAAAGCACCAAAAGGTAAAAAACCTGGAACTTAATGGCTTTTTTTCTTCAAAGCTTTTGTTTTAGCAAGTTATCGCTCTTTAAAAAGCGTTTCATTGGTTTAGCAATATTTAGACTGGAAATGACAGGGCAGCGCAGGATCGATATTTCGGGGGGGGGGGATATCCATATATTCGTATGTTTTAATCCGTGTTAATCCAAAGCACAATTGATTTCAATAAGAACTACTAAAATAGAACCCCCCCCCCAATTGTCGATCTTACGCGGTCCCTGAATGAATGTTTTGAAAAATTCGAGTTTAGTCGCCCGAAAACAAAAGCGGAGCCAATAAATCATTCAGAAATCATGCCCATTACGTTCCACCAAGCATGATGGATGTATCTATAAGAGCTTATACGATGTTTTGTATATTTTCCCATGTTTGTAAGAGATCGTGTTGGAATTCACTATTTTCATGTTCTTGTAAAGAAAGTTCTTTTAACATATGCGTACAAATTATGTTTGGTTCGTCGTAAAACGACATCTTATCTTTCTTCTGAATGTTTGAAATAAATGTGGATGGAATATATCTTATCTTCATTTTACATTTTTTCCATTCAGTTGTTTAATTTGCGCCCCTAAATTTTCTTACATTTAAAAAGACATCTTTTATTGTTTCATGTTAAACGTTTTTCTTTGTTATTTGACAAGGTCTTCATATCAGATGGATTGTTGAAGTCTTTCTTGGTTTGTTGTTGGTTTTTCTCAGTATTCCCGTTGTTCAAAATCTCTTTTCGTCTCGTCAAGTTATGAACACTTCATTTGAAACGCTTCGTATTGTCAACACTTATGGAGCATTTGGAAGGTTAGTGATATCGCAGGCTCAGTAATTTGTGCTTTACAACTTAAAAGAAACAGGAGGAAGAGAAAGACTGGGGAGAGTCTGGCCGTCCAAAACACTTTTGTGTGTGTGGTTACATTTTATATTTTTGTAGCTAGTTTTTAAGACTTAGTTTATTTTCTGTAATATGTGTTGTTGTGCCTGGTGATTAGATGCTTTTCTATAGGATGCACATTTTAGTTTCTAAGACACTTACTGTAAAGGTTGTTTTTTATTTGAACAAACAATTTCTTAAAACCGTCCCGTTTATTAAGTTATAGCAGTATTGGCATGGCCATCGATAAGACGTTTGGACGGCAGCTTGGTAAGAATAATTGAATGAAGATATGATCTTCGCACTTTGCTGGACAATTTAAGCAATTGTCTCATAAACCTGAAAAATTCAGGTGACTCATTTTTCAGGTTTATGAGACAATTGCTTAAATTGTCCAGCAAAGTGCGAAGATCATATCTTCGATCAATTTCAAAACACCGCACTGCATATAACAATCTTGGTAAGAATAAAACATTAAGAAAAACTGAATCATACTTTTTGCCAATCCAGTGTGTTTATCGGTCACGATTTTGGCGGAGAAAAATCTCATATAGTGTTTGAAGAATTTATTTTAATTTCATACTATGCTGAGCATCGGCATTTTGATGTACTCCTCCAACATGGCTGCCATGACGTCACGTGCAAACACTCTGTAAGATAAACCAAATAGTTTACCAAATGAGGGAAGTACCTGTGACATAAAGAAAATATTCTCAAATAGCGTCCACGGTAGCAATCTCTTGAAATTTACATGTACTTATGTTTTGTTTAAAGGCAACTTACTTGTTGTAGTGTGACAAAAGAACGGACGGAGATAATTCTTCAAGGAACAAGGAATTCGACTGTCCACGGTAATGATGTTGTTTGGCGCGACTATGAGTTCAAATGTAAACCTGGTGATGTCATGAGACGTCCATGTTTCATTTCACCGTATCATTATCGTCTTGATTGGCTAATGTGGTTTGCTGCATTTCAAGTAAGAACCATTTTGTTTTTGTTGATATGACAGGATTTTGTAATGGAAGTGGGTTGAGATCCGAAGCGATTACTAGAACTTTATTGAAAAAATTCGAATGTGACGTTCTAAAACCGACCTGCATTTTGCAGTTTTGACTCCGCCTTTGTCATTTTTTTGCACTGCATGATTTTAAAGTAAATGGTTTGAACCGGGGAGTATCGTTACATCAAGTCACATGTTTGTAAATGTCGATCGTCCAGGTTGGTATGGTCCTGAGAAGGACTGTTTTTGTTGTTGTTGACTGACAAATGAAGACATCTTTTTGACTCTGAAGATGACCACCGCTAAGGTTGTCGAAACGTCAGTCAACAACAACAAAAACAGTCCTTCTCAGGACTATACCAACCTGGACGATCTACATTTACAAACATGTTATATGATTTTTCTTAAAATCAAAATCAATTTGACTTTTCATTTTTCTAACTTTTTGTTTTCAACGAAAGCAATTCATGAAACAATTCTTGTTTGAGATAGAGAAAGGATATGGGAGATGTTTATTTAAGTCAAGAAACGTAAATAATGATGCTGAATCGATCACTTCCCTTGAAGAGTAGAATATCTTACCACATTGTGTTTTTTCACATGTTATTGTACTATGCATGCTGAATATTCTACCTGCTTATCGAGAAACTTTTTCACAAAATTCGTTTTTTACTTTGCATGCTGAATATTCTACCTGCTTATCGAGAACTTTTTCACAAATTCGTTTTTACTTTGCATGCTGAATATTCTACCTGCCTATCGAGAAACTTTTTCACAAAATTCGTTTTTTACTTTGCATGCTGAATATTCTACCTGCTTATCGAAAAACTTTTCACGTTTTTTTACTTTGCATGCTGAATATGCTATCTGCTTATCGAGAAACTTCACAAAATTCGTTTTGTATCAAAGGTAAAAATCTGCGCAAATATGATTTGACGAAACATATTTAGCAAGACATCAGATTGTTCAGACTAGAGCATTGTTTGTGAGTATATATACTCTGCTCTGCCCGACTAATTGGGTTGTGTGAATAAACTGGACAAACACTTTGGTACATACTGAGACGTATGTGAATAAAATTATAAAGCCAAAGAAAACTGAACTGAATAAAAACAAGGCATTAAATGGTTAAACTTTTATAAACGTTGACTCCTACATAGTACATAGCAAAGTATACTCATTTCAAATAACATATCAATGGGTATCCTTTGCTTACCTAGCTGAAGGAAGAAGCACTAAGGTTATGTGCTAGTATATTCTTTACATTATAATACAATCATACTATTTTTTAATGTTATTTCTAGAAATTTGAAAAATCTCATTTTTTTGCTCAGGCTTGAAAAAACACTTATCTTTGTTTGGATCACCCATTCATAATGAAAAACTAAGAATAGAAATTTATGACGTTGTCTTCGATCTTTTATCACATTTTAGTACATGGCAATCGTCATTTCCGGCAAAATAGCGCTTTGATTGGCTCAGAAACATTTTTACCGGTACATTATTTTCTGTAATCGACCACGGTCCAAAACGCGTAATTTTACTGTCAAATTTAAGCTAACTTCGTAAAGCAAACAGCAAAACGCAAGAAAAACAAAACAAAAAACCATTTACGAATGTGAGTCGAGGGAAAAACACTTGGAAAGCAGTTAAACTATCCAGACGATACAATTTGAAACGATTTATTTTTTACTGACGAAAACTAGAAAAGTGAAAGTCAACCCGTACAAAACAGCAAGGACGAGAAAGAAAGCAACTTCGTTTCAGGTCATATAATAATCCTTCTAATAACTTCGCTTTTTTAGTCTTTACTGAAAAATATCGGACCTCTGTCTTTGTACAGATCTCGCTCGGTCTGTACAAAAGACTTCGGTCAGATATTTCTCCGTAAGGATCTCGCGCTTGGTTATTAAGGGTTTATTACCTTTCAATGTTTAGGAAATTTAAAGTTATGTGCTGACGCAATTAAGGCGTCAACTTGCTTGTTGTTTAACCGACATATTGTTGCGTACTTTGAATTTTTTCTGCCTGCATGTTTTGGAAATTATACATAAAGTTTTGCGTAGAGCAATTTATGACGTCTAAGATGACGTCAGTAGACAAATGAGCGTTCCTGTGGCTATGCTATCACATCATAGTCGATTGTCTTGTTGCATGTTTCGGAAAGTTTTGAGTAAAACATATTATGTGTTGTCATGTTTACGTGCTTTTAGTTCGTTTGACTCTCGCTTTATGTTGTCTTAATTGCTTGTATAGGAAATGTAATTATTGTAGAAACGGATGTTTTTATCGCGTCAACAGTGACTTGTAAAAGCCTTTTTCTTCGAAAGCTTTTTCCGCCTTTTATAAAAATAGTTTTCCTCGCTCTTTTTGAAGTTTATGTTCACTTGTCACCGTTTTAGTACGACCAAAGAATTCACAACTGTCGATTCGAGCGACTTGGCCCACTAGGCATAATGTCGCCATTGTTATAATTACTCATCACTAAATAGCCTCCGCAATAAAGAAGCTCTCCGCTTCTTAGCATAAGACTGTAGCGAACACGGAAGGTTAATTTATAACCTCTTTATTTGATTGGATAACGATCGCGTTTCCTCATATTTTAACATAAATTAAATTCGACTTTACGTGCCATTTTTTTCATTATTTATAACACGGCACCAGATATCGCGCAATCTCTTATCATTGATTTACTTCGTTTTTGCACTTAAACAAAAGTTGAATTGTTCAAGTCTAAGCAGGTTTAGTAAAAAGAGAACAGCAGAAAAATTCTGTAGCTACTTTAACGGAAGTCTTAAAGCGCTTGTCGAAAAGGTTGTTACATAACAATTAGCTTATTAAAAACTTTGCGGATAGTAATTTTTCATTCATTTCACTCGCGTGGAATAACTGTTCTGTGATATTCGTTGTTGTATAAATTGGGTTTAGTACATAATATTGTTTGAATAGATTTAATTTTGAACCGAAACTCTACGTGAACTGTCAATTCGTCAACTTTATGAAAGCCTAATTTTGCTCATTACTTTCTTACAATATTTATGAAGAAGAACCTTAAATTAAAAACAAAGCTAAATCAATGACATTTTGTAACAATATCTATAGAAAATATAGAATAGTTGTTTGCCTTGCATTGAATTTACACCAATTAAGTTCATTTTTCTTAACCGTAAGCCAATTTGAACACTTGAACTTTTCAACTTTGTACTCTTTGTGCTATTTCTAATTGTTGAGCTGTATGTGATGTTTCTGTGTGATCAATTTTATTAATAATAGATAAGAAACAAAGGGGCACATCTTTTTTCTTTTTAGAGAATTCAAGATAACCCGTGGTTGATTCATCTTACTGCTAAACTTCTCAACAACGATCCTGGAGCAACATCACTCATAGCAATAAATCCTTTTGAAAATGGTGATCCTCCTAGGTTAGTACGTCATTAGGGAAGTCACCATGTAGCTTTCTTAGTGGAAAACTAATGTCCGTGTGAAAAATTTGTCGATGTTTTAATATTGCTGTCAAAATTGGACTTTTGAATTTAGAGCTTCACACGAGTTTATTAAAAAGCATTACACATGCAATTGTAATGCAAGCTTCAGTGCCAAAATTGATTATTAAATTGTGCCATGTATTTAATTCGCCAATTTCATAAAAAAAAGTTTAATTTGAAAGAAGCACAAAGACTCTTACGCCAAAAGATGTCAGCACAAAGACTCTTACGTCAAAAGATGTCAGCACAAGACTTTGACCCCATGTTCTTTTGTTTTCTGAGATAATTGAGTGTCTAGCACTACAGGTGTTGCGAATGTTGCAAGTTTCCTTTCATTCCCACTGATATTTTTACTTGTGATAATCTTAATGACTATTTTTTTTGTACAGGGCGTTACCAAATCATTTTTTTCACTCGTTGTAACAATCAACTTAGATAAATGACTCACATAAAGAAATGAAGTTTTGTTCTTTTTCGTCATAATATAATTTAAGTTTGAGAACTTCCCTTCGGATTTTAAAGGGAGTTCTTATGAAAATATGAGAGCCAAACATTTCATTTCCAATCGAGCCATTTTGGTTTTGTCGATGAGCACTAGATAATCGTAATTTGCGATAAGAAATCTGAAAATTTAAATGATATATTGTTATTAACAATATTTTATCCAGGTATATTCGTGCTGAACATTATCTATATGAATTTACAAAGATTGGCGACAGTAAAGCAGGTCAAAGTCAATGGTGGAGTCGACGATACATTCGGCCTTATTTTCCTCCAATTTCGTTAAAAGATCTCAGACAATATATGCAAAGTCAAGGTTGGAAAATTCCTGATTACAAGAAATAAAGTATTACATCCAAAAAAAAACATTCGTAAATTCTGTAATCTTTAAATTCTTATTGTACAATGCTCAAAAGAATACCAATATCAACAATCGCTGAACCAAAAATTCATCTTTAACACAAAAGTCGGCTAACGCACAAATTGAAACTTCATTACTTTGAATCTTGAAGACTTGAATTGATTCAAAACAAAAATCGCTAAAATGCAAGGGGAATTTCTGTATTCAACAAATTGCTTTTTAAAAATTATTGTACAATTTAGTTGGCAGATACATTTACAATGCTAGGTTACTTAAAAATTTTTGAAATGAATCAAAAACCTGAGTTCGACATGAATTTGGCCAACGCTAAGCTGAATCTTGATTACCTGGAATTATGAATTGAATGATTTTAAAATTTAATATTTCTATATGGAAATAGCTGAAGTGGAAGATGGATAAATTTTAACTAATTTCTTTTCAATAACTTTTCTGCGACATAGTTGGCAACATTCAGGAGATATTTCCAATGCTTTTTCCATATGATACGTTCCTCTGATTTTTGTTGTTTTGTTTTGATTTCTCAGTATCACGTGAATTTTATAAAACTAACGCGCTATATCTATCTCAACAATTTTAAGTATGACACCGTAATGCCAGCTATCAGTGCTTCAGCAGCTTACAAACAAAGACCTTTCAATAAAAATATGTAGCCGACACAGTGTGTCGGCTATTTAGTTGTCACTATTGCCAACATAAACATTGACGTTGGCATAGCTGTTCGCCTTGTATGATGTAAAGGTTATGTTTGTACCTTCATCATAATTATGAGAAGTCAGCATCTTCGATGGATGTACGCAAAGATGTGAAGATTTTTTTGTAAGTTTTAATTTTGATTTGTCATCAATAAACACAATAATAAAACTGAATAAAGTTCATAATGCAGACAGCAATGTTATTTAAAATACCACAGGCGTATAGAAGACGTTTATTTAGTGTGCTTGAATTGTACATACTGCTCTATTTTATCAAAGCTCTATCGATTTCTGGTGACAAAAGCATGAGTTTTATTGCTTTCTGCGCTTCAATAGTTGAATTATAAATAGTCTGCACTATAATTTGAAAACGAGACAGCAATTATACATATTGCAGATTTGGGTTTGACAATCCGTTTTGCAATTCGAAATACATATATGGTTATGACAATATTTGTACTGTAAGGTTATCGAGCAAGAGTTGATCTTATCGAGCAAGAGTTGATCTAATCGAGCAAGAGTTGATCTTATCGAGCAAGAGTTGATCGTATCAAAATTCTTGACTTTCGCTTTGAGCCTGATGAGCAATCCATATTTTCGTCTCATGATTACGACAATCCAGTATGACTAAAGTAGACTGGTAAAGTTTGAACTTCATTGTTCAACAGGATCTTTTCAACGTTATAGACTATCTAACATCACTGCAGTTTGGTTAGGTTTGCCTTAAATGCGCTATGTACGCGCTTGTAATCTAGAGAACATATAGTTGTGGCTATTTTCATATAATATTCTTGAGTAAAGTCCATCACAGAATTTAAATTTAGCTTATTCCTCTTAAGAAAACATTTTATTCAATTGATAGAGATGATGAGCATCGAGTTCGTGTTTCTTTATTGTTTAATGATGTGTAACTAAAACAACAAGTTAAAGAGTGGGAAAATGAAAGCTTTCCTTGGAGTGTTGGACATGAACTTGCCATGAGTTTTTTTAAGGTATTTACAAATATGATCAGTTTTTTTTTCATCGGACATTATTGATATATTTGAGTACATTGAACATGTTTGAGCAAAGCATTTCTTAATTTAACTTAAAATATAAAGCCATTGCCATGTCACGATAATGCTACGGGTCAATGGAAATACTATTTTAAAAGGTAATTTTTAAAATATTTGAATAATTAAGACACGGCATTCATGAATGAATTAACTAGGCGTTTACCAAGACGTCACCATTTAAAACTCGCTATTAAATCATCAATCCCCTTGCAAATGATGACAGAAACAGAAATTATCAACATCGACAACTCTGGGATTATTTCTCTCTGAGTTTTGTCTTTGTGCACGTTAAGTCTTTATAGATTTAGGAGAATTTATGTCTTAGATGTGCTACAGTCGCTTTATTTTGTATTTTTAACCTGACTGGAAAAGCATACGGTGGACAGTCGAAATAAACTTGTCTTCAAAGTATTGAGGTTTTCATTCATGAAAAGAAGATTCATTGTACACCTTAACATTTGCCGATCGAAACTCACGAAAAAAGCTCGCCAATATTTAAATGTTTTTCTTATTTTCTATGATTTTTTGAAATTATTTAAAGTGTCAAGAATAGAGCCTTATCACAGAACAGATATCTTAACAGAAGGTCCACTCGTGTGGGAATCTTTGATGTTTGTGTCCCCTACTTTTCTGAAGCAAATTCTTAGGAGACACGCCTTCCAGCAATAGAAAATATAGTTGTTTTTACAAATATATCGTTTTGCAAAACAAAAGCTTGGAACCTTATCGTCATCGCAAAACGAAAACATTTTCTAAAAATTTTGGCAAACTGTTGCTTTAAATGTGAATTATTAGTAAAATAGCATTCTCGTGCAATACTATTCCATATTGTTTTTGTAAAAGTATCTTGCTGGGAAGTCACGCATGCGTAGTGAAAAAATACGCCACGATTTTAGCCGAGTGGGCCTTCTGTTAGATGTCTATTCTGTGGCCATATTATGGGAGAAGCATAATCAGATTATATGGCCACAGAATAGACCAGATGTTTGATCAGGTGAATCAAACATCAACAAGCTATAATTGAACGGTACTGAAATTCATAATTAACCAGCTGGTATGATTGAAATGTTATCTTGTTGACTAGTTGACGGGTTTGTTTTGAGGTTTTAATAACAACGATAAATAATACTACGTTATTTAATAAACATGCAACTGAACTGAAGTAATCTTAAGAGAATATATACATGTTCATAAATATCTAAACGAGGAGAGTAAATTTAAAGTACAGCGAACTTTTTGTGGCTTTAATTGATGCTCATTATTAAAGAATTTCCGGATCTTCTCACACTTCAGTAAAAATAGATTTTTTTCCACTCAAAAAACGAGTACAGTGGCCGGGTTTACTTCTGAGTAGGATGACTATTCAAAAACGTTTCATATAACAATTCAACAAAAAATTCTGAGAACAATCGAAAGATACAACTATGTCAATCCCTCAATTTATTCAATTATTTACAGCTGTAGACCTTACTTGAAAAAAATGAAACAGATTTAACATTTTTTAAACAATTTTTTTCTTATTTATGTCAGAATAGAGGAAAATCATTCACCTTTCGTCAACCTTGCCTTAAACCTTTCTCATCATCACTTTCAACCTTTTCAACGCCATACTTACCATCTGCAAACCTCATCGCTATTATTCAGCACATATAGACATCAAACTCATCATCACTTCTTCTCGACTTCAGTTTAGGAGGAAACTTTATGAGCCCGTGATCATAAAGGTAGTACATCAGAAGGTTTGTATGTCTTATTTTCGACCAAGGCAAGTATCACTTTAAAAGGTAAGTTTTTATTCATTCCCTAATATTACGTGTAATGTTTTAACTTTCAGCTCGGACTTTCACACGAAATAAATCGGTTTTTGTGAGATTTTACCGGTTTATTTTTCGGCATCGAGATGAACTAAGACTAAGATTAACGGCAGCGGTTGAAAATAGTTTGTTTTTGTGAGATTTTTCAATCTATTTTCGAGAAAAACTGCTGCGCGAAATCTTAAACGTCTTAGCTAAACATCTCTTCGGTTGATAATTTGTGCAGGTATCGCAAAAATTGCGAGTCGCCCACAAATTTACTGTCGGAACGCGTGCATGCACTTGTTTTACAGAAACAAGTGCGCTTTCATTTTTCAGTTTTAGCAACATTATACTGTATTCGCTAGTGATTGTGGGAAGGATTTATTTGATTGTTTCTATGTTCACGTGCAGTTACACTCTCTAAATATTTCTAATTATTTTTTCTTCAGATGAAAATGAATGTATGAATGAAACATTAACGAACTGTCCTGTTAATTTTGATTGCGTGGATACAATTGGATCGTTTGCATGTGTTTGCAGAGGTCGAATACTGGACGGAGACTGTATAAGAGAAGGTTATAAATTATTGTTATATTGACTAGCCTAGTTTCTTGTTTGTTCTACAGAGGAATACATTGATTTTTTTCAATGTTCTTACTTGTAACAATCATGTCATAGCTTTCATATAAGTCTGTCTACATTAAAATTACCTGTGTCAGTGTGTATGAAAACTCCTCTTTTCTTGTGTTTTTTAATTTCTTGAGATTCTTTATTAATCATCAGTTTATGTAGATTCATGACATGATCAATTTTTGTGTAGCCATCCTATCATTTTAGTCAAGCTTCATGTATAGAAATTCAGGTCAAATATAATCTTTACATTTATTCTTTGCAAAAGGAATAGCAAAGAATTCTTTGTTATGCATTAGCAATAAATTATACTATATAGTAACACCCATGATAATGCTTACATTAAATGATAAAACACACTGCAAAAAACATCATCTTGTGAACTCAAGATTCGAGTCATAACAGCAAGAGACAAGATTTAAAGCAACACTTTGACTTTTTTTGAGTTTATATGACTTTGAAATAAAGTCGAAATATTGAGTTTACAAGATGATGTTTTTGTTTGAAGTGTGTTTTATAATTTATTTTTCAAAATTGTCAGCTGGAAATGGATAATACTTACATTCCTCCTGATTAAGTTCTTAGCAAGTTATCATTAATAAATCAATTATTAACTGTCTCTAAATTATGCATTAATATGTCAACTTTGTATTCTAAGGGTGTTTTTCTTCGCAGGTTTCGTACGCTATCATATAGAGTTGACTGTAATTGAGCCATTCAATTTATCCCTATGCATTCAGAACAGTACAGCATTTGCAGAATTTCAGACAAGATTCAATGAATCGGTGTGTAAAGGAAACACTCTTTATCTATTATTTATTAATGCAGTGGTAGTATGGTCTTGCACTACGGTCTTGATTAAGCAAAAAGCCTGTGATTTAAAACATATTTAGTGGTAATTGATGAGCAATGAAAATTTTACGTTTAGATCCAAGTAGTTTATGCCGGTGATCCAAGTTTTGTCAGCGTTAAAATCAATGAATTGAGGTAAATGAATAAGACACCGTTATATATAACTGATAAATTTTCCAACATTTTCTCTTTTTACGTTCTTACTGCATATGACCATTTTAAATCACCGAATGCTTCAAATGTTTCTATCATGTTTGAAGTGGACACAAATAGAAAATCATCATTAAGACATACTAATCATCTTATTAATCTTCATACTCATCATTATACTAATCATCTTACTAATCATCATTAAGGCACACTTGTATTTCCAATTAATTTAGTAGCAAGAATTTCAGCTATTTGCCACAATAGAAAATACTTTCGATATTCAAAATATTTTTGTCTCTTTACTCATATTTGAGTCAAAATATTTTTGTCTCTTTACTCATATTATAATTTATATGTGATCAATTGTTCATCAACTTATCTCACTTTTTATGCATGCTAATACTTAACGCTGTTAAAGCACTGTGGATTAAACCATGAATTTTTTAAATGTTCACCAATCTAATTGTCCATAATATTTTATACTCAACTATAGAGATGGAAAAAATGACAAGGTCATTATTGATGCTTACATGACGTATCGAGTTCCTGATTCACTCAATTTGCTGTTTGAAGCAGTTAGAAATAATTCATTGCCAAATTTTAATGTCAGCAATAATGAGCTGAGGGTTGTCGTAACAGGTATGTCGTTATATGTAACAGGTATGTCGTTGTATGTAACTGCTATATGTTGTTGTATGTACCAGTTTTGTCATTATATGTAACAGGTATGTCGTATTTAACTGCTGTATGTTGTTGTATGTACCAGTTTTGTCATTATATGTAACAGGTATGTCGTTGTATGTAACTGCTGTATGTTGTTGTATGTAGCATTTATCAGGTATGTCACTGCATGTAACAGGTATGTCGTTTTGTATAACAAGTATGTTGTTATATGTGAAAGGTATGCTATTATATGTAGCAGATATGTTGTTCTATCTAACAGGTATATTGTTGTATGTAACAGATGTGTTGTTGAGTAGAACAGGCATGTTGTAATATGTAACGTGTGTGTTGTTATATGTAACGTGCGTCTTGTTGTATGTAACTTGCGTCTTGTTGTATGCAAAGGGTATGTTGTTATATGTAACGTGCGTCTTGTTATATGTAACGTGTGTGTTGTTATATGTAACGTGCGTCTTGTTGTATGCAAAGGGTATGTTGCTATATGTAACGGGTGTGTTGTTATATGTAATGGGTATGTTGTTACATCTAATATGTATGCCGAATCTCTACATCAGTAATCCACAAGTAGCAAAGTATAGCTCAATCATTAAAATCCTTTGATGTCCTCATTGAATGAATTGGGAATTTTTTATTGTACCAGTGGTAGGATACAGTGAGATATTGTAAAAAATATGCGTATGATATGCAAAACAGTTACATTTTTTTATTTTAATTAAAAATATACAGGAACGTGCGCATTGTCAACATGTCCTGCTAACTCAACCTGTCAAAGATTAACACGTAGAACTTATACATGTCCGTGTGAAGATGGATTCTATGCAGATGGATTCATCTGTACTGGTAATTATACAATTAAAGTTCTTTTAAAATGAGAATTATAAAAATAAAACAGCTGAATTCGTAAAAGGTAAACGTCACTATGACTTTGTCCTTACCGCTGGATGGTCTGCTCGCTGTTGCGACACAAATATTTGCCATTGTATTTTATACTTATAGTACATATCGTCGTAAAACTATTTATTATAAGAGTTTTGGATTAGATTCCATTAATATTTTGTAAAGTTTTGGCTTGATTGAAAGAGATGATTGATCAAAAACGGATTAAAGCGTTTCTGACCTGTTCAATAAAATGAACACAAATGTTCTGGGAGTCGTGTTTAATACACGTGCAATACTCGAGCCGTTTGCACAAAATACGACAGTATTGTACTGAAAATGGTAAATAATAAATGATCATAATACATTAACCTAAGGCTCTTAAGCACTTCTTGAAGGATTTGGGCGCGAACTTGAAATGAATTTAAAACAGTGAATTGAAAGCGTTTCCTAGGCTTGAACTAAATGAGTAGTTCGTATAATTTGTGTATTTTCATATGGATTCCAGCAGCTTATATAAAATATCCATTCATGGTGACTTTGATTTTCCTCGACTATTGGAAACCACTGAATAAAATTATTATTTTAACCTTACTTATATCTGCTAATTGCTTCAACTTTTCAACATTCTGCTAAAATCACTTCATTACGTTATTTTTTTTAGAATTGGTCAATGTTAATGTTCAATTAACAATTGCAAGGGAATTTACAACATCGTTAGGAAATTCAAGTTCACAAGAATTTATGGATTTACAAACATATTTGCGTCAAGCGGTAATTACTGAAAGCGTTTCAATTTTGCTAATATTTTTATATCTTAAAAAAGTCAAAATTCAGCGGTATTCAAAAATCATTTATTTCACAAAATTTGTCGTTTTCTTTTGTTTCCATGTCGTCCTTTTGTATATTTTAGCAAAACAAAATCAAAAGATAGTTATAAAATCTATATTTATCAATATCATGTTTGTTTAGTAGGAATGTGAACCAATGCCATACAACCACAGGTTATCCATGAAAAAATATAAAATGGTCAACTATAACTGCTAATATCATATATTCGATGTCGGATCCCTATAACCGATTTAAATAAGTTTTGTTCCGTTCGTTTTTTTAATCACCGATTTCCGTGTCTATTAAAGTTAAACGTCGTACAAAAATTTCGTACATGCAAAATGAAATAAGCGTGGTGCATTTCAAGAAATTGATGCTTTATTCAAGCATTTTTGGCTTTATTTTACATTTATTTGAATTTGATAATCATTTTGACGTATCTACCGACGAAAATTGTTGTTAATGCGCAGCCAGAGAATTGTGTAGGTGTTTTTATGTAGTGAAATTTTTATTTTATTATATGCATGGACAAACATGACTTTTTTTAACCATAATGGTCTTACACCAGCATGCTCTCCAATAAAACACATGAAAATTTCTTGCGAAAAAAGCTTTTGCTTAAGTGAATTCTATCTAGGTACTGATTGTCCATATTTTTAAGAAAAAGCACTACATGTTAGCTATTTATCAGGGAAGGTAGCTAAAACATTTTAACATAATATTTTTATTTAGCTCACACGACAATTTCAAGATACGCCCAACTTTCAAGACATAAAGATTTTGCGATTTAGGTAATTTTTAACCATTATAAATGAACTGAACGGTTTTTGCAATTACCTATATACAGGAAAGATCTACCCTTCTCATTCCAGGCAAATGATGTTGGAAGCTCGCTGTGAGTTTAATTGTGAAGCTTTATACATTTTTCTTTATTTAACCAGGAATGGTTCCACGATTGTGGATTTCAGCGTTCGCTATCGTAGGGATCCATCACAAAATGTCAAAGTAGCTGTTGCAAATACATTGTATGAAAAGATCACTAAACCAGGAAGAATTGGAAATTTTACTGTCGAAAAAGCCGAAATCGATGGTAAGAAAACGAAACACTTTGAAATTGTGCAAAAAGTGTTTTCATCCGATAACTGCAGTTTGATGAAAACCATTGCAATCAAAAAATGTCTATTGTAAGCATGATCAATTATAATGAGTAACTACATCAAGAATCAAACGATTCATATTACAAAGTTATTACATTTTGAGAAACACTTAGAAGTATAATATAACACATGAATATAACACATATAGTTCCCCCCCTTTTGTACAAATATTGTGGGGGGAGGGGTAAAGGAAATTGAAAACTTCTCATCTACTTCCATATAATTGTTACAGGTACACCTCCATCACCACAAGGTTTAATGGCAACAGGTGTAGCAGTGACTTCTATAAACGTTACTTGGCAGCAGCCGGATTCTTTTAATGTATTTGGAATCAAGCACTACCGAACTCGACTTAATCCCGCGAGGGGTATGAACGAAAAAAACATTACTGCGACAATGGGTACAAACAATGCTACGTTTCAAAATTTATTGGATAATACATCTTATGCAATCTCAGTTTATGCTGTCAATGATGATGGAGTAGGAGATGTGGCTATGATTACAGTGACCACAAATGAAGGTAAACCCTTTGACAAAATGCAATGAAATTGAAAAAACTAATGAAATCTAAGTTCAAAATAGTTTACACGCAAAAATTTGTGTTGAAAATTTTGCCTTTATAAGTTAACCAATTACAGCTGGTGAACTGATAATGAAAGACAAATTTCACTTGCCAGGAAACTTAGCAAAGATCTCTTTTAACTTGTAATCATTTATACCTAAAGTATATTTTTAAAAAAAATGTATTCTCGAACACGTATCAAATATTATTTAGTACCAATATAGTGATCAGTTTTAATAAAGAATTAAAAAGTTGATAGTAAATTTGATAATAAATTTGATAATAAATTTGAGAAAGCGTAAGCAGGTTTTAATCTACTGGAGCCACACATAAAAACGCAATTTTAAGATATGTCAATTAGAAAAGAATTAAGAATAAAATTTCCAATCTATGCATTACAAAAACATCTGTATTGTTCCTGATAATGACATCCAAAAATTTATTTGAAAAAAAATTCAATCATTCTCGATTTTCACAAGATAAGATAGTAAAAATATATTTCATGTCACAAACAAAAAAGTATGCACTTGTAGCTATAATAGTCTACAAATTAATAAAAATAATGCGAGGATAGCTACTGACTACTGAGGAGTTGTGTATCACGGACAAAAATTCACAAATGCATTTGTTTGTTACTTCATGTAACCAACTTCACGACCATGGATTTTTTATGCATTACTAAAATATATTTATTTTTTCTTTACTTTACTAAACAATAGATGTAAACGAATGTAGCAATAGTGCATTGTTCACGTGCCCTGAAGGCTTGCGCTGCGTAAACACTCTTGGCTCCTTCAGATGTATTTGCGAAGGTGTCTTGGGCAGCGATGGAAGTTGTACAAGACAAGGTAATGTTTAAAATTATTGCTGGCTACATCTACATAGCTACGAAACAACCAATCTTTTTTGAAATAAGAATTTCTGTAAATTTAGCAGTTAAGGGTTAGTGCAAAAATCGTTCTTCTCCAGGTTTAACAATTGCGAGATATCACCAGCGGTAGAATTGTTAAGTGGTGAGGCAGCTGTTATAAAAATTTGCGATTTGTCCAAAATTTGATATTTAGATTGATCGGAATTTGGGTAAACAACTGACTAGTGTGAAATTCAGAAAAAATGATGTGGCTTTTGTTAAGACAAATCAACTAGGCAACTTACACGTAAATCTTATATGATTCTAGCTACTTTCTTACATGTGCAGAAGATGTACTTTCTTTAATGTGTTATGTTATAAAAATCTGTTGGTGTTTGTCCATGAATTTATACAAAAATTTCAAAATAAAAAATTTTCGAAATTTGCAACGTTTTCTTCCCCTCTTAAGAAATTATACCAATAATGATATTCCTAGCTACTTTATTGATTCACCATTTTCACAAGTTGGCTATGGAGGAAAGCCTCTTTAAGAAATTCACCCTTTCCTTTTTACTATTGACACAAGTTGACGATATAGTTGACTTTATTTCATTTTTTGTGTTATTCAATCTTTGAAACTATTTTTGTTCAGGTGCGGTTGAGCTTAATCGATTTGTTCTGACCGTAAGTCGTACCTTCACTCCTGGGTTAGCAAATAAAAGTTCGTCAGATTTTAGAGAGTTCCAAAATGAATTTAGAACATCTGTAAGTTCATATTTTTTTTATATTTCTATCATAATTTGATTCACACATAATTAAAGTGTATACGGTGGCAGGTCTAGCCTCTACATTTAGATATACTCCTACAATGCAAACTTTTAACAAAATTATCATTCAATTCTTTAGAAACAAAATTCTATATAGAAAAGTCCGTATATGACACTGTGTTTCATAATTTATACTTAATATTTAATACTTTGGTGTGAATTTTTTGAATAATTTACATTTTTGTACAATTTGATCTCAGTAAATATGTTTAATTTAGAGTCACGCTCAAGTTAGATTTTTCTAAAGCATAGTATTGATAAATTAACACAAAGTCATACCGTGTGGGTTTCACGCTTTTCAAAATCGAAAACATTAATTTGGTGCAGGTATAAGTTCTTAATACCCTAATAAATTGTTATGTTTAAACTTATTTTTGTTTGTAGATGGAAGCTGTTTACAACACAAGACAATTTGGTTTTGTACAAACAGTAATAAACGAATTAAGGTTATAAAAGCTGTGACATTGGATTTATGTAGTTGGTTGCAAAGTTTAAAAGTTGCAATTTGTAAATTTGCGACCAATCTTTTATCTCGTTAATATATTTTGTTTTTATCATAGGTACTACAACTATTATTTATATTTACCATTTATTATAATCACCAACTCAGGCCTCTGAATAATTTTTATGTGTATTTATAGAGCGGGCAGTGTTATAGTAGATGCTGATGTAACATTTGAGCAACTAGGGGCTAATGGACTTAGCGTCCTCTTCACTGCCGTAAGAAACGGAATGGTTGGTACTTTTAACGTCAACAGTAACGCGCTGGTTGTTGTAATCACAGGTTTGTTTATATAAGTATATAAAGTCTGTGAACTGATAGGAGATTTTAAGCGAAAATCATTTATCAACCACCTCATCACAGACTTCTTTTCATCAATGAAGACCCCAAAGAAGGAACTTATTTCTTTAATTGAATTGTTCAATGTGTTGTGTTTCTAAAATTGTTTTTAAAAAGCAATTTTGTGTCTTTCCACGAGTTTTTACACAAAAAATACAAAATAAAGTATTCGTCGGAAATTTGTGATGCTTCCCCATTTCCCACCTTCCTTCGCCTCATTTCACTCCACTCCACCCTCATCTTACCCCACCCCTCTTCATTTTACCCCACTCCACCCCACCGTCTTTCCGAACTGAATATCTTCCCCTGAAAAAAGTAATGATCGTTATGGAAATACATCAGTGTAGAAGCTAAGTTATAAAACCACATGTTTTATCACCATTATGAAGTTTTCACATGTAGACTTAATATATTCTAAACATCTGTCATTATCTTATCCATTTTGTAAATGAAACTGACTTTTTTTATCTACGATAGGAACATGCAACGAAATAACATGTCATGCTAACTCAACCTGCTTTACATTATCTCCCACCACTGTTGAATGTCGCTGTTTACCTGGATTCTATCCAAATGGCGTGCAGTGCTTAGGTATGTGTACATTAATTACTTTATTGACGTATCCAGCCCGCACAATGGTGTAGCAAACCCTTTATTTGAGGGGTAGTGGAATTTATACATGCATACGTATGTAATTATAGTTTTATTTGTAATTTATGCGTTGAATCAGTGAAAACTAGATCATGCCAACAGAAAATCGAAGTAATTCAAGAAAGAAGTGTTCATGTGCAATGAAGGCTTCTCTCCCTGTCCCTGTGACGTATTTCCTTTTTAAAAACATATCATTACACATTCGTGCAAACTGATATAGCAAGATGATTATAACAACAACTGAGGTTTTGCATTTTTTCGAAAGGCAATTTTAAGGTTAAATAGTTGGAATGTTATTAAACAAAAAGAATGATAGCATAATGCTTTGTCCAACAACTACAAACAATAACAACCTTATTTAACAACATTTGAGAATTTAATCTTCCTCTCCTCTTCCTTGAAGGTCGTTATTGTTTGTAGTTGTTGGATAAAGCATTATGCTATCATTCAAAGATAATTTTACACGAAAGAATGCTTTCATATTCTTTTTGAGCACTGAAAATTGCTATCAGACAAAATTCTTTTTTTGACACTGGTCATGTTTTATTCAAACTTCTGAATACTTGAAGTAAATAGCCATCTTGCCTCAAATTTAGAATTTGTCAACGTTACAATCAAAATAACACTTGATGGAGAATTTACTTCAGATTTAAATGACAATACTTCGGCACTGTTTATTGAGTTGGAAGGAAATTTGACTCGAGAGGTAAATTAAATATGATTTTCTTAACTTTAGCAGGCGACCTTTTTTTCTCGTGTTTCCAATCGTTTTATTTTTTCATGCCAAATGGAAACACTGTCTTGTAAAAGGTAGCTTGGTTTCAATCTCGGGTTTTTGTCCTTTAGCATAATGAAATGTAAGGTACAATCTTTAACTTCTACATTGTTATTTTCAATCGTTCATAAGTTTAACGATATCAAAAGAACTCAAAAATCAATAATCAAATCCTTTCGTCTATTGCACAGTATTTTGAATATATTTAATGTCGTTTATCTGTTCTGTGGAAGTTTTCTGCGAATAAGGGAAGATAATTTACTCCAAAAGCTGTAAAATGACGTTTCCACTCCCCGCAGCATTTAATAAAGTATTGGTTTTATAAATAATGTTTTTATATGCTCTGTAAATTGCATAAATCATTAAATTTATTGAACAACGTGGCTAGCAGAAAAATGTTTGATATTTACGAGAAAATTTTGATTTCTAATTTCTTTTACATTCATTGTAGCCACTTCAATTTTTTCAATACTCAACGCTTGACTTAAGAAAATAGTCACTTACTTGATTCACTGTTTACGATGATCTAAAAGCCATGCGTCAAGGCGTCAATTTGTGTTTACAACGAATCTCCCTCCAAGCTTAGTCCTGCTTCATAATTTTCACAGTGGCGTAGCCAGCCCGCAAATTTTGCCCTTCTCTGTTAATTTTTCTATGTTCACTCACTGTAAAAACAACAGATTTCTAAAGAAATGCATGCTAATGTTCTAAAATTAACATAGCTTGACCAAAACGTCCTTGAGGCTATACGCCACTGATTTTTACAGCATCATCATTGTTCATTTTTTTAGAAATTTATTGTTTTTGCTGTTAGTTAACACAAAGAAATTTACGCAGCAGGACCAAAACGTGCTTTCGGCTCTACGCCACTGATTTTTACAGCATCATCATTGTTCATTTTTTTTTTTGAAATTTATTGTATTTGCTGTTAGTAAACACAGAAAAATTTACGCAGCAGGATCAAATTATGAAGGCTGAATGATTGCAGCAATCTTTATTTAAATGGGAATTTGGAAGTCTAACAATAGAAGATTTGACGAGACTTGTGATCTTTGAATCTTATATAGCAGGAGAAAGATAATGTAAAAAACCATTAAATTAGGCGAACTTTAGTATTTTCCCATTATTTTGCTTTTGCAACACCTGTAATATGAATGTTTAAATACATGCAGGTATCTAAATGACGTTTTTCGTTTTGCAGTTGATGACTTGCTTTATTTCACTTTACCGACATTTTTTTGATTTTTGTGACGAATGATTGATTTAGCTAACAACTGAGAAATAGTTTACATAGCTCAAGCAACGTCTCACTGGTTGTTATGTATTCCTTATATCTTACTAACATATCCTTCCTATTCTTTTTAGCTCCGTATAAGATTTCAGGACACACCAAACTTTCAAGATGTAGAAATTTTGGGATTTAGGTAATGTTAAACATTAAAATACGTAAGTCTTCCATATTCATTTTTAATGATGTTGAAGCAGTTGAAGGATTTCAAATCAGGAATACATTTTTTCTTTCTGTCGGGTGCGAAATAGCTTATTGCGATATTAACTTTAAAGGCTCATAAGAACTACTGTTTAAGGACAAAATAAAGATTATGATGATTATCACCTAGAAATCACGCTAATGTTTTGATTCAATGGAAAAAAACATAATTACGTTGTAAAGCAAAAGGTACAATTCAAATGTACCATTCAGACCATTTTACCAAGCAATTTTGTCTCTTCAACACCTCGTACTGAAAGTACTTTCTTCCTAAAGTCTGCGATTCAGATTACTTAGTTTCACTACTCTAGATGAGTTTGATTTCCCTTAAAATTTAAAACTATAGACTTCATAATCTATATTTACGTTCGGTAGCGTTAGGCTACGTTTGGTATAATCAGAATTCCACTAAATTCTTCGAAATTCCCTGTTTATAAAGTTCTACAACTCTCTATGTTTAAGCGTTTTCTTGCTGTGCTGTAATTATTTTTTTTTCACCTCCCGACTCCCTTATTTCCGTTCTTTTTGTCGCATTATTTGGATGCACATAATTCTAAACTGTGCAAATTTATTCAAAGTCTTCTTTAACCTAATCTATAGTTTTCCGAAGATATTTTAAGCTGAAATTTAACCATCGATCCTTCTAAATAGCATTCTTGTAAATTTTAATTGTTCTTTGTTGGCCAATTGTTAATTGTATTGATTTTCAATAAAATATTTGAGTGATATTTAATTATGTTTGAAAAGTTGATTATTTTTATGTCAGGAATGGCTCGATCATAGTTGATGCTAGAATCATCTCTCGTCAAGGTCCACAAAACGCTAAAGTTATTGTTGCAGACACTATTGAAGAAAGGCTCATTAATGGAACGTTATCAGGTTTACCCATTCAAGGTGTCACGGTACTTGGTAAGGGATATTGATGATTAAAAATCTGTATATGTTTTATTGGGCTGGGATAAAATGTCGATAGTATATTAGATAAAAAAACCAAAATGCGGATGAAATGATAAAATGGTATTAGAAGGACGAAAGAATAAACAGATCAGTTGAAGAAAGTACACATTAAATATAAACCAACATACATTTATCCAAGACAATAAATTTATTAGTTTTCATCCGTTTTCAACTGCAGTTTGATGAAAACTATTGCATTAAAAAATGTGTATTGTAAGCCCGATCAATTATAATGAGTAACTACTTCAAGAATCATACGATTCATATTACAAAGTTATTTACATTTTGAGAAACACTTAGAAGTATAATATAACACATAAATATAGCACATATAGTTTCCCCCTTTTGTACAAATACAGTGAGGGGCGGGGTAAAGCAAATTGAAAACTTCTCATCTACTTCCATATAATTTTAACAGGTACACCTCCACCACCACAAGGCTTAATGGTAACAGGTGTAGCAGTGACTTCTATAAACGTTACTTGGCAGCAGCCGAATTCTTTTAATGTATTTGGAATCAAAAACTACCAAACTCGACTCAATCCCGAGAGGGGTATGAACGAAAAAGTCATTACTGCGACGATGGGTACAAACAATGCTATGTTTCAAAATTTATTGAATAGCACATCTTATGCAATCTCAGTTTATGCTGTTAATGATGATGGAGTAGGAGATGTGGCTATGATTACAGTGACCACAAATGGTAAACCTTTTGACAAAATCTAAGTTTAAAATAGTTTACACGCAAAAATTTGTTTTGAAAATTTTGCTTTTATAAGTTAACCAATTACAGCAGGTGAACTGATAATGTAAGACAAATTTCACTTGCCAGGAAACTTAGCAAAAATCTCTTTTGACATGCAATCATTTATAAGTACTGTATATTTTTTTGAAAAAAGTTTTCTCGAACACTTATCAAATAGTATTTAATACTAACATAGTGATTAGTTTTAATAAGGAATTAAATAGTTGACAATAAATTTGATAATAAATTTGAGAAAACGTAAGCTGGTTTTAATATACTGGAGCAACACATAAAAACGCAATTTTAAGATATGTCAATTAGAAAAGAAATGAGAATAAAATTTCCAATCTAGGCATTACAAAAACGTCTGTATTATTCCTCATAATGACATCCAAAAGTTTATTTGAAAAAAAATAAATCCTGCTAGATTTTCACAAGACAAGATATATTTCATGTCACAAACAAAAAAGTATGCACTTGTAGCTATAATAGTCAACAAATTAATAAAAATAATGCGAGGATAGCTACTGACTACTGAGGAGTTGTATATCACGGACAAAAGTTCACAAATGGATTTGTTTCTTACTTCATGTAACCAACTTACTTTGATGCATTACTAAAATATATTTATTTTTTCTTTACTTTACTAAACAATAGACATAAACGAATGTAACAATAGTGCATTCATGTGCCCTGAAGGCTTGAGCTGCGTAAACACACTTGGCTCCTTCAGATGTATTTGCAAAGGTGTCGTGGGCAGTGATGGAAGTTGCACAAGACAAGGTAATGTTTAAAATTATTGCTGGCTACATCTACATAGCTACGAAACAACCAGTCCTTTTTGAAATAAGAATTTTTGTAAATTAAGCAGTTAAGGGTTAGTGCAAAAATCGTTCTTCTCCAGGTTTAACAATCGCGAGATATCTGCAGTGGTTGAATTGTTAGGTGGTGAGGCAGCTGTTATGAAAATTTGCGATTTGTCGAAAATTTGATTTTTAAATTGATCGGAATTTGGGCAAACAACTGAATAGTGTGAAATTCAGAAAAAATGATGTGGCTTATGTTAAGACATAAACCACACCTACACACAAACCTTATAAGATTCTAGCTACTTTTTAAATGTGTTATGTTACAAAAATCTGTTGGTGTTTGTCCATTAGTTTATACAAAAATTTCAAATTAGAAAATTTTCGTAATTTGCAACGTTTTCTTCCCCTCTTAAGAAATTACACCAATATTGATATTCCCTGTTGGTGTTTGTCTATGAGTTTATACAAAAATTTCAAAATAGAAAATTTTCGTAATTTGCAACGTTTTCCTCCCCTCTTAAGAAATTATACCAATAATGATATTCCTAGCTACTTTATTGATTCACCATTTTCACAAGTTGACTATGGAGGAAAGCCACTTTAAGTACTTCACCCTTTTTTTGTTACTATTGACACAAGTTGACGATATAGTTGACTTCATTTCATTTTTTGTGTTATTCAATCTTTGAAACTTTTTTTGTTCAGGTGAGGTTGAGCTTAATCGAATTTTTCTGACCGTAAATCGTACCTTTACTCCTGCGTTGGCAAATAAAAGTTCGTCAGCTTTTAGAATGTTCCAAGACGAATTTAGAACATCTGTAAGTTCATATGTTATTTTATATTGCCATCATAATTTGATTCGCACATAATTAAAGTGTATACGGTGGCAGGTCTAGCCTCAACGTTTATCTACACTCCTACAATGCAAACTTTTAACAAAATTATCATTCAATTCTTTAGAAACAAAATTCCTTATAGAAAAGTCCGTATATGCACTGTGTTTTATAGTTTATACTTAATATTTAATACTTTGGTGTGAATTTTTTGAATAGTTTACATCTTTGTACACTTTGATCTCAGTAAATATGTTTAATTTAGAATCACGCTCAAGTTAGATTTTTCTAAAGCATAGTATTGATAAATTAACAGGAAATCATACCGTGTGTGTTTCAAGCTTTTCAAAACCGAAAACATTAATTTGGTGCAGATATAAGTTCTTAATGCCCTAATAAATTGTAATGTTCAAACTTATTTTTGCTTATAGATGGCAGCTGTTTACAACACAAGACAATTTGGTTATGTACAAACAGTAATAAACGAATTAAGGTTATAAAAGCTGTGACATTGAATTTATGTAATTGATTGCAAGGTTTAAAAGTTGTAATTTGAAAATTTGCGACCAATCCTGTATCTCGTTAATATATTTTGTTTTTATCATAGGTGCTACAACTATTATTTATATTTACCATTTATTAAAATCACCAACACAGATCTCTGAATAATTTTATGTGTATTTATAGAAATGGCAGTGTTATAGTAGATGCTGATGTAACATTTGACCAAGTAGGCGCTAATGGACTTAGCGTCCTCTTCACTGCCGTAAGAAACGAAATGGTTGGTGCTTTTGACGTTAGGAGTAACGCGCTGGTTATTGTAATCACAGGTTTGTTTATATATGTATATACAGGCAGTTAACTGATGGGAGAGATTTTAAACGAAAATCATTCATCAATCAACCTCATCACAGACATCTTTGCATTGATGAAGACCCCGAAGAAGGAACTTATTTCTTTAATTGAATTGTTCAATGTGTTGTGTTTCTAAAATTGTTTTTAAAAAGCAATTTTGTGTCTTTCCTCGAGTTTTTACACAAAATATACAAAATAAAGTATTCGTCCGAAATTTGGGGTGCTTCCCCATTTCCCACCTCACTTCACCTCATTTCACTCCACCCCACCCTCATCTTACCCCACCCCTCCTCATCTTACCCCACTCCACCCCACCGTCTTTCAGAACTGAATATCTTCCCCTGAAAAAAATTAAAAGTAATGATCGTCATGGAAATACATCAATGTAGAAGCTAAGTTATAAAACCACATATTTTATCACCATTATGAACTCTTTCACCTGTAGACTTTATATATTCTAAACATCTGTCATTATCTTATCCATTTTGTAAATGAAACCGACTTTTTTTATCTACGATAGGAACATGCAACGATATAACATGTCATGCTAACTCAACCTGCTTTACATTATCTCCCACCACTGTTGAATGTCGCTGTTTACCTGGATTCTATCCAAATGGTCGGCAGTGCTTAGGTATGTGTACATTAATTACTTTATTGACGTATCCAGCCCGCACAATGGTGTAGCAAACCCGTTTTTGGGTGGGTAGTGGAATTTATACATGCATATGTATGTTGTTATAGTTTTATTTGCAATTTATGCGTTGACTTAGTGAAAAATCATTCCAACAGAATATCTAAGTAATTCAAGAAAGAAGTATATGACCAGCTATGAAATTCTTAATTAGTATTTTTGTGCAATGAAGGCCTCTCTCCCTGTGACGTATTTCCTTTTTGAAAACATATCATTACACATTCTTGCAAACTGATATAGCAAGATGATTATAACAACAACTGAGGTTTTGCGTTTTTTCGAAAGGCAATTTTAAGGTTAAATAGATGGAATGTTATTAAACAAAAAGAATGATAGCATAATGCTTTATCCAACAACTACAAACAATAACGACCTTATCTAACAACATTTGAGAAATTAATTAGTTAATTAGTCAATTTCTCAAATGTTTTTAGATAAGGTCGTTATTGTTTGTAGTTGTTGGATAAAGCATTATGCTATCATTGAGAGATAATTTTACATGAAAGAATGCTTTCATATTCTTTTTGAGCACTGAAAATCGATATCAGAAAAAATTCTGTTTTTGACAATGGTCATGTTTAATTCAAACTTCTGAATACTTCAAGTAAATAGCCTTCTTGCCTCAAATTTAGAATTGGTCAACGTTACAATCAAAATAACACTTGATGGAGAATTTACTTCAGATTTAAACGACAATACTTCGGCACTGTTTATTGAGTTGGCAGGAAATTTGACTCGAGAGGTAAATTTAATATGATTTTGTTAATTTAGCAGGCGACATTTTTCTTTCGTTGTTTTCCAATCGTTTTATTTTTTCATGCCAAATGGCAACACTGTCCTGTAAAAGGTAGCTTGGTTTCAATCTTGGGTTTTTGTCCTTTAGCATAGTGAAACGTAAAGTACAATCTTTAACTTCTGCATTGTTATTTTAAATATTTCATAAGTTTAACAATATCAAAAGAACTCAAAAAACAATAATCAAATCCTCTCGTCTATTGCACAGCATTTTGAATATATTTAATGTCGTTTATCTGTTCTGTGAAAGTTTTCTACGAATAAGGGAAGATAATTTACTCCAAAAACTGTAAAATGACGTTTCCACTCCCCGCAGCATTTAATAAAGTACTGGTTTTATAAATACTGTTTTTATATGCTCTGTAAATTGCATAAATCATTAAATTTATTGAACAACGTGGCTAGCAGAACAATGTTTGATATTTACGAAAAAATTTTGATTTCTAATTTCTTTTACATTCAATGTAGCCACTGATTTTTACAACATCATCATTGTTCATTTTTTTGGAAATTTATTATTTTTCCTGTTAGTAAACACAGAGAAATTTACCCAGCAGGACCAAATTATGAAGGCTGAATGATTGCAGCAATCTTTATTTAAATCGGATATCGGTAGTCTAACAATAGAAGATTTGACCAGACTTGTGATCTTTTTTGAATCTTATATAGCAGAAGAAAGATAATGCAAAAACCATTACATTAGGCGGACTTTATATTTTCCCATTGTTTTGCTTTTCCAACACCTGTAATATGAATGTTTAAATACATGCAGGTATCTAAATGACGTTTTTCGTTTTGCAGTTGATGACTTGCTTTATTTCACGCTATCGACATTTTTTTGATTTTTGTGACGAATGATTGACTGAGAAATAGTTTACTGAGAAATAGTTTACATAGCTCAAGCAACGTCTCATTGGTTTTTACGTGTTCTTTATATCTTACTAACATATCCTATTCTTTTTAGCTCCGTGACAAATTTCAAGACACCCCAAACTTTCAAGATGTAGAAATTTTGAGATTTAGGTAATGTTAAACATTAAAATACGTAAGTCTTCCATGTTCATTTTTAATGATGTTGAAGCAGTTGAAGGATTTCTAATCAGCGATACATTTTTTCTCTCTGTCGGGTCCGAAACAGCTTGTTGCGATATTAACTTTTAAATGCTCATAAGAACTACTGTTTAAGGACAAAATAAAGATTATGATGATTATTACCTAGAAATCACGCTAATCTTTTGATTCAGTGAAAAAAAAACATACTTACGTTGTAAAGCAAAAGGTACAATTCAAATGCAAGACCATTTTACCAAGCAATTTTGTCTCTTCAACACCTGGTTATACTGAAGGTCCTTTCTTCACTTCTTTGCCTCTAAGCTCCTCAAAATCTATCCTAAAGTCTGCGATTCAGATTACTTAGTTTTACTACTCTACATGAGTTTGATTTTCCTTAAAGTTTAAAACTATAGACTTCATAATGTATATTTACGTTTGGTATAATCAGAATTGCACTAAATTCTTCGAAATTCCCTGTTGATAAAAGTTCTACAACTCTCTATGTTTAAGCGTTTTCTTGCTGTGCTCTAATTATTCTTTTTCACCTCCCGACTCCCTTATTCCGTTCTTTTTGTCGCATTATTTGGATGCAGCCATTCTGTAATTATTCTTTTTCACCTCCCGACTCCCTTATTTCCGTTCTTTTTGTCGCATTATTTGGATGCAGCCATTCTGTAATTATTCTTTTTCACCTCCCAACTCCCTTATTTCCGTTCTTTTTGTCGCATTATTTGGATGCACATAATTCGAAATTGTGCAACTTTATTCAAAGTCTTCTTATATCTAATCTATAATTTTCCAAAGATGTTTTAAGGTGAAATTTAACCATCGATCCTCCTACATAGAATTCTTGTAAATTTTAATTGTTCTTTGCTGGCCAACTGTTAATTGTATTGATTTTCAATAAAATATTTGAGTGATATTTAATTATGTTTGAAAAGTTGATTATTTTTATGTCAGGAATGGTTCGATCATAGTTGATGTTAGAATCATCTTACGTCAAAGTCCACAAAACGCTAAAGTTATTGTTGCAGACAGTTTTATAGAAAGGCTCATTAATGGAACGCTATCAGGTTTTCCCATCCAAGGTGCCACGGTAGCTGGTAAGCGATGTTCATGATTAAAAAATTTGTATAGGTTTGATTGGGCTGGGATAAAATGTCGATAGTATATTAGATAAGAGAAACAAAATGCGGATAAAATGATAAAATGGTCTTAGAAGGACGAAAGAATAAACAGATCTGTTGAAGAAAGTACACATTAAATATAAACCAACGTACATTTATCCAAGACGACATTAATCATAATGCATGTAAAACAAATACTAAGGTCATATGAACTTGTGTGTTAATGCAGCAAAACGCTGGGAAAATAATATTTTAGTCTGTGCTCATCAGTATTTTATCTTGCCAATGGTAATCGCAATTTCATGATGACTTTGAACATTTCTGACAAGCGCATGTATTTATCAAAATCCTGTGAAGAGTGAGACATTACGAAGCAGGATTGTTTGGATGAAATTATAGTTTTTGATGATTTTTCGCTAGGTCTATGACAAAAGGTCTGTGTTACGAGTCGAAGAATTAAAACACAAAAACTTCCTATGTATGTTTGTGTGTATTATAGGTCCACCTCCACCACCACAAGATGTGACAATAACTCATGTTGGCGAAAAGTCAATTACTTTCACATGGCAACATAGGGCTTCATTTGTAGCATTTGGCATTAAAATATACGAAATTCGATCCAATCCTCCTCTCCCTGGAAATGCTCTACGAAACAGAACCCCGGAGGTTGCTACACTTAGTGAAACATTCGGGGGTTTGGAAAGTGATACATTTTACACCATCAACATTACCGCCATAAATGATGATGGCTCAGCAGAACGTTTGATTACGGCGAAAACAGACGACGACTCGGGTATGAACTTTTAAATTATATTTTAAATATTTCTAATTTACCACAAAGAAATGAATTTTAGTTTACTACTAGTACTGAAACTGCAAGTCACGATTACATGTCAACTTTCACGATGCCAACTAAACGCGATTCACCCACATTAAGCAAATTTAAATTGCTAAAACCGTGCATGCAATTTGTAAATGGCCACAGTCCAACAGCACAGCTCCAACTACTTAGTATATTAATTAATTATATTTATTATGTTTATCAAATATTATAATTTAATTACAGTCCAACTGCACAGCTCCAACTACTTAGTATATTAATTAATTATATTTATTATGTTTATCAAATATTATAATTTAATTACAGTCCAACTGCACAGCTCCAACTACTTAGTATACTAATTAATTATATTTATTAATTATGTTTATCAAGTATTATAATTTAATTAATAATGATCGTATTTTCTTTTTAGATGACACAACATTAATAGTTGTTCTCGTTGTAGTCCTTTCTTTTGTACTAATTGCTATTATTATGTTGGTCTTATTCTTCCGTCATCGCCGTAGACAAAAACAGGTTTATCAGGTATGTCGTACGTTCTTTTTTTTGAAATATGAGTCTAGTAAAGTATTCTTTAAAACTGCTTTTTGTTGAAAACGATGAAATAATGTGAGTAGAGAAGCTATTGAGCGAACCTATAAACAGTGGTGGATTACTCAGTACGTTAAGTAGGCTGAAGCCTACTGACCCTGGCTTTCGAGAGGCCCGTTGTTATCTTGACATAATTAGTTTTTGCCATTCCGGAATAGTTAAATTTTCTTAATTTAGATCATTTATGCTGTTAAATACCTTACGATCTACTCTTCAAATGCACGATGCTCAGAACTCACGAAGTAGTGGGTTTTCCCAGTTTACAGATAATAGTTTCTACAATTATGGTTGCCATTAAAAGCCGGTTTTGAAGACAAATCAACTGATAGCAATGTTTAACACAGTTTCTAAACTTTATAAGCGAAAGCTTTCGAGCAAGGGGAAAACACTAAAAAAGCAACGAAGCCGCTTTTGAACATATTTACAGCATATTTAAACGAGCAGGATTTGGAAAAAAACCATTTTGTTTCAGCGACAAACTAGCGAAGGTTTGAAAATGTTTTACATTTATCAGTTTCAATATTATTTCTTTTAATTAAGGTGAATAATAAAGCAATTATTGAATTCGTTTTTTGCATGATATCAAGAATTATTCAGACCGAGGTCATCGTTATCTGCCGAAGCGAACTTCGGTCTGAATAATTCTTGATATCATGCTCAACCTCATCCAATAATTGCTTATTATCATGCAACTCACAAAAATGAAAGAGTTTTTCAAAACACAGAACGGCTTAGACACTCCATAACACCTCTTTAACTGGCTTCAACCTTATCGGCTTTTTGCAAAGCATCTTTGAGTCATTTAAACAACTTAACATCTTTTTCATTGGCTGTGTATGTGTAAGAACGCATTGACGTAGAAAAACAGTGCTATATTAAAAAAATAGAAAACATTTTCCTAGTTTCTACAGAGTTATATAAACACGCGGAAAGTTTGGGGGGGGGGAGTGAAAAATTGCGTGGTAAACACACGCACGAAGTGCAAGTGTTTCCAGCAGTTTCGAGTTTCTCGATCCAAACTTTCACAAGTGTTTATACAACTTAACAGAAACAATTAAATATGTATTCTATTTCGTTCATAAAATAGCCTTTTATAAACCTTACGTAAAGGATAAATTTATTGACTTTAATAACAAATTGTTAATATTTTCGCCATTTCAATTTCTCGCACGAATCACGCAACCTGCGAGATTCTTGCGAGACTTAAGCCTCGTGCATTACAGAGTTACACCAATCAGTGCCCGTATTTTTAAAAGGCGATTTAATGCTAAATAATATTTCCATATTTTTACAACCATTTGCAGACAAGTGGTGGAAGAAGAAGACCTTCTATTAATATGGATGACCATTGGCGAAATCAATATGACAATGCAGGGCAAGATATTTAAATCACATGACGTATATAATGATCAAATGAGTACACATATATTCAATATTGTTGTTAGTAATACATCTAAAATTATATCTCACAATTATTGTATTTATGAACACATCTAAGTATGCTTGCACTAAATCTGAGTTATTGCGTTTGTTTGGTTTTTATGACTTTCACATGATACAAAGGCAACAGCTAATAGGGTGGATAAATTTGCTTATAGTTTGTAATTGTATCTATTATTTCATCAAAATATTTCATATAGTTGTTAACCTTCAACCATGCTGTGTCTATCAGCATTTATACTGGAAAAAATTGTAAACCTGTATTTTTAAAACGTGAGTTAATGAAGATATATGTTTGTGACTAATTATCAGATACATCTAATTTATGGGACGGCCGTTGCTAAAAAAGTTCATGCACAGTCTGATCGCTTTGGGAGTTGGAAGTTATGCCATCTCAAATAAGCATGATACCAATTTCTTTTCGGTATTACACAAAGCATTGATACACAACAACACTTCCTGACCGAGTCCCTTCAAATTAACCTGCATACATATTTTGACCTGCCTTGCTCCCAGTGCTTACTAAGAAAAAGAAGTCTCTTTCTTCAAAAGAAAGCATTGCAATTGAATCACCTTATTTTGACTTCTTTTTATGAACAAGCCCCCGAGACGAGGCAGTAATTTTAAGAAAACTTCACAAAGAATCCCAAAACATTTTGATATTCATGCTAAACAAAAGGAGAAACAGTATCTGGACATAACTTATAAAATAAACTCGATAATTTTTAACTTAAATTGAAAGATTTGAGACGACAAATACAACAGCATCCAGTGTACACGTAGCTCAAAATTTCTGAAAAGAAGCAAAATTAAACAGTTTTGTCTGATCGTGGAATTTTATCATTAGCACAACATGATGGGTCTTTCAAAGTTGAATTTGTTGGTTTACAAACACAATGAGGACTTATGCCATAAAAGCAAGGGAGCATTCAAAAATTCAAGCAAAGTTTCCACCAGTGCTTTCCTCCCCCCCCCCCTTTTTTTTACAAGCATCTTCTGGAGATTGAAATTCCATTTCATTCTCACAGAATTCTTGGAAATATAGAAATTTTATCAGAAATCCAGGCTTTGCAGACAAAAATACATTCAAACTCTTAATTAATTTTCTAGAAATATTATCATTTTAGTTTATTTTACTTTATTAACTTCTTTTCAATTTTTTTTCTAGTGGCGTCTTATTTTTATTAATGTTGTAATACAGTTTTACCTAGCCAGCTTTTACAGGTTTTTCTATCACGATTTTAGGTGGAAAGCATTTATTAATAGCTCTTTTGAGCATTTTCCAGTTTAGCGGGATAAAATATAAAGCAGGACTAACCAAAACAACCATCTCAACAAAAGATCTTGTTGAGTCCTTCTTTGCTATGAAGAAAAAAGTCAGCCCAATGGTGAGTAAAACACGAAAAAAATTGGCAGAAGAAGAAGAAAACAGTTGACACGATACAAAACACTGTGTGTATCAACATTCAAACATTTCAATATGCGTTCAGAGGAAACAAATATACTGCTGACTTCCATAAAATGAATAACCATCGATAATGAGCGATATTTCCAATTGGCGACTCGGCAATATATGATGCTGATAATTAGCTGCAAAGACAAAATCGATATGGTGTGTTTGCATGTCATATTCAACAGTCATATATTGGCAGATTACTTAGAAGCACGATGCTCAACAGACGTTGAAAACAAATTTCGTTAAAAATGATAAGTTCTTTTCACGGTATGTCTTGTTATACACAGCTTAATCGGCCAAAGAAGCTAAGTGTTTTTTCTTTAATGAATAAAAAAGTCTTTGAAGTTGATTGAAACTTAAAAAAATCTAATCTGTCAAATTTTTATCTTCAAATTTGTTGCATTTTTATAAAATATTTTTATAAGTTTCTTTCATTTTGTGATCTTTCGTGCATATGCGCGTTAAGAGTGAATTTTCTGTTAAGCAGTAAAACAATTATAAAGCATACTTAAAAGGGCAACCAAAGCTGTGAAGAGCTGTCATGTTAACATTTGCGCTATGTTGATGTCATATATGAAATGATTCCGTAAGCAAAATTTAAGTTTTAGTTTAGGTTTAAGTAAAACCAATAATGAGTTTAAGTTTGAAGCATCATTCCTTTAAATTAACCTGGAATAACTATAGTAGCTATATGAAAAAATATGCTCTATATTATCCAAATGTATCAACAAATATGTTAAATATGTTAAAAGATATATTAAATGTTTTTATTTATTTCCTTCCAAACCTTAATTAGCAACAACATATAAGCCAAAGTTTATTTTATTCAATTTGTGTTTGACTTAGAAAACATCAATTAACTGTTATTACATGTATTGCTTCATTTAGTGATCAATTTTAACATACCGTTCACAGTAATGTTATGGCATTGTATGGTATGTATGTGAGATTTTGACGCATATTTTAATTGCTGCTCGTTTCTTACTCTAAGGATTTTCAAATTTAATTTCTTTATTCACACGCAGGAGCATCAACACTTTTAAATTTTTCAACTTTTACTTTAAACTTACTAGAAAAAGTTGTACTCTAAACTTTCTATAACTTGTTTTATATGCATAAAATAATCCCTAAATTTTTCCCTAGTTTGTCAATCTATAATGATAGACAAGGCATTTTCTCGTGCGTCCATCTTGTTAGGAAAATTTCTTTAGTCAACTAGTTTACAGAACAAAAATGAATCATTTACTTACAATTAAATGATGAACAAAAACCCATTCAGTTAATCGTCTGTCCTCATAAACGTAAAGCACTTCAGCAATAAAATAACCTAAAAGAATTCATCGCAGATTAGTTTAAATTACTTAGTTTGAATATAAGTTACCTATTAAACAAAATTGATCTTTTTTCCAATTCATAAATCAAATAAAACCAAATAATCCTTTTCAAATCAATACTTTTAGACAATGAGAAATATACTTTGGTGATTACATTCAAGAAATGATCTAGGAATATCCAATAGAGTCATTTTGAGTTCTATAATTTAGTATAGCTAATAGGCTACGTTCTGTCCACCATATGGCTCCTAAATTTATCAATGTGTAGTTCAAAGCAGACCAAGATGCAAGGTGGGACAATGAAGCAAAAATATGGGGAGGGTGGTAAATAAGTGGGTTGCACCAACTATAGAGGAACGCTTTCAGATCTACAGAAATACATTAGTGACGTAACAAGGTGGGAATAATTAAAGAATTTAAAGATGACGGCAAAAGCACGAAAAAACAGTTATTATTCTGAAGCATGCATAGAGACAATAATTACTAAATTTATTACATCAGTGAGCTAAGAAAAAATGTTTCAAATAAACACTCGAGAAATTATTCAAAAATTTTAACGAACATTCTCTAAAGCCATAATTTACCAATTTGTTAGCCAAGTTAGTTACATGCGGTGAACAAAGAATGACTAGTGAAATATTGGTCAAGAAGAAGCCAATTGAGAGGGTATATTTGGTTTGGTTTAAATGTTATCATAAACTTAGCCAAGAATATTGATCGTTCATTATTATAATAATAGCATTCGTGTTAATGAAAAGCTACATTTGTAATACCACTATTGTTTCCAGCTTTGATGCGCTTCAAATATCACAAGAACTGCTATTGATATCTGAAGCGATATCTTTGCACGACTTCACTGCTTTTAAAACCTTCATTTTTAATAACTTTTCTTGATTTGTAGTGATTGAAAGAGTTTCGTAGCAACGTTAAGATAAATATTACAAAGCCTGGTTATCTACATGTGTCTCTCAGTGGCGTGCGGTGACCGAATTTAATAGGCAAGCGCTGACAGTGATTCCACAATGCATTCAGTCATGGCCAGAGATTTGCCAGGCGGAAAGCGAATTTTCAATATGAACATAATAGCCCAACATAATACTTTTAAGAAAGCCATCACAATAATCAAATAGAGAAGGATTTATTAATTACGTTTCGTCTTTAACTTAAGACATCTTCAATCTGAAGATGTCTTAAGTTAAAGACGAAACTAATAATAAATCCTTCTCTATTGATTATTAATAACTAATATATTGTATCATTCAGTCATGTTGTACAGGTGTCGTGAAAATACCGAATGTAGAAGTAGAACATAAGAGGATGAAAATTCCTATGCTATATATTTTATAGGAACATCAATCTTATTTATACCTTACATCAGTTACATGATATCTACCGGATACAAATATCAAAACTACTACGCAAAGGAAGCTCTTGTCAATATCATAATCTTGTATTAAATGCTACAGATAATATCTTCTACATACATAAATTGCAAGACAATAGGCGCGAAATGTATTGTAGCAGTCGTGATTATAACAATTAAGAACAGCCAGTTTCGCGCACAAAATTGGCACGGTGTGTTACAAACTGAGGCCATGGCGTTGTTTAATGTTTATATTTTGGTATAATGACGTCATGGCAACGTGTTCTCCCGTTCTTCAAAATGTGTCTGGCACTGACTCGTACGTTTCAGAATATCGGAGAGTCGTGTTTATTATTTAGTATCTTGTACCTTTTATTTTTAGTCATTAATTTACGAATTCAACGACACAAGACTGACAAGAGCATAGTGTTTTGGTCATAATGCTAGTCATACTTTACCACAACACACGTTTGCGTGCATTTCGATATCTCTGCAGACTGCGGCCCTGCTTGTTTACGCACATTGTGCGCAGAAAATAATAAAATAACCAGTAAAGCACCTACTACTTTGAATTAGAAATCAGAACATTACCTTTTAATAAACGATAACATTAACGGCGTGAATGATTCGGATGTCCAATGTGTTGAATATACGAATATTATTCGTTCGCTGATATGTGTTTAAAATTGCGAGCGTACAAGACTGTTGACCAATCGCTATCAAGCGGCGCCCTTAGAAGCGCCGCTTGCCTTTTCTCGATATTCCTCGAATAAGAAGCCTCCAAATCTAGATTAACGCATGCGCAAATGTTCAAATTGAGCTCCGAAGGCAAGCGCGCTTGCCTTGGTTAATAAATATTCGGTGTATTTAATCCACTTGACTCATCTTACAAGTGTAGCAAAGTGAAACCGAAAACCACGACAGTAAATCGCGTATAAATAGCAAGCATTTCAACTGTAAAGACAATATAGACAAAAGATTACATTGACATTGTTTAGAACAGAAAAATTTAAACTAATTTTGCTCAGAGATTGATCCAAAATTTTTGTTCGGTAAAATGCTTAGGCAAGCGGCGCTTGCCTACGCTTACATGACCGCACGCCACTGATGTCTCTACATATGTCTGTTGTATTTATGCCCAGAACCATTGACATGAGTATAACTGGAAGGTTTCCTTTCCCAGTAATATTGAAGCCGCTTCCCCTAGGCTTTCCACGCAATAAAAACACACGGCCAAACAAATTAATTTATACAATACGTTATTGCTATACTCGTCAAAAAGACTTCATTTCAGGGAAATATATCATTTAAGATCATCAACCCACTCTAAGGACTCTTGATTTCATATTTATTCATCATTTGGAAATGCTAAAAGAGAGGCTCTAGTTCCTTGAAAAAAAATAAAGCCTTCGCAGGATATTTTTCAAGGTCATCAGTGATGAAAAATTCGTTGTTTTTATTTAGAAATATGAATGCAAAAACTACAAACTTATACACATCAATTTAATATCAACATGAGTTTCACTATAAAATTTTGGCTTTTAAATGAACAAAACCTTCTGTATGAAAATATCAACGTCGCCAAAATTGCTTTGGTTAATAAAAAGAGTTTGTTCCCTTCCAATCGACAAATTATTTGCTTAAATTCAACTTCGCCATGGTTGAATCTCACTGTAACATCTAATAAAATTGTAGCCTGTTTCCTCTGCGCCTTGGGAAATTATTTTTCCTACTGGACATCCCAGCTGTGGGTATATAACATGTAGCCTGTTTGTGAATATTTATGCTAGCTATTGAATATATTTGTTTTGGTATCTTACCCAAAGATATTGCTAAAATATAACCACACAGAGGAGTTCCACGATGGGCAACGGTATGAAACATGTCTTCTGGTCCCGTTAGAACACTGAAATGAAAACAAAATTTTTTTATGTAGCTATAGATAACCGTTTTACAATCAGTTTTTCAGCAAGTTAGAGAAGAGACCTGAATATACAAAAATATTGTCAGCAAAATTCTATTTATATGAAAATCAAAACTAGCTACAAAAGTCGTACCAAAGTCTTGAGAAAATTGTCATTAAGTTTTCCAACTTTAATACTCGAGGCAAACGCACAGAAAGTCAGTTGTATACATACAGAATTCAAGATCACTGCCCAAAACTCTGATTTGCTTTTGAAACTAGTAAGATTTTTATTTTATTTACATCACTGTAACAGCGCGAAAGCTTTTCCGCTCTTTGGAGATTGACATAATTTCTAAGAGCTAAACATGCACAATAATGCACGAGTGGGATTTGATCTTCGATCAAAAGCAAAACCTAACAGGAAGTCTGGATAGGAATATTTAAACGAAGGAAAACGGCTGGTAATGCGTCATTGTTCAGTCACATTGATGTTGGGTGAAAGAAAATCAATGTGAAAAGGAGCTGGTTTTAAATCTTCTTGGTCTGTCTGGTAAATTTCAAACGTCAGGCTAAATATTTGACAAGAAAATATGAGGCATTGATGAGGCAAACATTTTTTTATGTAAATGCTGACTGATGTTAGCTCACATGATTTAACAAAAGTGAACTTTGCCCTTTTCAGAATGCACATATCATTTCGGAAAAGCGTGATCATCTTACAAAAATAAGAAAACACATAGTTGTAAAGAAAGTTGACAGATTTTTGATTAATAAATGCACGAAATCAATTATACTGCTGCTTGTCTGTTGTAACGTGCAAAGAGATGTTTGGAATAATTTTGAGGTTGTATTTCGGGACAAAATTTATTCAAGTATAGTAATATTTAATATATTTAGCTCTGCTTAAATGATTAGGTTTGTCACGTGCAAAGAGATGTTTGGAATAATTTTGAGGTTGTATTTCGGGACAAAATTTATTCAAGTATAGTAATATTAAATATATTTATCTCTGCTTCAATGATTAGGTTTGTTAGAGATTATAATTTCAAAAGAAAGCAGCAGGAAGAGCTGTATATTGTATATGATATTCACCCCACCCTCCACACACACACACACACTCAGCGTTCTCGTTTCGCCCTTGTATACAGTACCAAAGCCATGCTTATGTCAACAATGCTGAAGAAATATTTGATTTAGAAGTTGACAAAATGGCCACAAATTTCATCATGAAATACGTAGTTGACGCAAGTTGAAAATCAGCATTTTCTAACTGCTCCAAACAAGATGTGGAATTGCATATCCTTATTTTATATTGAATATTTATCACAAATAATGCTTGCTGCCCGATGGCCTGAGTTCAACCTTATTTAAATATGTTATATTGTGTATCAATAGGACCAAATTATCAACGGTAAATTAATTTAGACAAAACACAAAATAATCACACACCTGTAAATACCAGCTGTAGAAGCGATAATTGAGAAAATGAACGTTGAAACATTATATTTCCACCAGTTTAATTCTCTCCATTTATATTTCAAATGCTTTGGGCATATCATCGTAATAACAGTATTGTTCGCCATCCAATAAACTATCGCTGTGAACAAACACACAAGAAACCATGTAGCAGTTGGTGCTTCTATTTCTAATATACGCATTGCGATACCAAAATGATCAATACACCGCAATTCAACATCAACATCACGCGCCTTAGCTACAACTTTACACAAGAACAAATTTTACATGAACAGTTTACATATTTGCATATGGGTGCATTGAACCATCAAAATAATACAGAAGATCATCTGCTTATTATAAAGAAAGTCAAAGTTTAAGCAATTATTGAGATTATTTCATTCTGATACCTTTGGTAAACAGTCACCGAAATTGGAATGAAAAAGAACAATTACAAACAGACAAGTGCAATGGATTTTTGTCTACTAACACCTGCTTTGGAAAAAGATTTTACTGTATTTGATGAAGACGTAGGTTCTGAATTTTAAAGGTTTTATTCAAATGAAACCATTTGCAATACATATTATAAACATTATTTTACTAAAGAGTCATATGCCTGTATTCTTAAAGCTTCCTTACACTCACGTTCACTCATGTTAATGAAGAGTCGTATGCCTACACGTATGAGCGACATAAAAATTGCGCTCTCTCTAGCTAATGGTAAAGTCATTAATCGACCAATGGCCAAACGTTTGTTAAAATATTTCAAATTACAAAATCATTGGAATGAAAATGCCGTCTTCAAATAAATATGAGGCTTTTTCAAAGCCATTGAATGTGAGTGTAGAAACGATAGAAACAGGCATGGGCGTCAATCCTGCGATATTTGGGGGGGGGGGGCATACTCATATATTCTGTGATGCCAGGCTGATTTCTTTTAAATGTGAAATTGTTTTGAAAAGAAATTAGCCAGGCATAGCAAAATATATGAATATGGTCACCCCCCTCCCAATTAACACAGGATTGACGCCAAAGGAAACAGGTTTTTAGCATTCAGCCAATTAAGGCACATGTTTTTAAAAGGCTATGTAATTAAACCTACTTTTTTACACTACATATAAAACTTTTTCAGTAGAGGTTAAAAACTGTAATCATCACATACGTACATGCCTTGCTTCAAAAACAAGCCACAAAAGTATATTTTGCTTGATGAAAAATGGCAGTTTACCTCTATATTGCAGTATAGTCAGCTCATAACCTCATACTCAATCTCATTTAATAATGATTGTCAAAGCAGAAATAGATGATTCGTTATCTTAAAATCATAAATAACTGTGTCAAGGTGGACAAATACACAATTATTAATTGTTAAATGTGCTGTCTGAAATCCGAATAAATATATTAGCTAATGACTCTTTATAAAAAAATTTTTCAGGTGCATTTTCATGCCGAATGTCTCACGTGACTGACACATGAATCTTTTTTGCTTTTTTCCAGGTTCTAGATTTCCATGCTCTTAGAAGCATGCACCAGTTTTGTTGTAGATAAAATATTGAACAAAAAAATAATATTGTGAACTCGACGAACGACTCAGATGTGTCTCGCCTAGCAACCACAAAAACAATCAACGATAACGACAGCAAAAATCGGAAAACAACACAAGAGGCAAGACACAACGCAGAATTGAAGCGATACACTACACTGGTTGATGCATCGATTTTCAAACAGTTAAAAACACGTTGAATGTTCAAAAATATGTTGTTAATCTCCATAAGTTGAAATACAACTGCAATCGGTAGATATTTTCCCTGGAAGAAAAGACTGAGTCCAAAAGCAATTATTGCCTACAAAGAAAAAAAAATGGAGGTGAAGTACCTAAGATTTAAAGGATCTCGTCTCCATTCCCCACGTGAAATTAGAGATGAAAAGTTAATGCAAAAAATGGAAGCCAAAAAGCTGAACTATGTAAATTGTTCAAATTTTAAAAGTTGAAAAAAGCTGTTAAAACTATTGTAAAAAGTATTTAAAATATAAAGAGATTAAACTATCCTCAGGAGTATAGAAAGAATGTTTTGTGTGAATAAATGGAACGCTATGAGGAATTTAATCTTTAAATTTATAGTTTTAGAAGGTAAAACATATATCTAAAAAAACTAAACATAATTCAAGGCTTTCAAGCAAACCTTAAACAGGTTTATAAATTTTTAAGGAGTTATTAGCTTTTACAATGCGACTATTTTTTACTGTTTAGTTCATCATCTGCGACAGTAGCCATGAACTTTATGTCAAACATGGATTATGGATTATCTGATTTCCTAATCTCATTTAATATTGAAATAAATATCGAGTGAGTCCAACTAGGCTTTCAATAACATTAAATAAGCCAAGTCATTTTCATAGTCTACATTGAACCACCACATTCTAAATTTATGTTATGAAATATTAATTCATCAGGGATTGAAAACCATTTTAAATAATTTTTTGACTGTTAGCTTATCAACTGCACATTTGCAATATAATTTATGATCGACAAAAGCTTAATTATTATAAAATGCATGATCAGTTTGCTCAAATAACGATTATATTAACTGACGTAATTCCAAAGTATGGATTTTATGGTGCTTGCACCTCGAAAGCATCAGCTGTAGGACAATTTAATGTATATTGATAATTATCTCATCGTAAATGATATATTATGTCATTTTAGTAAGAAAATCATTAAAAGTTTAATTTCATATGTTTTCTGTCGCATACATCATAATTATAAAATTAATACTTACAACAGCATGGTGAGAGAAAATGCCATAAAAAAGTTTCATGTCTCCAGTTACATATATCAAATCAATTACAAAGAAACCTAAAATAATTATAAATAGCAAACATGAATAAAAGTTTACTGAAATGTTCAGAAAATATTTAAAAACCGACCATCAAATTTGCTTTGGATTGGCTTCCAACATTGTCCAATTGTTGAACGTGTTTTCACAACATTTTCGTGCAGACAAATGAAAAAACTCATGAATAGAAGATTGACCAAATTTATGAAAAAAAATTTATGCAAGCAAAATCAGAGAAAACAGATCTACTGAGCTATAGCTACTATCGAACTTGCTAGGAGAATAAATAAAGAGATTCACAATTAAAGAAACATACAGCAGGTATATTCCTCAATTCATGAAAAGCCTCGGATACCATTAATCACAGGATTGTAATTCAAAAACTTGAACTGCCCATAGCAGCCCCAACTCCAAAATTTCGAAAATTGTAAAGTAAAATTTTGATATGAAAATTTGTTTGGTTTGCTGATAAGAAAAATATTCATGCAATGAAAGATCTCTCACCAAAAGAAATGGAGGTAGTGACATAAGCAGCCAGATCTCCATTATTGCTCAATCGGTGGAACATATCTTCAGGTCCATAAATGATACTGAAACATAACAAAAGGCATAAATGAGTCAACTTTTGATGAATGGCTAATTGTAACATACAGTCTTTAGCTAACCTGGAGAGACATTTAAATGTATCATTTGCTGAAATATAACGAAAGAAAAATGAATGAAAAATGAATGATTTGTATCAATGTAATCATTACGTGACATGGAAAGCTGTCAACATAAATGTTCAAAATGAAGTTCATATGAAAAAGTTTTCTTTTCATACCCAATGGCCAGATGGTGAAATAGCTTACATGGGACTTCAGTAGCTAAACCATAAGAGAATGTGGTTCTCTATGGCTGGGTGTTTACTTATGCGAATCTAATATTGTCACAGTTTGTTCGAAATACAATGAACTATGGAAACTAGCAAACAGTTTTCGCTATTGTAGATTTACCTTTATTGGGAAACCACTTAGCTCAGGCACTTACTACATAATCTTTTAATAAATATTCGCCAAAATAATCAATAATTATGCCTTGTACTATAAAATTTTAATTTGACAACTGAAAAAGGCAACGAACTAAGTAACAAGAATAATTTCATTAGTAACACTTATTATTTCAAAACAACCATATTCTTTGCTACGCATGGAATCATCACATTAATATTTTAAATTTTTATGAACAGGTTTTTATGTGCTGTCAGTTTTTGAAAAACTCATGGAGTTTCGTTGTCAAAATGAGCAAAATATTTAATTTTATAAATTTTATGGGATATAATTTGAGAATTGGAATATATATTCTAACACCGTTTGGCATATGGTGCATCAAATGAGATCAAAATTTATTGTAGAGGTAACTTATATGAAAATAGCACTTTTTAATGGCTGATTCTTCATCAAATTTGTTCTGAATAATGAGAAAATTAATGTTTTACCAACATTTCACTCACAATGAATGAAAGTACATAATTTCGAAAATAAACCAGTACGTATATTTATATAAAATGTAGGAGCCTTGTTTATATCTACAGTACTGCGTGAAGGCCTGGATCATATCTTTGACATTTGTAAAATTTTGAACGTTTAAAGACATCGCAAATTGTCTACAATTGTTATTGCATGAATTCAGATTGGCTACAGGCCAACACATAAATTTGGCAGCCAATCAGTCAATGCCTTTGAACATTCAAATTAAAATAGGACGAATGTTTGGGAAAGTGCTCCCAGCATTTCGAAAAATATTTGCCACCAGCCTTCAAAACTTTTGTGTTTTTCACGTGAATAGAAATACTAAAGAAATGAATAATGTTATTGATCTAAAATTCACACAGCAGGACCAAAACTTGCGGGCTGGCTACGCCTTTGTACGAAAACGTTGCTAGAGTTATCATTTTGCAGGATTTGCAAAAACCTTTCGTAGGTTAGGTACTTGAACTTCGAATTTCTCATGTGATGATAAAATTTTTGCAAAGAATAACCATTTTACAATAAGAATTATGTTTCGAGAAGCACTTTTGAAATAGCTAACTTTCACACGATAATGACAAAGCTAAAAAGCAATTAGACCACATAGACTTAAAATATGGTTGATGTTATTTAAGCTAACAAAGTTACAGGAAATTGGCTGATGTGTACGAGAATGCCTAGCTTTCAAATAGCAGATCGTTTCTCAATGCCATCTTGTTATAATATCGTCAATTTTGCTTAAATTTGAAGGGAAATTAATCAAAATATGAATTTAAGAAAATGCCATTTAAAAAGGGGAAAACGAAAAATATTTTACAATTTGGATGCGCAGCCTTGGCGTACGGTGAAATCAAATATCCAAACATTTGGCCAAGTATGTTTGTAGGCTTGTACAACATGTGCGATAATTTAACCCTTGTGTCTTAATTATTTTTAGCCTCTTCATTTTCGTGCTCAAACTATTTCAAAAGTGCTTCTCATTATCACTAGTTTAAATGCAAAAATGGTTATTATGCGCAAACAATTTAGTGTCAGATTAACCATTGGAAGTCCAATTACCTAAATCCATTAAAAGATTTTGCAAATCCTACGGGCTGATAACTTTATCGACGTTTTCCAAACTGTTCAGTTTTTGGGTTTTTTTTAATACACCTCGTATATTAGCAGTTTTAGTGAAAGTTTTTGAGTTAATGGCCGGTCATTTTGTAATGAAAGTTGCCTACTTTGTCAAATTATAACACTGTTTACAGTGAAAGATTAAACATACAGAGAGGTCACGCGTGATCTCATAAAGAGACTATTGTGCGCGCATTTATTTATACATTTATATATTTATATCTATATATACATATTCATACGTGCTCTAACACATTTACATATAAGGAATATATTCACATAAATCGATTGTATAAAAAGCAAATATTGAATTCAGGGCCACCGATGTTATAGATTTCGTCGCTACATTTGATAAAAGTATCACTGCAGATGATGCATCAACAAAATAAATAATTCATTATGTTGTTTATCACGAATGACGTTTTAAGTAGTCTCGAATTATATAATAAAGGTTTAGGAAAGGATTATTTTGATTTTGATAAACTGTAGTTTACAAACCTGTAAATAGCTCCAACACTAGCGACAAAACCAAAAATAGCCGTGGAAAGACACCAATGCCACCAGTATGTGTTATTTTCTTCCTTCATATGTCTGGGGCATAGCTTGCTTATTATACTTTCGTGAACTATCCAAAATACTATGGCTGTGAGAGAAGATACGTGAAGCCATAAAGCATGACAAGGCTCCATTACACCCTTTTCTTGAAAAGAAACCTTGCTGTGCTTGGAACTATCGGCATGATTTCATTATAAAATCAGTTTCTTGCTATAAGATCATTGGTAATGTTAGGAATTATGTTTCCCCTGTTTTTTATAGATGCGACAATGACAGAACAGAGCTACTTATACGATGCTTGAACTTGATATAATACACCACTGTGTCGAAGAAGCAGGAATGAAGTTAATGAAGAAATGAACGGTAATTTATTGCTGTTTTTTTATTACTTCATCACCATGGTAAAGACGATCGTGACTTTAGCATGGGTCATTGGCATGCTTACTGTGTGATGTGTCAACGATTAGATAATGTTTTTGTTATGATCAAGTTTCAGTTATCGCAAAGGTTGCCTTGCTTTACTTTTAGCTGTTGAAATTGAATCAATGCTACTAAACGTCTCCCCAACTAATTGAAATAAAATGTCAATTTTTAATTATTTTCATACGACACAAAATGATGACTGATGACACACACGTTAAAATAAAAACTTCCTGTTTTGGAAGATGTGAAAATAATCGAGACAATAATGATGACAATGTGCCTGTCATATAGCTGCCTGTCTGCGAATTGCGTTCATAAATATTTTTTATACTACAACTTTTATTTGATCATACAGTGTTTTGAAATTACATCTCATAGCTTACTGAAGAAAGTCTGGTGTTCAGGTTTGTGAATTGTGCGATTTTTGGGTAAAGATATTTTTTCCTTGTCTACACAGACTGCGCTAAATTTTATTCAAATACCACAAATATTTCCTACGATCATAAGAAAAGTAATCACAAAATAACAGCAATCAATTTCTACTATATTTCTCACTGTCTCACACATTTTACCATTTATTTTTTAAACGATGATTATGCATTAAGCTTTCCTTCTGCGCTTTAGTTTATATAGTGTTGATCGTTGTCTTTTCAGGTAAAGGTGAAATGCAACTGTTTTTCAGAAAGGATGAACACATTTTTAAAACTTTGTGTTGAACCTACATTTTAAAGCAAAACGAATGCAATAAAATACATAATTAAAGTGACAGAACTCTGATAGTAGGAAAATTTTAGGAATAGGTTTTACACATACCCAAGGATTGAAATTGGACCTGGTCAGTTTAGACTTAAATTAATATTACTTATTATTTTTAAGAATTAATGCTATCATTTCAACAGGTACCATTTTACACACAAGCTTTAATTTATGCAGATTTATTTTGTACGTTGCTTTTAATTCTTTGAAATTATGATTGCGTAATCGTATTCTCACTAGCTGTGATTTTATATTTTCTAGCTCTGTTGTATGAATATCGTAAAATTTTACACAATAATTTTCAAAATGAAATATTTTGTGCTTACACTGAGTCGTTTTCATCAATATCCGTCGAATCTTTTTGTGCAAAACACCAGTTAGAATTAACAATGGCTGAATGATGAGAGTTATTTCCATCCAAGTTGGTCGCTATGACGACTGAAATAGAATCCTGTACAGACAAAAAATTAAAGATGGAAATCACGCAAATCTAGCGAAAATATTAGCGATGTTATGTTTTTAGAAAAGGTTTCTTTTTGGGGTAGTATTTCTGTGTTCTAAATATGCAAAACTGATCTGTAATCCACATACTCTAAACCAATCTGAAAGGATTATGTCTGCCATATTGGTTGATGATCAATTTTTGCTCAGGGTAGAACACAGCATTAAAATCTCTCTTTTCTTGTGCATGAGGAGTGACAACAAAAATGAATACAAGGAATTCCTTGCGATGTTACATAGTTTAGATACACTGGGTATAAAGAAAAAAAAACAATGCTTATCTGAGGTCTCAAAGATGAATATGTGAGTTTCTCTTTAGGGGTAACACGATTAAAAAGAATTGGGAAAGTCGGTATCAAAGGTACAGCAGATGTTAGATATTTCAGAAACAATGAATATGAATAAATGAATTCTGTCCCAAAAAACTCACGTTTTTATGTTTTAACTTTTCATTCACAAAAGATTGGGCTTCTTCTAGAGACATTCCAATCAAGTTCACGTGATCAACACTCAGCAAGATATCTCCTGTCCTGATTTCACAAGGGGATGCAGCTGAAAATGTATTTAAAAAATGATGTGATGAAAAAAAATTGCGAAGGTTTTTTCTTTTGAACAGAAAACAAAAATAGAGAGTTTTTTAAGTTGATGAAAATGATTTTTTCAGTGACTTAACACCCTAAAAAATTAGTAAAGTCTTGTGAATATATGTTGTAGGATCTGTACTGCTTTCCTGTGCAAACTGATCATGATTTCATAGGCCTCTTGATGGCATCCAAAGATTGAAAATTGTCCTTACAATTATCTGAGGTAATAGCTTGACGAACTACAATTCTACCATCCAGCTCATCCAAAAGAAGAGTAGTCATTGCACTCTAGAAAAATATTTTATACATAGTCCTTTACTCACATATGAGCACATGAACTGAAAGATAATAGGAACGCGTACTATTCATTAAAGCAAAGGAGTTCTTTATTGGTGCTTATCTAGACAAGATCCATTCCACTATGAAAACCGTGAGTGGAATTTTGTCATTTTACGATTTTATATTGTCCATGTGATATTTGCAAAACCAGAGCTTCATTTTCGGAATCCAGAAAACATTTATTTCAGCGAATGAGTTTGTCTCTCGAGATTTTGATAATATTTTGATAATAGTAATCCTAACACGATTTTTATATATACATGAAAACCATGTGACTTGGACGATGGACAATGGACATTGCCCATTGCTTTTGTAGTTTAAGAATTTTTCGGCAAAAGAAGTCTTCATTTTAAATACCCATGTAATGAAACTTTCTCACTTAATTAAACTTGCTAGAACTTACCTTTTCGACCAATACTGACTTGGACTGAAGGCCAACCTTGTTTTTCTCACTTAACTACAAAATAGAAAGCGAAAAACATACATATAACACTTAAATAAAGAAATTACAATTATAATTTTATAGTTTCCGAAGGATAATTGAATTTTTTTCAATATAAAGTGTAATCTGGTCTTTGTATATGCTGTGCTCACAAACCCTTTCCAGTGTTTTGAGGTACATGGTTCTTACATAAAGTAGCAATTACTCTTCCAACAACAATGAACATAAATGATTATCTGAGATAAAGACTCGGGCCTCTTTCAAACCGTGTGTTTCACATTAGCCAGATGCTTTTGAAAAAAAAATAAGATTGTGAGAGATTTTATCTCCATTTTCTTTTTCTTTTTTAATGCATTCGGCGTACGTAAGATGCGACGTTTGAAACGGGCCTTCACAAAATAATTTATGATTTTTAATTCTTTAAGACAACCTTTTTGTCTGCGAACGTTGTAACTCAATTATTTTTTTAATAAGTTGGTGGAATTTTCGAGTCGAATTCACAATGTTATTAAAAATTCCCAATTTCCACAACTATAAAGAATTATCAAGCATAAAAAACAATGGTTTTATTGTATTAATATATTCAAATCAGTTGTTTGACAAACGTCTTTGACCTATTTCACGTAAGTTTCCATTCATTTAATTATCGTATGAGCGTCTCCATGAAGAAAATTGGGGATTTTCTCTATGAGGGTCATAGAAGTATATGCTAGTACACATTGGGTCTGAAAGTATCAACAAACTTTTAAATCTTTTATGCTGCTTGAACATTTCTTCTTTGCTTTATCGTACAATTGAGCGCTAAAGATTGGAATGAAAATATGTTTTACTGAACTTTCTTTACGTATGTTAGATTGAAATTGGGAAGAGCACGTCACCTGTCTGTTGCTTGATCACTGCTGCCGTTTGAAGATTTGAAAAATGAAGAAGCTAGTCTCGTATTCTCCTTTCCTGCAGTTGTGTCTTGAAAATAAATCACAAAAACATGTTAATGAATGTTGATTAATACTTTCAATCAGTGGCGTGCGGTGACCGAATTCAATAGGCAAGCGCTGACAGTGATTCCACAATGCATTCAGTCATGTTGTACAGGTGTCGTGAAAATACCGAATGTAAAAGTAGAACATAAAAGGATGAAAATTCCTATGCTATATATTTTATAGGAACATCAATCTTATTTATACCTTACATCAGTTACATGATATCTACCGGATACAAATATCAAAACTACTACGCAAAAGGAAGCTCTTGTCAATATCATAATCTTGTATTACATGCTACAGATAATATCTTCTACATACATAAATTGCAAGACAATAGGCGCGAAATGTATTGTAGCAGTCGTGATTATAACAATTAAGAACAGCCAGTTTCGCGCACAAAATCGGCACGGTGTGTTACAAACTGAGGCCATGGCGTTGTTTAATGTTTATATTTTGGTATAATGACGTCATGGCAACGTGTTCTCCCGTTCTTCAAAATGTGTCTGGCACTGACTCGTACGTTTCAGAATATCGGAGAGTCGTGTTTATTATTTAGTATCTTGTACCTTTTATTTTTAGTCATTAATTCAGCGACACAAGACTGACAAGAGCATAGTGTTTTGGTTATAATGCTAGTCATACTTTACCACAACACACGTTTGCGTGCATTTCGATATCTCTGCAGACTGCGGCCCCTGCTTGTTTACGCACATTGTGCGCAGAAAATAATAAAATAACCAGTAAAGCACCTACTACTTTGAATTAGAAATCAGAACATTACCTTTCGCTCTCAGTCATCTTTTAATAAACGATAACATTAACGGCGTGAATAATTCGGATGTCCAATGTGTTGAATATACGAATATTATTCGTGCGCTGATATGTGTTTAAAATTGCGAGCGTACAAGACTGTTGACCAATCGCTATCAAGCGGCGCCCTTAGAAGCGCCGCTTGCCTTTTCTCGATATTCCTCGAATAAGAAGCCTCCAAATCTAGATTAACGCATGCGCAAATGTTCAAATTGAGCTCCGAAGGCAAGCGCGCTTGGCTTGGTTAATAAATATTCGGTGTATTTAATCCACTTGACTCATCTTACAAGTGTAGCAAAGTGAAACCGAAAACCACGACAGTAAATCGCGTATAAATAGCAAGCATTTCAACTGTAAAGACAATTTAGACAAAAGATTACATTGACATTGTTTAGAACAGAAAAATTTAAACTGATTTTGCTCAGAGATTGATCCAAACAATTTTTGTTCGGTAAAATGCTTAGGCAAGCGGCGCTTGCCTACGCTTGCATGACCGCACGCCATTGCTTTCAATACGTGAATATAAACCTAAAATAATACGCTTGCATGACCGCACGCCATTGCTTTCAATACGTGAATATAAACCTATAATTTCCAAATTTCACATTGCGGACATGCTAAGAGATTCATGTATGCATGTTGTAATACGTCTTGAGATCAAACCAAATTCAAACTTTTGCTTTCTTTCTTTAAGCATAGATTTCCACAGTTAAGAGACCGCACAAGCTCGATAACTGGGGGGGAGGAAATATTCATATATTCGTATACTTTAATCTTTTTTAATCCATAACCACAATTAATTTCAATAGAAGCTACTAAGGCAGAACATGCATATATGAATATTTGCCCCAATTATCGAGCCACGCGGCCTCTGCGGTTGCGTGCACAAACTAATCTTGGATGTCTTTAAATTGAAACAAACTATCAGCGAATGGAAACCGACCCATTCTCATTAAAGATGGTTTATATTCACAAACAAAAAAAAACATGTTACATGTAATCGTCAAATGGAAGACGACCAATTCTTTTTGTAAACTGTTCATATTGTAATGATCGCACTTACAAATTCCTGAAAGTGAGTCCGTTTTTTATGTTTTTCACAAACTATATAAATAGCCAACTTTAAAAATACTCTTCAAAAGCAATTTCAGGTGACATAAAATACATTAAAATAATCCTCTTACCCTCATTGTCTTCTTTAAACGTTTTACGAATGCTTACATTGTCAACACCTTTTAAATACTTAAGCTCGACAAATTGTTTAGCATCCTTTAATGAAAAAATGAAAAATTTCAAAGTAATGCAGCTATAAACAGTGTCGACATGAACTTTTTAAATCATCAGTTGTTGCACAATTGGTGAAGATAATGTAAAACTTCCTTAAAAACTGCCTGATGCATTTTGTGAATACAAACGCAAATAAACTTAACAAAGCTTTTCGGGTACATTCAAAATGACAACCTCATTAACCTGACATTTTTGACATAACACTATTATGTCATTTATTTGTTTTAAACAATGTTAGTTTAATTGTTTTACACTTTAACTTATAACTTAGACAATACAACCATAGTGACTTTCCAGTGTTGTTATAATGGACTCATCTTTGACGAAATAAAACATCAAGTTTCACATAGATTAACTTAACACCTCTTACACAACACACATGATTCTGTCCTTTTTTTTTAATTTAGACGTATAAAACAGACCTTCTGCTTCATTTTTTTCAAACGTTTTTCCTCAAGCGTGAATAAAAAAGATGTGTCTTTTTTCGAGAGTATTTGCAATATTTGAGATTTTTAAAAATATCTTACATTGCAAGGACGCAGCACCATGTCATATTCTTTTGTTGTTTTTAGAAGTTGGACTGCCTAAATAGTATAACCATAGTTGTAAAATGAAACAAAAAAGAGTTAAATTACAGCTAATGTTGTATAACATAGAGGTATGATAAAGATTGACGTACTGTGGCCGGTTGCACGAAGCTTGCATAGCGTTGAAAAAATCTCTATCCAATGGATAACGCTATCCAGGCTTCGTGCAACCTGCCCCAGTTGAGTAAAACGCTCACACATGATAAACAAAAATAAATATATATCCTGCTAAAGACACCAAAATTTTTTTTCAATACTTTGGTAGTAACGTGAAATAAATTTTTTTCGGTTGAACACGATAATCGTATTAACATACAATAAGTATAGAACAAAATTCTCAATTTTCTGTAACCTAAATCATCCAACAATGCTTATAAAGAAACAAAGTGATCTTAACCCTATTTCTGGCAAAGTTATTTTAACCCTACTTCTGTTACTTCCAACCTCAGCATATTGAATTTTGGTAAAGTTCTTCTTGTTTAAAGTTATAATCTGATCTCCCACCTATAGAACAAAAATAGTTATAAACTTATCTGAAAACATAAATTAAAAGCATTGAAGCTGAAAAAAATAAATGAATCATTGATGCTTCGATTGTTTAACATGGGTGAGAGCAAACGTATAGAAATTATGATTCGAGTAAAGATAAGTTACTAAATTTTAACACTTTTCCATCGTAATGAATGCATGTCTGCAAGAAAAAAAACTCAAACAAGCTTTCAGCAAAAACTGCATGTTCTAAGATGAATTAATATGGTTATTCTCTAAGATGGAACTTTTTAATATTAAGATGGAACTTTTTAATATTAAGAGCACTATATGAATCGATTCTTCGTCTTTTCATTCCAATCAAAAGCACATGTTAATTAAAAGCACTTCTAGCAAGCTATTGCCGCGTGTCTCTTGCAAACAATGAAAGAGAAGATGAGAACAGTTTTTATACCGCTATACCAACGCGATCAGCTAACGAATCTTTATTAACATGGATTACAAAGATGCCATGTTTTGATGGGATACCATTTTTACACTGCAAAAATTACCAAAATATTTCGTTCATGACAATGGACTTTAAGATGTTTTTTTATAAAAATTATAGATTGACTTAATACGAATGTAATACAATTTATCAAAATGAAATAAAGTCACTTGCATGCAGACAACAGAAATGGTGTAGACGGTTCAACAAGGAAAAGTAATCAAAGATAAATTGTGACAAGTTGCATGTTGATATACTAATAAATGTTTGTAGATGTAGATTGTCCAGGTTGGTATAGTCCTGAGAAGGACGGTTTTTGTTGTTGTTGACTGATGTTTCGACAATCTTAGCGGTAGTCATCTTCACAGTCAAAATGACTACAGCCTGAGTCAAGATGACTACCCACGGACTCTGAAGATGACTACAGCTGAGGTTGTCGAAACGTCAGTCAACAACAACAAAAACAGTCCTTCTCAGGACTATACCAACCTGGACGATCTACATCTACAAAAATGTAACGATACTCCCGGGTTCAAGCCATTTACTTTAAACTAATAAATGTTGTCTTACTCGCAACCAAGACCCTGTGGTCCAACAACAAATTTCACGTGTTTATCAGTATCTCGAATTTGCAAGACTGGAGACTGGTTTCTAGTTAGCGTCAACTGGCTAACCAGATGATTCTGAATAAAAATATAAGCAAAAAATATCAAACAGTAAAACAATGATGATCATGTCTTGATATAATTGAATATAATTTTTGTACCTTGCGATTTTTACTGCTAATGAAAATCTATGATAAGAAAATCATTCTAGTGTAGGAAAAATTCTTACCAAAACGTTAGCATTGTATCGAAACACGTTTTCTTTGTCATCCATTGATTTCCAAATCAATTTACCGTTTCTATGAAAAAAGGAAAATATTGAGCTTGATTGATTTTAAAATTTTGCCTAGAGAATAGTACAGTTGTAAATATTCATAAGTCAGTCTTGATAACAGCCACAAGACATATACTTACATACGATCTGGGTATTTCCTGGTGCCTGAAGTAGATAGAATGCATTGAAATTGCACTCAATAATACAAAAGTCTTAGATAAGAAGATGACAATGGCTTGATAAAATAAACAGTTTGTTTTTGCTATTTCTTGTTTTATGCAAATTATGTTATATTTCCTGTAATACAAAATGTAGCTTTTGTAACCAAATCAGTAAAGAGTCCGTGTTTTAAATTCCATTTTATCGCTCATTAACTAATTAAATAATTATGAAAGGAAAATCTAGTATTTTGATTGAGAAACCAAAATGTTTTAACACAACATTGAACTATTATTGAATACTATAAAGAACTATACTACTGAGTCGAGTCTCAGCAAAACATGCAGCATTTATCTTTTTAAACAACATCGAACTACTATTGAATGCATAGAGAACTATACTACTGAGGCGATCAAGATTCTGGAAAACATGAAGCATATATTGTTTTACACAACATCAAACACAAATGCCTTTACAACGATGTCCAAATACCTTGAAAATTTAAAACTATTCTTTCAAAGAAGTTAGTTAATCAATAAAGAAACACCATTGATGGTAGCGTTCTTACTTCTCACTTTGATTCTGAGATTTCTTCTGTTTCTAATAAGACTAACAACCTCTGAATGCGTTGATTCGCGTATCGTAAACCCGTTGACAAGAAGCACTTCATCACCAGCCTGTAATAGTCCCATATGGAGCATTGGAATTATTTCAATGACTTCAAGTTATAAGTTATATTAAGTCTATTAATATAACTAATAATATATTAAGTCTATTAATAAAACTTATAATATATTAAGTCTATTAACATAACTTTCAATTTATAAGTCTATTAAAAAATAGAAAACATTTTCCAAGTTTTCGCAAACTGATAGAAACCCGCGGAAAAGTTTAGAAGAAATAAAAAAATTGCGTGGCAAACACGAGCAAAAGTGTTGTTTTTACTCACTAGAAAGAAGTAAATGTGTTTTCTATTTCGTTTATAGAATACACTTAAAAAACAGAGAAAATTTCTGCATTTTTTCAACAACGATTAGAAATAGCGGCAGCCTCAGGCTAAAAAATAGATTTTCCTTGATTTGCACAGTAATATATACCTGCATTAATTATATATAATCTATTGATTTGTGAGGGAAAATGCATTACAGCTGTACGTACAATATAGTGTTTTTTGAATCCGGGTAGTTGCAAAAATCTTTCTATTTAGGAAAGCTTAGACATTATTGTAATATACTCGTTAAAGAATTTTCCACATTTCTTCAATGTAGAACGTTTTTTTAAAGTAGTTAACAAGATTTTTATGCAAGCATATCGTTGAATTAGGAGTCAGTAAATTCACAAAAAGATTGCATTGCCATTGTCATTTTAACATACCTTCAGTCCAGCTATATCTCCTCTTGAGCCACGAACAACAGAGGATATAAAAACACCAACACCATGCTCTTTTCCTATCATCGTTTCAATTACATACGTCATTTAAAGTGAAAGCTTATGGTGTAATCATTCACAGAACAATCCCAAAATGCCTAACTCTACTGTTGTCAAGGTAATGCAAGGACGCTATTTTGAATATCGGAAAAAAATATGACCCGCAGTCTAAAATTCAAAAAAGGTAAAGAAACCAATTCTATCAAGTATTTAAAAAAACACCCACTGTTTGTAAATGTTTAATGGTATTCACCTTACGTGATAGTCACCTCCGCAACTGTTTATCAAATTGTCAACGTGAACAAGTACATTTTACTAGAGAATATCGTCCTTCATGCAAGCTCCTATTCAAGGCAGCAGCTTGTATGACTTTTAACGATAAGATTCAGTGATGTATGGATTTATAGGTATGTTATAAATTGGGTGTTAGGTCAATGTTCTTGTTGCCATAAACTATACAGTATCATTATATAGAAATTTTAATTGTTAAAGCTGATTTCCAGTTCTTCATTTCACATCTCAACATAATATAAAAGTTTCTTTGTTTTATGAGTTCATTTTCACAGTAACAGTGTGTCAGCAGAGGCGGCAGCAGGCGAAAGGAGAGGGGTGGGCAAACATAACCGCAAAATGCAATTTACATATTTTATACAGAGTTTCATACATCTCACATTTTCAATTTCTATTTATAAGGATCTTAATGTGGGAACTATAATGGGGTCAGTCGCCCCCTCCCCTTGCAAGCGTCTCTGCACGGTAAATCATATTATGGCGATATTTTAAAATCTTTTCAAATGAAGTAATGAGCAATATGGTTTGGAAGCTACAAGGTAGCTTTTGGATTCTGTGTGATAACGGAACTCAACTTTACAAATTGTTATGCGAATGAAACAGGTAAAATAGGTAGATTCCTATTAATGGTGTTCTTTTTAATGATAAAGACATTGTCGATTGCTGCATAACAAATGAAAGAGGTCAATTATGAAAATTTAAATTTTCATCACTTCACTTACCGCCTCGTAATCCAACACCCAGTGATTCTGATGCAACCTTTTGTATTTTAACTATTCTTATGCCTTCACTAAATATAAAAAATATACGCTCATAATTATTGCTTATGTTTTAAATATTCATCAAAAATTTTATTGAAAACTACGAGACTATAAGAAAATTGCACAAATGACATAGCAGTTTAAATAACAAATATATGATCAATAAATAAAATCAAGACACGTTTTAAACGTCAAACCTTAAAAAACTAATGCAACAAATATAACAATCAACAACAGTTATAGTCACGAGGAAAACAAGATAATAGACGGCTTGTCTCGTTTACGTTTTGCTGGCAGCAGATTTGGTCGAGTGCCTTTAGACAACACTTGCAACAATGGTCAACTGCCATCAAAACGTAAACAAGGCAACTCATCTATATACAAAAATATTTATACATGATAAACAGAACAACAAATTTTAAGCCGTTCAAACTTCTCTACAGTAGTAGTAAGTCCAACATAATACAAATCTTTATAAGATTCAAAACAGACGCAGAGCTGCATAAACATGCTACTTTTGAAGAGGAAGTATTAAACATAGCTACTATTTGGAGATGGTAGAATTAAACATATACTACTAAAAGTTGAAAGAATTGAACACATTGCCCTGGAGGTAGAGCAGGAGAGGCATTAAACATGCTACATTGGAGGCACAAAGATTTGAACATTCCACCTTGGAGGTATAGGAATTTTTGATACAAATTCTTGACAGTCATCAGGTTGCAGCAAAGACCTAAACGTACAATAAGTGTTTAATTTAAAGTGTTTCGATACGAAAAGGATATTTTTAAAAGCGACGTAAATTTATCAACAAGAAAGAAAAATGTATTCAGATGGCAGTTATCATAGCGAGAGTGAATTTTACTATCCATACGAAGCTATGTTTGCATACAAAATTTTAGTCTCAACATTAAGCTGTATCCGCCATTTTAGAACGCAAACTTCTTTATAATAAAGATCAATAAAATAAATACGTTTTTTAACGTTTAGGTCGGTCCGTACTTAAGAAATATTTTCACTCGGCCTCATTCTTGATAACTTTTTATGGCAAACATGCAAATTTTACTTTCCTTTTCTGTTGTAAAACCATTCTTTTAACTTTACGGAATATAATCATTTTTTTATGGCAAACATGTAAATTTTACTTTCCTTTTCTGTTGTAAAACCATTCTTTTAACTTTACGGAATATAATCATTTTTTTATGGCAAACATGTAAATTTTACTTTCCTTTTCTGTTGTAAAACCATTCTTTTAACTTTACGGGCCATAATCATTTTTTTATGGCAAACATGTAAATTTTACTTTCTTTTTCTGTTGTAAAACCATTCTTTTAACTTTACGGAACATTATCATTTTTTTATGGCAAACATGTAAATTTTACTTTCCTTTTCTGTTGTAAAACCATTCTTTTAACTTTACGGGCCATAATCATTTTTTTATGGCAAACATGTAAATTTTACTTTCTTTTTCTGTTGTAAGGCCATTCTTTTAACTCTATGGGCCATAACAATTTTTTATGGCAAAAATGTAAATTTTACTTTCCTTTTTTGTTTTAAAACCATCCTTTTAACTCTACGGCCATAATCATTTTTTATGGCAAACAGGACACCATCTTTAGCTTATATGCATGGTCATGTTTATAGATGTAAAAAATCAATTTATGCTATCTCAGTTTATAACAATTTTTAATTGTGAAACTCTCAATATATATAGGTCGTTTGCAGCCATTCCTCTGGGAGTGAGAGAGCAATGGAGTGTTCGCCATGTTTGATGACATTTGCATTGCAGATAAGAAAAATTCTATGTTAAAATCATCCAAAATGACGGGCTTTGACGTATTTGCGTAACAAGAATTGAAAATTAAGAGCAATGAGATCAATCAAGTTGCTTCATAGAATTATTATAAATAGAAATAGATATAAATTTAAAAATGAAACTCACCCGACTTCATGAAAGAGAACGTATCTTTTTGGTGTATTTATAATTGGCAAGAGATCAGATATCAGTTTGTCGACTTTTCTGCCTCTGTTGTAAAAAACAACATGTGTAGTAAGTTAGTATTCATGGGTTGCAACCAACCTCCAGGGAATTATCGAACAACGTGGCTCGCCCACTACGGCTGGTGCCCACAATAGCATTAATAAAATATTCTTTTGTATTTGACCACCAACATGGTGGCCATGACGTAACATGCAATCCACGTACAATGTGTTTAATCACGTACATCTTCTGTGATAACAGAAAGCCTTCAAAAACGAAAAGTTTCCTCGTGTGCAGCAAAGATTAACGCTAACAAACCACTTAAATATTTTGGTCAAAGCAAAGACGAAGAAATAACAAGTAAGAAATATTTATATTGCTTCTATTTGTCATGTTAATGTGGGATAAAGATGTATGACGGTTGAAATCATGTTTACAACGATTGGTAACTGCCGAGATTGCTTTTGTAATAATTTTACAACGATTGGTAACTGCCGAGATTGCTTTTGTAATAATTTTACAACGATTGGTAACTGCCGAGACTGCTTTTGCAATAATTTTACAACGATTGGGAACTGCCGAGATTGCTTTTGTAATAATTTTACAACGATTGGTAACTGCCAAGATTGTTTTTGCAATAAAAATAATCGCAAATAAAAATCCGAATTGCATAGCTTTGTTACACCTTCTTCTCATTTGTTCTTTTTTGTTTAATATACACTCCGTAAATGTGTTTCTCACACAAATTCATATGAGAGTTTAAGTTCTTACACTTTTTGTTGACATAAGCATTAAATATAATCCAAAAGTAAAGCAAGACAAATATTTTCAATATGCAGGTGAGCGGAAATAAGCGCAGTTCAAAGAAAACTTAAGCATTCGGAAATGTTTCATTTCGTATGTCATTTTCATTGCTCGGTTGAATAAGAATAGCACATCAACTAATTTTTATTTTTTTGTGACTCATAATTATGAGTATGAGTACAAAAGAGAATTTAGAAAAAATTCAAAACTGACTGTAGGCTGTGTTAAATAACACATAACTCGCCACCATCTCGTCATGTGAAAAATGAATAATGATATTCCTGGCTGTAAAATGACCATAGTTGAAAATATCATTAGCCAAAATGCAATACAATAAAAAGTTAACTGAAGTTTTAAGTTGTTTAAATACATTCTGTTTTGATTCAAGGAACTCGTAAAGATTTACTTTAAATCATCGCAAATAATCATTTCAATTACAAAACTGTACCTCGTGTATGATTTTAATGCTTCGTAAAAGCTGAGTATTTCTTCGCTTGAATCGATACAATTATTGACCTAAAGAGTGTTAAACATTTCTGAAAGGCCATAATTTTAGTTTCTGTCATGTCATGAATTCAAGATACATATTCCAGTTCGTTATTTCGATGCATTATTCTCTTTACTACAGAATTTTCAACGAAAGATAATGGCTTTTGATATTTTCCAAACAATTTGAAGCACATTATAGCTAGAATATTAATATGATGGAGAAGTTGGGCATAATAAATTAAATTCGCTCTATTTATGCTAATCAGGATATAGCCGACATATATATATTACAGTGTCTGTCTTTCTACTTCTACAATCAAACCAAACTTGTACAATGTCAAATTGTCAATGTACATAGAATTTTTTACTTTGGAACACAATCTTTCTACAAAAAAATGTGTAGAAGTCATTGTCTTTCTATTCGAAGAAGAAATCTTAAAATTCGGGATATTTTAACACCTCCTCCATCAACAATATCGTATATTCCATTGATTACATGCTTCATATCTTCCTTCAGTTAACTGTCGTTTGCTTACTGTCAGATAACATACCTTTTCTCGAAAGTGTTTGGCATGAATATACATTTCCTGTTGCCCAAACATGACCATTTAGAAGTAACGCTGATAAAGAAAATGTAAAGCAAAGCTTAACTGGAACTTGAGCTTTTAAAGCAAGCGTCTATAGCAGACGGAATTCTATAATTGTTTACATTTAGATGTTCAAACCACATACAAATTTTACCAACTGCGATTTACAGCATTAGAAGATTAAGTGTTAGGTAAAGCAACTTATTACCAAGACAAATATAAGGACACACGTTTACAATTCATTTTCTAAAAATACAATAGCTCTATGGAGACCATGTCAACAAAACTCTGGATTTCAGTTGTACTCTAGAGTGATGTATTCCAATTTTCGTCTGACAAAAAAACTTTTAAAAGATAGTTTAAAGAGTTTATTCATAAAATAAACAACACATGAACACAACACTATCAAAATATTCATCTAACATATTGTGGCGAGAATGAATTAACAACTCCAAGATGAAATGACAGTTTAATATCAACAAATGACAACCATAGTAATATTTACTTATGTTTTTACGTGTACAAGTGTTTGTGAATATCCCATTTTTAGCTATTTCCCCAATGCAGCAAATATATAATTAAATAGGCAATAACGTCAGGATTTTTCTTGAAATTGTTGTGATGTGAGTGCGTAGCTAAAAACCAAAAACACAAAAAAATTAGTAGTTTCTTCTTCAAAATTTTTAAGATTCAAGTTTTTCGACACAGATAGAAGAGAAAAAAAGTTTTGTTTAAAAGGTTTTGATGATTGCATACAGTTTTCAAGTGATGGTATGTCTACAGGTTTGCCGAAACATAAGTTTTATACAATATGAACTTTTGATTTCATGGTTATTTTGATCATGCAAATTTAGAAAGTGAAGTGTATAAAAACGAGTAAAAGTTGAAACATTTTTCCCAAATTTAACGCAAAGACATTTTTTGTAACGTGCAAGACAGAAGGAGCTATTCGGCTTTCTTTAAATGAGTCAAGACTTGACAAGTTAAGGTTGTGAAAATTCATTAATAATCTATTTAGGTGCAACGTTTTCAAAAATTCTACAGTTCAAAAATACGAACCTTTTGGTGCAAATTAGACAAGTCAAGAAGACTTTCAGTTGTTGTTTTCTTCGATAAGTTTGTAGACAAAAATAGTTTTGCCTCCACCGTAGCATAATTTTGTACTGTGATGTTCTTCTTCACATTTCTTTTCTTTGTGATCATTACCTTGGCTTTCCTTTTCCTTGTGATAGCACTGTTCTGTTTCACCGACATTTTCATAGGTTGTTGAATTTCCAGAACCACTGAAGCATAGACCTGAAAGATTAATCTTACGTAAATACGAACACTTTGACATATAGCGTCATGCAGTAGTGTATGGATCTTTTCAGAATAAACCAAGTTGGAGGTCTTTTACATACGAATATTTCATCAGCGCTATTGTGGACTTTGGGGGGCCTAGTTGAATGTTTTTGTTTGGTAATTCTTGAGAGAATGGTTGCATGTTAAGAATACTTCTACTTCTACAATAGATCATGAAAACGCAGACAATATGTGTAAAACCATGTGATGACGATCAGCGTCATGTAGTAGTTTACAACTATGTATACAACCAACTATCTATACAAATATGTACACCACTACCCAAACAACCATCTACACAACGATCTATATAACTATGTATGAACAATGTACACAACGATCTATATAACTATGTATGAACCATGTACACAACGATCTATATAACTATGTATGAACCATGTATACAATGACCTATACAACTATGTATGAACCATCTACACAACGATCTATACAACTATGTATGAACCATGCATACAACCATGTACAAAACGAAATTTTTTGTATTGATAAAACTTTTGCCTTGTCAAAATTAGTTGTTGAAATCTTCTTAAAATACTAAAAACTAAATAATAATCTTGCCTTTTTTATGGATTGCAAATTCTTTGTATCCACGCGCCTTGCTTTCTTGTGCGCAACGGCAGACTAATCGTTCTATGTACTCATCCCAGTCTTCATAATCGGTAGCATTGATCCCAGAAAATTTGCTGCTCAATGGGTTGATGTCATCAATGATTAACTCATTCAAAGCTCCTGTTTCTGGCTTTCCTTCAAAACAGCCAACAGACTCATAGGATATTTCACATGCAGCTTGTTCAGCTAGAAAAGAGAAATCAATGATATAGAAAAAATTTTATATATTGTGAGCATGTTTTTTTAAAAACTTTATTTATTATTAAGTTGTGCAGAAAAATATTTTATTTCAAAAATCTCATTGACAGGATCCGAAATATGTTTAAGCAGTTGCTGAAGGGTAGACTGCACTATTGTCTCTTGAGTTTTAAAGCGAGTTTTATTAGTATAGACAACAAGATTCTAGACTTGGTAGCTCATACTTACTTTGCACCGATTGCACGTCGGCATAGATTCTGGAGATCTTACACAAAAGAATAATTTACTAACTCTATTGATACTATGTATGTTTTCTTTAACTCTGGAAAACGGTTGCATGCCAAAAATTTCATCAAATACACCGAAAGCAAAATACAAAATAAGCTACAGGGATCAAATAGCATTCAAGATGACGTGTATATTTTACCTATGAAAGTAGCAAAACCAATCTTTTGACATTTAAAACTTCGAGTGAAAAAATCATAGCAACAGTTATATTACTGTTGTGTACCTAACCCATTTTATTTTTCCTGTTTTGCTTATTTTTCTTTGATTTCACTCAAAGTAAAACAAAATATTTCGAGACAGTTGAATAGTTATGTAATTTCAATACTGAAGTGAACAAGCAGGGCTGTAAAACATTAGAAGAAGGCTACTTGCTTGTACAAACATAGGAAATATTTTCAATGTTATGGTTACCTTTTGAAACAATATCAAAAATTTCTAACTTCTTTTTATGCAACATATGAATTCAAATAAAAGTTAGTTAATTGCTTCACCTTTAACAATGCGATAGACAAAGTTTGAGCCGCCCACTCCACTGCAGAGCGGATCGTAATGAGCACAACTTTTGTAAGATGTTTCGATGCATGTTGTTGCTTTGCCATCTTTATAATAGGTCGACATTGCGCGATTTCCTGTCCAACACTCGCCTGAAGGAAAGAAGATGAGCCTTAGCAAACAAAACAAATCGTATTCAGCGTAAGTCTATATTAGCACAGAAACCATTTCATTTTCAATGTAATGATATTCAAAACTTATCAATTATTTTGACACTTTTTAATTGCTAGCTTACCGTAATATTGAATACCAAAAGTGTTCCATCCCAATTTATTAGTCTCCTCTGCACAATGGCATACAAACTTTTGAAGATAAGTGCCAAAGTTATGCCAATCAATGTTATATCCAACGTAAGAACCATGAGACTCATCACGAGCAGTTAGAATGTATTTTTCCATTGGACGGGGATCCATATTATCTCTATAGCAACCAAGACGCTCCAATTTATATGGCCATGAAGCTGAAAAAGAATAGTTGATAAATGTAACGTTAAAATTTTGGCAAGTTATTTCAACAAGAAGGATTATGACGAACAATGTAATATCATAAAAGAGCACAGAAGATCACTAAGGATAGCTAAGGATAGCTAAGGATAGCTAAGGATAGCTATTCTCACTAGTATGTTTTTGCAACTCAGAAAGTATGAAAGCCACTTACATACTTCGTAGATATAGTTTCGATTTTCAGCACCAATACAATGTTTTGAGTTATCGCATTTTTTATACTTCAAATCAAAACATCCTTCCTCTACCTTCTGAAGATTTTTTAGATCTTTTGTTAGTTGTCCTCCCCAACATTCACCTAAAGAATTTCATTATTTAGTATCTATTCATATTGGGCTCCATTTCTAAATTTTTGTTTGGACCTTTGTTTACTGAGGTGCATATTTTTGCAAGTTCAAGTTAAAAATCAATTTTAAAAGATAAAAGTCCAAGCCAAAAGACAAAAGTCCAAAGTCCACGGACAAAAGTCCAAGATAAAAGATTCAAGTACAGCAACATTTACATAAAGTACTGCAGTTTTTCATCACGATGCCATTCAGGATGTTTTAGTGATTAATAATAAAGTAGCTCTGTACACGTGATAAAACAGTGATGTGTTTCTATGGCATTTTTGAGAAAAGCATCTGTTAGTGAGAGTCTATGGAAGGGAAAATAGGAGATTTTGAGAACACGGGTTTTTTTCTACAGTATTCATTAGCTTTCATATATTAGCAAATTTAAAAAACTTGAGTTTTTTTTACGACCTTACATTTCCAGCTTTTCATCTATTCTTTCGTTCTTTTCATTTTTTCTAACCTAACTAATCTTACCTACTTCTTTTTCTTATCTTCTTTTTCAATCTCATTTTTTCTATCTTATTTTTCGTAACTCCTTTCCTTAATGTCTTATATCCTAACACCATGATTCTTTCTCACTTTTCTTAGCTACTTCTTTTAAACCTTTATTGCACAATAGCAAGTGCATTGAGCAATAAAGAAACCAATCAATTTAAAGTGAAAAATTGAACTGTGCACTAAAGGTTAATGTCTATGTTCGGTAGCACGGGCATAAATGCAAGAAAGTCAATCACTTTTGCATCCTGTGAGCCAAACAGCATTGCATAGGGTGCCTTGAAATATTTTCTGGTAGTGATTGAAATCCACTGCAGATCTAGCAGTGAATGAGTTTGATCTAATTAAAGGGCATCGTACTTTTCTTTCTAACCGACTTCTTCAAATCCATCTTTCTTAAAATAGTTTATTTAACCTTACCCCAGAACTGCATTCCAAAGTGAGTACTTCCCTTTCTTTTGGCAGCTACTGCACAACGGCAAATAAACCGTGGCAAATATTCATTGAAATTCTTCCAGTCGATCTTAATACCACTATACACATGACTGGTTACATCTCGGTCAGATATCAACAATTCAGGTAAGACTCGATCATTATGCTGATCCTTGTAACAACCAACTTGTTTATATTGATAACGACATTGGTTGGCAACAACATCAAGGCAAGATGATTCGACTGAAAAATATAAAAAATGGTTTTCCTAATATGGCATTGTTTAATTGAGATAAGCATGAATTATTTTGTTTAATGATGAACTTTTCTGCTGCATTTACTTCTTCTTTAAAAAATTTATGTGGTTTTATACCGTGCAATTTGAAACTTATAAGTAGCAACATAGTAACGTATCCGGAAGGGGAGCCTTGGCTCACCTAAAATATTATTTTTAATATTTCCTATCTTGTTCGAATGACAGTTATGCTCCCCTTCAATTTTTACTGTCCCCCCCCCCTTAAACCACTTTCAAAATATTGTAAGGCGCTTGGTTTAAGAGCCTATAAGACTGTATGAATTTTTAAATATCAACATGCAATCATAAATAAGTTAAAAATTAATATATTGTGCTAAAATTTTCTGACACTCTTTGATAAACAAGTTAAATCTAATTAACAAATAAATTTCAACACTACCTGAACTGACAAAAACAGCCATAAGAAAAAGGAAAAGTTTCAAAAAACTTGTACTCATGTTTCAAAATTTGTCCAGTACCTATAAATAGAAAATTGAGGATTGCAAAAATTAAACATTCAATGTAGGAAAGAAAAATTATTTCTATTGAGAATTAATGCCTTTTCTAAAATTATTATTTCTCAATATTTCTTATACTTCATCATGTAAAATAGAACACCATAAACATAGCCACAAAAAAGTCGAAATATCCCTGTGTAAATTGTCGTTTTGTCTGACTTTGTCTTGGAAAGTGTGTGTTAAGTGTGACTTCCTTAATTTTTAATAAAGAAAATGTTGCAAATATTATTTTGTAACGAGAAGAATCATAAAGTTTTATGTTGAATGATAATAGACCAATCAGTGGCGTAAATTTGAACCACACTTCCTGTAGTGCTTCCAGGATGTCGTGCCTCCCCCCTCCCCCTTACAAATTCTGATAACATAACCATTTTCTTAAAATTATAGTTGATAGAACACAATTTTTACTGATTTTTATATCCATACAGAATAATACCAAATAGTGCTTTCAATTTTCTTCCAAGAATACGAATTCACGAATGCCGACTTTGAATGAGAAATATGAAATTCATAGTGCTATGACGTTCTGAAATACAAACTTACATTTTTTTCTCTAGTTTCATGACATCGTTAAGGGTGTCCCCCCCCCTTTTTTTATTGCAAGCTGATTGCTTGGGTGTCCATGACTTTTGCCAACTAGAGCTCATAGCAGTTACGTCTCAGAGATCAGTCATAGTGTAGCATCATTTATGGTAATTGCTGTAATTCTATGTAATAAATTTCACTATGCTTAGGGAGTCGAAATGCTCTAATGTAAAAAAATAAAACAAATTTATCCGAAGTGATATGGATACAATGTCAAACTTCGATTTAAAAGCTCTGAATCAATATTTGATTTTAACTACTGAAGTGTACCGGCTGAACAGAGGTGGAATTTTCTCAAAAACACCTCGATTACAATTATATATAAACTTTTATAAAGATATGTCTTTGTATAACTTTATAACTTTATGTTTGAGCTGCACTCCCATTTTTCATTTAGCACGTTTTTATCGTTAGCCTCGTTATTAAGAGGAATATGGAAAGCACTTACAGGCAAAGAACATTCAACATGTAACGATAGATATAACATTCACTTATTATTAAATCAATATTTAGGATAGTTATTTGTTTCATAAGCCCTTGATCTAATAGAAGTGTTTATTGTCTGCTAACTCTGCTTTCTCAAATTCTGAATCTGTATCCAAGGCTTTCAGTGTAGTTTTTGCCCATGGGAGAACCAAGAACTTTTTCAGCCCAATTCTCCAAAAAAAAGAATAACTGTGTGGACTATTTTTTTGGTGTTAAAAAATATGTCCCAGTCCTTCAAAGTGGGCACACCCCGATATTTAAAGCTAAAGTTATCCATGCATTACTTTTGAATAAAAGACAATAGTTTTCTTGATTAGATACAAAGAAGTGCAATTCGATGTCTTTATATCAAACGATAAAGTGGTATTCTGAAGGAAGTTCAGAAATATTTAGTGATGCTACAGTAATTTAAAACTTATGATTGTCTGATTAACGTTTTAGTCACAGCTATATTTTTCTAAAACATGATATGTAACATTGTATTAAATGTACGATGATGTAAAAATAATATATAATTTCTCTTCCCAATACACAAAATGATACACGATGCAAAATACCTTATCTTGTGGTCTTCACAGTCTCGTTTTTCTAACTTTAACAATGACGAAGGCCTGTACTTGATATGCTCGATACTTGCACTTTTTATCTTTTATATCTTATTTTTTTAAGCGCAAAAATTCTAAACAAAAGATGAAAATTAAAGATGCTTTATGCCCGTGAGACCTGACAATCTGTTGAAGAATTTGTCTATGATACAAATTACATCTCAAAATTGAAACAAATTTCATTAATCACATCTGTTACTAATGATTTTGACGTAGATGTAATCTTACACAGAAGATTTTGAATGCATTCATAAAAACGTTAGGAGAAAACTGGGAAGGGGATGATTCTATATACAGGTTAATAGAATTCTTAAATCCATCTTATCACTGCTTTTAAAATTAGCCTTCTCACAAGGTTTTCAGCTATAAAATGTTTATACAAGCTATTATTTCAATTTATTCTCTTTTTAAAAAGAAATATAATCGCTTGTTTATTAACCCTACTGACATTTGCTTTAAGCAACCATGCATCCAGTATTCAATTATTATATATATTGGACTATTGGTGTTTATGTCAAGCAACTTTAAATCTTTATCTATTTATTATGACCAAATTTGGTATTAATGTTAAGAAACATATGAACAATAGAATGCTCTTATCTACAAGATCTGCATAAGAATGGCTAATTATAGCTATTTTACGTGTGAGACTGACAAGCTTAAGCTTTTATTGCACGTTGTGCACAACAGTAACCGCGGCAACTCAAACTCATTTGAAGATATAGCTTGCACGATCAAGGGATGAAAATTTCGACTTTATATGAGTTTATTTTTGTTTGATAAACGAAAACCGTTTGCAAAACAAAGTCTTACGAGCCAAGCAAGTTATGTTGTAGCAACGTATTTAACAAAACTGAAAATTTAAGCGCTTAAAATTATGTAATATTTGATAGTAAAGCAATTATTTTGAAACTTCAGAAGTTGTTTCGAATCCTGAGTGTAGTTTTGTCATGTAAAGATGTACATAGCTATAACTTTGATATAATGTGCAATCTATTATTTTAATGTAAACAATAAATATTCAACATTTGAAGAATTTTGACAACGACGCATGCAATGAGTCAGCAAACTAAGTTTATCATCTCAATACATAGCAAAGTTATAAAAAATAATTCGTGCTTGATTTTCTAAAGACCGAAAATCTGATTTATTGCCATACTTCCATTGACATAGATCTTTATATTCATTAATGATGTTGAGCAGTTTTACTGCAGTGATAAACATCTTAGCTACAGACGAAATCTTTACTTATATTGCAACAATGAATGTTTCAACTCTAAATTATTGATTTAATTAGGAACACCAAGTAATTGAAACTTTTTAAGAAATAATTTTGTTATTGATCACGATTTTTTTTTTAAATTATTTTGCAAAATTATTTGACATCGTTTTGAAAATTACCGTTTAGATTTCAGTATGTAAAGTTCTCTTTTGCTTTTTATAGATTTTCAGGAATTAACAGACAGCGCTTTATAATTCACAATTCAGAAATTTCAATTGAAGTGACTTAGTCTTTAAGAGCCGGCAGTCTTTTTCTCATTTCATTTTTATTTGTATTTAAAAAAGACATATTTCTAACACCGGATAGAAATACAAGTCTAAAGCTTTTATTCTTACTCTCATTCAAAGTTTCCTAACCAGTCGCAGAGCCACTGAGAGAAAATTTGGGGCCAAAAGCAAAATTTTGTGCTCCGTAACCTAATGATTTAAAAAAAAATTGTCTAGAAATAACGAATTACGGTTGCTGTCTTAATTTCTAGTATATTCTCAAGTGAGGGATCCCTTTACAGGATCGAGCCAGGGGCAAAATGGTCAGTCTCACCTGCCTCCCCCTCACTATGTGGACATGACCAGTCTATTTTAAATTTCAAAGATGTCTTTTACAAATAAATCAACAAGACAACTTTTCTTATTACAGTATAACATGAACATCGCCAACAATTAGGTTTGTGTAATTTAGTAGACAACAAAAACATTAAAATAAAATGTTTTAGCTTTTATGGAGACATATTATGATCAGAGACGGGGTCTTTTCACATATGCAACGAAAAATACTTTCTCTTTGATTAAAGCGTTGGAGTATACTGCTTATTTTGAGTTGACTGCTATTTTACATAAAGTTTCATCATACAATGTTGAATACTTCGCATTTTTTTTGTTTAATCATGTCTAGGAACTTTATTGGTGTGAAACTACATTTTATAGTTGTTGAGCGAAAAAAAATAAAATTTACAAACAACGTATCTATATGAAATCTCATTTAGATGTTATAATTAGCAATGCATGTTGTGGATACTGTCATTGGTTCATTTTAATTATTTTGAGGCTTTTAAATAGAAAATGTTTATCTTTGGTTGAGAGCTATTAGTGTAAAGTTTTGACTTTGCTATAACAATAGTTCATATGCAGCCTTTGAAGAATTACGAAATTTGATAAAGAGTTAAAACTTATGAACAGACATATAAAAATTAAATTTGCTATAAAGGTTCAGCACATAGCCAGGCTCAGACATACTGTGGCAATCTTTACTTTAATGCATGTTTCAAGCTACTATCCAGGTGAAAAATTAATGTTTATCAATCAAAATCAAACACAAAGAAGTTAATCACGATAGTTCATGCTATTGTTAACAAAATTTACAAATGGAGCGTCATCAGAAATGGTTACTTGAAAAACTATGAAGTCGTAAGCTTGCATAAATTTAACAATTGTGCAACTGAATAAATAAAACCAATTAAAGTTGACATGAGCATTCTCGTCAATCTGGACAGGACAGCATATCATAAAATACACATACCTTCTTACTGGAGTACAGCAGTTACAGTTTGAAATGATCTCAGTTTAATAAACCAAGCTACTAAGCTACAAGTAAACCATCAACTTTGCAACTTAATAGCTTTTACGTTTCTTTTCACATTCCGATTCTTTTATAGCCATCTAACACTATCATCAATTACAGACTTAATGGTTCATGTAATTAATAATTGCATAGTTCAAAAGTTGTATTGTTTACTGTGCATTTTTCGAGATGAATTTGTTTCTTTATTATTTTACAGTGAGGAACTTTCGCCGTTATGTTGTTTGTATGTATTTAGTTAAGTTATTGGGTCAAAATTTCTGTAAACGAAATATTTCTGGCTGTAAAAATAATTTTTGCATCATGTTAAGACGACAGATGGAACATTCTTGAAATATTTGACCATCTTTGGAGTTAATAAATTGTACGCACATTAAATCATACATTATAAAATAGAGACTTTGTCGTGGTGACAAATCTGAAAATAGTTCTAAAGATATCAAATACCATAGTGAATGGTAAAAGTAATTTAATAAGATGACAGTTCTTAAAAGAACTGTTTTAAGTAAAGAGCGCTAACCCAATAGTTCTAAATTAAATGACATATAATAAATTGTCTGTCGTCTCCGTGAAGCGTTAAATTGGCATAATTAAAATAGTCATCAAGCTGCGCAAATATTATGGTTAATAACGTATAGCGGTGTAAACCATAGCAAATAGCAAGTTAAAACTGTAGATATTTAGGATGCCCGTTAGAAGTGTGGAAAAGAGGCGAAGCAGGCTGCAACACTTCCGAAATTTCGACAAAAATTTGTGGAAAATTTCTCATGCATTTTCTGTATAAATCTTTTCAATATATACATATATTGGTATATGAATATAATATTTTCGTGGTTGTAAATACAATCGTGTTTTTATGCACATATATAAGTTCGCACGTGCTTGGCTTGACAACAAAGGAAATTAGTATGATTGATAACCTATTCTACAATCACTTTTTTAGTCCTATCAAAAATTTTATGGTTCTTTTGCTCCACATCCAACACATACATAGTTATATTGAGTGTATCAAAAAACTTCTCATTTTTGAAATCATCCGATACGTACAATTTATATGATTCATCAATAATTAATGTCGGAAGATCCGTAATCGCAATTGAATACAATAAAACATATGTATTGCCACTATAGCACTTGTCCAAATCAATGCGTTTGCGCTGATTACAGAGGATCAGTCAGCAGCTTATAAATATTGAATCATTCAAGTTCTAAATGTTGGCTGATTCAAAAGGGAAGCAGCTCGGTTTTATATACCCTTTATATTTCATATATGACTATTATGTTATTTTTAAGTGAAATATAAAGTCTCAGTTGTTAATTTATCGCTGTGTTAAAAGTGCATCTCTTTATCTTGGTTGATAGTTTAGAAATTTCTTCCCAGTGATTTGGCATTAGTCACAGACCAGATGTTGACGTCATGATCAACATCAAAATCAGTTTAGATTGTCTCCTAGACTAATGAAATGCATACAAACTCCTGCATACCAAGAATAATTTGTTGTTTAAAATCACTGCTGACTAAAGGTAATGCGTTAAATCTCCTCGTTTATCTTAATTTCTTTAAAAACTATTATTTTAATTTTGAAGACTTAAGTCGAACACACAAGCCCCACCTTCCACAATTCCCTAATTTAGTTGCCAATGCAAATGGCTACCGGACAAAAAATCAAAGAATACAGCTTCCTAATCAATTTTTATCGACCAGACATGCAAGGACAAATTGTCACTTACAGTTACATGTATGTATCAAGAACTTCTCACCTTTGAAGTCATCCGACACTTACAATTTTTATGATTCAGCAATAATTAATCTCTGAATCGAAAGGGAAGCACTTCAGTTCCATATGCCCTTCATGTTAAATTGAGATGCAAGAAAGTAAAGGAAGCAAAATTTTTTCTCTAAATATAGTTTAGAATTAATTGATGAAATTGAAAAGTAAGACCTGTCGAACAATACAACAGATATAAATACAGCTAAACAACAGATGAAGTTTTGATGAAGTCAAAAAAGAAACAAGTTGCCACAAACAAAAGCTTTATCCTCAACTAAACATTTGATAAGAAAAAGAAAAGACAATGCTTTCTACAGTGAAATTTTCATTTCATTTCATTTGCTTCAAGTTATCCTTCTTTAATTGTTGGCTTGTAAAGAATTTGATTTACACAATCTCTAGCGTAATTTAATGATATTGTGGTTGAATAAAAAGTCGTTATTTTTGTGTTCTTTTGATTAAATTTTTAATTGATCGTTTATTATTGTCGTCATAGCAACATGGACGGCATGAAACAAATCTTTTCATATAAATTGCACACACACTTTTGCTCAATTATTTTCAAAGATTATTTCAAAGTCACGGTTTGAATAGACCTGAGCAAAGGTACTTTACGGTTGTGGTGTATTTCTTCTTCCAAAATAATTCATTATTGCACTTTTTTCGTAAAATATATGCGTTAAATTTTTAACGCCAATAAAGTCTAATAACTTGGACAAACTCAAAACTTTACAAAATACAACATAGACAAGTTTCAAAAACAGACATCTTGTTTATTTGACATATTCTAGATAGAAAAAACGCTTGAAAGTTAAGAGTAGAATATCAACATCTCGTCCTTACATGTCTGGTCGATAAAAATTGGTTAGGAAGCTGTATTCTTTAATTTTTTGTCCGGTAGCCATTTACATTGGCAACAAAAATAGGGAATGGTGGAGGCTTGTGAGTTCGACTAAAGTGTTCAAAAAATTATAGTTTTTAGAAAAATTAAGACACGTGAGGAGACTTAACGCATTGCGCTTAATGAGCAGTGATTTTAAACTACAATGTATTCTAGGCATGCGGGAGTTTTATGCATGCCATTAATCTTGGAGAGACAATTTAAACTGATTTAATGTTGACCATGACGGCAACACGTGGGCTGTGCCTAAAGCTAAATAACTGGGAACGGATGTCTAAACTATCAACCAAGATATAGAGTTGCACTTTTTAAACAGGGATTAATTAACTATCGAGACTTTATATTTCACTTAAAAATAACATAATAGTCATATATGAAATGTTTCTCTAACCTCTAGAAAACGGACGTACTTTAAAAGAAATCAATACCATTAAAAATGGATTAAATATTTAATTAATACAATTCATACGACTTAAGCGAAAGAATTTTCACACCGGAACTGTTGACATGCATTGGCATAGAATATCATATGAGGTAGCATCAGAACCATTAGAACTGATGTTTTACTTTATCAATTATTAAACATTGACAAGAATTTGTAAACTTGATCAAAATGTATTATTTAGTACCATGTCTGATCGATCTAACATGATTGAAAGATTTCGAATGAATATGCAAATGGTCTAATGCGACTGCTTGTAGGAAGTAGGGAGATTTCACATGATTAATTTGGTCAGTTGTCTTCAAATTATATGCAACCCAGTGCTTTGGTACTGCCATATAATTTTCACTATTCATTTCTCGATTAATATTTTCACGGAGAGAGAATACAGAAAAAAATTGTAAATAGCCATGCCAAATGAGCGAGCCGGCTGCTTCACTGTGTATATGAAAGACAAACTAAAGATTTTATCCCATTTACCATACCAAGTACCAGAGCAATTTAAAACCTTCACACTTGGCTAATACAAAATATTTGTTTTTGCTATTACTTACCAGACATTTAAGTCATATGCACTAACATGCAAAATTTACTCATTCAAAGTCTCAAATATTACAAAATTTGCTCAACAAAATGTGAAAGCAATGTAATTGTATTTTAAAATAACTTAAAATAATCCTGGGATTATTTTAGTCTGCTGTCAGGTAAATAAGGAAAAAAAGATGATTGTAAGCAGAAACGGAGCATCACAATGTAATCTATACCTATTATGGCCTTACTTGACTATAAATTTTGCAATGAAATAACAAAATGCAAAATTTATAGTCAAATAAAGCCATAATAGTTATAGATTACATTATAGATTACATTATAGATTACATTATAGATTATTTGTCAGGTGCGTGTTTATCTGAATAAAATACTGAAGACAATTCGACAGACAGCAGAGAGTACTTAAGTAGAAAATGACGTCATGTAACTTTAGTTGAAAACAAATGGTTCATATCAAATTCTAAATTCCTGATGCTAGCAAAGAGAGTATTGAGATTTTTCTGACGTCTTGTTGGAATGCATCAATATTCTCAGCAGTATTTCACATCGCTAATCAACGACAGTCAAGGTATGTCGATTCAAAAGTTTGCGTTTAATCTAATGAAATATTATAGCTTTGTGATTTAAGGGATGTATCAGAAAAGGGTATTATTATCTACAGGGCATTGTCTATTTTGTAAAGGTTGCGCAGTTTGACAATGAGCATAGAGAAAGCATTGAAGTACGACAAATTAATTAAAGGTTCTTCTTGAGCAAAAACACATTGCGTGTATTGCTTAACATTAACAACCCTCTAGAACAAAAACACATTGCGTGTATTGCTTAACATTAACAACCCTCTAGAACAAAAACACATTGCGCGTATTGCTTAACATTAACAACATATTTCAAATTTGCGCATACTTTGATATGAACACAAATCAGAAATAAACGTACATCATACATCAAGTAAAACAAACATTTGCAGATGAGGATCAAGTAATGAAATCGAAGAAGCAGAAAAACTTAAAAATATTGTGTTCCGCCACCGAGGATGAAGATATTACTGTTCGCAAATGCGTCATATTTTGATTTGAACCATGCATAATTAAATCCTCACTTGTTTATCTGGTAGCTATTATAAATATTGTATTACATCATTTTTCGGATTCTTGTATTGCGGGTTGTAGATGACTGTGTCTGCTCGAAACATAATTGACAAAATCCATTCAATTTTGTCTTCTCTTAAGAAGTTTCATGGTTGAAAACGGAATTTACCATACAACATCTTCAAGATTGGCCTTATACGCACAATAACCGCCTTTTTGATGAAATAGTTCACATTGTGTATCAAGATGCTAATGCGATAATAATAGAATTTGCGCATACTAATGCTTTGCGTGACGTCATAAAAATACTCGTTCCATTTCCCACACATCCCTCTGCAGTGCTTTACCCAGCCTAAGTAAACTGCTATAAAAGTTGAGCTATGGCATCAATTAAAACTCATTATTTGCATGTACTTTATGCAAAGATTTGATATTCATAGAAAACAAAATTGTTTTAGAGGCACTCAAAAAATATAGATATCCCTTGTGTTTGCGCAGACTCGTGCGAACTGAGGAAACCTTTGGGAGAACTCGAGAGCAAATCGGTAAAACCGGAGGCCAAAATTTGATTGGTTCTAAGCTAAATGATTTCTGTTATTTTATCATGTACAGGCAATGTTGATAGCATGTTTACAAAGGAAGGCAAAATTGGATTCAAAATACCATAAGTATGAAAGAGCTTTAGCAACTGTATACATTGATCAGTAACTCTCCTCTCCCTTTTTTGCATGCACAGTAAATTTTCCCTTGTGCTAAAATAAGGAGTAATTTCATGTGTGTTGATTCCAATTTCATTAAAGTAAATTTTATGCTTCTGATATAGCTAGCTGCGAGTTTTGATTTTGCTCTTGCATGCAATACGCAAATCACATTCTGCAAAGTTAACATTTTGGATGCAAAGGTATGAGTGGCAGTAACTGATAGTAAACTTATGAAAACACCTCGTACAAAGGTCTCTAAGTAATGATTTAAACAAAAGCAAAACTTCAAAAATATCTAATTAGATAAAACACCATTAAAAAATTGTAGCTAAAAAGCTGAATTAAAATATATGTTTCGTTCGTTTGCTATGTATAAGTTTTGTCTACAATACAAAAGCGTGATTTTTTGAGCTTAGATTAGCATTAAGGTAAACCCAGAAAGACTATTTGTTTACCCAAAGCTGTATAAACATATTGAACATCTTATTTAACCTATACAAAGCTGTAATCAAAGTTAGAGGAGGTTGCATTAGTTATTAGATATAGTATTATTTTTTTCTTGTTTAACTTGAATCTTATGTTTTGGCACTTTATTTCAATGTTACCCTGTTAAACTTTTTTCCTGGGGAGCATTTCTTTTTGACAGCATGTATATAATGAACCTTTTGTGTACTAGGAAATAATTTATAAACATGAGAGGCAATGTTTGTAAATGTAGATCGTCCAGTCTGCAATGTTTGTAAATGTAGATCGTCCAGTTACATGTTTGTATATTTACATTTACAAACATGTAACGATACTCCCGGGTTCAAACCATTTACTTTATAAGAGGCAATATTAATAATGCACGAGTAAGTTATAACTTCGGTGAATCATTCTATTTGATTATTTGATGTTCAGAGAACAATTCTACACTTTGGAAACGAAGCGTTGAACCTATTCACTACGATAACCAAATCCTGTTTGCTCCCTTGACCACAATGAATTCCTTACATCATTACTTGTCCAGACGCCTGATGGTGATTTATCAAAGGCAATAGCCGCAATACATGTAAAACTGTCAGAATCTGATGCTCATTGCTGATTTGAAACTCAAACTGCAGAGTTTTTTAGTATTCTCCCTGCCCCCTTCTGGCGCCACCCTTGGCTAGAAATTATCGGCGGAAACGGATTTTTACAATAAAAATAAGAGTCACACATATTTTCAATAGAGCTATTTCGGTAAAAAGACGTTTTTTTAATAAATGTTTTGTCTTTAACTTAAGACAGAATTTCGGTGATTTAGATAGGTTTGGTGAAGAGATGTTATCTTGAATAAGGTTGTGTATGATGGAGTTATTTTGGGTGTTAAGAAAGGGTTTAAGCGTAGATATGTGAGAACATTGTGAACATTTGAACTATATGTGAGAACATTTGTGAACATTTGAACTATATGTGAGAACATTTGTGAAAATTTGAACTATATGTGAGAACATTTGTGAATCATTAATTTATTAGTGTCGGAAGAAGCAAAGAGTATCGGAAAAATTAGATCCAGTATTTGATTAGAAAGTGCAGCATCTGATGTAGAATTAGAAAAGGTTTTCCTGTTAAAAGAGCTATATGGATGTTTTTGTCTGTAAATAACTATTTATGGTGAGAACAAATTAAACGAAATATGTGACAATTTTTGTAACACGTATTTGTTGGGTATTCCTCTAACCTTGCTGTTTACCAATATGTTTATGTAATCAGGAGAGAATTTCCACCAAACCGTGTAGGCGATGTCCCACAATTTATTCTTAAGATGTTGACCTCAAGCATAGTTTTAACATTTCTATGACACTTATTTGCCTGCAACCCACTTCAATAAAAATTTTGCTTTGGGAATAGCCTTTCTTTCGCAACGACAATGCTAAAACCATTCCACGACAAGCCAAGAATTTCGTAACTTGTCCAAATTCTTCTTATCCACTGAATAACTTTTTGTGTTATTCAATGCTCTATCTCTATGCATTATAAGCATTAAAAATATTTATTTAATCTTTTTATCAAGATCAGATAAGTAGATAGCTAACATTAGTCTATGTTAAACTTTCCCATCAACGAAATACATTTTTCATGCATAGATGGAGTCGAGAGAAGAAAGAAATCACTACTTCATGAAGAAAATATTCTCTGATGTTGTCAAGGAGAAACTCGTCCATATATTTATCGAAGAGTGGAACTTCCATTACAAAGGATCATATGGACAATGGAATGGTAACAACGTTAGTGGCCAACAGTTGTTCAATCTTGAGAAAACAAGAAAGAAAACCCCCGATAAGTATATTTTGTCAAAGTTTCAAGATGGGAACACCAGTAAGTGGGACTGTGCGACATTATTTGAAGCAATATTGTTTTCAAACTCAATAGGAGGAAAAATCAATTCCAACATTAGAGCTGCTTTGCATACACTTTATGTTGCAGAAAAAAAATTTAACCATAATAGTAATGGGAAAATATCTGATACTGTATTTCAGACAATGTTTTGTGATATTGAAATATCATTCACAGGCCTAGGATTTCCTGTTACTGAACTCAGGGACATAAAATTTGAACGAAGTAGGTTTAATTATTTTCAAGTACTTCCATGCAAACCAAATCATGGCGTCGTCAAACGTGCAAAATTAGTAGAGCAAATCACAGCAGATATTCACGGCTTGCGTGGCAACAACAATAGTAAACTAACATATTACTATATTTCTGGTAATCCTGGGAGCGGTAAATCTCAATTAGCCAGACAAGTTTGTGAAGAAATATTGAATTCGATCGATTTGAAAAGTAAAACGGCTTTTGTGATGACACTTGATGGAAAAGATACTGAATCTCTTTTAAAAACGTATGCTGAATTTTGTCAACGTTTGAACAATGATGAAACTGTCATTGAAAATATTTTGAAAGAAGAAAAAGTTAACGAGGAAAAAATTAAAGACTTAAAATCACTGCTGATGCAACAACTCAACGTTTGGCAAACATGGTGGATCTTGGTGAACAACGTGACAGAACTTGATAAAATTCATCAATTATTACCTCAAGCTGGTGACCATGATTGGAAAAATGGACAAATTGTGGTAACCGTTCAGAATACAGATGCTATACCCCCAGATGGAGATCTAAACAAACACATTTCAATAAGTGGTGGTATGAATGATGAAGAATGCTGTCAGCTTCTCTCCTTGTTCACTGATGTTCAAGCTTTTGATAAACCATTCTTAAAAGAATTATCCGATAAAGTAGATGGTCAACCATTGGCATTAGCAAGTGCTGCTTCTTACTTAGGAAATGTTAAAGGTACTAATCGGACATTTACGTTGGAGCAGTATTTGGATAAGATGAATGAAGAAGAACAACAAAACATGAATGCCAATTTCCAAACGATCAATTTATCATATTCTCAATCTAAACCAAGTCTACTGAGAGCTATTACATTGGCTGTAGAAAAAAATGCTGAAGAATCAATCATATTGGAATATGTTTTCAGACTTTTTTCAATAATATCTTTTGATCCTTTACCACTAGATATTGTAATACATTTTATTAAGAGCATTGATCCAAACAAGTCTGCAGAAGACATTCGTCTTTGTTTAAAGCATTGTTCGTTGTTTCTTCAATCGGAAAACAACGACATCAGCCTTCACTGCATTGTACACGAAGCCATTGTTAGTTATTACTCATCGGAAAATTTTATCTGCAAACAAAAAGAAAACGATTTCAAGATGTCTTTAGCTGATTTTGCAAGTCATGTAGCATGGGCTCTTTATCAGTTTAAAGAAAAAGATGATCAAATCAAATTGATTCCTCACCTAAAACAATTCTTAACCAACTCGTCGTTTGAGCACTTCAAAATAAAGTTGATAGATATAAAATCAACATTTTTCATCTTTAAAAAAAGAAAAATCGAAGAAAAAAATTGGATAATTGCACTTTTCTTTGTCAATGTGTTACAAACATTTTGCGACTATAATCTGGCCATTAAAGTGCTTTATGAAATTACAACTATCCGAAAGAGAATTGTAGGTTCTAGTTCTATCGATGTTTCATTTTTGTACGCAAACCTTGGTGAATTGCACCGTAAGAATGGAGAATACAAAAAAGCAAAAGATTTCCTCGAGGAAGCGATGGAAATTGAAAAGAAAGCATCTGAATCTGACAATGGTGATATTGCCACAATGTGCAGCAATCTTGGTTTGGTTCACCATCATTTCAAAGAGTACGAAAAAGCAAAAGATCTTTATGAACGAGCAATAGAAAGTCATACAGAAGCATTTGGACCTGACTATGATGATATTGCCTCAACGTATAGTAATCTGGGTATGGTTTACAAAGATATGGGAGAGTACGACAGAGCAAACGAATGTTACAAACGAGCTTTGGAAATTGAAAGAAAAGCATCTGGATCTGATCATATTAACACTGCCAAAACGTACAACAATCTGGGATTACTTCACACAACAATGAGAGAGTACAAACAAGCAAAAGATGCCTTCGAACAAGCGATAAAAAGTCATACGAAAGCATTTGGACCTGATCATATTGATATAGCCACAACGTACAGCAATCTTGGTTTGGTTAACAGAGAAATAGGAGACTACGAAAAATCAAAACGTTGCTACGAACGAGCGTTAGAAATTAAGACAAAAGCACTTGGACCTGATCATATTGATATTGCCACAATATGCAACAATATGGGTTTGGTTTTGAGAGACATGGAAGAGTACGAAAAAGCTAAAGATTTTTACAAGCAAGCGATGAAAATTGAAGTAAAAACATTCGGACCTGACCATGTCAATGTTTCGAAAACATACAACAATCTCGGTTTGGTTCATGAGACAATGGGAGATTACAAAAAAGCAAAGGATTTCTACGAACGAGCAAAAGAAAATCAAGCAAAAGCATTTGGACCAGACAATGTTGATATTGCCACAACGTATAACAATCTTGGTTTGGCTCACATGAAAATGGGAGAATACGAAAGAGCAAAGGATTTTTTGAAAGGAGCGATAGAAATTGAAACAAAAGCATTTGGACCTGATCATATTAATATTGTCACAACGTACAATAATCTGGGTTATTTTTACAATAATATTGGAGACTACGAAAAAGCAAAATATTTCTATAAGCGAGCGATGGAAATTCAAAAGAAAACATTTGGACCTGAACATATTAATATTGCCACAGCGCACAATAATCTGGGTTTGGCTTACAGAAATATGGGAGAATACGAAAAAGCAAAAAATCTCTACGAACAAGCGATGGAAATTCAAACGAAAACATTGGGACCTGACCATGTTGGTATTGCTACAACATACAACAATCTTGGTTTGGTTCACAAAGATATGGGAGAGTACGAAAAAGCAAAAGATTTTTATGAACGAGCGATAGAAATTCAAACGAGAGCATTTGAACCTGACCATGATTATCTTGCCACATTGTACAACAATCTGGGTTCGGTTCATAGTGATATGGCAAAGTACGAAAAAGCAAAATATTTTTACGAATGTTCTTTGGAAATTCAAAAAAAAGCTTTCGGTCCTGACCATATTAATATTGCAACAACGTACAGCAATCTTGGTTGTATTAACCGCATTAATGGAGAATACGAAAAAGCGAAATATTTTTACGAACGAGCGATAGAAATTCAAGCTAAGGCATTTGGACCAGACAGTGTTAATCTAGCCTCATTGTATAGCAATCTAGGTTTGGTTCACAGTAGTATGGGAGAGAATGACAATGCAAAATATTTTTACGAAAGAGCGGTGGAGATTCAAATGAAAGTTTTTGGGTCTAAACATATTAAAATTGCTCCAACGTACAACAATCTGGGTATGCTTTACAATGATATGAAAGATTTCGAAACAGCAAAAAAATTTTATGAACTAGCATTGGATATTCAAACGAAAGCATTTGGACCTGACAATGTTAATGTTGCCACAACGTACAGCAATCTTGGCATGGTTTACAATGCGATGAGAGAATACGAAAAAGCAAAAGCTTTCTATGAACGAGCGATGGAAATTCAAAAAAAATCGTTTGGACCTGACCATATTCATATTGCATCAACGTACAACAATCTGGGTTGGATCAACCGTAATAATGGAGAGTACAAAAAAGCAAAAGATTTTTACGAACAAGCAATGGAAATTCAAATAAAAGCATTTGGACATGACCATGTTGATCTTGCCACTTTATACAGTGATTTGGGTTCTGTTTACAGTAATATGGGGGAATACAAGAAAGCAAAATCTTTTTACGAACGAGAGGTGGAAGTTCAAACGAAAGCATTTGGACCTGAACATGTTGATATTGCGACAACGTACAACAATCTGGGTTTGGTTTACAGGGAAACAGGAGAGTACAAAAAGGCAAAAGATTTTCTCGAGCGAGCGTTAGAAGTTCAAAAAAAATCATTTGAACCTGACCATGCTGATTTTGCGACAACATACAACAATCTGGGTTTGGTTTATCATGATATAGCAGACTACAAAAAAGCAAAGGATTTCTACAAACGAGCAGTTGATATTGAAACAAAACATTATGGACCTGACCATGTTAATATTGCCACAACGTACAACAATCTGGGTATGGCTCACAATGCTTTGGGAGAATACAAAAAAGCAAAAGATTTCTATGAACAAGCGTTGGAAATTCAGAAAAAGGCATTTGGACCTGACCATGTAAATATTGCCACAACGTACAACAATCTTGGTATGGTTCACAATGATATGGGAAAGTATGAAGATGCAAAAGATTTTTACGAACGAGCGATGAGAATTCAATTAAAAGCATTTGGACCTGACCATATTAACATCGGCACAACATACAATAATCTGGGTTTGGTTCACAGTGATTTGGGTGAGTACGAAAAAGCAAAAGATTTTTACGAACGAGCAATGGTAATTCAAACAAAAGCATTTGGACCTGACCATGTTAATATTGCAACAACGTACAACAACTTGGGTTGGATTTACCGTAATAATGGAGAGTACGAAAAAGCAAAAGAATTTTACAAACGAGCAATGGAAATTCAAACTGAAGCATTTGGATCTGAGCATATTAATCTTGCTGCATTGAACAACAATCTGGGTTTGGTTCAGAGTGATATGGGAGAGTACGAAAAGCAAAATATTCTTATGAACGAGCGGTGGAAATTCAAACGAAAGCATTTGGACCAGACCATATTGATCTTGCCACACTCTACAACAACCTGGGCTCGATTAACAGGGATATGGGCGAATACGAAAACGCAAAAGATTATTACAAAAAAGCAGAAGTTATTCAAACAAAAGCATTTAAGCCTAGCCATGTTGATATTGCGCCATCAGCAAATAATAATGTTGATATAGGTCACCCTGATTTGGGAGGGTACGAAAAAGGAAAAAAATTTCTACCAACGACAGATAGCAATTTATATGAAAGCGTTCGGATCTTACCATAAACAAAGTAACTTTATATACACCTTTTTTAATTCAGTTCAGTTGCTAATCAGTAAACAAAAGTTGATCTAATAATACTGCCACACTAATATTATTGCCACAATGTACACAATCTGGGTTCGCCTCTGAATAGAAGATTACTGAAAAGCAAAGATTTTTCAAACGAACGATGAAAAACAATAACATTTGGACCTGATCATGCTAATATACCCACAACGTGCAACAATTGGAAATTGGTTCACAAAGATGTGTGGAGATTCAAACGATAGCACCGTGATCTTGACAAAACATTATTAAGATCTCGCTTCTCGCTTAAAGGTCATGATACTTTTGCCATCAGTGGCTTGCCAATTTTATTGTGTTCATCTACTTTTCTATGTGACATTTTACCTGCGTATTTGCTTGAATTGATTTCAGTGCGTGCAAACCACGTTGGACATCGAGATCCGTAATCTTCACAGTGTTTCGTGCGATTGATTCGTCAATTTGATGCAAACGCTCGCGAAGCTGTTGTATAGTTGAGGAATTATCTCTTACTTCTCGCTCAAGGTCGTTATCTTGCTGCACATCCAAAAAGCCTTTGTAACAAATGCCATAACATATCGTAACAATGTGCCATATGACATGTCGCACAACCAGAAAACCTTAACAGACAACTGGGTATAGTTTTTACAACAGGTTTTTACATACATATGGTAACCAGACCCTTACCATACATTTGGTAACCAGACCCTTACCATACATATGGTAACCAGACCCTCACCATACATATGGTAACCAGACCCTTACTACAATCAAGAAGATTGTCATGCTTTGTGTTATTGCGTGGATCTCCTTTCATTTTAAAGTGAGCGAAAAAAAAGACAAAGATATGACAACACATTTTTATGAGGGATTATATCTTGCTTGTCGCTCGAGATTTGCAATCTTAACGCACATCCAGAAAACCTTTACGGATAACTAGGTAAAAGACAATTTGGGTGTGGTGTACACTGCTTTGGGAGAAGACGAAAGGGCAAAAGATTTTGTAAAAACAAGCTTTGGAAATATCCATAAAAGTATTTAGGTCTTACCATGTTAACATTGCTACATTGAACATATAAGAGTCTGGATTCATTATCATTGATATGGGAGACTACGAAGAAGTAAAAGATTTTTACGAACGAGCCATAAGAATTCTAACGAAAGCATCTGCATCCAAAAAAAACCGTGGAAAATTAGGATAATCAACTGTACTATCACGCTAAGAAAAACATCTATAAAGACTTGTACATCATTGTACACATGAGTACATGCATGTTTTAATGTACCAAGGTATTAATCAACTTTTCATGTAGCAATAATTCAAATTCAAATTGCATTAAATCTAGTAAGATTTTTTGCAAGTTCTTTTTCATCTGTTTGATATTCATCTGTTGAGTTTATTTGTTTTAGTTTTTCTGTATACTTGACTTTAGACATCCAAAATTTTAAAATATTGATCAATAGTTTAGTCTATAACAGGGGTGGGCAACATACGGCCCGCGGGCCGGGGCCGGCCACTGAAGGGATTTTGACTGGCCCGCCGACTGTATCCGACCATTGAATATTGAATATTATTCATGTAATAATCTGGCCCACCAATAACTTCATTTTCCTAAATCTGGCCCGCCGACTAGAGAAGTTGCCCACCCTTGGTTTATTACATAGTTGTATTTTTTAATTAATAAATTATGATGTAAGTCATTAAAGAGCTTTGTGGGTTCTTCTCAAATACTTCTTTTTCACATATCCACATTATTTGATAAGGTTCTCCTTGTACTGGCATGTCGATCAATTAATACATTCTTAAAGCCTTACCAACTTTTAACTTATAAGTCATATTTCAAACCGTTAAATCTTTCTTTTATTTTCATAGCTAATTGGTTTTTGTAACGGATTTGGTTAAGATAAAAGTTAGTGATTGTATTTGCTGTCGTTTCTGCTACAACACACTCACACTTAATGTATGCCAGTTAATGTATGCTCTCACTCTCAATTTCAGAAGTGTGGTTTATATTTAAATTTACATGTCATATTATAAATAGGCTTGCTTTGAGTGTGTACACACGTGGACAATGAAGAGCCAGAAAAAGTCAAATGGCTTAAATTCCTCATACACATTTTAAGTAGGCTGAAGAAGAATGCTTGTGTGAAGTTGAAAAAAGTTTTGCAATGTCTATCTTATAAATCTCCTTTCCTGCAAGCTTTTAGGGTTTTCGATTTTTGAATCTGTCCTACGATTTCATTAAATCAGTTTGTTAGGGAGTTTGAAAGCCAAAATAATTTTTATTGTTTACTATGTATGTGCTCATTTCCCTATAAAGGAAGAATTTGATGCATTATGATTCACATGAAACACAAAGATACTTTTGCGCTTTTGTTTCTTGTTATGGAATTGACATTTCGGCGTATGAACGGAACTACTCTTAGAACAAAACAGATCTATATTTCTCATCTTAAATGAGCACAGCAATGGCGAAAATTGAAACTAGAGACACTCTCAAGGACCTAACTTCTGACTTAGGCCGAGGACTAAAAGAAGAAAAAAACAAAATACCGTGCTATTGCTGCGAGACAGAAACGTTCAAATTAACAAAAAATCCATGACGGTTTCTATGAATTCATGTTTACTAATAAAGGACATGTTGCTAAGTACGCAGCGTCATTGAGTGCTTTTAGAGAAAACGATCCTGTTATTGAGAGCGTTAGCTGACGAAATACAAACATATGAAAGTAACAACCGCATTGTTAAACTTACAGGTGCTTCAACTTCAATCGTTGGCACTGGGTTAGCTATAGGAGGTATGGTTCGAGCGTCTTTCACTTTTGGCGGTTCAATGCCGTTGACTGCAGCTGGCACAGGTATTGGAACTGTGCTTGGAGCAGATATAATCAATGGAATTTTACAATCTAGCAAAGTGAAGCATGCTCAGAAAGCTCTCGAAGAAGACGAAAAAGTTGCACAAGAGTTTTCCTTGGAAATAGAAAACGTACAGAAGTTGGCAAAAAAAGTCAAGAGGGACGTTTATTTCAAACGCGGTAAGCTTGTCTATCACATCAGACATAAGGTAAAAAAAATCGCTTCAATATCAAGTACGATTGCAAGTTCTAGCGACGAAGCTGCATCAACCATCTTGCCATTACTGGGAAAAACGTACGCTAAATCTGTACTTGCCGCCAATGTTGGTTTGGCTGCTGTATCGCTTGCTGTTGATGGAAACACAATCGTCGACACATTTATCCAGGTGCACATGAGTTCAGTTGTTGAAGTTGTAGAAGATATTCGTGATACAGCGCAGAAACTTGAAGATACAATTTGTGATTTCGATGATACAAGCATTGACTTGTATTTTGTTTGTCAACTTTGTATTTTAGCTGACTGGTTAATGAGGGCATCGCGTAGCCGGCTTTCGTCCTTCTATGGTAATTTCTATGTTTGTAAATGATGATCGTCCAGGTTAATAAAGTCCTGAGAAGGACTGTTTTTGTTGTTGTTGACTGACGTTTCGACAACCTTAGCGGTAGTCATCTTCAGAGTAAAAAAAAAAAACATTTTTTTTTTTTGACAACAAAAACAGTCCTTCTCAGGACTTTATTAACCTGGACGATCATCATTTACAAACATATAACGATACTCCCGGGTTCAAACCATTTACTTTATGGTAATTTCGTTATAATAATATATTGTTTTTGCTGTGAACACAAAAAATTGCATAATATGAACAAATATGCAGGCTGCGTCGCCTAAATTTGACAGCAAAAACCAGCATATGAAATCAAAACTGTGACGTGTTCATAATTGGATTAATATTTGCAAATTACATGTAAGTCACGTGTTAGTCCATTCTCGGCTACGCCATTTGTCGCTACGTAACGCACGTGCTCTGGAATTTTTTTGAAGTTTTGTGTTATTTGCTAGGGGCTGTAAGGTTATTACAATGGTTTTGAATAAAAAATACTTGGTTACAATGAAAAAGAGGTAAAATTATTGATTTATAAAAACATTGATTTCTTTTAAATAAAAAGATACTTGATATACGACTGACAAGAATCTCGTAACAATATCTGAACGTTTCTTCGAGACATTTCACTTTTCACTAAAAACGATCTTTTTTTGAAAATAATTCACAAAACACTTTGACCAAAACTGGTTGTACGCCAGTTTCAATATTGAAGCTAATAAAATTTCCATATCTACTGATCATGCGCATTTGTAACAACGAGACGAAGGGCGACCTCGTTTGTCACGAATAAAATGCAAAGTTACTGACAATTCAAAAGTAGTTACATCTGATAATTGTATAGAAAAATAGCGTACATAGTATTACTGAAATTTTCTCACATCCAAACTTGATATTGTTGTTATCTTGTTCTATACAATAAAAACCTGCTATGGAAATATCTTTGAAATGTACAAAAAATGATATATAGAAATTCACGTTGTATTGAAATCTTAAGAGTTAATATTCCTCCACCAAATGTATCAGCAACGCCGTCACTACCAACCCAATTACCTGTAAAAAATAATTGTAGCAATTAGTAAGCATTTGCGCAGTAAAAATTTCCAAACACATTTTGCAACTACACATTTGCAAACGACCAATCTGGTTTTGAAACGTTTAAATGTTGGCGATGTTAAATTTCATTGAAGAATAACCTAATTTAAAACTGAGTCTTCCGTCGAATATCTTCAGAAAAGTAAGTAACAAAACTATATCTTTCCTTATTTCGGTATAATCTTCTCGGAGAGTAATCTACCTTTGAAATTGTGTCTACGTGTACATCTTTAAGTCCAGTGGATAATGGCTTTTATGGTAATATTGTTAAAACATGTGATGATCAAATACTTGAACATGATACACTTAGAGGCGTGAGTAGAACGTCAATTGAAAGGGGGGGGGTGCATATTCATGTATTCCGTTGTGCCCTACTGATTTCTTTTGAAAGTAAATTGAATTTCATTATTCATTTTCAACAAAATTCTATGATGGGGCAGGCATATGACAACAAAAAGCACATAACAAGAAATCATTGATCACTGAATGTCATCATTTCCGTATAAAGGAAGCGTTTATCGTAAAAAAATCTCATTAAATGACAATACAGTGAGCGATGGTGAAATATTAAGCACATTATGCGTGTGAAGTACTTCATGTACGTACCTGTAATATGGAAGCACCGAGTCCAACTATACCAAGTATCAATAAATGATCTTCAATAATGTCTGACAGTTTTTCAATGCAACCCTAACAAACATTAAACTTACATTAAAATATGTTTATTATATGGCAAGCGTCACTTCCGGCTAAATAGCGCGCTTTGATCGGCTTAGAAACATTTTTGCCGGTCCATTATTTCCCCGTAATCGACCACGGTCCAAAACGCGTAAATTTTCAGTCAAATGCAAACAAACTTCGTAATGCAAACAGCTAAACGCAAAAAAACCGAAACAAAAAACCATTTACGAATGTGAGTCGAAGGAAAAACACTTGGAAAACAGTTAAACTATCCAGACGATACAATTTGAAACGATTTATTTTTTTATGGACGAAAACTAGAAAAGTGAAAGCCAACCCGTATAAAACGGCAAAGACAAGAAAGAAATCAAGCTTCGTTTCAGGTCAAATAATCATCTCGGTCTGCACAAAAAGACCTCGGTCCGTTATTTCTCCGTAAAGGCCTCGAGCTCGGTTATTAAGGGCTTAATATTATATAAAAAAGCTTTAAACAAAAAAAAACACGCATTGTATAAATACGTTTTTAAAACAAAACACGCAAAGAGGCAAAAACCCCAACAATTTAACAGAATAGTACTTCTCAAATAAGCAATTGATATTCATCAAGAACAGAAAAATCTTGAGATACGGAGATGTTGGACGTCTTATGAAATGACATTTTCACTTTTTAATGGCTAAATCAAAAGTCTGGCTCGCTAAATCTGGTTAAGAAAATTTAAATGTGGTCTTTTTAGACGATAACTACGTGGAAACGTGACAGGTATGACGTCATGAAGAGTACACGTGACTACAAAACAACACAATGTTATGAATCAAATGCGATTGCACGTGTATCAAGAAAAGTTATTTTATGCAACACGCTAGACCGACGAATGATTTTTCAATTCAATAATTCATTTAACTCGGAAGACAAAACTTACATTCAAAGCCCTCAGATTGCTTTAAAAATTTTGTAATTTATTAGTAAAAACACGAGAAAAATTGCAACGTTTTGCAATTTGGAGTCATACATACAGATTTTTTAAAAAAACTGAACGGTAAAAAAGATCCGGTTAGTATTGAAAGCTTGAACAACGTGTGCCATAATTTAATCTTACTTGTTCAAATTGCTTATTAGCTGAGTTATTTTCGTGCACAGGCAATTTCAAAAGTGCTTCTCGGTGACATATCTTTCGCCTTAAAAACGTTTGCCATTAGTGACAATTTTACAATCAGACAAACCATTGGAAGTACAACTAACTATTTCCACAAAAAGTTTTGGCGAATCTTGCGCGGTGATGACTTTCGCAATGTTTTTTAAACTGCTCATATTTCCCATGACGCAGCCTGTATAGCTACGTATATTTTAGTGAATCGTAATGACGTAACCTGTATAGCTACGTATATTTTAGTGAATCTTAATGACGTAACCTGTATAGCTACGTATATTTTAGTGAATCTTAATGACGTAACCTGTATAGCTACGTATATTTTGGATGAGTGACGTCACTACAACATGTACTATTGGCAGTCTTACAAAACTAACCCTACAGTTAATATTTGATGTGTGAGTGACGTCACAACATGTCATACTGTTGGTCTTACAACACTACGTAACCTTATGAATAATAAGTTAATATTCACGTTACTCAAGAATCAATGACGTCACAGCAACATATCATACTAGCAGCGATACCACACTAACCTTATAGTTAATATTTGATGGGTGGGTGACGTCACTACAACATATCACACATGCAGTGATACAACACTAACCTTATAGTTAATATTTGATGGGTGAGTGACGTAACCACAACCAATTTTTATAGGAGGTTTACAACAACTATCGGGAACTCTCAATTTTCCTTCCTCACGAGTTGTGTTAATGTTGTTTGATTCAATATTAAACCAAACAGTTTGATTCCATTGATAATATTGGACAGCACCACAGCACCAAAACTAAGTTAAATATGTAAGCAAAGTATTTATAATTGACGACATAGGTCTTTTAAATCATCATATATCCATCCATATCCTTGTAATACGTCATCATTTACCAGTCCATTCCCTTGTAATACGTCATCATTTACCCGTCCATTCCCTTGTAATACGTCATCATTTACCCGTCCATTCCCTTTTAATACGTCATCATTTACCCGTCCATTCCCTTGTAATACGTCATCATTTACCCGTCCATTCCCTTGTAATACGTCATCATTTACCCGTCCATTCCCTTGTAATACGTCATCATTTACCCGTCTATTCCCTTGTAATACGTCATCATTTACCCGTCCATAACCTTGTAATACGTCGCCATTTACCCGTCCATACCATTGTAATACGTCATTAACCATATTCATGTAATACGTTATCTAGTTCATTTGCTAATCCATAAAATGAAATATTTTACAAAAGAAAGTTAGAATTATCGACCTTCTCTTGGGCTTTATCGATCGCTTTCTTTTCATCACTGTCAATTGTGTACTTGTTCATTGCACTAAGGAAACTTTCTTCCAGTTCATCTTCCAGCTAAATAAGGAAAAATTCATTAAGTGTACGATAAGAGAAAAATATAACCTGTTGCGCTATCATTAGAAGAATTAAGAAGATATCTCTTCTTTCTACTAGTACATGAAAATTTCAGCATTTGAAACTTTGCCACAGAAATCAAATTATATAAAAATACTTTAAAATTTGCCGGACCTTAAAAAACCTATTCCTTTACGTAATTTGTGTCTTAACCAAGAAAGCTCCTATCAACACTCGTTACAATAAAAACACACGCAACATATTCATTTTTCCCAAAAATTTTCATCAAGTCAATATTTAAATGATGGCTACCTCTCCACGATATGCAAATGCCACAATGCCAGCAGATAGCTCGATTAGAAACACCGAAACCACCATCACAAAGAACTAGAAAATTGAACAAATGATGTATCATTATTCATTTCTATGGTCTCTTGTGTCATTATTGAAAAATTACAATCCTCTTCTTCATCTTAGTGATAGACATTTACGTAACACATATAGAATACGATAATCTATATTTTGAGCAAAATATACCATAAACTAAAATGATCTTTTTCGCTCATCAAAAGCTCAACATACTAAGTTGCAAAGATTTCCTCAATTCTCTTATGTACGTTATGGTCGGAGTAACTCAAAGCAAACACGCTGTCTTTACAGTGTCAATCTCATGCACGGTAGCAAGTGACTCAATGCAAACACGCTGTCTTTACAGTGTCAATCTCATGCATGGTAGCAAGTGACTCAATGCAAACACACTGTCTTTATAGAGTCAATCTCATGCACGGTAGCAAGTGACTCAATGCAAACACACTGTCTTTATAGTGTCAATCTCATGCATGGTAGCAAGTGACTCAAAGCAAACACACTGTCTTTATAGAGTCAATCTCATGCACGGTAGCAAGTGACTCAATGCAAACACACTGTCTTTATAGAGTCAATCCAATGCATGGTAGCAAGTGACTCAATGCAAACACACTGTCTTTACAGAGTCAATCTCATGCATGGTAGCAAGTGACTCAATGCAAACACACTGTCTTTATAGAGTCAATCTCATGCATGGTAGCAAGTGACTCAATGCAAACACACTGTCTTTATAGAGTCAATCTCATGCATGGTAGCAAGTGACTCAAAGCAAACACACTGTCTTTATAGAGTCAATCCAATGCATGGTAGCAAGTGACTCAATGCAAACACACTGTCTTTATAGTGTCAATCTCATGCATGGTAGCAAGTGAAGACCATGAATAAAAATGCCAGATGACGTAGCACACTTACTGCAATCAGCATAAATCTGTTGTCTTTTACACTTCCACAGCATCCCAAGAAACCGATAGCAATGACAACAATACCAGCTAGAATCATTAATGACACAATAATAATATAGTTGTCACTACCCAATAGATGTTGATACTCAAATTTATCCACCAACGTCCATATTGCCACACCAACTAACGCTATACCAGCACACTATATAGGAACAGTAAGTACAAAGTTGTCAAATGCGACATTGCCATAATTCAACTACTGACATGTATTTACAACCTGCTGGGTTGGTTTGTCAAAGTTCTGCTTCTTATTTAAAAAATATATATATATGCTGTAGGACAGCACACTTTTTTAGAAATCATTGTAGAAATGTTGGAGGGTTTTTCTCCATACCTAACTTATTAAGAATTTTGGTTGTTTTAAAAGCATTTGTCAATTTAACTCCTCAAAACATTAAAAGTAAACATTCATCAAACAAATATCCATGCTTTAAGTATAGTACAAAGGCTTCTTTGTAAAACAGTGTACATGAAATTAAATGAAGGAAGAAACTTTCTTGCATACAGCAAAATTACATTGATGTCATAAAGTTGTTTTCAGTTCATATCACAAAAAAGCATGGAAATGCTATGTTCGGATTTTGTGTTCATTGGTCTTTCATAATTGTATCACAACCAATAAGATTTATCAAGCAAACACTACAAAATGAATTCTTAAATATTTGACATGAAAACACTTGAAATTCACAGTCTATGAGTTTCAGACTTGCTATCATAAATTGTTCTTCTTGTTGATAATTTCATTCAACATTTCATATTGAACAGACATTTCAACAACTCCACAATTACTAAATTTTGAATACTTTGAGCATATCAAATGACAAAATGAGAAATAATAGGTAAGTGCAATTTCTTACAAGGTCAAATAAGCTTTGGCGGGGCCCCTGGTTGTCCAACCTCACCCCAAACTGACATCTTTTGTGGACAAAAACTCTAAAATAATACAATTTTTGTTTGTTTTAGAAAGTACAAAACATGTGAAATAAAATTGTAATATTTGCTAAGAATTTTTCAGCAAAAGTGTTTAGTAGAAAGGTTATTTTTTAGCAATGAACATAGTATTTGATCGCATTCATAGTTCACAACAAAATGTCAGGTTAGCATCTAATGGAAGCCCTTCAAACTTTACCTATGTTGCATGTAATATAAACTTTTATTAATAACTAAAATCTGATCTTTTGTATTGGGATTTTTGTATTGCTCCTGTCACACGAAGGGGGTATTTCAATAGAAAATATTAACTTTGCGTGGGGACCTTCAAAACTGCAGGGCCCTGGCGACAGCCCATAATGCCCTACCCATTACACAAGCTTCATTAGTTAAGAAATAGTCATTCAAAATTTAAAGGTTAAATTTCAACCAAGTGTAATATCATAACAAAATCACAATTAGCCTGTTCAGTTTTCTCAATGTGAGTGGTGAAATTGGCTTTCTTAAGTGTCTGCGGGCCGGATTGAGAGGCACAACAGGCCACATCTGGCCCGCGGGCCGTAGTTTGGAGACTAATCAGAGTAATGATGTGAGACAACTGTTCAAAATAATTTTAGTCTCCAAACTATGGGCCAGAATTAATTAAACCACTCAATCTCACCACTGAATAACTGAACTCTAATTGTGATTTTGTTATGATATACACTTGGTTGAAATTTAACCTTTAAATTTTGAATAACTATTTTCTTAACTAATGAAGCTTGTGTAATGTACTTCGTTTTATTAAAATATTCGCTCTTTGACCAGCGGTATACGGTTCGTCGGCCCTCAACATGCTGGATGAAAGTTCATGTGGCCCTCTGGCTGTAAAGTTTGGAGACCACTGTTCTAGAGCCATGTGTCAATAAAATACATTACACCAGCTGAAACATTATGTCATATTAATTGACAGTTGGCATAAGCAGGAAGATGAATTTAAATAAAATCTACAAGTCAAACACAACCCACGCTGCATAAAAAATTTTCTGGATTGTTATTTAAGTGTAAAGTATAAAATCATCACATCCTTCTTAGTCGGGGAGGGGAACATTTTCTGCATATTTTAGGTCAAACAAATAAGCATTCAAGCAAAGGAAATGTCCACGAAAACATCTGTTTGCTGGTCAGTTTCTTTGAAAATACCAAATATTTATATATTATAAGTATCTAATACTACATCAAGCACGAAGATATCTGCAGAACAAACCAGACTTTGATATAAACCTATCAATTCGACATACATTACCCCATAAGGTCAAACAAACAGATGAGAATACAGAATTCTGCGCGATAAACAAAGTTGACTTACCCAAAAAAGTAAAATAAGGACGTAAAGTATTGTCTTTAAACATTTTACATTAAAGCAAGCGTTTTCTTTCATCGTAAGTGCGGGTAATTACGAGCAGACGCCTCTTGTAAATATTGAAATGAGAACTCTCTTATTATGAATAATATCATTAATTCGTTTCGTTCTAAAGAATCTTCCAGTATAAATAATTAAAACCTACACAGCCTGCACCGCCCGCAAACGAACTTCACCTCAAGGAAATAAATATCTGTACGTGATGTTTGTGCTTATTGCTTGGCCATTTTTACCGCTTTTTTCAAGTTTCTCAGTTCTCTTTTAAGATAAATAAAGAAGCCATACCACTGTGCAACGTATTGCAAAGCTTACATGACGCAGGATAAAATTTTGTGCGGCCAGCAATTACTGTCGTTAACATTACCTAACTGATCAAATCAGACCATTCAGTGTCTGTTGTAGCACAAATTAATCACTGATATAACCCTTGCCTTGCACAGTGTTAAAAATTATCGGTGCTCAAGCTTAAGTATCAATTTTAATTTTGGTCCTACCATTTCATGAAAACGTTTCGCTATTGCTGCAAGCCGGCTTAATTAGCTTTTTCACAGATGGATTAGGTCTCCCTTCGATAAACCGTTAAGTTTGTTATTTCCAACAAGAATTTGAGTTGTAAGGTCTTTTGAGACATGCCACAAATATAGAGACCAACCTTAGCGTGAGATGCAAATGATGCTTCAATGTTTATTTTTCGTAATTTCATTCATATTACGCCAAAAAGTCTCAAAGAGACGTCTGCTTCGGTTAGTGCATCAGACATTTGAATGAAAAGATCAAGAGAAATATAATTTACTTCTTCTTCACCAATTTATTGGTTGTCCTTCAGTTAGAAGTTTATAAATTATATTTCATTTGTTGACAGAAACACAAATCGGACATTATTCGTGTAGTTACTAAGCATTGTATTTACGCTTTTAAAAATTAATCTATAACATGCAATATATTATCGCTGAAAAAAGCAGCAAAAACACATTTTCGCTATCTCTGAGATGCATGCTTTATGACGTTACCTACCCAAAAGAGGACAAGAAATACAGCGAAATTTGTCTTCAGAGCTTTCAAAATCTTCATGACTTGATTCTACATGTAAAGTACGAAAAAAATTGCTCCAGAGTCAGACAATTAGCTCTTCGTTGTTTCCCAGCTTACAAACAACTTAAAATATCTCAAGCTGGCGTGCTGGCTTCTTTCGTTTTAAAAGTGAATGATTAATTAATGCAAAAGTATTGAGTATTTTTGTCACAACTTCGGTCAGTTGTATACAATTGACTAATCAGCATGCATGTTATTTATATCGTACATATTTCAATTAAAGTTAAATACATTTCGCACTATATAGTGTTAAATATTAATGATGGCGTGGAAAATAGGCAGCTATATTTCAACTTTAGCAAAATACGCGCATGTGTTTGATTAGCGAAGAATTAAATGATAGAAAATGAGTTTATAGTGCATGGCGTGCGAATATAAGAATGTACCAAATGGACCAGTGGAATGGACACGTTTATGGAATGATGGATACATTGGGACAGCATTATGGATACATTGGGATAGAAGTATTTTCCCGCCAATAATTAAAATCTTGAAGCATATTTTATTTTGACAATCTTTTTGTGCTTCATTTTTCATCTTAAATTTTTCTTAAAAGTTTTGACGCTTATGCACTAAACGGAGAAAAAGCAGTTTCCTGTACAACTGACAAATTTTGGTAAGTCCAAGGGTATAAAACCTTTTCACACGAAAACAGTTTGACTGAAGTGATGAATTCGCCATGTTTTTATTGTTTGTAAACAAAAACGAGATGATGTTTTGAACAAAACAGCTTGGAGACTCTTCTGATGAAAGTGGCGGATATATTTAACATATTTCAAGCCTTAGACATTTTCATCGCTTTCTAGACCACATTATTGTGAAATTGTACGTAAAATATACTTTTAAATGTTTATATATATCTTTCGATCATTGCGTTATGTTGTTTTTATTCAAGTGTTTTCTTGTCGTCAACTCGCGAGTGTCATAATGCCTGCACTTTCCGCACAAATGAGAAGAAGTGACACAGTTAAAGATGTTGTAAGTACGCATACAGTCAGTTGCTCGGAAATAACCAAAGTTTCGCTTGTATTGAAGATAATTCGAGAGATTTCAATCCTACCTTGGTTTTCTTTTTAGTGGGCTAATATTTTCAATACTGAAAAACTCAATGGTAAGTAATTTTTAAGAAAAGCGTCCTTCCTCAATGCCAGGCTTAAACTTTAAACGGATTTCTTTATATGGACCATGTTTGGTTATAGATCAGTAAAATCAAGTTTCTTTGTTGGATTGTTTTCGTCCTTTTCTTGCCCAGCTCAAGTTAACAAGTTGTAAATTTTATAAATAATGCTAACCGAACTGGGATTGTAGCTACATATTGCTTTACATATGTTTAAAGTAAATGCACACAAAGATAAGTAGAGATTTTAATCCTTTTTTAGAGGCCCAATCTACTTTATTTGTCAAAAAAATGATTGCTGTCTGCGTAAGTATTTTATGAGTATCTAAAATCCTACATTTTTTGCTGTTTCGTTCAATACACAATCTTGTGAGCAGTATTTACTTGAGAGTTGGAAGGTCTTTAATACTTGTATAAACACTGGTAGTTCTGCAAGCAATATTTCTGCTAAATGAGTTCGCATACGCTAGCTGTAATGATGTCAGTCATTACAGTCATTGAAAAATCTACAAAAGGAAAGGCAAAAGATTCAGCTTCATCTTCAATAGGATAATTTGTAATGCTAACATGGCACTAAAAGGTAGAATAAATGTGGAACAGATATAACAATGAAAACAACTGTTCTTTAAACATCAAGGAACATCTCGCCATCCCTATATTTTTTTAATTTATCGCACCCAACATGACACTATAGAGCTTAAAAGTGATTTTTGAAAAAATATCCCAAATTATTCACAATATAAGTTTCTGCGAATATTTGAGGAAGAATTTCCTGGTTTCTATTAAATATTTTCTGCAGCCATGATATATGAATATGTGAATGTTTTCTCCTAAAATTTTTTTGTAGATCTCAAGTGTAACCTATTTACGGTATGATAATAAAGCTAAATTGTATGTAAGATAGAATGAAAGAAAGATCATTATAGGTTAATGCAGGTTATAGTGCATAAAAAAGAATGAAAAGATCATCTCCAAGTAATTTTTACGTAAGCGCTATTGCTCTCGTTAGAAAATTTTATTCACTCTTTCAATGTATCCAGGATGTCCATCGCCTTTAACTACTACACTGGCTGAGGGGGAATTATTAGCATCATGAAAAAAATCACCGAAGGGCTTATTTGCTTCAATAGTGTTAAGACTATAATTTCAGAATAATATTTTGCTAAGAATTACTGATCTTACCTTATATTGCAGTTAATTTCAAAATAAAAAATAAAATGAATGTTGAAAAAGATATCATTTTCTTCACTCAGCGCAATTTTTCCTGAAGATTGTTTCGGTGACCGTTGCATCGAAGGTAAACTGGCCGTAAAATTACTTTTTCTCTCTCATGAAAAAAAAAGCGATAGAAAAGTTATCAATGGCTACCAGTTTGATTAAATGTATTTAGATTTAGGGGTGAAGATTTTACGAAACGAGACAAAATGTCCCGGATCATGTCAAGTCATTAATTGGTAAGGAGAGATAAAGTTGGTGAAAAATTAAGCTTCAATTGCTATGTCTTAATTGTCTCTGTACGTAAATACGTATTTTTCAGGAGTTATCTATTGACACATTTGAGCTAAAAAACAGTTAAAATGTATTTGATATAACTTGTACGTTAAAGACTACGTTTACACTACTCCGGAGCGAAAGACTGACGGCAAAATTTGACTGCGTTCACCCTGAGCCGTTTAAATTCCGCGTCGATTTTGCTGACTCAGGCCATAAGAAACATAGATTTGCATAAATTATAACGGAATCAGTTTTTGCAAGCTTTTGAAAACATAAAATGTTCGCCATTTTCAATTACGAGCCACGACACGCGAAGAATTAAAGAGAACTGGTAACTAAAGTGTAGCGAAATATTAACGGCTAGCTGTTTACAGAACGATGTGTAGAGCTCCGTTTTCGTTCCACCACGTTTAGAAAGTGTGGTCGTATCGCTCCGGAAAATGACGTTTTTAAACAATTCTACTCCGGTGCAGAATAAACGTAACCCGGTTTTGTTACTTTTTTGCGCCGTTTTTAGACCGATCCTGAGTAGTGTAAACGTAGTCAAACATATAAAGTTATCACTGTCAAAATTTGCTTCACATTTTACGTAAGACTTTAGTTTACACACGTTTTCCTTTCTTATGTACACACATTCTAGACCAAATGATTACTAAAATATGAATTTCATCAAATCACCAATTAGCTACAGAACTTTCAGTAAAATTTCCCGTGTAGCTATATTTTAAGTAAAATATTAATAGATAGTTTGGCCTGCTTCAATACACAATAATTTTCCTATCGTTGAAGTATAATCAAATGATATTTAATAAAATAAGAAATAAGATTTAATTCTTTTAGGGTTACTGGTTGTTTCGACGCCATTGAGAAAAAATATGTAAGTAGCCATGTTTTTCTTTCCTTGGTCAGCTCTGAATAAACGATCTTACTCTAGCTTTATAACATCTGTAAAAAGTTGACTCAATGCCTTCATTAAATCTTTATAGACGAATAATGAAATAAGTCTAGTAATCGTCTTCCTAACTGAAACAAATTACAAAAATTATGTCAATATTTTTTTATTTAGCTGAGAAAGATGATATTAGGGGTAAGTTTAGAATCTACATGTACAGTTAATATTCTTATTTAATTCTAATAAGTATAGAACATCATGCATCTAGGTGCAATTTGAACAGCAAAAAAGGCTTAAAATGTACAAACAATGTAATCTATAAATTAAACTTCTAAAATTGTGTTAATTTGAACATTTTATGCGTTGTTTTTATGAACTAGATTTATAAGATTTTAGCAGCGATACTTATTCATTAATGATACAATCTTTTCTAATTGGCCAAAACCTACGAACATGATTTTTATTCTCTTATCACCTGCGAAGTCTTTGTCATAGCCGCCAGTATGTCTGGCAGCTTTTGCCGCCAGTATGTCTGGCAGCATGTCTTTATCTTATAGACTTTAAAAAATTCATCTTTGTATATGAAAAAATTCCACCTGAAAATAACGTTATTATACCTACATCCGTTTTTTCTCGCCCTAGCCAGACTATAGATACTTTGGGAAAATCATCCTACACGCAGTACTAACTGATTAATGTTTATTTTTAGTTTTATCTGGATGCTCGTGATCCTGATGTGAGTAAAACTAAATAAAAGTATTGTTGTGAGTACAGGCAGGTAAGAAAGATGACTCTTGATGAGAAAACCCGCCTTGCGTGCCCCGATAAAACACCAAACATGTTAATTAAAGATTTTTCTTAAATTTTTTGCCGTGTTTTGATTAAACGAGTCAATTCTTATTGTTGCAAATGTTTGTTTAGACTGTTCTGGAAACTTACACATTCAAGGTATGTAATGATGTAAGATACTCTGCATTGGAGGGAAAGTTTCTTAAATTTTGTTACCAAATGCATGCATGTTCGTTGTAAAAAAAATCGAAAGTTTTCTTTGTAATTACTCTGTTTATTAATACATTTTGCTCGTTCCGTTGTTGATGTTATGATCATTGATCACCTGATCAGCTCTTAAATGACTTTTTTCTTATGCATTTAAAAACATAGAAATGTAATTCTTCGGTACAGATATCATACAGTATCAGTATTTATCAAAATCTCGAATGCACCCACACAACACTATCTAATAAGACTTGAAGAAATAATCTACGGGCAGAACACATAATACATATCAGCCTAGATCCGACTAATGTATTTTTATAAGATTTAGAATTATGCATGATTATTGTTGAAGATATAGGGAAAGTACCACTGTTGGCTGATACCTCAAACAGTAGAGATGTTTTAAATTTTTGGATGGGAGTGAGGGGAGAGCAAAGATTATTTATATTCCTCGTTGCAGTTACTAACTTTTGTCCCATCGTAATCGACAATATGATTTTTGTGTAATTTTAGGTTGATTATTATAATCGTGGTGTAAATATTTATCGGTAATGTATGAAATTGTGCTGTTCATGTCGAGGTCAAAAAACATTTGATTTTAATTGCATAAAATTTCGCTTAGAAATGATCAGATTATTGCAAAAGCTCCTAAATCAAAAGAAACAAAGCTCGCCACCGTTCAACTCATGAGGTAAAGCATACAGTATGGTGAAAAGACATGGTTCTCTATATATATACAATAAATAAATATACAAAGTGTATTTACAATGTGCCCTCCCGGCTATCACCATATTAAAATGGTGACTCCTGCACTTGGGACACAGGTATACGTATGTAAAAATCATAAATTTAAAAGACAATATAAAATCAATGTATTATATCTTTTATGTTTGCATGACGTAATATGCTTGTAAGTTTATTTTTTGTGGCTTAATATATATATGTCATAATTTTAACAGGACTCTTGTTGCCATTATAAAGTGCACAAAGCAACTGCCAGGTAATGATTAACTTTTTATGTCTATCGTATCAAAAAATAAAATTTTACACAAATTTTTATTAAGCGGAAAACTACACAAATATTTGATTCAACTCTTTATACATTTAACACGAAATGTGTGTTGTATCTTTAGATGAAGTGATGATGACCATGAAAATCCTGTATTATGATGACGGTAAGCTGTGTAAAGTAATTATGTAAATTAATAAACAACGTAAGAGAGTATAGAATAAAGTAAATGGTTTGAACCCGGGAGTATCGTTATCTGTTTGTAAATGTAGATCGTCCAGGTTGGTATAGTCCTGAGAAGGACTGTTTTTGTTGTTGTTGACTGACGTTTCGACAACCTTAGTGGTAGTCATCTTTAGAGTCAAATGAGTCTCAAACAGTCCTTCTCAGGACTATACCAACCTGGACGATCTACATCTACAAACATGTAGAGTATAGAATAGTTGTAAAGGCATATAACTTGTCATTGAAATGATTCATACAATTTTTCTAACGTTCTGTAATGAATATATATTGGTAAATAAGGTTATTCATATCAAAAGCGAGTTTTGATTTTCTCGGAAAACACTGCAACGCCGCAATTAGTAACAAATGCATCAAATGCCGCAAATAGTAACAAATATCAGTGTTCTTACAGTTAATTTAGTTCTTTAACGATCACACGTTGCATGTGTACATCAAAAAGTTATCCATGGCTGTACGGTTTTGTCTTCTTGTAAAAAATTTAAACATAACTCCATATCTCTTGCTTCTGAAAAGCAGCTAAGAGGGTGTAGTCAAGTATTCACAGTTGCTAGCTCCATTGCTCGATCTTTGTCACACAGTTCTTTTCGCATTGACAATCAACTGATTAATTTTTTAAACAAGTATATGCTTTCTAAAGACTGTCTATATACCACCACCATAATGTGAACCCCAGATTCTTAATCCTGAAGATATTTTTCTATCTTAGAGTAACGTCACTTTTATGTTTTGCGTAGTTACACTGGCTAATTATCAACCTCCCGGGTTTCAGGTATTGTCTTATAAGCATTGTATCTCGTAAAAATGCACACATATAGTTGCCATCTGTCAAACTGTCAGAGGTTACCTCATATTGCTATTATGCAGGTATTTTTTCAATCAGTACGAATGTTAATAGATTATTGATAAGTAATTATAAAAATTCATTACATTGGTAATTGTATTTTACAACGAACAAATTCTTTTAAAAGTATAAAACTTCTGATGACGTAATATGAATTCATTTGCTGAAACACTTTTCGTGGACTGACATTTGAAAATTTTTCATTGATCTTAGGAGACTGACTACATTGGACCTGATGATTTTTCTTTAAAGCTTGATTTGGGCGATGCACATTCTGTATGTATAATTACGTCATCATACTTTAATGAGGCAATGATGATTTCATATGATACAAAGACTTCATTACGTCACTAATGATACACAATCATTAAACTCCTAACTTTTTTTCTATTGTTTTTTTTTTCAAAAAAACTCTCTATTGTAGCTAAGTTGTCAAAGTTTTCAAGAGCACTGTCAACTTATATTTCAAATAACTCGAAACAGTTATAAAAAGCTTTCGAGCAACAGTTGTGATTCAATGACAACATAAGCTGCATAATTTTGATGTAATCAAATCATAATTTTTTGTTTCTGTTTTTTTCTATGATTTTTTCCTGGAAAACACATCTAGCACTATCACATGTAAGTTCTAATTACAGCCTAGTGCTACAGAATTTTTTATTCTTTTAAACGACTTAATCTCGCACAAGGACTGCAAGCCTTGGCTTTCACCAGATTATAATTAACCCACATGAGTATTTTACTGTACCTGTGCTCAGTCGGACCTGGTAGTTAAAATCTTTAATGTAGGTTTGGAGTTCGCGTTCAATCAAAACTTTTTCACACTCGCGATGAAGAGGAAAGCGGAAAAAAACCAGGATCTTATCTTGATAATGAAGAAGACGGGGACAACATGGTGAAACAGAAAATTAAAATTTAAGCACTCAGCAGAGATTTATTTAGGTTCGCGTATTTTCTTCCAGTTTATTGAAGATTTGGTTGAAATTAGTAAAGAACCCCTTTCAGTGCGTGATATAACTGCAATTGACTTACAAAAACAACCCAATGAAAGAAAGAATGAAGAGGCAAAAGGTACTTATTTTTTGTTACATAATCAATGGAGGATTGATGTTATATAATGTTTGCATAGCAAATTGAGATACTCCTTTCATATTCAAGACTGCAATGATATTCATATGGAATGGACAAAGTCAGATACAAGTACGGTTATTTCTGGTAAAAGAATTTGTTACATATTTTAAGTTCTTTTTTTATCTGGTTGTGCTAGAAATTTTTCGATTTAGAAAAGTCTTTTGCATTCTGCATTCATGGCTCTAAAGTTTACTGGCTAACTGTAATCATACTAATTACCAAATGTCTGGTTTGTTTGTAATATTAGTAGTTTACTAGTACAAACGACGTGCAAGGTCGTATTACTTGTAAAACGACCCTTGAATTCTAGTTAAATGAATTCTAATTAGGTAAATTAGTTGCAAATTCGTCTTACTAGAACAATAGAAACTAAGACAATCGTGGCATCACAAAGGTTGTCTGATGTCTGAAACAGCACGATGAAATGAACAAATTTCAAGTTTCATGAAGCTAAAGGTTTTTAGCCCTCAAGCTGTGTTGAAGATTTATCGTTAAATGTTATTGTATCATCTTATAGATACAGAAAAAGCTTCTAATACCAGAACGTCGACACCTAAAACTCCTGAAGAAAATTTTCCCCAAGAAGCCATTGTAGAATGTTCTTGTGGACTTAACGTGGTGCGTTGACAAACTTTGCTTTAAGGCAATACGCTTCTAAAGTCACGGATGATAGCTACCTATCTAGAAAAGTATTATTAGTGTACTTTATAGTCAAGCTCAAATAGCCCCTTTATAAATCAAAAGTCATAAAATCGTAGAAAACAATGGAACAATTGAACAATTGGAATGATTGACTATACACCAGAAAGATTAGTAAAAGAACTTACACATTCTGAATTATTACTGTATGTTTATACATTTCCTACGAGTCACGTGACTCGAAATTCTAAGCAGTCTTTTATACATAAATGTGGTTTTATTCCTTTAATTTTATACATGGATAAGCTCCATCAGCGTAAAAAGAACAGCATTAAGTCAGGAGAGAGAAATAACCGTTTCAAAACGTAATAGAAAGCTTTGCATAATACTAATACTTAGCAAAACACACTCCAAAAACATCGTCTTGTAAACTCAAGATTCGAGTTATAAAAGCAGGAGACAAGATTTAAAGCAATATTTCGACTTTATTTTGAAGTCATTATCAAGCTAAGTGATTATTTACAAGCATGTGTGATGTTAAATAGTTGTTACAAGGAAATGACGTAAGCAATGAAATGAAATAAAGGAGGTGTTACTGTCTAGAATTACACCAATGAATGACGTGTCATCAATTTTATGACGTTTGAATTTTTTTTTTTAATTTTTGAATTTGTCGGCGGGAAAAGGATACTAATACTTAATAGAACTTTACTCAACAACTCTATGGTTATGTGCGCTAGTATGTTTATTAAGTATAACACAGTGGCAGTTTCAATTTGAACAATATTTATGTTGTACAGGACGATGGTATGATGATCTTGTGTGATTTCTGTAAGCACTGGCAACACGCATGTTGTTATCGTTTTTTCACTGAACAAGATTGTCCTACCAAACATATTTGCATTACATGTGCTGTGGTACGTACACCATTTAAAATATAATCTTTCTCAATGTGTGACTTAACTGCAATATTTTTTTGGTTTATCAACATTAATTGACAAAGACATTCTCTTGATATTGCTTATTTTCTGTCGTGTGCTAAACCATGCTTTTATAGTTTAATTTATGTGTGCATTACTACATCTAGACTACTTCTGTGTACATTTTTTTAAAACATTAATGTATAATGACTTGGCATTCGTAATTTGTACATGCATTATTACTACTCAAATTTCATTTGTCATTTTTCATACTATTCCTATTTTTTGTGCACATCATTATCTGTTTGTGTAAAGTCAATGTAATCAATGTCTAATTGTGGAAGTTAATTACTTAAGTTGTCTATTTTCAGGCGGAAAAAAAGGAATGCTCTGACATTACTTTACATGACTATGATCCAAAAACATTACAGGTTTGCATAGAAATCACACGCTACGGGATGATTTAAAAGCAGTGTAAACTATAATAAGTCATTCAAGTGTTTTTGCAAAAAGCTTACATAAAAATTTAGTCCTGAATGACGATATATTCATCTATATCAAACCCTTCTAGCATAAGTAGGCGGATTTGTTCTTCTGCCATTCTTCATAAGCAAATATTCGCAGCTCATAACGGTGAAATAAAAATGAAATGAGCTTTCGAAATGAGAAATATAGCTTCGTAAGTATCTACACCGTAGATAATGTCTAGGCAAACGTGTTCTTTTATCGTTTCTGTGTTTTGATAAAAAACTTTTATGTTTGTTTAGACTCAATGTTTGTGGCGTAGAGCTTTGGTAGCATGTCGCGATGTAACAAGAATTACTGCACAAAACTTTTCTAAAAGATTAGGTATTAAAATTTTTTCTTTTCTCCAGTCTCGTGCGCTTTCTTTTATTAATTTATATAAACCATTAAAGAACATTTTCGTTCTTCTGCTCTTAATACCAACATGCGATGTAAAAATATTTTCCAGGAATTTTAAGAGAAGAAAGTGACACTATCAAAGTGAAGCTATTTTATTATTTACATTTTAAGTTATTCTGAAACAAAACATTTTGTTTTTCTGGTGCTTTTTTAGGTGTGGAGTTGACTGTGGCTCAAGATCTGATGAAGAGAATGCAGAACGAAAGATTTATAAGGCCTGCGGCAAAAGGAAAACGGTGATTTGACTTTAGCTATGCACACATTGGCAGGGGTGTCAAGGTGTCGTGTGACGCCTTTCCAAACTTTAGCTCTCTCCCTATTGGCGAAAATTAGTTGAAAAAATTACCTTAGTTGAAAAAAATTACCTTATTTCATAAACAAAACAAATTTATAACATTGCTATACGAACGTATAGCCTATTGATGCTTTTAGAGTGAAACTTTGCAATTTTACTACATTGTCGCAGAAATACAAATAAATAACAATGGGCAATTAAGCGATTTCTGGTGGAGCACAATGAATGTTTGACGGAGGGCGCTCGGCGGTTGCGTCACGACGTTGCATATGTTTTTTAAACAAAATGTTTTGGTAAAAAAAGCTGCAAAAAAAACATTTTAAAATTATTTAATGATTATGACTAAAAATATTTATCTTTTCTATGCCACGTTTATTTACTCTTCTAGTCTTGGTAAACTAGTGGTCAAGGAAAAGTTTACTGTTGATGCTCTGAAGCAATATTTTGATGTGTTAGCGACGAAGAATGACGGATTGCGTAATCTGGAAAATAATGAAAATGGTGAAAAACCAAATGACGTTCAGAAAGACAAGGAAAATGGGGATGAGAAGAATAATTGTGAAAACGCCGAAAAGGGGACAAATATTATTACCCAAAACGAAGTAATTATGCACAAAATACTGCGATCGGGCTTGCTATCTTTCAATAAAAGCGTAACTTTAAATGCTATTTTTCTGAAAATTATATGTTTTTTTGGCATGTAGGAGTTTGAGAGTATGCTTGAAAAGGCAAAAGAGATCAATATTTCTGGAAAAAATGAGTACCAGAAAGAATCAGTGGTATAGTTTTATCTGAATTTCGCAACTGTGAATACTAGAACAGTTGCAATTAGAACATTTTTGACTTATAAGTTAACTACTGTATTAAACTTATAGGAGGTAAATATTCCTGAAGAAAAAAATAGTTCTCGTGGAAGAAAGAGATTACTGTCATCGGCTGACATTGTATGTATTTTCTTTAAGCTTAATTTTTCCCTTCGACAAATGACAACTACTACAGAGGCGGGATCAAAGGGGAAATTTCCCATCTTTTTATCATGAAAGTTTACAATTTATAGCTATAAGCTGCTTATCTTAAGAAAATATTGTTCTACGACTTATATAAAGAACCAATGCTTAACTCTGATGTTAATCAGAAAAGCTTTTCATTTTTGCATTTTAAATCGTATGTACACTTTGTGTAGCGCAGGTGACTCTCCCTTCCTCACATTTATGAAAATGCCTACGCCTTAGACTCCATAAAATTGATGACAAACAGTTGACGAACATGTAGACGAACATGTAATTGCAATTTTTGATATTGTTTCATTAAGCTCTACAGAAAAAAGAATGATTGGGGGTCAGTAATGTAGATTTTTTTAAAAATCTAGGAGATTGATTTCGACGTATCCAACAGTCAGGATCCGATGGATCATTGCAACAAGCCTTCCACCAAAAGAATGAAAGCAAGCGCTGCAGAGCAAGCTGTTGCCGTTTATGTTTAATTCCTTTTCAACGTTTTCATTTTGAAAGTATTATTTATATCCGGTTGATTGAATTATGGTTGTTGTAAAAGTGTTTATGAAATTGTGATATTCTATATTTATATCGATTATATTTAATCATATCATTAATATATTAAAGTTGAATAAAAGATTAACTATTGATGTGAATTCATACCAATGAAGAATTGTACATTCCTTAAATAAAAGAAAATTCTAAATCCGCAAGTTTTATTTAATTCTTTGGGTTAGGAATTGTTGTATTAAAGCAATGTATTCAATCAGTATATTTTTATTTGTCTCTTGACTCTTCCTTTTTGGCAAATGTTTCAAAGACAAGAACAAACGTTGACGAGTTTAAACTTGCAATAAAAGCATGATGCCATGTCAAGAATGAATACTCGTCATTAAAACTAAAGATACTAGATCACTCAGCACAAATAACTTTTTAGAAATACATATGAGCAATATTTAAGAAATTGAAAGTGTTTTCTGTGTTTCTCTAGAGTTCTAGAATTACGTGGTAAAGCTTGGGAAAACAAGAAATTGCATGGCAAGCACGAGCACAAGTGTTTCTATAGAGTTGTAAAATCATGTGGTAAAGCTTGGGGAAAACAAGATATTGCATGGCAAGCACGAGCACAAGTTTTTCTATAGAGTTGTAGAATCATGTGGTAAAGCTTGGGAAAACAAGAAATTGCATGGCAAGCACGAGCACAAGTGTTTCTATAGAGTTGTAGAATCATGTGGTAAAGCTTGGGAAAACAAGATATTGCATGGCAAGCACGAGCACAAGTTTTTCTATAGAGTTGTAGAATCATGTGGTAAAGCTTGGGGAAAAATAGAAATTGCATGGCAAGCACGAGCACAAGTCTTTCTATAGAGTTGTAGAATTATGTGGTAGAGCTTGGGGAGAACAAGAAATTGCATGGCAAGCACGAGCACAAAGTGGAAAGCACGAGACTATTATTTTGAGTTTCTGCCAAACATTTCACAATCCCATACCTTTCGCAAGTCTTACACGAGTTTCTGAGTATTCAAACAATCAGCGTTTTGATAAAGCGTTTTGATTAACATTTTTTTCAATCATTCCTTTTCAATGGGTATTCAAAAGTTTTTTTTACAGAAAAGACTTCCTTAATTTACTGTAAAACATTTCTCACACTGAGTTTAAGCAGCGGTGTTTTTCAGAAAATTTAGCATGCTTAATGTCATTAAAGGCAATGCTTCTGTTGGCACTTAGGCAGAACGATAAAAAATTTGAGACGGCAAGTATCAAAGCTGTTATTAACAAAGGTGTTCACTATAGGCTTATGTGGTGAAAAGAAGCACAGCACGAACAGTTACCAAAAAGCTTTTAAAAATATGATTTATAGTTTATGGAGTATGATATAGATGTATCTACTTTCATGCCAGTTTTATTCAGTCTGTTTTGTTTTCTCGATATTCTTGAAAATAGCCGCACTTGTAAACGACATTTTGTTGATTTTGTTGTATCAAATGACGCATCTTCATATTTATGTCATATTGAACTTGAGTAGGATCTGTTTTGGCCGAACACGTTGACAAAATTATTTAGTTTCCTTTTCATGAAATTATCAAACTGAAATAATTTGCACACCGTCAATATGGACAATAATTGACATTTGACAATAAACTAGTTTCATAACTTTTAATACATTTGTCTGTTTAGATTAATTACAGAAATAAACGTCAATTTAGTATCTCTGTCTATTCAACTTTCCCTTTAATTCCATCGCTAAATATAATATATATTCTATTGTCTATCAAGAATTGCCTTTCACCATTTAAAAGTTTCTATTCTACGTCTGTATCAAATTCCATACAAATTATGTTTTTGTTTTTGATTTTGAACTCAGATTTAACCACTGGTTCCCCGCTTTGTTTAGATTCATTTACGTAAACAAGCGTCAATTTACTATCTCAAATTATTTAACCTTTCCCTATATTTTATAGTCAAACATAAATTGTTCAATGTCTTTCAAAATTTTCTTTCATAATTTGCAAGTTTTTACTGTACGTCAGCAGCAAATTTCATACAAAATATGTGTTGTCCACTATATATTTTCAACACAGTTTTAATAACTGATGATCCTGACATGGCAAACCATGGTACATCAAATTCACTTTTCAAAACGACAGTCGCGTATCCTTTCAATGGACAGAGCACATCATGAAATGCGCATAAGGTTTTAAACTTCATTGAAAACGGAAGACTTTTTTTTTCAACTTCTTGATAAACATCAAAGGTTCCATTATAAATGATGGTGTTCGGTGTAAGATCCATTGTTGAAGTGTAGGTTCTAAATTTCTTTAATATACACACATCATTTGTCGACCCTTCTTCGCAATTGATTTTTAAATTAGAAAAGGACGAGTAATCGCTTCCACAATCTTTTGTGCTGATTTGTATTTGCAATGAAATTTGCACTAACATTGCAACCAGGAAGAGAAAATACATTTTTGAAGCCATACACTTTGGATGCTTTGCAAAGTTTGTTGAACTGCTTTTCAATTAATACCTGACGAATACTACGATCACCAGCGAATGCACTCAATGCGCAATGTCACACGATTTTTACATTAGTTTCGACCAATAAGCGAGAATATTTTTAAGAGCACTCAAGGTTGCTTTTAAAATCAAATCAATGTTCACAAGACGCGCATGTTTTGCTAAATTTTTCGTTTCAGCTTCAGCTGTCATTTCATCAATCAACGCATTTAGATGCAGTAACAAGCCTAAGTTCATGATACAACTCGAGCCAAGAAGAATAAGAAGAAGAAAAGAAAAAGAAGAAGAAGAAGATCAATAAGATAAATCAGAGGAAGTGAATAAGAAGGGAAGAAGAAGAAGAAGAAGAAGGAAGAAGAAGGAAGAAGATCAATAAAGAAGATAAATCAAAGATAAAGGAGGGAAGAAGAAGAAGAAGGAAGAAGAAGAAAAGATCGAAGATCAGAAGATCAATAAAGATCGAAAGGAAGATGAAGCGGGAAGAAGGAAGGAAGAAGAAGAATGAGAAGAGAAAATCAGGAAGAAAAATAAGAGGAAGAAGAATCGGAAGAATGAAGGAGAAGAAAAGAGAAGAAGATGAAAGAAGAAGAAAAGGAAGAAGAAATCGAAGAAGAAGAAGAAGAAGAATAAGAAGAATCAGGAAGAAGATAAAAATCGAAGAAGAAGGAAGGATCATCGAAAAACCGGATCAATAATCAATCAGATCCGGCTCGTCGAACAAACTCCAACGCCATCAGAATCTGAGTCGAAGGAAAACACTTGGAAAACAGTTTAATTATCAAGACGATACAATTTAAAACGATATATTTTCGACTGACAAAAACTTGAAAAGTGAAAGTCAACCTGTACAAAGCAGTAAAGACGAAAAAGAAGCAAAGCGTTATTTCAGGTCAAATAATGCCATATATATAAACCTTTTAATAACCTCGCTTTCTCGGTTCTTATTGAGAAATGTCGGACTTTTTATTATTATCATATACGTCAGAGAACTATTTTGAAAGACAATTAATCAAGTTGAGATGATCAAGTATTTTTAAATCTTAATAAATCAAAAATCGGTTTGCTGTCAACACGATTACAATTGACGTTAAAGTTCGTGAGAAATCTATAATACCTACTTTAAATAATGTAATCACGTGAGAATAGTCACGTGACTAGAAATCCAAGCAATGGCGTTCAGCAAATACAAAGGATTTGGCAGTCGCTGACAGTAAGCACCGTGAACACAAAGCACGTTTTAAAAAATCCCAAACATTTTTATTTTAAAGCTTGATGCTAATGATGTTGAAACTCTTTAATATTATATGTACCATGATCTGAGGATCAATCCTGGTTCAATTTGTGCAATGACCACAAATTTGAAAAGCTAACCACATGTACGCTATGCGTGCCTATTTTTAGTCACAAATCAAGTCAAAGCTGAAGTCTGACCACAAATTTGAACTCGGTTCAGAGCTTGAGTCTTTAACTCTGTATAATAGTACATACCAAATAAACGTAACGAGTATTAAAACAAATGAAAATGTCAGAGTAAAATGATGCAAGACTAAGCCAAAAACGGCACATGGCTACAAAAGCATCAAAAATCGGAATCACGGCAGAAACCAAAAACCCACTAAGAAACCCCACTCAGAAACAGAAATATCAGAAAGCAAATAACAGAATGAAGGCCCGTGGAAGATTTGTGTTAGAAAAGAGTGTCTCAAAACTAATACAATAAAACTGTGTTAATAAATTTAACATTCTTGTGAAGGTGAAACGCGACGTTTTTTTTTATAAACATTCCCATTAGACGAATTAATTGAGTAGTCAAAAAGTTTACTTTTTGAGCGTATATATGCTGGTTGTTAGTTAATGAGTGTATTCACTGAATCTATGGAGAGATTTTCTGACTGCACGAACTACAAACACAAGGCAATAGACGAGGTATAACATACACTCAGTGACAGTAGCTGTGCATCGAAGTAATCACATGAGAGAAAAAAAAACGTTGCGAATTTTCCTTCATTAAATAGTCTCGATGGTATGTGCTCAGTGATCGGGAAGGAATCTTTCTGCAATGAAGATTGAGCTAGTTTATGCATACTAAGAAAGCAGAGGTAGGTTAAAAAACAAGCACATCGAGTTTTCATCGACTTGCGTGTAAACAAAACTTTTCATTTTTTTAGAGGACATCTTTGAGAAAAGCTCAATGTTGATTATGTTCACACATTTTAGAAGCATGACGGAAGGTAATAGAGCTAGCTTTCATTGCCAATCAACTTTAAAGTTACGTCAAACGTATTCATTTTGAAAAAATTTCGTATAAACAACATCTCACCTGTGAACTACAGTAAAAGCGAACGAGGCACAGCAGCAACCGCACCAGGACTGTAAACCATGGTAAAAATGGCCAAAACACAACTTGGACATTACCATCCCAGAAAAAACAGTTGAGTCATCAATAAATCATCATATATACTTTTAATTACCGTAAGTCAAGTACAAAAGAATTTCATATAGCATCAGTAACACTGTTTGGCCAGGAGACGCAGTAATTGAATAACGATTACCGCTTGTTATTCACGTCTGTTTTGAATGAAGAGCCCTTTGCACTTGAGTCAAGCGTACTGCATTTAGGGTCCATACTCTTACCCAAAATGCATTCCACAAACTAAAATGTTAATTTTGCCAGCCGTAAGCTTTAGGTTTGCTACCTTGCTGCTCGCAGCTGCAGCAATGAGAGAAATTGTCTTAATCTGAGTTTATTTTTTTATATTTCTCTCTTCACAATGTGGCTTCGTGTAAAAAATTAATGATGTAGCTGCATCACTCGACATCACGAAATGTCATGCCCATAGATCACCTCACATCACCTGATATCATATCACTTCATTTCACCTGATATCATATCACCTCATATCACCTGATATCATATCACCTCACCAGATATCAAATGCATATCACCTGACATCATTAAATGTCATTTGTCTGTAACATAATATAACATTGGATATATATGTCTTGACCTTCCTAATTTGAAAAGCACAGGATATATTTTTATATTTATATTTTTTAAAATAAATTTTAACAACAACAATGAACGATGCTGTATGTTTTATCTCAAGTTTTGTATTACACAGGTTGAGTTTCTCACCGTGTCGAGATTGTGTTTCATCAACTGCACATTTTCTATATACGTAATAACCCGCCACAAATGAAGCCACAAGGTAACAATATTTACAAACAATATTTACAAACAATATTTACAAACAATATTTACGATCTCCAGCGAATGCACTCAATGCACAATGTCAAAGAGGAAAGCACGAGACTATTATTTTGAGTTTCTGCCAAACATTTCACAATCCGATAACTTCCACAAGTTTCACACAAGTTTCTGAGAAGTCAAACAATCAGTGTTTTGATAAAGCGATGTAATAAAGCCATGTGGTAAAGCTTAGGGAGAACAAGAAATTGCATGGCAAGCACGGAACAAAGTGGAAAGCACGAGACTATTATTTTGAGTTTCTGGAAAACATTTCACAATCCCATACCTTTCGCAAGTCTTACACGAGTTTCTGAGTATTCAAACAATCAGCGTTTTGATAAAGCGTTTTGATCAACATTTTTCAATCATTCCTTTTAATGGGTATTCAAAGTTTGTTTTAAAGAAAAGACTTTCTTAATTTACTGTAGAACATTTCTCACGCTGAATTTAAGCGGCGGTGTTTTTTTCGAAAATTTAGCATGCAAAGAGGTTTAAAGTCATTAAAGGCATTGCTTCGGTTGGCAAGTAGGCAGAACGATAAAAAATTTGAGACGGAAAATATCAAAGCAGTTATTGACAAAGGTATTCACTATAGGCTTATGAGGTGAAAAGTAGTACAGCACGAACAGTAACCAAAAAGCTTTTAAAAATTTGATTTATACTTTTTGGAGTATGATATAGATGTATCTACATTCATGCCAGTTTTATTCAGTCTGTTTTGTTTTGGTGATATTCTTCAAAATAGCTGCACTTGTAAACGACATTTAGTTGAATTTGTCGTATCAAATGACGCATCTTCATATTTATGTCACATTGAACTTGAGTAGGATCTGTTTTGGCCGAACACGTCGACAAAATTATTTAGTTTCCTTTTCATGAAATTATCAAACTGAAATAATTTGCACACCGTCAATATGGACAATAATTGACATTTGACAATAAACTAGTTTCATAATTTTTAATACATTTGTTTAGATTAATTACAGAAATAAACGTCAATTTAGTATCTCTGTCTATTTAACTTTCCCTTTAATTCTATCGCTAAACATAATATATATTCTATTGTCTCTCAGAATTGCCTTTCACCATTTAAAAGTTTCTATTCTACGTCTGTATCAAATTCCATACAAATTATGTTTTTGTTTTTGATTTTGAACTCAGATTTAACCACTGGTTCGCCGCTTTGTTTAGATTCATTTACGTAAACAAGCGTCAATTTACTATCTCAAATTATTTAACCTTTTCCTTTATTGTATAATCAAACATAAATTTTTCAATTTCTTTAAAATTTTCTTTCATCATTTGCAAGTTTTTACTGTACGTCAGCAGTAAATTTCATACAAAAATGTGCTGTCCACTATATATTTTCAACACAGTTTTAATAACTGATGATCCTGACATGGCAGTCCGTGGTACAGCAATTTCACTTTTCAAATCGACAGTCTCGTATTGTTTCAATGGACAGAGCACACCATGAAATGCGCATAAGGTTATAAATCTCATTGGAAACGCATGAATTTTTTCTTCAACTTCTTGATAAAGATCAAAGGTTCCATTATAAATGATGGTGTTCGGTGTAAGATTCATTGTTGTAGGGTAGGTTCTACCTTTCTTTAATATACATACATCATTTGTCGACCCTTCTTCGCAATATATTCTTAAATTAGAATAGGACGAGTAATCGCTTCCACAATCTTTTGTGTTGACTTCTATTTGCAATGAAATTTGCACTAACATTGCAACCAGGAAGAGAAAATACATTTTTGAAGCCATACACTTTGGATGCTTTGCAAAGTTTGTTGAACTACTTTTCAATTAATACCTGACGAGGACTACGATCACCAGCGAATGCACTCAATGCGCAATGTCACACGATTTTTACATTAGTTTCGACCAATAAGCGAGAATATTTTTAAGAGCACTCAAGGTTGCTTTTAAAATCACATCAATGATCACAAGACGCGCATGTTTTGCTAAGTTGTCGTTTCAACTTCAGCTGTCATTTCATCAACAGATCAATCGGATCAATCCGGCGATCCGAAGATCAAAATCCGAAGAAGAAAAGAAAGAAGATAAGAAGAAGAAAAAGAAGAAGAAGAAGAAGAAAGAAGAAGAAGAAGAAGTATAAGGGAAGATAAAGAAGAAGATAAATAAGAAGATTATAAAGGGAAGATAAGAAGGATCAATAAAGGAAGAAGAGGGAAGATAAGTGAAGATAAGAATAAAGAAGGAGAAGAAGAAGAATCGAAGAAGAAGAAGAAGATAGGAAGAAAAGGAAGAAAGGAAGATCGGAAGAAGAAATCCAGAAGAAGAAAGGGAAGATAGGAAAAGAAGATCCAAGAAGGAGAAGAAGAAGAAAGGAAGATAAGGATCAGAAGATCTTGAAGAGAAGAAGAAGAAGAAGATAAAGTAGAAGATAAAGAAGAAGAAGAAAAGAGGAGATGTGAAAGTAGAAAAGAAGGAAAAAGCTTTCGCGGTTTTATTGAGAAATATCGGACTTTTATTATTATCATATACGTCAGAGAACTGTTTTGAAAGACAATTAATCAAGTCGAGATGATCAAGTATTTTAAATCTTAATTAATCAAAATCGGTTTGCTGTCAACACGATTACGATTGCCGTTAAAGTTCGTGAGAAATCTATAATACCTACTTAAAATAATGCAATCACGTGAGAATAGTCACGTGACTAGAAATCAAAGCAATGGCGTTCAGCAAATACAAAAGGATTTGGGAGTCACTCACAGTAAGCACCGTGAACACAAAGCACATTTTAAAAATCCCAAACATTTTATTTTAAAGCTTGATGCTAATGATGTTGAAATTGTTTAATATTATATGTACCATGATCTGAGGATCAATCCTGGTTCAATTTGTACAATGACCACAAATTTGAAAAGCTAACCACATGTACGCTATGCGTGTCTATTTTTAGTCCCAAGTCAAGTAAAAGCTGAAGTCTGAGCACGAGTTTGAGCTCGGTTCGGAGCTTGAGTCTTTAACTCTGTATAATAGTACATCTCAAACAAACGTAACGAGTATTAAAACAAATGAAAATGTCAGAGTAAAATGATGCAAGACTAAGCCAAAAACGGCACACGGCTACAAAAGCATCAAAAACGGGACTCACGGCAGAAACCAAAAACGTTTATTACCCCACCCAGAAACAGAAATATCAGAAAGCAAATTACAGAATGAAGGCCCGTGGAAGATTTGTGTTGGAAAGTGTGTCTTAAAACTAATAGAATAAAACTGCGTTAATAAATTTAACATTCTTGTGAAGGTGAAACGCGACGTTTTTATATATAAACATTCCATTAGACGAATTAATTGAGTAGTCAAAATGTTTACTTTTTGAGCGTATATTTGTTGGTTGTTAGTTAATGAGTGTATTCACTGAATCTATGGAGAGATTTTCTGACTGCACGAACTACAAACACAAGGCAAATAACGAGGTATAACATACACTCGGTCAGTGACAGTAGCTGTGTATCGAAGTAATCATATGAGAGGGAAAAAAACGTTGCGAATTTTCCTTCATGAAATAGTGTTGATAGTATGTGCTCAGTGATCGGGAAGGAATCTTTCTGCAATGAAGATTGAGCTAGTTTATGCATACTAAAGAAAGCAGAGGTAGGTTAAAAACGAGCACATCGAGTTTTCATCGACTTATGTAAACAAAACTGTTCATTTTTATAGAGGACATCTTTGAGAAAAGCCCTAGGTTGACTATGTTCACACATTTTAGAAGCATGACGGAAGGTAATAGAGCTAGCTTTCATTGCCAATCAACTTTAAAGTTACGTCAAACGTATTCATTTTGAAAAAATTTCGTATAAACAATATCTCACCTGTGAACCACAGTAAAAGCGAACGAGGCACAGCAGCAACCGCACCAGGACTGTAAACCATGGTAAAAATGGCCAAAACACAACTTGGACAATACCATCCAGAAAAAACAGTTGAGTCATTAATAAATCATCATATATACTTATGTGCCGTAAGTCAAGTACTAAAGAATTTCATATAGCATCTGTAACACCGTTTGGCCAGGAGACGCAATAATTGAATAACGATTGACGCTGGTTATTGACGCTGGTTAGGGTAAGAGTATGTACCCTAAATGCAGTACGCTTGAGTCAAGCGTACTGCATTTAGATATCTTACAAAATGCATTCCACAGACTAAAATGTTAAATTTTGACAGCCGCGAGCTTTAGGTTTGCTGCCTTGCTCCTCACAGCAGCAGCAATGAGAGAAATTGTCTTAATCTGAGTTTATTTTTTATATTTCTCTCTTCACAATGTGTAGCTTGTAAAAATTAATGATGTAGCTGCATCACTCGACATCACGAAATGCCATGCCCATAGATCACCTCACATCACCTGATATCATATCACTTCATTTCACCTGATATCATATCACCTGATATCACCTGATATCATTAAATGTCATTTCTATAACATAATATAACATTGGATCTATATGTCTTGACCTTCCTAATTTAAAAAGCACAGGATATATTTTTATATTTATATTTTTTAAAATAAATTTTAACAACAACAATGAACGATGCTGTATGTTTTATCTCAAGTTTTGTATTACACAGGTTTAGTTTGTCAACCATCCGAGATTGTGTTTCATCAACTGCACATTTTCTATATACGTAATAACCCGCCAGAAATGAAGTCACAAGGTCACAATATTTACAAACAATATATAGCCGTGTTTTTGGGAAGAGAAAAGAATACAACGTATGCTTCTCGAAGAGTTGTGCTCAATCTTTAGAGGCCGTAAAAAGAAATGAATCAAAATTTGAAATTAGATGCAAACTCTATAAGAGGAAAGAGTTCGTTACTACATGCCGGAAGGAAAGCAGCCATGCCGGCTTTTATGTACGGGCTCGAACCGGCTCATATGTACTAACGCATCTTTTTTTCAACAGAGCCATAAAAAATTTAAATCAGAAAATGTCAAAAGCGTTATGGTGGTATTCATTATAACTTTATATGGTGAAAAACCGCGAAGCACGAACAATAACGAAATGCTTTCGAAATATTATTCATAGTTTATGAATATAAATTTTGTGCGCATTTTGCAGTAAGTTGTATACCATTTATTGCATTTCCTCATTTTCCGCTTGCTTTCCTCATTTTCCTCATTTTCCACTTGCTTTTCCTCATTTTCCTCATTTTCCACTTGCTTTTCCTCATTTTCCTCATTTTGCATTTCAAGCAGAATTCCGCTTGTAAATAGCTGCACTTGAAAACGACATTTGTGAATTCGATACATTAAATGACATATCTTCAATTTTGCATCATATTGAACTTGTGTTAGACCACTTTGGGCAGATCACATTGATAAAACAAGTTTGTTCTTTTTACATGCAATTCTTAAATTGAATGATTTGCACGTCGTCAATATACATGAACATTGATTTGGACAATAAACTAGTTTCATAATTTTTAATACATTTTTCTGTTTAGATTAATTACAGAAATAAACATCAATTTAGTATCTCTGTCTATTTAAATTTCCCTTTAATTCTATCGCTAAATATAATATATATTCTATTGCTGTCTCTCAGAATTGCCTTTCACCATTTAAAAGTTTCTATTCTACGCTTGTCTTAAATGTCATACAAATTATGTTTTTGTGTTTGGTTTTCAACTCAGTTTTAACCAATGGTTCGCCCATGGCCCATCCTGGTACAGCAAGTTCACTTTTGACGATGACTTGAACACCTGGTTTCAATGGACAGACCACACCATGATGCTCGCACAAGTGTTTGTGTTCCAGTTGTAATGGAAGAGACATACCTCCAATAACTCCATGAAGAACAATTGTCGCATTCTCAATGATAGTGTTCGGTGTAAGATTCAATGTTGATGCGTAGGTTTTACCTTGCTTTACATTACACACATCATTTGTCGATCCTTCTTCGCAATTGATTTGTAAATTAGAAAAGGACGCGTATTTGCTGCCACAATCTTTTGTGCTGATTTCTATTTACGAAATTTGCACTAACATTGCAAAATGAAGAGAAAATACATTTTTGAAGCCATGACTTTGGATGCTTTGCAAAGTTTGTTGAACTGCTTTTTGAATTGATAGCTGACGAAGACTACGATCTCCAGCAAATGCACTCAATGCACAACGCACACGATTTTCAGATTAAGGCTCGACCAATAAAGCGGAATATTTTTAGACCATTCAAGGTTGCTTTCAAAATCACATGAGTGATCACAAGACGCGTGTTTTGATAAATTTGTCCCTTCAACTTCAGGTGTCATTTCATCAATCAACGCATTTAGATGCACAGTAACATATATCAGCTCATGATAAACTGTTACAAAAATTCTCATTCTGTGTTTTCGTTTGCTTTATAAAGTCAAAATTTCCACATATCAGATTGTAACGATAATTTCATTACAAAGTGCAAATTTTTTTTGTAAAAAAGGTTATATGTAAAACCACAATGTACAAAAATAACTTACAAGTATCATTTCTGTTATCGTTGAGTAAAACATTTACGCAGCTAAAGTGTTGTTAGTTGAAATAGTGATAATGTACAATGTAAGAAACATGCATGAGCTATTATAAAACAACCTTTAGAAGTCGCCATCCTCGTAATTGTACGAGGTTACAATCCATTGCAACCTTAACGGCTAATTTCCATCCATGTTATCGTTGGTAAGTTGCAACAAAGTGTAGTAGAAATAGTGATAATGTACATGAGAACATGCATGAGCTTTATAAAACAACATTAAGAAGTCGCCATCCTCGTAATTGTACGAGGTTACAATCCATTGCAACCTTAACGGCTAATTTCCATCCATGTTATCGTTGGTAAATTGCAACAAAGTGTTGTAGAAATAGTGATAATGTAGATGAGAACATGCATGAGCTTTATAAAACAACATTAAGAAGTCGCCATCCTCGTAATTGTACGAGGTTACAATCCATTGCAACCTTAACGGCTAATTTCCATCCATGTTATCGTTGGTAAATTGCAACAAAGTGTTGTAGAAATAGTGATAATGTAGATGAGAACATGCATGAGCTTTATAAAACAACATTAAGAAGTCGCCATCCTCGTAATTGTACGAGGCTACAATCCATTGCAACTTTAAGGGCTAATTTTCATATAGCTGCATTTTACGCTGTAGTGCAAAATGCTCAAACCTTTATCAAATTACGCATGCGCAATTTTGTCAAGTTCAAAAGGTCAATAGCAGTCGTGTGATCGCGAATAGCTTAAGAGCAACGCAACAAAGTTGAATTCATTCTACTTTTGAGTGCGTTGTTTTGCCCTCAAGTTTCAGAGCACTGCATGACCCCACTTTTAAGAGCATTGCATGTATAGGCCTTTCGCTAGCCTTTCGCGAAAGAGCTTTCTTGTCCAAAATCTCCGTTTGGTAGCATTTTCCTTTAAGTGTAAAATGCAGCTCCATGGAAATTAGTCTCAAGGCTTAACAGGCTCTTTCTCCATGTTCTTCTGATGACTGTGAAGAAGTCTTGAGTGTAAAATGCAGTTCCATGGAAATTAGTCTCAAGGCTTAACAGGCTCTTTCTCCATGTTCTTCTGATGACTGTGAAAAAGTCTTGAGTAGTTGTCATTTAAACCATGCGTAAATATGAATGTTCTTTGATTATGAAACATCCAAAACAGTTGTTAATGATGTAAGAATAGACTTTGCCGAACAGTATAATTTATTTATATATCGAATACTAATTCAAGTATTAGGGGCAGATTATCCGGGGTGAAATTCAGCCCGGGCCTGTTATATTATTCCATCAAAAATTGCGTACACGACTACATGAGAACAATTCTAGCTCGGGCTGAGTTGTAATCGTTTAATCCCAGGCTGAGTTGTAATCGTTTAATCCTGGGCTGTCATGTAATACTTTCAGCCCGAGCTGAAATTACAGCTAAAATATTCACGCATGCGTAATTGCGTACCTATTGCTTATGATGACGACAACAAAATGACAACAAATTAACGACAACTGGCGATCATGCGTCTAAATAGCGGGCTGAATTGACCATAAAATAACACAAAATTTTTGCTTCATATAATCGGCCCCTTAAAGCGACTTGGGCGCCAAATCTTTTTAAACCCCATGTAATGGGTTATGACCGTGCCACTGACGAACTTTCCAATTGTTTACAGAGGTGGTGCAAAAAAAATTAGAGCTGCGAGCTGGTAAGAAAGTGACGTAAGAAAGGTGGTGTAAAAAGTTAAAACAGTGCACAGAAAACTTAGTTCGAATGTACAAATGATTTATTTTCATGAAAATTGGAGGAGAGGTTATAGAGAAGTGAGCAATTTTAAGGGCGATGAAATCTGATATTTAAGGGGGGCGTGGTAGCCACGTGCACACTTCAATCATTGATTTCTCCAGCTCTTTATTGGTTTTTAAATTTACAATTTTTATTTGATGCATGTTGCTACACAAATCTAGCATTATATTTTGACCATAAGAACATCTACATTAGTTATTTCAATAATGTTTTTCTTTTACGGCATTTATAAGTTCTCATTAATGTCTATTACTTTACATTTCGTGTAATCGTGCATCATACACACGACAAACAGTGATGACCGTTTCTTAATAAGGAGACATGAAAGGTGGGTAATCGTCATTAGCTACAAAAACCAAGAATAAGAAGAGCAATGCAAAATTAATCGAAGAATACACATTTTAATATTTCAAAATAAAAAATACATATTTTCATGATGTCTTATTCTTACGTACAAATGACAACAACGTGTTCTTTTTTGGTACTAATCTTCAGCAACAGTCTAATTATTTCGTTACAGCTGATTTCAAATGACGTTTGTTCACTGTCAACTTTACTTTACTGCTTACCACCCCTCTGGAGCCATTAACACCACATTCGTATTCACCTTCATGCCGTTTCTTCAAATATATGATCTTCATCTCCATGACAACGTCATCATTTTTATTTACATAATGGGACACTCGAATATTTTTATGATTCCTGAGTCCGATGACAAATTTTCTCGTCAAATCCTTCCAAAAGTAAAATTGTAGCCCGCTTGTACATTTTGCTTTATAATGCACAATACAAGTCAGTGTTACTGAGCTGCTTATCTTCGCCGTCACGTCTGGCTTTGGACTACAGACAAGTGGAAGCGTTTTGCAAAATGGAGCTAAAAATAAATTTGAAAGTCGGACATGAAAACTTGTCGAGTTTTTTTCATAAATTGACACAAGTTTGAAAACATTTACTAAGTAAATAGAAACTAATAAAACAAATATAAATTTAACAATGTCTTTAACATGCATACAAATATCTAAGATATTTTAAACCTTAAATGTAAGAAAATAATGAACATACTTACGCAAAACATCAAGAGTAATATTCCATGAAAATTGACCAAATTTATTGGAACCTTCGCAACGATATACGCCATGATCTGATTTTACCGTCTTAGAGATTGATAAAACTTGATTGGCCTCGGTGAATGAATAGTTTCCTTTTGTAGTTAGAAGATTTTCATTTTTAAACCATTTCACTTGTAACGGCTTTGCCCCCAAAAAACAACAGTACAATTGAATTTTTTCGCCTACGGTGACGATATCTTGCGCTGTGTTTGCATCATCAAGTATTGGTGCCTGTTTAGCTTCAAAAAAAGACAAAAAACAAACATCATGACACATGCAGATTAGTTGATATGAAAACAAAAATTAAATGGAAATCTCCCGCATGTTAAAGTGAGCTACCTTAAACTCTCGCTTCCTCTGTGTGGCTCCAAAATCAACTCATAATTATTCAATGACGGTATTTCTACTTTAATGAAAGATTGATTTGAAATTTTTCAGCAAAAATCTTGCCATTGAAGAAAAATAACTTTGCCAATGATTTGCGGAGAGATCGTGATTTTTATATAGCACACAGTGAGTGTTGGTGAGAGTGACGACTTTTAAAATCACAGGAAAAAATGTGCTTATTCATGTGTGCCATAGTGAGAAAACATTTATTGATTTAATGCAAGTAATGTTGATGTAGCTGTAATGTTTTAGTATTAAATAAGAGCAGACTGCCTTACATAAATTTACCAATTAACTAATTTAAATTTCTGCGTTTTACATGTGTAGCTTTGTGCAAAAACAAATGATGTACGTCACTCGACCTCATGCACCGGACGTCACATGCATATCACCTCTCATCACCAGACGTCACATGCATATCATCTCTCATCACCAGATGTCACATGCATATCACTTCTCATCACCAGATATCATAACATGACATCACCACATGTCATTTGTTTATCATGTGATAACATTGAATTTCATTTTTTATATATAAGAAACTAAACATTCCCAACTTAAAAAGCGCGTGGTGTTTTTTTGTTTTTGTATTTTTTCTTGATAAATTTTAACAGCAACAATGAACGATACTTTATGTTTTATTGGTTTTATCTAAAATTTTGTATTATACAAGTTGCAGAGGCTCGGTTTTCATTAAAATATGGGGAATACCCATTTTCGCATGAATGTTTTCGGAAGACGACCAACCATTTCTAGTTTGCGTCACATGGCTTAATTTAGAAAATAACCATTTACAACGTTGCATGAAATATTATACATGAGTGACAGTCAAGGATCTTAAAAACTTAACCAAACCTTTCACGCCTTTTCCGATTCAACAAATATTAAGACTATATTTGCTTCACTGCATTTTCAATGATTTCATTTGAATTACATCAATTTCAATTTCTTTATGACACAGGTAAAAATGCTCCTAAAGTAGACTTGGATTATCGACATTAAGTTCTTCTTACACTTAATATAATAGAACACGAAAAGCCAAAAGAAAGTTCTTATTTAGCAAGACGAACAATACACAACAATCATTTTTAATAAGCTGCTGTTGTAGTATAATATGTGAGCTGATACTTTGGTAAGTGTACAGCCTAAGGTTGAAAGAATTCGTTATAAGAAATTACTGCGGCGACAAGTGATACAATGCTTTTCATAAGCGTTGGTAATGTAACAAGTAAAAGAGGGTTAAGTATGTTTTAACGATATTTAAAATTGAAACTAACCACCTACAAGATAAACATCGAGAATTACCGTATTTGCCGGTGTATAAGTCGACCTTTTTCGATCAAAAATCGACCTAAAAAAAAAGACCTCGACTAAAAAAATCGACCGAGTCATGAAATTCAACTTCGTATTCATCGCTTCAAAAGTGATGGTAATTATTTTAACTTGCAATATTGTGTCGGAAATCAGTCTGCGAAGTTCAAACTGCAAGTTGTAAGCTTTGCCGAAGAAACTAACAACTGTGCTGCCTCAAGAAAGTTTGGCGTAAATGAGAAACTCGTAAGAGATTGAAACGCAATGCAACACAGCTAGCAGTGATGACAAGAACAAATGTTAGCACATAGAGGAAAAAGCTGCCAGTGGCCAGCACTTGAACACGAACTTGTATGCTGGGTCGAGGAGCAACGAAAGTGTGGGTTCGTCGTCACAAGAAATATTATTCGTCTGCGAGCTTTGGCTTGTGCCAAGCAAAGCAAGATTACCGATTTGTAATTATACATCTTATTATTAATTATTACGTGTAATAAGTTTAAGATAATGAAACAATTGAGCTCGACTTGTACGAAGGATATATCATAAAATCGTAAATTTTCGTCGAATTTTAGGGGGTCGTCTTATACAACGAGTCGACTTATACACAGGCAAATACGGTATATGTAGGATATTGATATTCATTAAATCTATAGTTATACGCGTACAAATTTATTTTGAGTTGTGGTTATCAAGGCTTTAGCTATGTCGCTGTATATATTTAAAAAATACATAAGTTCAAAACTTTGAGTGAGAATCTCTTGATAAAAATGTTTATTTTGTACCTGAATTGCCATCAGAACAGATTAAATCATCGTAAGAAAAAGCTTCATGGAATATTGACAGCAGTAAGAGTACAACTTTTCCATTTAATAACTTATACATTTCGCCCCTTGGCTCTGATCTACTAATTTCCAAATCACGAATTTGATTTCAGATGTTGGAATGACTGTTTCATAATAGTCTGAGAAATAAGTAGCAACCTTTTATAGTTGAGCATGGGAAACTAAAAACTATTCATAATCTGAACGAATAATCCGAATATAGAAATATCGTAATAATATCGACACACCCATGCTGTTTATAAAGAAATTCTAGAATATGAAAACAACTTTGTTCTTTATTCTCTACACGTTAATCATCATGACAGGACAAAGTCATCATAACGCAGATCGTGAGATGAATAATCATGAAAGATTTGGAAAGAATTTTTTGTGGTTAACCATTTCTAATCATAAAAGAAAAACATTTCCCGTTTTATGAACGAGAATGTAAGTTTCAATTAGCACATCCGGTTTATTTACATCTCTTAAATTTTATGTACAACAATTAATAGCCACACGAAAATATATTGTACCTACTCAGAGAATCTAATTATCTAAATATGAATTATCGCACCGTTTGCAGAAAGCAAATTTCAAAGCCTTTAGTGACAAGTTGCTTTTTTATTCTTATCATTGAATGATTAGAAGATCATGAACTGCCATACGATAAACTTTAGTTGTTTAATAAAGTATGGCAATGAGGAAGAGTTTATTACGAAGTGTGTGGCGTTTTGGTTGAAAAAAAACGAGTTCTGTTTGAAGAAATAGAGAAAGTTTCATTTAGATGTAACGAGTGGATTCCAGATTTTGAGGTAATGGGAAACGGCTTAATGTTTGGAGGAAAGGAAGAGTTTATTTTGAGATATTGGCCTATAATGGGAGATGATTTTTCTGCAAATTGAACTGTTTTTCCTAAGAAATGGGGAAGGGTTTATTTTGAGTTTTGCAAAGGTTTGTGGTTTCTAACAGTAATGACAAAAGATGTGCTCAAGAAGAACAGGAAATGTTAAGGAAAAATGGAGAAACGTTTGCTTTGCGGAAATGGGGAAAATAACAAATAAGATGTTAGTGTTTAAATTTAGTACACAATGATCGAAGTCCCAACCGCGAAAACATAAAATTGCAGCAAGTTTATCGACTTTTAGAAACAAAAATTCTCACCACAGCTCTGACGACAACAGTTTCGATTTCTGTGTTATGATGGCCTGATCCAAACACAGGCATCGACCAATCAAGCAGAACACGCATTTCGCTTATATATGTTATTTTATAATACATTATACAAACTGATGTTTCCTTTATTCCTGAATTTAATCATCTCCAGCAAGGCGGTTAGCCACAGGGGCGGATCTAGGATTTTTCAAACATCAGTCATAAAACGTCGGAGGCGCTCCGCACCTGGGGGGTGTGAGGCATTCTCCCCTGAGAAATTTTGAATTTCAGAGCCTTGAAAATGCCATTTTCAGCGTTTTAGAGCAATACAAAATGTACTTTGTGGGCATCGTTTTTGCGTAAAAACAACACATTTTGCTTACGTTTTTTTAAAAAAAAATAATGAAGTGAACAATACTTGAATGTTTTGCCAAATATTTAGGCTCATTATCATGCCAAATATATGGCTCATTAGCATGTCTAGGAACGTAAAATTTATTTTACAATAATGCTATTCAAAAACAGACATATTCTTTAAAAATTTCTACAAAGTTGTCAGACATAGACACCCCTAGAGACCCCCATTCAAACCTCTATGTAATGAGTTAAGTTAGAAATTTGGTACTACAAGTGACAGTTCATAGATATAGAAAAGCTCAGACTTCAAACCATGCAAGCTTATTGTAACCCTTTACCCATCTCCACATCAGTGCCAGCAAACTCACTTTTTGAGAAAAAACTCAAAATTTTTTTCTGCCAAAGATTAAGCAAAAATTATCAGACTAAGAATTTGCAGTTAAGGACATCTTAATGCCATAAATGTTTATTAGGCATTTCACTAGACTATTATCTTCTGTAAGTATATGCAAGGTGTGCTATATAGCAATCACTGGTAGCATTGTATTTGCAAATACAAACAGAATGTAACCAACATGTCTTTAATTATATAATTACATGAATGTTAAAATTGGTTCATATGTCATGCTTACTGGTTATGATAAATATCTTTTCATATGATCAAAGCTTGTTTAAATGTAAATCTGAAATAATTTAGTTTAGAAATTATAATGATCATCAGAAAAATTACCTAGTGATCATGAAAAATACTTTGCTGTTTTGCCAAATTTCAAGGTTTATCTGCATACATAGAAAGACATTTTTACTTTATAGAAAATGCTTTTCATACATTTATGTCAATAGCCTTTGGAATTTATGGCAAAAATCTGGTATGAGCCGTAGATTAACACACCTTTACATCTCTACATGAGGTGTTCAGTTAGAAAAGGCGACAAATGTGACATGGGACAACATTTCATGTATGTGAAATACTCAGGTTTAATACCATTCCAGTCAAATTGTCAAAATAAAAGCTTCATGGATCAGAAGACTCAAAATCACAGGTTATAGTAAACAGCTTCTCATGTAATAAATGTTAGTTTTCTCAAATCTTAAACAATATGTAGTATAACTGTCCAATGATTGAATGATCAATGATCATAAACTGAAAAGCCCCAAACATTTGTTTATGATAAAGTAAATAATAGTATGGTGCCTTATGGCTACAGATTTTTTGTCCATTGAAATATATTTGCAGGAATGTAGGATTTCGCTGCCATATAACGGCCACGATTCCCCAAGCACTAAAGAAATCATAGCTTAAATTCCTTCGGCAACAACAATTTTAGAAGCATCAATCTGCTTACCATACGCCATATTGACATATATCGCATCACACACTCGCATAAATTGACTTTGATATATTACATTCATGCATACACTTCACTTGTCATTTACTTACGATTTTGGATGTAAATTTCTGATGATAAAACTCAAAACAATGTTGGCCTTCTTTTGAACATCAATGACTGAAATGTCGCTCGCGGATTGTCTTTGCCAAGCATTTACAATTTAGCCATAAATTTTTCACCCTCTTGAAAAAATTCACAGTTTGGACAGCAGCATTCATGTCAATATATGAATTTGTAAAGATTTCCATAAATTCCATCTGATTGTAGTTTAGTTTCTATCATGTTTATAAAATTACTATGAAACGATCGAACATTCAATTCAGACAGTGAGCTTGACTATGTTAGTTCAGTTGGCTATCAGTCGAAATCCGTCAAACCAATCACAATAAAACAAAAATTCAAATAAACCAATTGTAAGATAGCAATTGGACTCCCTTATACGTCCGGCCACCTCTCTTATCAGTCGAGACCATTCCAGACTGTCCACTGATCTGGCCATTGACCAATAAAATAAGCGTTTTGGCGTTCATAGACTCCTTTATCCGTAGAACCAGTCAAGGCACCCCGCTTAACAGTCGGTTATTCCAGGTCAATTAAAATTCAACTGATCTGGTTACCAACGAGATATTCATTGGATTAGTCATTAGTTTTCAATAATAAATAAAGCTGGATTTTTATCATGAAGTAAATGCGATAATAAAGTAAGAATAATTAATGAATTTTTAATTAATATGAATAGGTAATTTCAAACATCAGTCGCGCGACGGATTTGACATACTCTAGATCCGCCCCTGGTTAGCCACTTACGCTTAAATAGTTTTCAAAGTATATTTACGATATCACGATATACTTTAGAATCTTCATAAATAGACAGTGGCCATTTAATGAATTGCGAAATGAAAAACACCACGATAGGTGAGATGAACGACAATTTTTTGTAAAGCAAACATCTTATTAGCATTGTATTAAGTGCGAATGCGAATGAACTGATCATTTCAGGTATATTCAACTATATTCAGTGCGAATGAACTGATTATTTCCATCGACAAGCATAAATGTGTTTTATAGGTAATTATGAATGACGTAATATAAACATAACGTGCCTTCGAGAATGTGATGAAGGCAAAAATATTCATATAAGTAGGAATTATTTTTAATAATTTTTAATAATTTGAAAAAGTACGAAATTTTGAATTTGTTTGATTGGGTCAGATTTTTACTTGTTTTTGCATAAAACATCTTCAAGTACGAAGGAAACAAATTATTTATGACATGATCGTGATGGCGCCAGGAGTGGGTGTCAATTAAAGCAGTTTTTTGTTAAAGAACCGCATAGCATGAAAAAATTTAATCTATTAACCCACGGCAACTGACTGAAAAGAAGCGTTTTTCATAGTGTGCGTGTAAAGAATAATAATTAAAGTTGAATTGATATCAAACCAAGTTATATTGATGTAGGTTTTCAGGTTCAGTGAAGAACTTTCAAAGTAAGCTAGTTTGATATTGTCATGTAGAAAACGAACGCAGTAACGTATTTTGAAACCATTGCTACAATAGCTAGCTTGTATTTCATAACTTTATTTGGAATAAGGTTCATATCAGTTTAGCACCGTCATATGTAGGATACACAAAAGTATTTTAGGCTATTAGTGCGTGGTTGTATCACACAAAGACCAAAATTAAATAGAAAAATTTCAGTCAAGTTAATATATTGTTTGTTTCTCTTTGTTAGCAAACAGATTTGCGAATGACTCTGGGAAGCCCATTTTTTTAAAGTTTGCAGCGGATATGGTTTGTAGATGACTTTTTTCAGGAAATTTCGTTTTCGTTTTAATCCTTTGTGTCACTGACATGAATGGAGGTTGTACTGACACGGCGGGAGTTACATTCTACAAAAGTCAAACTGAAAATACAAAGATAGCCACTTACTTCTGCTTAAACTTTGTCACAACCAATACTCAACTATCTCTGACTTTCCATCTCACTAAAAAGACGAACACAACTTTGACATGAGCACATACCGAATTGGGCATTTTATCACTCTTTTCCAGTTTTATCATTTTTTTGCATTCATACAATACATGTCATGCAAATCTTACACAGTCTGTAGAACAAACTGTCACTCAATATGATAATTTACAAAATATCATTGTTGCTACTTTTATTTCTTTAGTAATTTTATATTTTACTCTGTAAAAGTTAGTCCAATTGCGATAGACTAACGGTAATAGTGTTCTACATTACAAACAAGCAAAATATGATTCATATAAACCCATCGTTCAAACCTTTAGTCTAATCTCAAGTTCATTAATACTGGTGTTACAGCCATATGTTGGTTAGTAGATATAATGAGGATAAATATTGCGTATGGACACAACAGGATGCTACAATGGGCACTGCTGAAACAAATGGATGAGGAAATGCTTTCACATAGATATTAAGCGATGGACGTAGCTACAAAAATATTGATAATTATATAAAAGCAAGTTGCAATAGTGTTATTTAGCGATATAAAGTCATTTTAAAATGTCTAGACGTATGATCATCAACCCGTACAGTAACACAATAACCGACACTCCACCATTTCCGAATTCATCTAATTACAAAGGCGACAAACGCCCTCGCGTATCCCCTCTTTCAATTTTCAAAGTTTGAAAAGCATAAAAAGAGTGATTAGCATTTTAAAATGTTTCTCAAAGTATTCTTTGGTGAAATTCTTATACGGCAGTGATCAACGGGATTTTTAGTTGCATGTCAGTAATACATATTCATGTAGATAAACGCTTTTTAATGTGTGTATGCAAATTACAGTAGGATATTTTTTAGAGCGCTATGCGTTTTAAAAGATGTGAACATCTTTAGCCAATATGATGATTGTTTGAATTGTTTTATTACGCGATAAGACTAAAATTGCTAATAAAAACACTGACTAAAAAAAACGACTCCCACAGCATCGATGACAAAACCCCATTCCAGCTGAAAAAAAGCTTTTGCGTGGAGACAAACACAATGACAATGACGTGTATTCAAAAACATCGGACGTTTTTTATACATCGTTAAATGAAGCGTCGTTTTTTAAAACCACAGTCGTTATCCGTAAATTCAACGCAAGGCATCTTGGCTTTCATTGATAAATGGCTAATGTTCGGTAATGTTGTAATATTCTCGATGGCAAAGATAAATGAATAGGAATCCTCGACACACGAGCGGACTCCACGACAAACCAAGCACTTTAAGTGCTATTTCATTTCATTGTTTATTCTTTAGACTGTCACTAAATCGTATTTTTGTAATCTGATATATTTTGTTGTTCTCTCGTAAAATCGAAGTTCTTTAAAGTATAAACACTTTTAAAATGAAAACGCTTATTTTAATCCAGCATTTTATGTACAAATAACATAACTTGCCGGTTAAAGGAGGCTATATTCGTGTTTCATAAGTCAATTATAATCAAGAAGACATGTTAGACAAGGTCATAGCGATCGCGAGTTCTTTATTTGTTGTCGAAGCTCTATTGCAGGCGAACCCAGACATTACCAGCGACGCTTATCATGGTGAGTTATTTATATTTTTTGTTATAATGTGTCAATTGATCCAATAGTCCCGAGATTTCTTACATGACATGTTTGAATATAAATGTCATCTGTCCTGCTTTGTTTGTTTATACAAAGTCGTATGTATAATAGGAAATCTTTACCGAGATTTTTATTTTCCGTTCCGTCACTGGAAATTTTATGAACTACAGCTATTGCATTATTGAGTTCCTGATTAAAATTTCGCGTCTTTTAAATGTGAGTACATGGGGAAGGAAGCTGGCAAATGGGATTAGTTTCAATATTCAAGAATGACATTTTTCATTTTGGCCAACGCTATCAAATGTGACCTGTATTTGTCTGCAATATACTTGTCTAGGCATGATTTCATTATAACTTCGTCATGTTTTTTTATTGTGCTTCGTCGAATATTCTCTCCCATTGCGATAAGTTAAATAAACACGCTCCAGTTGCCATAATCCTACTTCATTCTCAGATAATTTTAAAGCATTAAACAATTATTGATGATTATGACTGTCATATTTAACAATGGACTTTACACTAGTTGTTATTTCAATATATCTTTTAAATAGTCTGCATTGTTTTAGATTGTGTTCGTCTCTTGTATGCGAAGAAAATTATTTAATTGATAATTCATGTTGCATTATTTGTTATTCATTTCATCAGCATGTTGCTAAAGTGCTATACATATTTTGACATTCTAAGTTGAACATATCTTGACACATAGACCTGTACATGTAGGTTGAAACATTATACAACATTAATCATTAAGAATATACAAAATTATATTGAAAAATGTGTAGATCTAGAGTAGAAGTGGGTGTTGAGCAGTGGGGGGCTGCATTTCCTGCCTCTGGTTTGAATAATTTGATCACTTGTCAAAGAAAATGTTACTCTGTTACAACATTTCCTAATGATGTACCCCTCTATGATTAAAATCTTCGATCCGCCTTTGAAAATCTGTGAAAGTGTGTTTTTTCCAGGTATGTTAGTGTCTAAACTTCCAAACCACAAACATCACTGTGTGCTCCTTAAATACAGCAAACATAATGTTATGCAGATTAAAATAAACCACTAGCATTGTATAGTCCATGTTGATAAAGTTTTAAGCTCCTTTGTAATTTAGAATTTTTCCTCTTTCATGCTCTTGGGAACATGAATTAAATATCTTTTCGACATGCAACATCCATGCATTGTTTTATGAATTTACTTTGTTCTGGGTTTGTAATGTTTGTTTCATTGTTGTACTCCGCCAAAACATTAGTTAAGAAAGTTCATTTCCAAAATTCACTTTTCTCTGGTATAAATATTTTTTGCTTTCGTTTTAAAGTTTGTACGGAGAAGATAATATCTGTAATGACGACATCGCATAAAGAAGGAAATAAAACCATATACAGCTGTATTGGTTGCAAAAAACTGCGTCGTTGTACAAGTGTTTACGGTAGCGTCCATTTGAAGAAAATTGCAATCAGTTCGAAAAATGAATTTTTAAGTGAGCAGTTACGATTTCCAAAACTACGCGAAATCACTGGACATTTGATCGTGACATTCTTATTGCAAGGAGTTTACAGCTTAAGCAACATTCTCCCGAACTTGAGAAAATGGATGAATCGAATTTGAAAATAGAACAGTCAGAAATGTTGTGGCTTTTCACCCATCTTTACTATATTAAGTGTTGTACATTGCAGGGGAAAGTTCTGAAGGGGCTACTTTTGTCCCAGAAAGTATGGCAAATGAGGTTATGGAGCGAGAAGTGTTGCTTATTCATCGTTGTAATGTGAAAGCTGACTTGCTGCACTATTTTGAAAAAGATGATATTTTAAAGAAGTGTATGGATGTCAAGATGATAGATTCCAGAGGTGTCGAGGAAAAGGGCGAAGGAGTTGGCGTTGTCAGGTATGCATTTTCTCTGTTTTGGAATGAAATAGTTTCATGTCAGGCGAGGATGAACGAGTCCCAGTGATTCGTCATAACGTTTCGCGGGAGAAGTGGCAAGCGATAGCTAGAAATCTTGTGAAAGGTTACACTCAAGAACGCTATTTTCCAATCAAAATTTCTCGTGTTTTCTTGTGCTCCTGTCTTTTTGCGAAGATTATGTCTCAGAAGATATGTACGTGAGTTCTTTTATGAAGTACATTTCGACCACTGAGTCTAGTGTGGTTGAAAATGTACTTCATCATTCTCTTGCAGTTGATGATGAAGATGTACAGGATTTTTTAACAGCGTTTGAGTGCAAAAATATATAGCGTTTATACAGCGTTCGCCGTATAGCTTTTTCCCTCGGTGTTTTGCCGTATAGCTATTTCCCTCGGTGTTTTGCCGTATAGCTTTTTCCCACGGTGTTTTGCCGTATAGCTTTTTCCCTCGGTGTTTTGCCGTATAGCTTTTCCCTCAGTGTTTTGCCGTATAGCTTTTTCCCTCGGTGTTTTTCCGTATAGCTTTTTCTCTCGGTGTTTTGCCGTATAGCTTTTCCCTCGGTGTTTTGCCGTATAGCTTTTTCCCTCGGTGTTTTGCCGTATAGCTTTTTCCCTCGGTGTTTAGCTGCCGGAGGTATTATGTATTCCAGGTCGAAAATTACGCAAATATTTGTGTTTTTAACAATCTTATAAAAATTTACACAATAGCTGCTTTTTATCGGCCTTGAAATCGTCCCGAAGGCTTGTTGCTTTTATATCACCTAAACTCTTCGATATTTCAGGTAATTTTCGTCCGTACGTATCTACAAGCTTATAATGAAACGAATGAAATCACGTTAGACGAGATTGAAAAAGTTATTGACGAAGCTGACAAGTAAATGTTATAACAATCGTCCTCTTATATTAATATACCGCTAGATAATTTTTTATAATATTTTTTTAGGTTTCTATGGATACGTATGTCTTGACTGATTCACTGACGTAGTTCTCGTTTATTTAAGGTTCAGTTAAGTCAGTTTAGAGTTCACTGACACCATTTAGGTCAGTTTTAAGTATACATAGGGCTTGTCAAGTTATAACTGATGCAATTAATACATAACTTTTGAAAGTAATTCTCTTTTTTATTACATCGCCTATTCGTGTACTCTTTTATCCATTGTACGCAAGTGCTTACATATTGGCGTCGGTTTTGTCTTTCTGCGAATAAATGTTTTAATTTTACGTATGTTTTAAAAAAATATTGAAACAACATCATTCAGCTTTGTTTTCCTTTTTTTCTATAGATTGTCTCTTCTTTCTCATTTCTTTTGGGCAATGTTTTCAATACTTCAAAGTTATAAATCCTCGATCAATTTTGGTTATCTCGTAAGTAGATGAACAGTTAAATTGTGTTCTTTACCGTTAGATTAACATCACGTGACTGAATTTGGCTTTTTCGTTGTTGTATTGTCGTACCGTGGTATTGTATCCTAAACACCATTTGCTATTTTTAAAATACCATATCTTATAAGGAACATTCTACATCGAACAATGTTAGAAATGTGCACCACCTCTTCATCAACTTTTTTCATATAGTTTGCGTTATTTCTTTACAAACATTTGTGTAAACGCATGCTCTTTTGCACTAAGTTGTTTCCATGTGGATTTGTTTAGAACAGATGTTAGTCAGCAATAATGTCTCATGCGTGTGTATCAAACTTGTACATAATGAGCGCTATCATTGTGAACAAACGTAAAAGCAACGTAACACTTTGCGAAGATTTCTTATAAGTTTACAAGAAGAATTTTGTGCTTAAATTTTATAGAATCAAATCACTATCAAGTAAATCCCATCCGCAGTAGTAACCATGCAAAGGATCTTGAGTGTGTTTTATTAATCTGTCATATAAGGTATTAAGAAGCGTCAGAAAATATCTAGAGAAATACTTACGTGCAAACCTCCACCTATATAAGAAATGTTACGCAAATACTACATTTACTGCATGATGACAAATTTCAGTACCTTTGATAAAACCAAATTGTTGATGACGATTTTTAAAATTGTATGTTGAGCTCTAATATTTATATTGAGAATCCGCTTCCCGCCTGGCACTTCATTGGCAACAATACCTTTAACAAAAATATATGTATGCTAATACTTCAAACTAGAAATAGGTTATGGTCACAGATTTGGATACGCCATTTTTGTGCGCACAATTCTGAGAGTACTGCAGTAGCCTGCCCTTCCAAGTAAAAAGTAGGTAGGATTACTCACTCACTTTAACTTTTTCAAATGTAGTTCCTGTCTCATCAGCTGCCTTTTGTATTGTTTCATGTTTGTCCTTTGCCGTTGTATTCATTCCCTGATCGTAATAAGACTTCAAGATAGCTTTTTGCAAGTCAATTAATACTTCATACTGTATTCCAGTTGCCGCCATCTAGATATGGTACAGTGTGTCGTGTGCATGTCGTGTGTTGATGATATATAGATTGGTGCATATATAAATCAAATATGGCGTCAATGAGAACGCTTAGAGGATCTCCTACATCACATACATGCGACGTTCTCAATTTGAGAAGTCTTGCTTCAGACGATTGAGAACATGCGACACGGGTAATGATTTGAATTTTTTTCAAAACCGGCTTTCAATGACAAACTGTTATTTGTAAATAGACGTCTTACCTACAGATATCTACAATTATTTGCAGGTAGTTTACCAATCAAAAGTGACATTGCTTACATAGTGAAAAATGATGTAAGATAATTGCATGAAATGCATGATACATCAAGATTGCGTGGAACGTGGCGAAAAGATAGAATTAGCTACTTACAGAGCAACATCTCATTAAAGAAATGAGTGAAAAGACGTAACATTACAGTCATATAATTACCTAAATAGCTCTAATTTTTAGGGAAAATATTATTTCACCACAGCATTTTTAACAATTTTTCAACGCTTTTTTAAATGATAATGATTATAAAGGTTCTTTTAAAAGAGATAAAATCTAAAATGTTTTTATTATATGTTGAAAGTTTCATTAGAAATAATGATCAAATTTATAACATCGCAGTCTTTGGAAATTCTTTATGGTTTTATTTTCATCTCAGTAAACTTTAAGGATCCATAGTTTTTTTTCCAACTATTCCAGTTCACACCACTCCAACTGTTGGTTGCTGTACGATAGTAGTGTCCATTCAGGTTAGATGCATGACAACCATTATACCACCAAGCACCACTGTGGACAATGGCGCAGTTTTCTACACGTTTATCATTATCTGAATCTTTTGTTGTAAACGCCATGCTTTTATGATAAGATAATGAATCTCCAGCATTTCCTAAGTAAAGTAATTTTGCTCAGAAAAATTTTACGTCATTTATCTAATGTTATTTACAATTTTCCTTAAGAATTGCTGAAAATACCCAACACGTGTTTTATGTGTTTAATAGAAGATTTCAAGAGATTTTTCAATGGTCATTTGTTTAGAAGGGTTTTGTCAATTACTTTTTTGATTTAGCTTATAGAGTAAAGAAAGAAGTGGTATAAATACCGAAATATATTACAATACTGAGTTTTCATTAGATATATTCAGTAGCATTCTCCTTATATAGTTATATACAAAGCTTAAATCGAATTTCATTGGTTAATTTTAGCGGAAGCTCCAACCACACTCATGCATAATGTATAACGCTAACTTTAAGTTAAAATTTGCTACCGTTTATAATATAGTTGTTGTTGTTAATATATTAAACCATTTATCCTTCTCAATTTCAAATAAATAAGTCGCAAAAATAAAAGTTGTCTACTCGTTAGCTAGCTACATGTCATGAAGTGATTTTTGACTTTCTTTCACCCCACCTTCATTCCCCTGAACTTTTTTTCTGCATCCAGTCTATTCACATTAGTCATTAATGTTAACCGGCCTAATTTTTATTGTATGATAGATTTTCAAAATTTGTGTAATTACTGGATGGTGTACCTGGGTATTTTCCAAGGCTCAAATGATATTTATGTGTTTCATTCTTATAAATGAAAATTCTCCATGTAAACTTGAATGAATTTCAGTAACGTTTTAGGTTGTTAAAAGTTCGTGAAAAACCTTTAATTTTAGAACAAGTTATCATAGATAAATCATTTACAATTAGTTACAACTGGCTAACATGAATGTTTGCGTTTTATAAAAAAAGATTTCTGTCAATGATTACTGGACAATGGTTTTAACAGTATAAATTCTCTCTTATGTACCAAATGATTTAGTCATGTTTTATAAGCTATACATGTTGTTCAGGCGCAGTTTATCAGTACCTATTTAAAAAGCAAGAATTTAATTTCACAGCCATTTCACGATCTCTTCTTGCATGTCAAGAATTGTTGTCGCGTGGTGCAACTGAATGATTTACACGAGAGAATGATTTTTTACTTAATGGTTGTTCCTTATATTTTAATGTAAGTTTGTCGATTCAAAATTAATTATCATACTTTTTATAACAAACAAGACTTAAGTTCAAAGCTAACCGTTCACTAAAATCATTCCAACATTTTGCATATGTCAAACTCACGCTTAGAAATTTTTCCGTTTATATTTACGTATTGACTCACCAGAATATGCTCCATGACTTAGTTGATATTTTTTACTTTCATTCTTTACAGCAAAATAATCATATTCAGCATATGCTTTGTTTCCAGACCAGTCTCCCAGGTCAACACGAAGTTTATTTCTCTTGGCTGATGTTAGTCGGTATATTTTATCCAATCCAAGCCAGAATTCAGAAGTAAGATTACCAAATCCTTTCTTATAGTCATTCCAACCTCGATAGAAGTTTACACTTCCATCTTGACGACGTTGAAACACAGTCCAACCTCCACCAGATGACTTCATATCACAAAAGACACTGAATGTACCCTGGCCATCAGGATCAATTTCATAAACTCCGTTCTTTTTTTCACCTTTTTTGTAAAGATCTGCACAGTCTTTTTCCTGAAAAAAAGTTTATTAAAAAAGCTATTGCATTGTACGTCTTACGGGATTTGTAACTCATTAAACCTATAAGCAAATTGTTACACAACTTTTCTGCGCATAGATCCATTGTGCTAAATAAATATTTTGTACATTCTATACCGAAGTTGTTTTCGATTATATAAACTCAACACAGTTTAATTCAATAGAAAAAAATTAACAATACAAAATAGTAAGTTTTCAGATATGACTAACTTTCATAGTAACATTTCAAAATTCCTTATATGGTCATGCACGTGTAGTTGTTTACGTTCTTTATCCTTGGAGTTCATCTTAATGCCGACACTCAGCATTTTAAGTCTTGTTTTATACCACAGGAACACTTGCCGACTTGCCCGGTTTTATTGGTTTCACCTAAATCTTAAAACAAATCTTCTAAACCCCAGATTTTCGATCACTTTCACCCTTCTATAATGACATGTAGATAGTGAAAAAAATTTGAGCAAATCAGGTCGGACTGAGTATTTAATATAAATATTTATAAATTTATATGTTATGCACCCAAATTTTCCACGCACTTTCTTTTTATGAACAAGAAATCCACTTGGGTGTTCTCTGTTTGCTTTTTCTTACAAAATTCCCTTTTATGAATTCTTCTGTTTATAAGTGCGTATGTTATCACAATTCTCAATTAAACACTTACTCAGACTTGATTCATTCAAAATTATTTTACTAAATACATATGATACCAAAAATTTCAAACAGGAGAAGTGATTGAATATCTGGTTAACTGAATATTTGCTTTAAGATTTAGGTGACAGTCGATAAAATTGAGGAACTGGCAGGTCTGCCTTCCTATGGTATCATGGTAAAAAACATTAATTGATACTTTACAAACGAGCGACTGAAAGTAAACAGTGTAGCATACTTTTTGCTCATATAATGCCACTCTATGTTTTGATAACTTTTCATATATGAATTTTGCCTCTTTACCCCTTCCCTAAACATTCGAAATTAGCTACCGCATTGCTTTCTTTGTTAAAACAAGGAGGTCACAAAAAAAAAACAGTCAAATGCACTGACGAAGAGACATTTTTTAAAAATATCTTAATTTCTAAGTATTTAATTGCCATCTAATTTATGAGTGAAGAAAAAATGGATTTAATTGGGTTGATGTTTTGCTTGCTTACCATTTTTTAAAGAGATGTTAAGTTCCATTGCAAAGAATTAACACTTGTATGAAGTTCCTGATAAAGCATGCCTATACTTATTGATTTAGCTAAATACATCGACGTATGAAAGAGCAAATGATTTGAGAAACATATTCAAAGTAATAAAAGAGGCCTTTGAAATTTTTGAAAAACTATTTTTGATCTCCCTTTTGTAACTTAAAGGCTAAAGAGAGCATATGGCAAAAGTGTCTATCTGTCATAGCAACTGACTTTTTATTTCATAATCTTTTCATTGTTAATTCATATGTAGCTATTAGCTATTTTTTCAGTTTTCAATTTACAAGTACTTTTCGAAATTTATGTTCATTAAACAACCCGAAAATTAATATTTAGCTCATTTATAGCTCGAGCCTAAAGTTTGGCATAACTGACTGCTTTCCATCTCAAGAACAAAAATTATCTTTTTTTCGACATTTTAGTTTTCACGTTATGTCATTTTTAAAGCAAAATAAACGTCATAACTTCCTCTGACTTTACGCAAAACAATATAAAAAGCACTTGGTGACAAGCAAACTTCATTACTTATAAAATGCACATTCTCCAAAACATTTTGCTATGGGTTTTATGAAGCCTAAATACGCTTTTCCATGAAAGATACTTTTGTTTTCTTAATCAGCGTACATGTTTTGAATTTGATGATCGAGAAGTGTGTCCTGTCTAAAACATATAGCTCCACACGGAGAAATACAGCTGTTCCATCCAAAGTAAACTTACGGTATGATTCAATCACAAGTAATTCGCTTACCTTTGTAAGTCCATTGTCAAGACCACTTCCTTCAGACGAAGCGCTCTGCTTCAAGTTTGATGTAATATTTTTTTCTGTAGATTGACCGTCCCCTTTTTCTCCCTTTAGTACAAATATAACCTCTGTCAGAATTATAGTGTTTTAAGTGTAGATTATATTACTAATTGTTAAGTCCAGGAGCTTTGAAAAGTTTTTAGTATCATTACACAGATCAGTATGAAATGAAAAAAAAAGTATACAAGACCATTTATTTTCAGTCACTCGTTTATGAAACATCAACGAATGTTTTTTACCATGATGCCGACTCAGCATTTTAAGATCTTGTTTTATACCACAGATACACATGCCAACTCGCCCGGTTTTATTGGTGTCACCTAAATCTTAAAACAAATCTTCTAAACGCCAGATTTTCGATCACTTTCACCCTTTTTTAATGACATGTAGATAGTGAAAAAAAATTTGAACAAATCAGGTCGGACTGAGTATTTTATAGCCATAAATATCTATGCATTTTATATGTTATGCACCTAAATTTTCCATGCACTTTCTTTTTATGAACAAGAAGTCCACTTTGGTGTTCTCTTTTTGCTGCTTCCTACAAAATTTCCTTTTATTGAGCTCTTCTGTTCATAAGTGCGTTTGTTATTACAATTCTTAATTAAACACTTACTCAGACTTGATTCGTTCAAAACTATTTTACTAAATTTATGTTATATCAAAAATGTCAAACAGGAGAAGTGATTGAATATCTGGTTAACTGAATATTTGCTTTAAGATTTAGATGACAGTCGATATATTTGGGGAACTGGCAGGTCTGCATTCTTATGGTATCATGGTAAAAAAACATTAATTGGTGCTTTATAAACGAGTGACTGAAAGTAAACAGTATAGCATACTTTTTTGCTCATATCATGCCAGTCTATGTTTGATAACTATCTATGAGGACGTTATCGTGGATAAAACGTTACTTTCTGCTTATCGTGCACACTTATCGCTCGGAGGCACATAAATTGCCAGCTTTTACAATATTTACTATAGCACCATGAAAAAATTAATAGTTTGATGGAGGTGGGCGACAAAATTTTTTTTAAATGAAGATATGATCTTCGCACTTTGCTGGACAATTTAAGCAATCGTCTCAGGAACCTGAAAAAATCAGGTGACTCAACGGGATTCGAACCCATGACCTCTGCGACCTCTGCGGTTCCTGAGACGATTGCTTAAATTGTCCAGCAAAGTGCGAAGATCATATCTTCATTCATTCAAACACCGCACTGCATAAAACATTCATACAAAATTCTTTTTAAGCACTGTAAAGCATGTACCCAGGGCTATTTGGATTAAATTTTGGCATTTAAATATTTACATTTTACCACGCCTTTAAGAATTAAGCAGTCAGATTGTAAAGAAATTCATGTCTTGTTTGGAATTACCAAAAAGGAATTTCTGACTAAGAAATTACATCTCATAATCTTTCTAAAATGTTACATGTACAATAAAGGAATCGTAAGGGATGGCTGAACGTCGATAATTGGGGGGAGGGGTGGAAAATACTCATTTACGCGTGCTTTCCCTGATTACTTTCTTTTGAAATCAATTGTTTTTACGAGCTGTGACTACGTATATATTAATATTCCCCCCTTTAATTATCACCGTTTCGGAGTCCCTGGGAATCATATACATCACAGGATTTATTTTATGACTATTGAACAAAAAAGAATAAATTTTGAATGAGGTCACTATGCTCATATATTATTACTGCATGGACTTCAATTTTAACATTTTTGTTCGTTTGTTGTGACTTAAATTGAGTGTCTATAATAATTAAGAATAATGTTCACAAACGTAAATTTATTCTCTTATTTACGTATTTAAGGTGAAGGTCAGAAAATTTATATCACCATTTCACCATTTTTTGGTTAAATGTTAGACTGTTAAAAGTTTCCCTAAATAAATATTTTTATTCAAATTAACTTTAGTTTATTAAATTTGTAAAGTGAAGGTTTTTTAATTATAGTTGAACTTGAATATATTTTGCTCTACGCAGTTTTAAGAAAATTTTCATGAAAGTGTATTGCACGTATTTAGTGAAATTATAGAATAACAAGATTATGTTGACTTTGTTAAATTCCTACCGTCTTGAAAAGGGCTTGATAAAAAGTCCATTTTTCTTTCACAAGCACTGTCTTCACTCTGCTTGTGGTTGTTGCGTTGGAAATATGGCAGTTTATCTCAGATGTTTTAGCCATATCTAGATAGTTAAAACCAACACATCTCTTCTCTCGATGACATTGAAATGAACATTCAATCGCACTGTAAACGACATGACTTGCAATGATATCTTTTGGTGCCAAAGCATCATCTGCATAATGAAAAGTAAAACGAAATTAAATTCTGCGCGTATCGATAATTTTTTTGTCGAACAAGGTCTGGAAAGCATTTTGTGATTCATCAGAGCTCAAGGCTTACATAAATAATTTAAGGCTAGCTGGACGTTATACGGTTCATATATAACAAAAATAATGTCGTAACTTTCTTATCTATAGCAACATGTACTGTACTTTTATATTCCAATTGAGTATGTTTGTGTGATTATTATGCACATTCTATTTAATTAAAGAGGTTCAGTGAGTGAACACAGAAAAATTGCAGTTAAGATAGTAGCAATACAGTAGCAATACCATTTGTGCAGACTTGCTACGACTGTTGCAACTACGTATGTGTTTAGATGTCAAACGTCGGAATGCAGTTAATGATTTGAAGACTGAAGATAGTTGCTGATGACTAAAATGGCTTTTTCTAAATCCTGCTCTTGTTAGCTTTTCTAAGCTTTACGTAACTTATAGCTTATACATAGCTTATACTCACTCATATATCTTTTACAGCTTTATTAAAATTGTTTTTCTTTTTAAAAGTTTTTATTTTTCACAACACAGTTGTTGGCGTTGTCACTCCATTTGTGCACGAAAAAGGTCATGAAATTTGTAAATTAAAAAAAGAGAATAACTCAAATTTTCACTTGTAACTGCTGAAGATAAATAATAAAAATTTTTGCGTGGTATTGCAATTATGAAATAAAGCTAAATTGAGACGCTGGAACAAAATTTTCAGATTTAAGAGTGTCATCTAGAATATTTTACAATACAAATACAAGCTGAATGAAAATAATTCAAAATTTGTTGTACATGCATCAGCTAGAGACTTAAACTTTTCTTTTCTTCAAAGCAAACGAATAAAAGTACATTATTATATTTTAAATTGACAACATACCATTTTCATTTATTTTCCTGAATGCAATTTGTGGAATTTCGAATTCTTTGTTTGTTGCATTGCATGCACCGATTACAAGAAAAGTCACAAAAATGTACCCAACCATCTTTTAGAAATGAGTGATAACTTCAAGTAAATGAAAAGACGTTTACATGCACGATTACCGTAATGTATCTGCGGTCATAAAGAACTAACTATATAAACGTGTACAGCTGTGTTTAGTTTGACTAAAATTTCAAATGTAAATATTGGAAACATGTGATGAGCTTGGCTACGCCATAAATGTGAAATATTTGATGAATCTACCGCAAAACGTTTCGCTCGCTTTATTTGCAGGAAACGATTGATGAAAAAATTTGGGCAATTTGGTGAAAAATATATTACCTGCGTGCTTTATTATTACAGTTACAATCCTTTTTGGTAGTCGACCATTGATGATTTAAGCAATTCATAAATAATGTACAAGCTTTAATATGATACAAATTATACACAAACGCTGTTAACCTGCCAGCTATATGCGGGTCTCATCGTTAAAAATAAAAACGAAACTTCCTCTCTAAGGAAAAGATTAAACTCACTGCAATCGAATCTCTATGAACTTTTTGTCAATCCAAGTATATTTGTATAAAAAGTTGCTATCTATCCCTCTCTCTTTTCTCTCTATAGGGATTTATGCATCTACAATGCTTTTACAATATTTTATTTGAAAAAATATTTGTTGTTAATTATCTTTTACATGAAAAAAATTTCCTGGTACATTAACATTCATTTTAGATGATTAAAGTTTAATGAAAATAGAGCTGACTTCAACGCTTTCGGTAGATTTTGTACGCGACAGCAAAAATGAAGCGCATTTTCACCAGGCCTATAAAAGTTTTTGTAATAACAATTAAATGTTGATGATTTAGGTAATTTATTGATGATTTAGGTAATCCATAAATATTTTACAAGCTTTAATATGATTTTAGCCGTCACGTGTACAAAGTATTTTAAATTATTTCAGTAAAAATGTTTCAATGTTGATCATCACCAAGTAGGAGAAAGCTAAATACTGTCAAAATTTAGATACAAAGAGTTGCAGCTGAATATATGATAATCACTAGCTAGCATGATATTAGAAATGAGTGATAACTTCAAGTAAATAAAAAGACGTTTGCATGCACGATTACCGTAATGTACCTGCTGTCATAAAGAACTAATTATATATACGTGTACAGCTGTTTTTAGTTTGACTAAAATTTCAAATGTAAACATTGCAAATATATAATTTTGGCTACACCATAAAAGTCAACTATTTGATGAATCTACCGCAAAACTTTTCTATTGCTTTATTTGCAGGAAAAGATTGCTAGAAATATTTGGGAAATTTGGTAAAAAATACATTGCCTGTGTGTTTTATTATTATAGTTACAATCCTTTTTAGTGGTCAACCATTGATAATTTAAGCAATTCATAAATAATGTACAAGCTTTAATATAATTTGTGGCTTAAACGTCATTTAAAATATGCCATAAATAATTCTGATTTAGGTAACTTATTGATGATTTAGGTAATCCATAAATATTTTACAAGCTTTAATATAGGATTTTAGCCGGAACGTGTACAAAGTATTTTAAATTATTTCAGTAAAAATGTTTCAATGTTGATCATCACCAAGTAGGAGAAAGCTAAACACTGTCAAAATTTAGTTACAAAGAGTTGCAGCTGAATATATGATAAACACTAGCTAGCATAATATTGCAATATTGTTGAATATGTGCATAACTGGGAATTCTATTGAAACGATGTTCTCCTCAGTTTAAATCCTATTTTATGAGCTAGGTAGCAAAACATTAACTATAAATAGTAAAATACTTTTTTCTGCAAAAGTTCAATTTTATTAGAAAGAAAAAAGTTGCAAAAAGTTAGTGTAGCCGTAAATATAATACACCTATGGCTAAAATATCTGCATATAAAAGAAATACAAAAATATACACAAACGCTATTAACCTGCCAGCTATATGCGGGTCTCTTTGTTTAAAAAAAAGATGAAACTTCGCCTCTAAGGAAAAGATTAAACTCACTGCAATGGAATCTCTATAAACTTCCTGTCAATCCATGTATATTTGTAAAAAAAGTTGCTATCTGTCTCTCTCCCTTTTCTTTCTGTAGGGATCTATGCATCTACAATGCTTCAACAATATTTTATTTTAAAAAATATTTGTTGTTAATCATCTTTTACATGAAAAAAAATATTTGCCAGTACATTAACATACATTTTAGATAATTAAATTTTAAGGAAAATAGAGCTGACTTAAAAGCTTTCGGTAGATTTTGTACGTGACAGCAAAAATGAAGCGCATTCTTCACTAAGCTGATAGAAGGTTTTTGTAATAACAATTTTGAAGCCAATGCTTACAGCCTAGATGTCACCATCAATATTCATTTTTTAGTCTTAAAGTTGTATCAAAGTGACGTTGTAGCTGTTTTACTAAATGAACCAAAAATATTCTGCACCAGACTTCCATTCAATAATGAGCGTAACTCTTCTGTCTCATATTTAAGAACAAAATAAAGCCTTTATTGCTGTGGCTTTGGAAACAGGGGACAGTGGGGTGCTAAAGCACGTTTCTCAGAGGATGCAGTCCCCCCCCTTTTATTGAAGCAGAAAAATTACAATGAAAGAGAATATTTACTAATAGTCTATTTTGACTAGAAAACATACATATCTACAGAGCAGTGAGTAGACTCTAAAATATCACGTAGAAATATTCTGCGATTTTTTTTTCATTAGTTTATTACGTTCGCGATTAGACGACCGGCGTTGCTAAAATTCAAAATGGCGACTACTTGACAACATGTTGCAGACATAGGTACTTATAATTTCTAAAATCTCACTCCCCAATTTTGTGTTCTTTTCAATGCCCCTGGTTTGTTGTCGAAGTCATGATGTGTGATTAACACATAAGGCAGGAAGCTCTGGTTGTGTAGTATCCATTCATGTACTTTACATTAAGTATATTATCTAGCCAAGCGACAGTTCCAATGTTTTACTTCCTAAGGGATTCAGATTAACAGAGTAAAGCAGCTTAATGCATTGGTAATGACTACGAGCTATTTAATTTTGCAATTACGCAGTTAAGCGCTGTTCAGGACATTACTGCTGACATTTGTTTACGTTAATAGTACTCTATGACAAACACCGACAACTTTGCCATATACAAGAAGTTTATGATATAAATTTCATAAATAGTGTTCTCGGCCATTGCTTGCTGGCAAGTAATTATAATGGAAAGAGTAGCAGATATTCAATCAACGGTTAATGACCATTCCTTCAATCTAATTTTTAAAAGTTGATCAAAAACACATGAATAAAAAATCAAAAAAGGTGATGCGAGAATTGAAAAGATACATACATTTGTTAGAGCTCAATAAGTCTGCAAATTGTTTTCAGCACAGTAAAAATTCATCAAAGATATAGAGCAATTTTAAAAAACTAAAATCTATATAATTCAAAATGTAAGAAATCAGAGATGGCTGCCGCTGTTTTTTTTTCTTCAAGGGGGTAAAAAAGAACTTTGAAATTAAATTCAAACAACACAACATTCGAAAGGTCATGGTAACTTATTTAGTAATTTTAGTTATGTACAAAAGTGAGCTGAAGCTAGGTTGCCTTTTTTCCGACACGGTATCAATAAATATCATACCAAATCCATATTAAAAAACCACGAATAATGACTGTTGAGATTTATTTCTTTTTAAAGACTAAACAACCAACTTTACAACAAAATATATAGAGTTCACTACAGATGTATTCATTATCGTCATAAAATCATTACTTTATTAAAAATTTCCTGATGGTTTTATTTTCATTTCAGTGAATTTTAAAGAATAAGAAAATTCTTTCCAATCTTTCCAGACAACACCTTTGTACCAAGATGCAGAAGGTTAATAATTGCCATGATAATAATACCCATTTAGGTTAAAATCATAACAAAAATAAAACCACCAAGCGCCTTTAGCATTTACAGCGCAGTTTTCTCAGCCATCTGTATGATTATCTGAATCGATTGTCGTAAACGACTTGTTTTTATGGGCGGATAATGAATTCCCAGCAGTTTCTAAATGGTGATAACTGTGTTCAAAAGAACGTACATTTAATGTTTAATATTAATGTTTAATCGATGGACAAATGACAAAAATATTTACAATAAAAATATTCTTTTTGCTCCATCATGTGTGTCATCACTTAGTTCTTTAATTATGTAGAAAATATTAAATTCTGCTGTGCTTTTTCTATATAGCATTATGTTTAGGCCCTTACACATAATTTGCTGTACATAAAGATGGAACTGACTTTGCAATTGATTTTAATGAGTAAACTAGTCCTTATTCTTGAATGATCTCTCTTGTATTGCCTGTCCAGAAATAGTTGTTGCAGTTTGTAATTTAATTGTTATACAGATATTTTCAAAGCTGTATTCACATGACAAAATATTTTTGGTTTACAAAGGGGGTTGTTTGTTGTAATTTAAGTTGAAACAATATACATTGCTCTTATGACAAATATGTAACAAAAAAGTAGAATCCGTTCATGCAAATTCCAAGTATCCTAATCGTTTTAATTTAATTCTAATATTATTTTTATCCTATCAACCCTTTTAATTTTGTGGTGTTATTGTTCATATTTGCCTAATGACCTACCAGAATATTTTCCAAGTCTCAATTGATATTTTTTATTTTTATTCGTTACAACAAAATAATCATATTCAGCATATCTTTTATTTCCTGACGTGTCTCCAAGATCAACACGAAGTTTATTTCGCTTTGCTGATGTTAGTCGGTATATTTTATCTAATCCGAGCCAGAATTCAAAAGTAAGATTGCCAAATCCTTGTTTATAGTCTTTCCAACCTCGATAGAAGCTTACACTTCCATCTTGACGTCTTTGAAACAAAGTCCAGCCTCCACCAGATGACTTCATATCACAGAAAACCTTAAAGTAGCCCTGACCATCTGGATTAATTTGATAAACTCCGTTTTCTTTTTAATCTTTTTTGTATAGATCTGCACAGTCTTTCCTTGTGTTTTCTTCGATTTATTTGAAATTTTGTTCCGTTTTGTTCTATTCCTGTGAGTTTTGTATATTTTTTTGAAAGCGTTGTCAATCGTTTTCAAGAGTTTTTAACATGTTTTGGGTTTTTGCTAGTTGTGCTTCGAGTGTTTTCATTTGTATGGAAAGCTTAATCATTTGAACTTCGAGCTTCTTTAATTGTTTTCGCAAGGTTATAAGTTTCCTTATTTGTCCTTTTGTCTTGTTGATTTTGGATTGGAATTTTAACTTAAATATTTGAAGGCGATTTTAACATTAGTTTCGACCAATAAGCGAGAATATTTTTAAGAGCACTCAGGGTTGTTTTAAAATCACATCAATGATCACAAGACGCGCGTGTTTTGATAAATTTGTCGTTTCAACTTCAGCTGTCATTTCATCAATCAACGCATTTAGATGCAGTGTAAAGGATGAAGATAAAGAAGAAGAAAAGAAGAAATAGAAGAAGAAGATAAAGAAAGAAAATAAAGAAAAAGAAGAAGTTAAAGTGGAAAAAGAAGCTTCGCTTTTTCGGTTTTTGTTGAGAAATATCGGACTTTTTATTATTATCATATACGTCAGAGAACTATTTTGAAAGACAATTAATCAAGTTGAGATGATCAAGTATTTTTAAATCTTAATAAATCAAAAATCGGTTTGCTGTCAACACGACTACGATTGCCGTAAAAGTTCGTGAGAAATCTATAATACCTACTTTAAATAATGTAAGCACGTGAGAATAGTCACGTGACTAGAAATCAAAGCAATGGCGTTGAGCAAATACAAAAGGATTTGGCAGTCACTGACAGTGAGCATCGTGAACACAAAGCACATTTCAAAAAATCCCAAACATGTTTATTTTAAAGCTTGATGCTAATGATGTTGAAATTGTTTAATATTATATGTACCATGATCTGAGGATCAATCCTGGTTCAATTTGTGCAATGACCACAAATTTGAAAAGCTAACCACATGTACGCTATGCGTGCCTATTTTTAGTCCCAAGTCAAGTCAAAGCTGAAGTCTGAGCACGAGTTTGAGCTCGGTTCAAAGCTTGAGTCTTTAACTCTGTATAATAGTACATCCCAAATAAACGTAACGCGTATTAAAACAAATGAAAATGTCAGAGTAAAATGATGCACGACTAAGCCAAAAACGACACACGGCTACAAAAGCATCAAAAATGGGACTCACGGCAGAAACCAAAAACGTTTATTACCCCACTCAGAAACAGAAATATCAGAAAGCAAATTACGGAATGAAGGCCCGTGGAAGATTTGTGTTAGAAAAGAGTGTCTCAAAACTAATAGAATAAAACTGTGTTAATAAATTTAACATTCTTGTAAATGGTGAAACGCGACGTTTTTTTATATAAACATTCCCATTAGACGAATTAATTGAGTAGTCAAAAAGTTTACTTTTTGAGGGTATATATGCTGGTTGTTAGTTAATGAATGTATTCACTAAATCTATGGAGAGATTTTCTGACTGCACGAACTACAAACACAAGGCAATAGACGAGGTATAACATACACTCGGTCAGTGACAGGAGCTGTGCATCGAGGTAATCATATGAGAGAAAAAAAAACGTTCCGAATTTTCCTTCATTAAATAGTGTCGATGGAGTGTGCTCAGTGATCGGGAAGGCATCTTTCTGTAATGTGGATTGATCCAGTTTATGCATCTTAAGAAAGCAGAGGTAGGTTAAAAAACGAGCACATCGAGTTTTCATCGACTTATGTGTAAACAAAACTGTTCATTTTTATAGAGGACATCTTTGAGAAAAGCCCTAGGTTGACTATGTTCACACATTTTAGAAGCATGACGGAAGGTAATAGAGCTAGCCTTCATTGCCAATCAACTTTAAAGTTATGTCAAACGTATTCATTTTGAAAAAATTTCGTATAAACTATATCTACCTTTGAACCACAGTAAAAGCGAACGAGACACAGCAGCAACCCTACCAAAACTGTAAACCATGGTAAAAATGGCAAAAACACAACTTGGACAATACCATCCCAGAAAAAGCAGTTGAGTCATTAATAAATCATCATATATACTCTTATGTGCCGTAAGTCAAGTACAAAAGAATTTCATATAGCATCAGTAACACTGTTTGGCCAGGAAACGCAATAATTGAATAACGATTGCCTCTTGTTATTCACGTCTGTTTTAAATGAAGAGCCCGTTGCACTTGAGTCCAAGCGTACTGCATTTAGGGTACATACTCTTACCCAAAATGCATTCCACAAACTAAAATGTTAAATTTTGACAGCCGCAAGCTTTAGGTTTGCTGCCTTGCTAGCTCACAGCAGCAGCAATGAGAGAAATTGTCTTAATCTGAGTTTATTTTTTTATATTTCTCTCTTCACAATGTGTAGCTTCGTGTAAAAAATTAATGATGTAGCTGCATCACTCGACATCACCAGATGTCATGCCCATAAATCACTTCATATCACCTCATATCATATCACCTCATATCACCAGATATCAAATGCATATCACCTGACATCATTAAATGTCATTTGTCTGTAACACAATATAACATTGGATATATATGTCTTGACCTTCCTAATTTGAAAAGCACAGGATATATTTTTATATTTATATTTTTTTAAATAAATTATAACAACAACAATGAACGATGTATGATGTTTTATTTCAAGTTTTGTATCACACAGGTTGAGTTTCTCACCGTGAAGCCACAAGGTAACAATATTTACAAACAATATATAGCCGTGTTTTTGGGGCGAAGAGAAAAGAATACAACGTAAGCTTCTCGAAGAGTTGTGCTCAATCTTTAGAGGCCGTAAAAAGAAATGAATCAGAATTTGAAATTAGATGCAAATTCTATAAGAGGAAGGGTTTCGTTGCTACATGCCGGAAGGAAAGCAGCCAAGCAGCAGGCTTTTATGTACGGGCCCGAACAACTCATATGTACTAACGCATCTTTTTTTCAACAGAGCCATAAAAAATTTAAATCAGTAAATGTCAAAAGCATTATGGTGGTATTCATTATAACTTTATATGGTAAAAAACCGCGAAGCACGAACAATAACGAAATGCTTTTCAAAATCTTATTCATAGTTTATGAAATATAAATTTTGCGCGCATTTTGCTGTAAGTTGTATACAATTTATTCAATTTCCTCATTTTTCCACTTGCTTTTCCTCATTTTCCTCATTTTTCCACTTGCTTTTCCTCATTTTCCTCATTTTTGCATTTCAAGCAGAATTCCGCTTGTAAATAGCTGCACTTGAAAACGACATTTGTGAATTAGATACATCAAATGACATATCTTCAATTTTTGCATCATACTGAACTTGTGTTAGATCCCTTTGGGCAGATCACATTGATAAAACAAGTTTGTTCTTTTTACATGCAATTCTTAAATTGAAATATTCGCACGTCGTCAATATATATGGACATTGATTTGGACAATAAACTAGTTTCATAATTTTTAATATATTTGTCTGTTTAGATTAATTACAGAAATAAACATCAATTTAGTATCTCTGTCTCTTTAACTTTCCCTTTAATTCTATCGCTAAATATAATATATATTCTATTGCTGTCTCTCAGAATTGCCTTTCACCATTTAAAAGTTTTTATTCTACGCGTGTCTTAAATGTCATACAAATTATGTTTTTGTGTTTGGTTTTCAACTCAGTTTTAACCAATGGTTCGCCCATGGCCCATCCTGGTACAGCAAGTTCACTTTTGACGATGACTTGAACACCTGGTTTCAATGGACAGACCACACCATGATGCTCGCACAAGTGTTTGTGTTCCAGTTGTAATGGAAGAGACATACCTCCAAGAACTCCATGAAGAACAATTGTCGCATTCTCAATGATAGTGTTCGGTGTAAGATTCAATGTTGACGCGTAGGTTTTACCTTGCTTTACATTACATACATCAGTTGTCGATCCTTCTTCGCAATTGATTTGTAAATTAGAAAAGGACGCGTATTTGCTGCCACAATCTTTTGTGCTGACTTCTATTTGCAATGAAATTTGTACTAACATTGCAACCAGGAAGAGAAAATACATTTTTGAAGCCATACACTTTGGATGCTTTGCAAAGTTTGTTGAACTGCTTTTCAATTAATACCTGACGAAAACTACGATCTCCAGCGAATGCACTCAATGCACAATGTCACAAGATTTTTACATTAGGCTCGACCAATAAGCGAGAATATTTTTAGACCATTCAAGGTTGCTTTTAAAATCACATCAATGTTCACAAGACGCGCATGTTTTGATAAATTTGTCGCTTCAACTTCAGGTGTCATTTCATCAATCAACGCATTTAGATGCAGTAACATGCCTCAGCTCATGATAAACTTTCAAAAAATTCTCGTCTTGTTTTCGTTTCTTTATAACTCAAAATTTCCACATATCGAATTTGTAATGTAATTCGTACAAAGTGTCAAAAAATTTTTTGTGAAAAGATTTATATGTACCCCATGTACAAAAATCATACAAATGTCATTCTGTTATCGTTGGTAAATTCCAATAAAGTGTTGTAGAAGTAGTGATAATGTATATGAGAACATACATGAGCTATATAAAACAATATTAAGAAGTCGCCATCCTCGTAATTGTACGAGGCTACAATCCATTGCAACCTTAACGACTAATTTCCATACAGCTGCATTTTACGCTGTAGTGCAAGATGCTCAAACTTTCATCAAATTACGCATGCGAAATTTTGTCAAGTTCAAAAGGTCAATAGCAGTCGTGTGATCGCGAATGACTTAAGGAAAACGCAACAAAGTTGAATTCATTCTACTTTTGAGTGTGTTGTTTTGCTCTCAAGTTCCAGAGCACTACATGACCCCACTTTTAAGAGCACTGCATGTATAGGCCTTTCGCTGACCTTTCGCGAAAGAGCTTTCTCATCCAAAATCTCCGTTTTGTAGGAATCCTAACCCTTTTCTACGACGAATCAAATAGATAGCAATTAGGGTGTTTTTTAAGCATTGTTGTAGTAACTGTCTTTTGTTCACTGCAGCCACGTTTATTTTCTCAAACAACAGCGCACCCGAGCAATTTGCACCCAGTGGAAAAGCCTTTACAATTGAGAGCAACACCCGCCCCCGAGCATTTTCCTTTATGTGTAAAGTGCAGCTCCATGGAAATTAGTCTCAAGGCTTAACAGGCTCTTTCTCCATGCTCTTCTGATGACTGTGAAGAAGTCTTGAGTAGAAGTCATCTAAACCATGCGTAATTATGAATGTTCCTTGATTATGAAACATTCAAAACAGCTGTTAATGATGTAAGAATAGACTTTGCCGAAAAGTATAATTTATTTAAATATCGAATACTCAGTCAAGTATTAGGGGCAGATTATCCGTGTGAAATTCAGCCCGGGCATGTTATAACATCCTATCAAAAATTGCGTACACGACTACATGAGAACAATTCTAGCCCGGGCTGAGTTGTAATCGTTTAATCCCGGGCTGAGTTGTAATCGTTTAATCCCGTGCTGAGTTGTAATCGTTTTATCCCGGGCTGACTTGTAATCGTTTAATCCCGGGCTGTCATGTAATCCTTTCAGCCCGAGCTGAAATTACAGCTAAAATATTCACGCATGCGTAATTGCGTACCTATTGCTTATGATGACGACAACAAAATGACAACAAATTAACGACAACTGGCGATCATGCGTCTAAACAGCGGGCTGAAATTCACCATATAATCACACAAAATTTTTCCTTCATATAATCGGCCCCTTAAAGCAACTTGGGACGCCAAATCTTTTTAAACCCCATGTAATGGGTTATGACCGTGTCACTGACGGACTTTCCCGTTGTTTACAGGGGTGGTGCCAAAAAAATTAGAGCCGTGAGCTGGTAAGAAAGTGACGTAAGAAAGTGACGTAAGAAAGTGACGTAAGAAAGTGACGTAAGAAAGTGACGTAAGAAAGTGACGTAAGAACGGTGGTGTAAAAAGTTAAAACAGTGCACAGAAAACTTAGTTCGAATGTACAAATGATTTGTTTTCATGAAAATTGGAGGAGAGGTTATTGAGAAGTGAGCAATTTTAATGGCGATGAAATCTGATATTTAAGGGGGGCGTGGTAGCCTCGTGCACCCTTCAAGGGGGGCGTGGTAGCCACGTGCACCCTTCAAATCATTGATTTCTCCAGCTCTTTATTGGTTTTTAAATATACAATTTTAAATTGATGCATGTTGCTAAACAAATCTAGCATTATATTTTGACCATAAGAACGTATTTATTTCAATAATGTTTTTCTTTCACGACATTTATAAGTTCTCATTAATGTCTATTACTTTACATGTCATGTAGTCGTGCATCATACACACGACAAACGGTGATGACCGTTTCTTAATAAGGAGACATGAAAGGTTGGTAATCGTTATTAGCTACAAAAAACGAAGAATAAGAAGAGCAATGCAAAAATTAATCGAAGAATACACATTTTTAATATTTCAAAATAAAAAAATACATATTTTCTTGATGTCTTATTCTTACATACAAATGACAACAACGTGCTCTTTTTTGGTATTAATCTTCAGCAATCGTCCAATTATTTCGTTACAGCTGATTTCAAATGACGTTTGTTCACTGTCAACTTTACTTTACTGCTTACCACCCCTCTGGAGCCATTAACACCACATTCGTATTCACCTTCATGCCGTTTCTTCAAATATATGATCTTCATCTCCATGACAACGTCATCATTTTTATTTACATAATGGGACACTCGAATATTTTTATGATTCCTGAGTCCGATGACAAATTTTCTCGTCAAATCCTTCCAAAAGTAAAATTGTAATCCGCTTGTACATTTTGCTTTATAATGCACAATACAAGTCAGTGTTACTGAGCTGCTTATCTTGGCCGTCACGTCTGGCTTTGGACTATAGACAAGAGGAAGCGTTTTGCAAAATGGAGCTAAAAATAAATTTGAAAGTCGGACATGAAAACTTGTCGAGTTTTTTTCATAAATTGACACAAGTTTGAAAACATTTACTAAGTAAATAGAAACTAATAAAACAAATAAAAGTATAATAATGGCTTTAACATGCATACAAATATCTAGGATATTTTAAACCTTAAATGTAAGAAAATAATGAACATACTTACGCAAAACATCGAGAGTAATATTCCATGAAAATTTGCCAAATTTATTGGAACCTTCGCAACGATATACGCCATGATCTGATTTTACCGTCTTAGAGATTGATAAAACTTGATTGGCTTCGGCGAATGAATAGTTTCCTTTTGTAGTCAGAAGATTTTCATTTTTAAACCATTTCACTTCTAGCGGCTTTGCCCCAACAAAACAACAGTATAATTGAATTTTTTCGCCTGCGGGGACGATATCTTGCGCTGTGTTTGCATCATCAAGTATTGGTGCCTGTTTAGCTTCAAAAAAAGACAAAAAACAAACATCATGACACATGCAGATTAGTTGATATGAAAACAAAAATTAAATGGAAATCTCCCGCATGTTAAAGTGAGCTACCTTAAACTCTCGCTTCCTCTGTGTGGCTCCAAAATCAACTCATAATTATTCAATGACGGTATTTCTACTTTAATGAAAGATTGATTTGAAATTTTTCAGCAAAAATCTTGCCATTGAAGAAAAATAACTTTGCCAATGATTTGCGGAGAGATCGTGATTTTTATATAGCACACAGTGAGTGTTGGTGAGAGTGACGACTTTTAAAATCACAGGAAAAAATGTGCTTATTCATGTGTGCCATAGTGAGAAAACATTTATTGATTTAATGCAAGTAATGTTGATGTAGCTGTAATGTTTTAGTATTAAATAAGAGCAGACTGCCTTACATAAATTTACCAATTAACTAATTTAAATTTCTGCGTTTTACATGTGTAGCTTTGTGCAAAAACAAATGATGTACGTCACTCGACCTCATGCACCGGACGTCACATGCATATCACCTCTCATCACCAGACGTCACATGCATATCATCTCTCATCACCAGATGTCACATGCATATCACTTCTCATCACCAGATATCATAACATGACATCACCACATGTCATTTGTTTATCATGTGATAACATTGAATTTCATTTTTTATATATAAGAAACTAAACATTCCCAACTTAAAAGCGCGTGGTGTTTTTGTTTTGTATTTTTCTTGATAAATTTTAACAGCAACAATGAACGATACTTTATGTTTTATTGGTTTTATCTAAAATTTTGTATTATACAAGTTGCAGAGGCTCGGTTTTCATTAAAATATGGGGAATACCCATTTTCGCATGAATGTTTTCGGAAGACGACCAACCATTTCTAGTTTGCGTCACATGGCTTAATTTAGAAAATAACCATTTACAACGTTGCATGAAATATTATACATGAGTGACAGTCAAGGATCTTAAAAACTTAACCAAACCTTTCACGCCTTTTCCGATTCAACAAATATTAAGACTATATTTGCTTCACTGCATTTTCAATGATTTCATTTGAATTACATCAATTTCAATTTCTTTATGACACAGGTAAAAATGCTCCTAAAGTAGACTTAGATTATCGACATTAAGTTCTTCTTACACTTAATATAATAGAACACGAAAAGCCAAAAGAAAGTTCTTATTTAGCAAGACGAACAATACACAACAATCATTTTTAATAAGCTGCTGTTGTAGTATAATATGTGAGCTGATACTTTGGTAAGTGTACAACCTAAGGTTGAAAGAATTCGTTATAAGAAATTACTGCGGCGACAAGTGATACAATGCTTTTCATAAGTGTTGGTAATGTAACAAGTAAAAGAGGGTTAAGTATGTTTTAACGATATTTAAAATTGAAACTAACCACCTACAAGATAAACATCGAGAATTACCGTATTTGCCGGTGTATAAGTCGACCTTTTTCGATCAAAAATCAACCTAAAAAAAAAGACCTCGACTAAAAAAATCGACCGAGTCATGAAATTCAACTTCGTATTCATCGCTTCAAAAGTGATGGTAATTACTTTAACTTGCAATATTGTGTCGGAAATCAGTCTGCGAAGTTCAAACTGCAAGTTGTAAGCTTTGCCGAAGAAACTAACAACTGTGCTGCCTCAAGAAAGTTTGGCGTAAATGAGAAAGTCCTAAGAGATTGGAAACGCAATGCAACACAGCTAGCAGTGATGCCAAGAAAAAAATGTTAGCACATAGAGGAAAAGGCTGCCAGTGGCCAGCACTTGAACAAGAACTTGTATGCTGGGTCGAGGAGCAACGAAAGTGTGGGTTCGTCGTCACAAGAAATATTATTCGTCTGCGAGCTTTGGCTTGTGCCAAGCAAAGCAAGATTACCGATTTGTAATTATACATCTTATTATTAATTATTACGTGTAATAAGTTTAAGATAATGAAACAATTGAGCTCGACTTAGACGAAGGATATATCATAAAATCGTAAATTTTCGTCGAATTTTAGGGAGTCGTCTTATACAACGAGTCGACTTATACACAGGCAAATACGGTATATGTAGGATATTGATATTCATTAAATCTATAGTTATACGCGTACAAATTTATTTTGAGTTGTGGTTATCAAGGCTTTAGCTATGTCGCTGTATATATTTAAAAAATACACAAGTTCAAAACTTTGAGTGAGAACCTCTTGATAAAAATGTTTATTTTGTTTTGTACCTGAATTGCCATCCGAACAGATCAAATCATCGTAAGAAAAAGCTTCATAGAATATTGACAGCAGTAAGAGCACAACTTTTCCATTTAATAACTTATACATTTCGCCCCTTGGCTCTGATCTACTAATTTCCAAATCACGAATTTGATTTCAGATGTTGGAATGACTGTTTCATAATAGTCTGAGAAATAAGTAGCAACCTTTTATAGTTAAGAATGGGAAACTAAAAACTATTCATAATCTGAACGAATAATCCGAATATAGAAATATCGTAATAATATCGACACACCCATGCTGTTTATAAAGAAATTCTAGAATATGAAAACAACTTTGTTCTTTATTCTCTACATGTTAATCATCATGACAGGACAAAGTCATCATAACGCAGATCGTGAGATGAATAATCATGAAAGATTTGGAAAGAATTTTTTGTGGTTAACCATTTCTAATCATAAAAGAAAAACATTTCCCGTTTTATGAACGAGAATGTAACTTTCCATTAGCACATCCGGTTTATTTACATCTCTTAAATTTTATATACAACAATTAATAGCCAGAGAAAAATATATTGTACCTACTCAGAGAATCTGATTATCTAAATATGAATTATCGCACCTATTACAGAGAGCCAATTTCAAAGCTTTTAGTGACAAGTTGCTTTTTTATTCTTATCATTGAATGATTAGAAGATCATGAACTGCTATACAATAAACTTTAGTTGTTTAATAAAGTATGGCAACGAGGAAGAGTTTATTACGAAGTGTGTGGGGTTTTGGTTGAAAAAAAACGAGTTCTGTTTGAAGAAATAGAGAAAATTTCATTTAGATGTAACGAATGGATTCCAGATTTTGAGGTAATGGGAAACGGCTAAATGTTTGGAGGAAAGGAAGAGTTTATTTTGAGATATTGGCCTATAATGGGAGATGATTTTTCTGCAAATTGAAGTGTTTTTCCTAAGAAATGGGGAAAGGTTTGTTTTAAGTTTTGCAAAGGTTTGTGGTTTCTAAAAGTAATGACAAAAGATGTGCTCAAGAAGAACAGGAAATGCTAAGGAAAAATGGAGAAACGTTTGCTTGGCGGAAATGGGGAAAATAACAAATAAGATGTTAGTGTTTAAATTTAGTACACAATGATCGAAGTCCCAACAGCGAAAACATAAAATTGCAGCAAGTTTATCGACTTTTAGAAACAAAAATTCTCACCACAGCTCTGACGACAACAGTTTCGATTTCTGTGTTATGATGGCCTGATCCAAACACAGGCATCGACCAATCAAGCAGAACACGCATTTCGCTTATATATGTTATTTTATAATACATTATACAAACTGATGTTTCCTTTATTCCTGAATTTAATCATCTCCAGCAAGGCGGTTAGCCACTTACGCTTAAATAGTTTTCAAAGTATATTTACGATATCACGATGTACTCCAGAATCTTCATAAATAGACAGTGGCCAATGAATGAATTGCGAAATGAAAAGCACCACGATAGGTGAGATGAACGACAATTTTTTGTAAAGCAAACATCTTATTAGCGTCGCATTAAGTGCGAATGCGAATGAACTGATCATTTCAGGTATATTCAACTATATTCAGTGCGAATGAACTGATTATTTCCATCGACAAGCATAAATGTGTTTTATAGGTAATTATGAATGACGTAATATAAACATAACGTGCCTTTGAGAATGTGATGAAGGCAAAAATATTCATATAAGTAGGAATTATTGTTAATAATTTTTAATAATTTGAAATAGTACGAAATTTTGAATTTGTTTGATTGGGTCAGATTTTTACTTGTTTTTGCATAAAACATCTTCAAGTACGAAGGAAACAAATTATTTATGACATGATCGTGATGGCGCCAGGAGTGGGTGTCAATTAAAGCAGTTTTTTGTTAAAGAACCGCATAGCATGAAAAAATTTAATCTATTAACCCACGGCAACTGACTGAAAAGAAGCGTTTTTCATAGTGTGCGTGTAAAGAATAATAATTAAAGTTGAATTGATATCAAACCAAGTTATAATGTTGTAGGTTTTAAGGTTCAGTGAAGAACTTTCAAAGTAAGCTAGTTTGATATTGTCATGTAGAAAACGAACGCAGTAACGTATTTTGAAACCATTGCTACAATAGCTAGCTTGTATTTCATAACTTTATTTGGAATAAGGTTCATATCAGTTTAGCGCCGTCATATGTAGGATACACAAAAGTATTTTAGGCTATTAGTGCGTGGTTGTGTCACACAAAGACCAAAATTAAATAGAAAAATTTCAGTCAAGTTAATATATTGTTTGTTTCTCTTTGTTAGCAAACAGATTTGCGAATGACTCTGGGAAGCCCATTTTTTTAAAGTTTGCAGCGGATATGGTTTGTAGATGACTTTTTTCAGGAAATTTCGTTTTCGTTTTAATCCTTTGTGTCACTGACATGAATGGAAGTTGTACTGACACGGCGGGAGTTACATTCTACAAAAGTCAAACTGAAAATACAAAGATAGCCACTTACTTCTGCTTAAACTTTGTCACAACCAATACTCAACTATCTCTGACTTTCCATCTCACTAAAAGACGAACACAACTTTGACATGAGCACATACCGAATTGGGCATTTTATCACTCTTTTCCAGTTTTATCATTTTTTTGCATTCATACAATACATGTCATGCAAATCTTACACAGTCTGTAGAACAAACTGTCACTCAATATGATAATTTACAAAATATCATTGTTGCTACTTTTATTTCTTTAGTAATTTTATATTTCACTCTGTAAAAGTTAGTCCAATTGCAATAGACTAACGGTAATAGTGTTCTACATTACAAACAAGCAAAATATGATTCATATAAACCCCTCGTTCAAACCTTTAGTCTAATCTCAAGTTTATAAATACTGGTGTTACAGCCATATGTTGGTTAGTAGATATAATGAGGATAAATATTGCGTATGGACACAACAGGATGCTACAATGGGCACTGCTGCAACAAATGGATGAGGAAATGCTTTCACATAGATATTAAGCGATGGACGTAGCTACAAAAATATTGAGAATTATATAAAAGCAAGTTGCAATAGTGTTATTTAGCGATATAAAGTCATTTTAAAATGTCTAGACGTATGATCATCAACCCGTACAGTAACACAATAACCGACACTCCACCATTTCCGAATTCATCTAATTACAAAGACGACAAACGCCCTCGCGTATCCCCTCTTTCAATTTTCAAAGTTTGAAAAGCATAAAAAGAGTGATTAGCATTTTAAAATGTTTCTCAAAGTATTCTTTGGTGAAATTCTTATACGGCAAGTGATCAACGGGATTTTTAGTTGCATGTCAGTAATACATATTCATGTAGATAAAAGCTTTTTAATGTGTGTATGCAAATTACAGTAGCATGTTTTTTAGAGCGCAATTCCAGCTGAAAAAACGCTTTTGCGTGGAGACAAACACAATGACAATGACGTGTACTCAAAAACATCGGACGTTTTTTATACATCGTTAAATGAAGCGTCGTTTTTTAAAACCACAGTCGTTATCCGTAAATTCAACGCAAGGGATCTTGGCTTTCATTGATAAATGGCTTATGTTCGGTAATGTTGTAATATTCTCGATGGCAAAGATAAATGAATAGGAATCCTCGACACACGAGCGGACTCCACGACAAACCAAGCACTTTAAGTGCTATTTCATATCATTGTTTATTCTTTAGACTGTCACTAAATCGTATTTTGTAATCTGATATATTTTGTTGTTCTCTCGTAAAATCGAAGTTCTTTAAAGTATTAATACTTTTAAAATGAAAACGCTTATTTTAATCCAGCATTTTATGTACAAATAACATAACTTGCCGGTTAAAGAAGGCTATATTCGTGTTTCATAAGTCAATTATAATCAAGAAGACATGTTAGACAAGGTCATAGCGATCGCGAGTTCTTTATTTGTTGTCGAAGCTCTATTGCAGGCGAACCCAGACATTACCAGCGACGCTTATCATGGTGAGTTATTTATATTTTTTTATTATAATGTGTCAATTGATCCAATAGTCCCGAGATTTCTTACATGACATGTTTGAATATAAATGTCATCTGCCCTGCTTTGTTTGTTTATACAAAGTCGTATGTATAATAGGAAATCTTTACAGAGATTTTTATTTTCCGTTCCGTCAATCGAAATTTTATGAACTATAGCTATTGCATTATTGAGTTCCTGATTAAAATTTCGCGTCTTTTAAATGTGAGTACATGGGGAAGGAAGCTGGCAAATGGGATTAGTTTCAATATTCAAGAATGACATTTTTCATTTTGGCCAACGCTATCAAATGTGACCTGTATTTGTCTGCAATATACTTGTCTAGGCATGATTTCGTTATAACTTCGTCATGTTTTTTTATTGTGCTTCGTCGAATATTCTCTCCCATTGCGATAAGTTAAATAAACACGCTCCAGTTGCCATAATCCTACTTCATTCTCAGATAATTTTAAAACATTAAACAATTATTGATGATTATGTCTGTCATATTTAACAATGGACTTTACACTAGTTGTTATTTCAATATATCTTTTAAATAGTCTGCATTGTTTTAGATTGTGTTCGTCTCTTGTATGCGAAGAAAAGTACTTAATTGATAATTCATGTTGCATTATTTGTTATTTAATCAGCATGTTGGCAAAGTGCTATACATACAGTATTTTGACATTCTAAGTTGAACATATCTCGAAACATAAACCTGTACATGTAGGTTGAAACATTATACGACATTAATCATTACGAATATACAAAATTATATTGAAAAATGTGTAGATCTAGAGTAGAGGTGGGTGTTGAGCAGTGGGGGGCTGCATTTCCTGCCTCTGGTTTGAATAATTTGATCACTTGTCAAAGAAAATGTTACTCTGTTACAACATTTCTTAATGATGTACCCCTCTATGAGTAAAATCTTCGATCCGCCTTTGAAAATCTCTGAAAGTGTGTTTTTTCCAGGTATGTTAGTGTCTAAACTTCCAAACCACAAACATCACTGTGTGCTCCCTAAATACAGCAAACATAATGATATGCAGATTAAAATAAACCACTAGCATTGTATAGTCCATGTTGATAAAGTTTTAAGCTCCTTTGTAATTTAGAATTTTTCCTCTTTCATGCTCTTGGGAACATGAATTAAATATCTTTTCGACATGCAACATCCATGCATTGTTTTATGAATTTACATTGTTCTGGGTTTGTAATGTTTGTTTCATTGTTGTACTCCGCCAAAACATTAGTTCAGAAAGCTCATTTCCAAAATTCACTTTCCTCTGGTATTAATATTTCTTGCTTTCGTTTTAAAGTTTGTACGGAGAAGATAATATCTGTAATGACAACATCGCATAAGGAAGGAAATAAAACCATATACAGCTGTATTGGTTGCAAAAAACTGCGTCGTTGTACAAGTGTTTACGGTAGCGTCCACTTGAAGAAAATTGCAATCAGTTCGAAAAATGAATTTTTAAGTGAGCAGTTACGATTTCCAAAACTTCGCGAAATCACTGGACATTTGATCGTGACATTCTTATTGCAAGGAGTTTACAGCTTAAGCAACATTCTCCCGAACTTGGCGGTGATCCGTGGTCGTTTGGAGGACTTGTTTCAGGGATACGCTTTGGTGGTTTATCAAAATGATGCCCTTCTAAACTTAGGATTAGATTCTCTGACCACAATCCAACAGGGTGGCGTTAGAATCGAGCACAATGATAGACTGTGTTTCTTGAATCAAGTGCGATGGAAATCTGTGATGCAGAATGGAGAATCCAAGAAGTATGACTTGGTGAAGAAAGATAATTCCGGAGATTGTTTTATGACTTGTTCACATAGATGTCATACACCAAGCGGTCATGGTCTTTCTGGAAATAAATATTGTTGGGGAAGATACAGAAAGAATTGTCAAAAATGTGAGTAGTGGAATGATTTTTCTTGTTCAAGAGTATTTACTCAAGATGTAACATGTAAAAAGAACGATTACTGTTACTCCTGTCTTTCGTTTGTTAACTGTGGGAATAAAGCGCTAGGGATGCTGCTGACAGTGGGAGGGGGTGCTGTTGCTAGAGGAAAGGGGGTGCTGGTGCCAGGGGGAAGGAGGGCGAAAGTAAGCTTTAAATGAATCTTGGATTGTGTTTTGTTTTGTCTATAATAATACTTCATAGATTTGCGCGAAACTCTAATTGTAAAAAATCATTTCATGTGTAAAAATCATGTAATTATTCCGCATCGTTTTCGTCAGGCAAATTACATACATGTCAGGCTTTCTCATCAGACAAATTCATTCATCTTAAATATCCTCTTCCAATTACATAAGTAAACTCAGGTTACACTAGTTCAAAATCCTCACAACCATCTCAGTAAACTCAGGTTACACTAGTTCAAAATCCTCACAACCATCTCAGTAAACTCAGGTTACACTAGTTCAAAATCCTCACAACCATCTCAGTAAACTCAGGTTACACAAGTTCAAAATCCTCACTACCACCTTAGTAAACTCAGGTTACCCTAGTTCATAATCCTCACTACCATCTCAGTAAACTCAGGTTACACAAGTTCAAAATCCTCACAACCATCTCAGTAAACTCAGGTTACACTAGTTCAAAATCCTCACAACCATCTCAGTAAACTCAGGTTACACTAGTTCATAATCCTCACTACCATCTCAGTAAACTCAGGTTACACTAGTTCATAATCCTCACTACCATCTCAGTAAACTCAGGTTACACTAGTTCAAAATCCTCACAACCATCTCAGTAAACTCAGGTTACACTAGTTCATAATCCTCACTACCATCTCAGTAAACTCAGGTTACACTAGTTCATAATCCTCACTACCATCTCAGTAAACTCAGGTTACACTAGTTCAAAATCCTCACAACCATCTCAGTAAACTCAGGTTACACAAGTTCAAAATCCTCACTACCACCTTAGTAAACTCAGGTTACACTAGTTCAAAATCCTCACAACCATCTCAGTAAACTCAGGTTACACTAGTTCATAATCCTCACTACCATCTCAGTAAACTCAGGTTACACTAGTTCATAATCCTCACTACCATCTCAGTAAACTCAGGTTACACTAGTTCAAAATCCTCACAACCATCTCAGTAAACTCAGGTTACACTAGTTCATAATCCTCACTACCATCTCAGTAAACTCAGGTTACACTAGTTCATAATCCTCACTACCATCTCAGTAAACTCAGGTTACACTAGTTCAAAATCCTCACAACCATCTCAGTAAACTCAGGTTACACTAGTTCATAATCCTCACTACCATCTCAGTAAACTCAGGTTACACTAGTTCATAATCCTCACTACCATCTCAGTAAACTCAGGTTACACTAGTTCAAAATCCTCACAACCATCTCAGTAAACTCAGGTTACACAAGTTCAAAATCCTCACTACCACCTTAGTAAACTCCGTTTACACTAGTTCATAATCCTTACTACCACCTCAGTAAACTCAGGTTACACTAGTTCAAAATCCTCACTACCATCTCAGTAAACTCCGTTTACACTAGTTCAAAATCGTCATCATTACCACCTACCATCATTCACGGTGATAAAATAAGGTTATGAAGTGTGAGCATTTTATGGCATAATTCGCTGTTTTGTCACAATTTCTTTTGAGACAAAAGGTCAAGCGCTTGCACGTGCTCTACAAAAGGTTGCACGTGCTCTACAAAAGGTTGCACGTGCTCGAGAGTTCTCCCAAACGTCTCTAAGTTCTGCATGGGTCAGTTTAATCACGATACAAATCTTTCATTTCTTTTATAAAATAACGATAATGCGAAACAATTAAATGACATGTATTCATGATTCATTTAATTTATTTAGCTCATAATTGTTTGCACAGGATTACCCAAACACAACTCTAGAGCAATCGCTGTATATGTTATATTGTTGCTGTTTTAGTATTTTAAATGAAACAGGCATGAATCGTATTCTGATTGTAAACCTTAGTAGTGAGAAGCAAACATTGTTATTTGATGTTACATATATCGTTCTCGTATCATACGCGTATCGTTCTCGTATCATACGCGTATCGTTCTCGTATCATATGCGTATCGTTCTCGTATCATATGCGTATCGTTCTCGTATCATATGCGTATCGTTCTCGTATCATACGCGTATCGTTCTCGTATCATACGCGTATCGTTCTCGTATCATACGCGTATCGTTCTCGTATCATACGCGTTTCGTTCTCGTATCATACGCGTTTCATACGCGTACCGTATGTTAACACATACGCGAGCGTTACTGTACGACTAAAATTTCTGTTTATCTTCTGCAGTATGTGATCAAAGATGTGGATATAATGGTTGTGAAAAAGACACTACAGACCGATGCTGTCATTCTCAATGTCTTGGTGGTTGTACTCAAGCAAATTCACCTCATCATTGCTACGCGTGTCGTAGTTTACGTTTGGAAAATGGTTCATGTGTTCCTAACTGTCCTCTTGGATTGAAGGAGGTACGTCATTATTTGTTGATCAGTTGATGATGAATAAGGATATTGGAGTATATTAGTGGATAATGGAGGATTTGAACAAATATTTTTAGGTGCACAATTTTATTTGCGAGAAGAAATGTCGACAAGATGGAAAATATGAGTTGCACGGGAAGTGTTATAAAAAATGTCCGATTGGTTTTAAAGAGGACGATGATAAAGAAATGTGCATCAAATGTCATGGTTGCCCAAACGGTGAGTAAATTACAACAAGCATCAAGTCACATGTTTGTAAATGTCGATCGTCCATGTTGATATAGTCCTGAGAGGGACTGTTTTTTAAATGTCATTTTGACTCTGAAGGTGACTACCGCTAAGGTTGTCGAAACGTCAGTCAACAACAACAAAAACAGTCCTTCTCACGACTTTATTAACCTGGACGATCTACATTTACAAACATGTAACGATACTCCGGTTCAAACCATTTACTTTAAGCATCAAGTCGTTTCTTCCATGTATATTATACAATCGTACGTACATTCTGGGTCCCAAATCCAGGAGTCACCATTGCACTACCTGTAACATACAACGTGTATAAGTTTTTATTTTGGAAAGATTTTTTTAAAATACAGGTAACACGGCATCATGTGTGTGTATGTATCGAAAAAACTTAACTTTTTTACCTGTAAAATAGCACAAGAGCACAAGAATTGATGGTTCAGGCGTGTGAAATCCCGAGAAAGACATCCATAGCGGTTGTTGTATTCTAGTGACTCTGAACACCAGTAGTTTTTCTCGTGACTTCACTATCCTTGACTGTCGAAACATACATACAAACATGTAACGATTTTATTTAAATGGGTTGTGTTGTATGTATAATTTTTCTCATCAGCGCCATTCATTTTGTTGTAGAATTGAACTTGCTGATGACCAAATATATTCCAACGTTGAAAATCAACAGTTTAGCGAAATCTGCCGAATTGAAAGGATATACAATTCTTACTGGAAATTTGGAGATTGAAATAAAGAATGTTCCAGGTATTTACCTACGCAAAGATACGTATAGGAGATGGCTGTCTTTTATTTTTATCAAAAACCATGACCAGCCGACAATTTAAAGAAGTATTATATAAAACAAATTCCGAAGAAGCAAGACATCTTGAGATTGCAAAATATGAATCAAAACAAGACGAGAAGTAAACTGTAAATTTTCGACTTTATTTCAAAGTCATCCTCGGACAGAATGATATTTGAAACCTTACATACACATATATTTTTCATGCGTTGTAAATATATAAGTGTATGTAAGGTTTTAAATAACATTCTGTCCGAGGATGACTTTGAAATAAAGTCGAAAATTTACCTCGTCTTGTTTTGATTCATATTTGCAATCTCAAGATATCTTGCTTCTTCGGAATTTGTTTTATATTATACTTCTTTATTTTTATCTTTTAAACAATTCTACTTAATTAAATATTGACAAAACAAAGAAACGTTTTACGAAATACGCCTTCGAAATGAAATCGTAGAGTCCTGGAAAAACAATTGAAGCAACTTATGTATGTGTTCAAAATTAATCATATATTTTCTTTTAGGTACAAAAAATATCGCCGGAGTGTTAAAGGAACATATGGGGAGTCTGCGGGTTATTAATGGATACTTGTTGATTCGGCAATCAACCCCATTGATTTCTCTGAATTTTTTGAGAAATCTTACAAGAATTAATGTTCAACGAAATGGATTCACACTAAAAAAGTAATGTTATCTTACAATAAATCTTCGTACAATTCGTATGTTGTAACCTCAGTTGTGGCTTCAAGTTGTTTTATCAAGTTGTGTAAGAAATTTTGCTGAGCCGTACCACGCTGTCTACAATGATCAAGCAATTTTGCCAGAATTTTAATCGTGTGGATACTAACCATCGCAAATTCTTCACTTTGTCTGCGATGGAACAGTTTTCATTTTCAAATTTTTTAATCATGTACTTGTCACAGTTTAAACGGTATCCAAGTTCACAGTAAGTTTTTAAAAGAGATTCCTCATTTTTTCCATCGAGAGTCATTACAAACGAAGTTCTGTTTTTCCAATCACACGATATTTTTTCACAAACCTGTCTGGCAAGTTGTGATTTACCACTGCCAGGACTACCAGTGATTTCAAAGAGTAAAGTCTAAAGCGATCTTCTATGTTTTATTTACCTTATGTGCTCTTTAATACACTTCATTTCTCATGAACAGTTTATGTATTTTCATTATTATAACATTACACGTTCAAATCGAAGGAACGTCAGTATTTTCTCTATTATTCGTTTCTAGCTATGCCCTTGCCATATTTGACAACCCGAACCTCATGTCATTGTGGGATTTTCATCCAAATTTTACGATTGCTGGCTCAAAGAACGGAGTTTTTATTCAGTTAAATCCTCGCCTGTGTCCTTATACTATAGATCCTTTGGTAAAGGATGTTTTAAAACGTAACTATAGTGATCGGTCCGTTGATGTATCCAAAACGACCAACGGAAACTCTATAACATGTACGTATTGTAGATTAATTATTGAAAATTTTCTGCTCGTTGCTCAAAAATTATTCATGTTTTTTCACATCATCATCATTTAACTTATGTTTGAATTCTTTCATTGCTATTATTTTTACTGTAAGTTAGATGTGTATTTATAACTGTTACTATTGTTCTAATGTTGCCATTACCTTTAGTGTGAAGTTTGTTATATGTATTTATTGTAAAATGTACCTTCAGAATAACTTCTCACGGAAAAGTTTGGCCGAACAAATGCTAGTCATGCCCGATGACTGGCTGTTATGCCCCCCCAACCCCCTCCCCCCCACCTCCTGATTACAGTCAATTACATATAAAATTTTAACCGTTACTTTAGTCTGTTTATCGCTGTTAATTATGATCATCAACGTCACAATAACCATTATCATTACCGTTGTCTTTCACTTTGTAATTAAATTTACTGTAACATTGTTTAGGTGACGTGTTATTTGTCAACCTAACTGTCACCAGTGCTAGATGCTCGATATGTGTTAGAGTTTCTTGGCCAAACGTAGTCTCCCGGGAAGATTATCGTAATGTTGTGTTGTATTCAATATGGTATAGGGAAACGTACGTTTTTATTATTTCCTTTACTTCATTTAAGACGTATATACGTTGCGTGTTTACTCCATTAACCGCCTTTGTTTAATCTCGAATGTTTGGATATAAGCAATCTTTCAGTGGCGGCATTTTTAAGAATTTTAATCTTAGCAATTTTTTAACAATAATATGAACACATCATGATTCTTGAATTTCTAATGTTGTCGTTCTTGATGTTCAACTAATTTCTTGGGAATCGTCATGCATTGACGTTTGCTCACGTTGCTTGGATCTCTCAAAGACATCAAGACATCAATAAGTCTTTTATAAAACCTCGACTTGACTGACACGAAAACATAAAGTAACCATGTTTATGGTGGAGTCTGTTGAAAAATTTACAAGAACATAAGTTGCATTAGAAATTTAATTACGTTTTAACCCCCACCTCACCCTTCCCATTTAATTGTAATTCCTTTGGCAGTTTGGATATACGCCTTCACAAAATCATTATAAACTTATTACTTTTCAAAGGATTTTGAAATTCATCGAGCAAAAGTTCTTTGATCAAAGTTAATTTATATTTTTTTACTTCATATTCATGGATTGCGTTTTGTGTGCAAACTTGTGAGCAAATTTTTTGCTTCTCAAAATCAAAATCAATCTAATTCAAATCAGGCTATTTTTGTTGTGGTTGTAACGTAACAGTTTTTTTGAATTAAATTGGAAATGTTTGTTTGTTTATGTAGCACAAGAACTGATTTAAGGGAATATGATGATATCGACGCATGCAACTCAGATCATGTGTAAGTGTAATCTTAACTTTTTGTGCTAAAATGTGAAAATTATCTTGATAAAAGTTCGTGATTCATAATTGCAACATGTGACCGTTCTAATTGTTGTGGAGATTTTCATATGTTGATTATAAATAACTAAATTTCTCCATCAGGTGGAGTCATAAAGATGTTCTTGCGTCCAGACGAAGAACTGGGTAATTTTATGTAGTTTTTACTTAAAAAATTTTTACTCTGGTTTGCTCCTTTTAACTCTGTCTTATCCCTTTTACCTCTGGCTTGTCCCTTTTAACTGTGTCTTATCCCTTTTAACTGCGTCTTATCCCTTTTAACTCTGTCTTATCCTTTTACCTCTGTCTTATCCCTTTTAACTGTGTCTTATCCCTTTTAACTGTGTCTTATCTCTTTTAACTGTGTCTTATCTCTTTTAACTGTGTCTTATCCCTTTTAACTGTGTCTTATCCCTTTTAACTGTGTCTTATCCTTTTAACTGTGTCTTATCCCTTTTAACTGTGTCTTATCCCTTTTAACTGTGTCTTATCCCTTTTACTGTGTCTTATCCCTTTTAACTGTGTCTTATCTCTTTTAACTGTGTCTTATCTCTTTTAACTGTGTCTTATCCCTTTTAACTGTGTCTTATCCCTTTTAACTGTGTCTTATCCTTTTAACTCTGGCTTGTCCCTTTCAACCCTTTCAATTCTGTTTTATCTGTTTTAACTGCTTGTATTTACAGCTTTAATTTGATGAATTTGTTTCTTATAATTTATAATTATTACATGTAAGGGTAGTCTTTTAACACGTTTTCAACTTTTGAATAATATCAATGACTTAACACTTTTGAACTTTGATTTTAATGTTAATTTTAATATTGGATAGGTTGAAGAAAAATATTTCTGATTTATAAAAGGACTTTTTATTAAAGTTTTCGCCTGAAACTTTTCTTTAGAGGTCCAGTTATCAGCGATGTTCTCCACAGTTTGAAAGCTTACACTTTATATGCTTTTCGTGTCGAAGCTCTTGTTATCGCAGGCCCAGGAGTTAAAAGTCACATTACTTATTTCAAAACGAGAGAAACCAGTAAGTTTTCAAAAATGATTACTTTAATTTACGATGAAATATCTTCATATATTAAACTTTTTTTTGTTTATTTCTAGAGCCCTCGACTCCTCAAGATCTCGAAGCAAATTATCTTACCTCATCCTCTCTTCAATTAAAATGGCGAAAACCGTTTTATCCTAATGGCAATCTCACTCATTACGTCATCCGCTATCATGAGATAATTGTCAATTATGGTACAGAGGACAATGACTTATGTAAAAGTCACGTGAGTATCCAAAACCAGGACAAAAAGACTTTGAGCAAAGGTTTGTGGTACCACTTAAATAATAGTGGAAAATGATAGAGCATGATAGTACATTATAGTATGTGGCGGTTCATGATTGTATATTATAGTATGTGGCGGTTCATGATGGTATATTATAGTATGTGACGGTTCATGATAGTATATTATAGTATGTGACGGTTCATGATGGTATATTATAGTATGTGACGGTTCATGATGGTATATTATAGTATGTGACGGTTCATGATGGTGCGCGCAGGTGTTGCGAACATACATTTTTGTTTAATTCGCTATTTTAATATTTTAGCCTAAATTTTTTATCCTTTACTGTTTCGTGGCTGAAGTAATATACGGTTATTAAAAGTTTGTTTTTCTTCATTAAATCTCTTAGTTTGTCATTCTTCCCGTAAATCTTTCGACTGTCCAGTTTGAATTGTACGTAGAAAGGTCTTTCGTGGTTAGAACATAGTCGCCTACTGCTTTCAAGCAAAATATATGATTTGAACTGACTTGAGAGCCATTCGAAAACGTCTCAAGGAAACAAAAGTCGCGGTAAAACAGTTTTAAAGCAAATTAAACGTAACCCAACCGTTTAAGGTCGTTTCATCTCATTTCATCACTGCCTTGTTATTTAACGAGGCAATAATTTCTCATGTTTTCTTTTATTTTTTCTTCTTTTTTATCAATGTTTTGACCCAAAGACTTGCAGATGACATTAGTTAATTATATAATACACACACAAGCACCTGCATTGTTTTTCCAACCCCCCTCCCGTCCCGCCGTGACTCAGCGTGAAGAGGGTTGCTAATGTTTACAGAAACATATTTCAAAATGAACTTAATTTTATTTACTTTCATATTTTCTGCATGGCTTTGTAAAACTTTTATACGGAGGTCTATATTATTGTTAACAAAATGTTACAGCATTCTTTGGTCACGTGTTGCCAAAACCCAAACTACGTCACTTCCTACTCACGTGACATATCCGTGTGTTTTGAATGGACCATTTAACATTAGGGGCAATTGAATATTGTATGTATGAAATAAGTATTCTTTTGAAACGATCCTTGTCTTTTTATTTACAGACGAACCCAACAACAACACTTGTCCCGTTAACAAAACCTGCAACTGTTTGAATGAGGAAGTTGGGGAAGTAAATCCCGATTTAGAGGAAGCCTTGTTTGCTAAACAGTTTCAAGATACAATTTTATCCACCGTTTTTGTAAAGAGAGATAAGAAGGACGACGATGATGATGATAAAGACAAAGACAAAAACAGGATCAAGGATGGTAAGAATACCAGCAAAACAACCTCTTCACCACATCAAGAAATTGCAACGAAATCCGGCTACCAAGATTGCGACAAGAAGGTAGGATTAAAAACTTCGTATACTTTTTTACTTAATTTCATCTTATTTCTTTCTATATTCCATCTTGAAAACTCTGGGATTAAACTTAATTCATAGTATAATCACTATTAGCTCGGACATAAAGAATGCTATGGAGAAAATGTTTACTGTTTTTGGTATGTGTCGGATTTTCCGTGGTACGCTTTATAAATATCACATTTTGTGCTTTTAAGTTTTAGAGAGAAAAACTTTAACATGAGGAGTGAAAGGCTTCTTTCAACAAAAGTATTTTCAAACTCTTTATCTCAAAAAATGTTAACGGCTTGCTGCGCCTCCACCCTGCTTAAAAAAAAATTAGCCAATGAACAACCATAGACAAAAAAATGTTAACGGCTTGCTGCGCCCCCACCCTGCTTAAAAAAAATTAGCCAATGAACAACCATAGACATTACGCTGTAAGACAACAAGAGCTTATTTAAGCAATAGCTTTTGATAGGTTTTATTAAACATTTTTTGCCTTGAACTCAGTGGATTTTCACCCGAATGATACATGAATCAAAATTACATCGGAGTTCATGAAGACATGAAGTAATTGTATGAAAAATTTTATGCTTGATTTAAAATCACGAGTAAACAGACAGTTTTTTTAAAAATTTTGCACTATCCTTGGTTCCATAGTTTTGATTGAAATTTATACTCTAACCATTTGTCATTCTAGGATAAAGCGTCATGTTCAAGTAAACCAACTAACACGACTGTTTCATCTGTGACCGTCAAAGCGTCACTGTGATGAACACTACGTCACTTCCTCCGACTGAGCCTGCAATCACTACGGTTACTACAACAAAACAGATGATAGAATTACATAATCTCAAGCATTTCACAACTTATAGTTTTGAGGTAAATAACTATAGAATCACTATCTTCTAGCTCATCTATCGTATTTCTTTAACTCGTTTCTTCGTCCGTCTTATACTTATGCTCCTTTAAATCCTTTTGTTTTTAACTATATTCTTACTTTAACAACCGTTTTACTTGTTGTACCCATTTCTCCCTTACTTTAGCAACCATGTTACTTGTTGTACCCATTTCTCCTTACTTTAACAACCATGTTACTTGTTGTACCCATTTCTCCCTTTACTTTAACAACCATGTTACTTGTTGTACCCATTTCTCCTTACTTTAACAACCATATTTGTTGTACCCATTTCTCCTTCTTTAACAACCATGTTACTTGTTGTACCCATTTCTCCCTTACTTTCCATATTACTTCCATTTCTCCTTACTTTAACAACCATATTACTTGTTGTCCATTTCTCCCTTGCTTTCAACCATATTACTTGTTGTTCCATTTCTCCCTTACTTAACAACCATATTACTTGTTGAACCCATTTCTCCTTTACTTTAACAACCATATTATTTGTTTCCATTTCTCCCTTACTTTAACAACCATATTACTTGTTGTACCCATTTCTCCCTTACTTTAACAACCATATTACTTGTTGTACCCATTTCTCCCTTACTTTGACAACCATGTTACTTGTTGTACCCATTTCTCCCTTACTTTAACAACCATATTACTTTTGTTTCTCCCTTACTTTAACAACCATATTACTTTGTTGTACCCATTTCTCCCTTACTTTAACAACCATATTACTTGTTGTACCCATTTCTCCTTACTTTAACAACCATGTTACTTGTTGCACCCATTTCTCCCTTTTCATTTATGAAACCAACTTTTGTTAGGTATCATTAGTTGCATCTGTTCTATGGACGCCGAATGCAAAAAGTGCAATTTTCATTTATTGTATGTTTTACCGCATCAGGTGTGTGCGTGTAACGCAGGCGCAGGTTGCAGTAAAAATGAAGGATTCAGGAAACAATGTGCGACAGCGACGGGGAGAACGGATAAAGATGGTGAGTTAATATTCGTAGAAAAAACAGAAGTATTTTGACATTATTTATTGTCCATGTAAAGTTGACAATTTAAATCTCTTACTCGTTGGGTTCTTTTCCTGTTGATATTTTACTCGTGGGGTTCTTTTCCTGTTGATATTTTACTCTTGGGGCTCTTTCCCCGTTGATATTTTACTCGTATGGCTCTTTTCCTGTAGATATTTTACTCGTGGGGCTCTTTTTCTGTAGATATTTTACTCGTAGGGCTCTTTTCCGGTAGATATTTTACTCGTAGGGCTCTTTTCCTGTAGATGTTTTACTCGTGGCGCTCTTTTCCTGTAGATCTCCTATTCTCTGGGATTCTTTTCATGTAAATCTCTCACGTCTTAATACAGGTCTTCGACTGTAGTTTAATCATGGAACATTTGCACAAAAATTTTAACTACATCATTTATCGCTACATATTTGTGGATGTTGATCATGTGTGTTGATCAAGATAGTTGACTGACGTTTCGACAACCTTAGCGGTAGTCATCTACAGAGTCAAAAACAGTCTTTCTTAAGACTTTACTAACCTGGACGATCTACATCCACAAACATGTAACGATATTCCCGCATTCAAACCATTTACTTTATGATCTATTGCTTTAAGATAATTTTTTCAAAATTTTTAGTGAATGCAGATAGTGTTGGTGATACTCTGACATTTTCCGCTAGCAATAAAACAAAACAGGTAAATACATGTGTTGCAAATGACAATAGGTAATTGTAACATAACTTAATGCTCTGTGCTGATTGGCTAAAAGCTGTGTTGACCTGACAAAATATAAACATGAAAATTACTCAAGGAAAAATTTATTTTGCCCGTTTGTGTGTCTGTAAGTATGAAAAATCTTTAACGTCAATTGGGGCAAAGGATTGCACTTAAGTTTTCGCTTCTTTTGCTACATTATAAAAATATAAAAGTCGTTTTCTGTTTTTTATGTATTTATATAAATCGGCAAATGTTTTACTGTGTGCAAAATGGCCATGAATGCTAGGAATATAATGGTGACGTTTTGGTATTACAATCATTAAAGAATTCTAAATCAAATTTTGTTTTTTTTTTACAATGGCAGAGCTAATTATTTTATCTCTCATGCAATCTATTTTCATGTAATCTCTTGATTAAAATTTTCATCCCCAAGTGTTACTACAATTTGGGTTGTAAATGGATATAAATGGATATTCAAGAACAAATAAGAGCATATTGAAACCTATTATTTCTATTTCAGTTTACATTACGTTGGCAAGCTCCTCCCAATCCTAATGGTATTGTTTTCAACTACGACCTTGCTATTATGTACAAGAATCACAAAAACAACTACACGGTATTCAACTACTATATTTCCTCACTTTACCATTGCTATTATGTACAAGAATCACAAAAACAACTACACGGTATTCAACTACTATATTTCCTCACTTTACCATTGCTATTATGTACAAGAATCACAAAAACAACTACACGGTATTCAACTACTATATTTCCTCACTTTACCATTGCTATTATGTACAAGAATCACAAAAACAACTACACGGTATTCAACTACTATATTTCCTCACTTTACCATTGCCATTATGTACAAGAATCACAAAAACAACTACACGGTATTCAACTACTATATTTCCTCACTTTACCATTGCTATTATGTACAAGAATCACAAAACAACTACACGGTATTCAACTACTATATTTCCTCACTTTACCATTGCTATTATGTACAAGAATCACAAAACAACGACACGGTATTCAACTACTATATTTCCTCACTTTACCATTGCTATTATGTACAAGAATCACAAAAACAACTACACGGTATTCAACTACTATATTTCCTCACTTTACCATTGCTATTATGTACAAGAATCAGAAAAACAACTACACGGTATTCAACTACTATATTTCCTCACTTTACTTTATTGTTAAGTTTCTTTTACTGTTTAAACGGAAGGGTGCATCTTATTGCAGTTCTTAACTGCTCATGCGCACAAGCTTCATTGGATGAACCGATTTTAAATTGTATAATAAAAGTCGTTAACCGTGTGTGCTGATTGGTCTATAGCAGAGTTTGTATTATGGGATGTTCACGTGAGCCAGGTAGCCGGAATTCAACGAAGTGTAAATCCTTTTGGCAAATGGAAAAGATTAAATATTTTGCAACAAAAAACTTATTTGAGCAAATTCTCTATTCTATGACTGTGCAAATTCACAAAACCTTTAAAATGAAAAAAAAATTAGCCTGATTTGAAAATTACAACTAAAATGATTTATGACGCTTAAGAAAAGGTTGTGAGTTTTTCGCTTAAAGTTTTTGCTCCTTTCAATGACTCAAAATTATTTCACGCTTCGCTGAATCCCGGTTACCGCGGGCTCATGTGGACAGCTCCTTAGTCAGCGCAAACCGATCAGAGCTCAACCAATTAAATCAATAAACGGGAATATTTCTTTGTGATATATGCAGGATAAACGGGAATATAAAGTTCAGCATAAATTATTTTTTGAATAAATTTATTTTGAAGAAAAATGAATCTCACTGCATTTTGGCTTCCGAAACGGAATACTCGAAAACTGATGCATCTGTTGGGGAGTACTGGGTCCGAGTACGAGCAAATACTCTCGCTGGTCAAGGCTTGTGGACCGAATGGGTGAACTTTGTTATTGTAAATATCATAAAAAACCCAGGTGAGAAGAGAATGACAATCGTTTATGTTGTTATTGTAGGGTTATTAAACATTTTTCTTGGTGAGATGTCTGGTAGAGATTGTTAGTTTAGATATTGTTCTATGGACATTGTTCTTGGTTAGACGTTTGATAAAGATCTTAGTGTAGACATTGTTCTTGGTGAGATGTATGACAAATATGTTAGTGTAGATATTGTTCTATGGACATTATTCTTGGTTAGACGTTTGATAAAGATCTTAGTGTAGACATTGTTCTTGGTGAGATGTATGACAAATATGTTAGTTTAGACATTGTTCTTGGTTAGATGTATGACAAATATGTTAGTTTAGACATTGTTCTTGGTTAGATGTATGACAAATATGTTAGTTTAGACATTGTTCTTGGTTAGATGTATGACAAATATGTTAGTTTAGACATTGTTCTTGGTTAGATGTATGACAGAGATCTTAGTGTAGATATTGTTCTTGTTGAGATGTTTGATAGAGATCTTAGTGTAGAAATTGTTCTTGTTGAGATGTTTATAAAGATCTTAGTGTAGATATTGTTCTGTAGACATTGTTCTTGTTGAGATGTTTGATAGAGACCTTAGTGTAGATATTGTTCTGTAGACATTGTTCTTGGTGAGATGTTTGATAAAGATCTTAGTGTAGATATTGTTCTGTAGACATTGTTCTTGTTGAGATGTTTGATAGAGACCTTAGTGTAGATATTGTTCTGTAGACATTGTTCTTGGTGAGATGTTTGATAAAGATCTTAGTGTAGATATTGTTCTGTAGACATTGTTCTTGGTGAGTTGTTTGATTAAGATCTTAGTGTAAACATTGTTTAATAGATATTGTTTTCAGGACGAAGTTTGACATGCTTTTTCATTGTTTTTGTCGAGATGTATACAGTACTTTGTGTAGTTTCTTTGATAACTTCTTTACTCCTTGATATGAAACCTTTTTCATTTTGGTTTTCCTGCTCTTTGCAGTGAAACCAGTTGCTTCAAAGGATGCAAACATAACGACTGTCATTGGTGTTAGTGTAACTGCCGTGGTCATTTTTGCTATTGTGTTTGCTGTTTTAACTTACTCGCTTATAAGAAGGTAAACTAGCAAGGTTAATATGTTGATAAAAAAAAAATAAACATTTTAACAATAAACCTGAAACGACTTTTCGTCATTGTGTGCATCACGATGATGGATGACATCACAATACATGATGAAAATCAAACATGAACGTAACATGTGGTATTAAAGTTCTTTCTTGACGTAAATTTACCCTTTAATGTAACTGGTCCGCGTAAACATCATTATTTGAAAGACTGATTTCCATTTTAGGCACAAGAAAAATATTTCCGGAGTTCTTTTTTCTTCGACCAATCCAGAATATTGGAATTGTTCTGAAGGTTAGGAATAAATTTTTCTTCAGCCTTGATATAATGTAAACTTTATAGACAGAATAATGATACATATTAGACATTTTAAGTGCAAATATAGCTTGTGTGAACCTAAACTGTTTATAATGACTAGAGTTCTTGAATTCTGTAAAACATTTTTGGCGAAATATTTAGCAGAATTTGTGATGATGAGTCGCTAAAATTCATATAATTCATCATGGTGTACAATTTCTATAATTTTAATAATATTTTTTCAACAATAAGTCGCATATATATACTTTCTTTAAAGGTTATTTTTATATTATTCAATTGACTAGTGTATGTACCTGATGAGTGGGAAGTCCCTCGAAAGAACATCACTCTGATTCGTGAACTAGGTAATGGGTCTTTTGGTATGGTCTGGGAAGGAGAAGCTGTTGATATATTACCTGGTGTACCGTGCTGTAAAGTTGCTGTGAAGGTACTGTAACTGCTAAAGGAGAGAGGAGATGTTGGGTTTTATATAATAGATACAAAAGTTGTTCCACCATTGTTACAGAACGATCTATAATATGAATACGGAAATCCTTCTTTGGTTCGGGTACCTCTTTGACAAGGAAGCAACTGTTTACAACCATACATCATTGTTATTGACAACTTTTAACGGGAAAACATCTTTCATAGAGACAACTTTCTTGTACAGACACTTTTCGAGACAGTCTTTTTGTATGAACGCTTTTTCTACATGACGTAACGTTAAATTGTGTTGTATGTATTCTAAAACTCCAAGGAAACGAATCGTTCTGTGCTCCTCTTGTCTTATCGTTCACAATATAGTCATAATATAGTTTCAAGTTGGTTTAAAAATCAAAGTTGAGTAGACTAGATTTGTTCTTATAAATAGTGTATTTCGAAAAAGTCAACTCGCACGAACGTTTTTGCATTTGTTGTTGAAGAATTATCTTTACAACACCGAAAAAGTCAACTCACACGCACATTTCTGCATTTCTTATTGAAGAATTATCTTTAACAACACCGAAAAAGACAACTCACACGCACGTTTCTGCATTTGTTGTTGAAGAATTATCTTTAACAACACCGAAAAGACAACTCACACGCACGTTTCTGCATTTGTTGTTGAAGAATTATCTTTAACAACACCGAAAAGACAACTCACACGCACGTTTCTGCATTTGTTATTGAAGAATTATCTTTAACAACACCGAAAAGACAACTCACACGCACGTTTCTGCATTTGTTATTGAAGAATTATCTTTAACAACACCGAAAAGACAACTCACACGCACGTTTCTGCATTTGTTATTGAAGAATTATCTTTAACAACACCGAAAAAGACAACTTACACGCACGTTTCTGCATTTGTTGTTGAAGAACTATCTTTAACAAGTGTATTTTGTCTTTAGACGGTCAGTGCTAACAGTTCTATTCGCGATAAAGTAGAATTTTTAAAAGAAGCATCAATAATGAAGTAAGTAAATATTGCAAAACGCAGCTCAACAGAAAGGACAAATACCATAAAGTAGTTAATGAAAAATGTGATTTCATTCAAATTAATGGTGAAATAATTTTGATTCTTTTTTTAACATTCGGATTTTCTCTATAGTATTTGTTATTTTATATCTGTTTGTTTGTGTAGCCATTATTACCCATGGCGGCTAGTTTGTGTAGCCGATATTATGCAATGCTGCTAGTTTGTGTAGCCATTAATATCCATGGCTGCTTGTTTGTGTAGCCAATTACTATGCATGGGTGCTAGTTTGTGTAGCCATTAATATCCATGGCTGCTTGTTTGTGTAGCCAATTACTATGCATGGCTGCTAGTTTGTGTAGCCAATCAGATGCAATGCTGCTAGTTTGTGTAATCTATCACACTCGTAGCTGCATTATTTACAGATTATCAAATTTGCTGCTTTCAACTAAAAACAAATCGATTTTTCTGCTATTAAGTTTGTGAGAATTTGTTTAAGGGATCATTTGAATAGTCAAAAGAAATTCGTTCTATATTCATTTTCTACAGAGCTTTTCACTGCAATCACGTTGTACAGTTATTGGGCGTAGTCTCTGATGGTGATCCAGTATTGGTAATGATGGAGCTAATGGAAAATGGTGATTTGAAGGGTTTCTTAAGGAAACGACGACCTGTAAGTGATGTAACACCCTGAATTTTTATATTCACTTTTATATTTGCTTTTCCATTAAGTCCTGCTCTATTTAAATTGAGTTCAACTCTGTTTTGTCAGATTAGTCGACAGCATTGTTCAGACCTTTCCAGTTTATGATTTTTTTTATAATGTTTAATAAAATATTTTATGGACCGACGGAAGCTTTCAACATTTGACGTTTCTATTTTCATCAACTTCCAGCGCATGTATTTATGATTTTAAATTTGGGGCTATCTGTTATTTTGGAAAAAGTCCAGTTAACGTCATCGGATTAAATTTTCTAGGACACTGAAGAAGAACCATTGCTTCACCCCCCAACTGAATTTGAACTTTATCAAATGGCTGCTGAAATAGCAGATGGAATGGCGTATCTTTCAGATAGAAAGTTTGTACATCGGTAGGACTTCGTGATATTAAAAACCAAAGATATTTAATTCCCCTGTGCTAATTAACTATTACTTGATGTTTCTGGTGTAGATGACCCGATGCAAACAGGGTCGTCGACCAATAAGAGCACGTGTTGTCCATATTTGTAGATGATCCGATCCAAACAGGGTCGTCGACCAATAAGAGCATGTGTTGTCCATATTTGTAGATGATCCGATCCAAACAGGGTCGTCGACCAATAAGAGCATGTGTTGTCCATATTTGTAGATGATCCGATCCAAACAGGGTCGTCAACCAATAAGAGCACGTGTTGTCCATATTTGTAGATGATCCGATCCAAACAGGGTCGTCGACTAATAAGAGCACGTGTTGTCCATATTTGTAGATGATCCGATCCAAACAGGGTCGTCGACCAATAAGAGCACGTGTTGTCCATATTTGTAGATGATCCGATCCAAACAGGGTCGTCGACCAATAAGAGCACGTGTTGTCCATATTTGTAGATGATCCGATCCAAACAGGGTCGTCGACCAATAAGAGCATGTGTTGTCCATATTTGTAGATGATCCGATCCAAACAGGGTCGTCAACCAATAAGAGCACGTGTTGTCCATATTTGTAGATGATCCGATCCAAACAGGGTCGTCGACTAATAAGAGCACGTGTTGTCCATATTTGTAGATGATCCGATCCAAACAGGGTCGTCGACCAATAAGAGCACGTGTTGTCCATATTTGTAGATGATCCGATCCAAACAGGGTCGTCGACCAATAAGAGCACGTGCTATCCATATTTTACTTTATAAAGAATTTTAAAGTACCCCTTTCAACAAAAATTTTGATTTGCAATATTAAATCTTGGTGTGGTTTCTAACACATCAGTAAAAAAGTTTTTGATTTTTGTTTTTATGGTGGTTTTAAGCTGGTAAAAACGCTCTTTTTCATTAACCTTGTCCGTCGTTAGAAAAGTCTGTAACGATTTACATTTTTGGCATCATTCAAGGGAATCATTAATACTAAATATATATACTAATATCTTGGATGACGTCAGAATTTGGCAAGACTGGACCCATACTTCATGTTACGACGGACAAGATCCATTGAAGGAACTTTAAACCGCCGTGAAAGACAACGATTTGGACGCATTGAATTTTTTTACTGATGCGTCAGAAATCAAACCTACTTTTATTAACATCAATAAAAAATTTGCTGGTAGATAGGCACACTTTAATTCCTCTTTCGGCATAGTACATTCTTTATGTTTGTAAGTACTTTTACATCTCACACTCACAACTACAATCTTAGATTTAAATAAAGTAAAGAAGATGATATGAAAGATATCCAAAATTTGTTAATTTCCGGAGCATTTTTTTAAGTTGAATGGTGTATACGCTGTACAAAGTTGTTTTTTCTCATTTGCTGCTTTATTTTTCTTCAAACCTCCAAATGCCGATCTATTGCTTGAATATCTATCGTCGTTTTCTTTAATGATAAACTTTATGTATAACTTATTGTTTGCTCAAATAGGGATCTAGCGGCAAGGAATTGCATGGTATCTGGTAATTATGTATGTAAGATTGGAGGTAATGTCGGTATTTGAAAGCATATTTAACGTGTGCATGCGAATTTTTGATGATATGTCTGTTGTTTTCTTAGATTTTGGAATGGCTCGTGATGTTTATGAAACAGATTATTATCGAAAGGGCGGCAAAGGTTCGTGATGATTGAAGTATTTTTGAAAGATGTTTTTTGAAGAGAATTATATAAATATGGATAGGGCGCATTTATATTGTTGAATATGTAACATTTATTATTTTTTATGTCTATTTCATTGCTTAGGATTCCTTCCTGTCCGTTGGATGGCTCCTGAATCGTTGAAAGATGGAGTGTTTTGTAGCGCATCAGATGTATGGTAAGTAAAACTTTTTGCTACAGCTCAATTCACGATTATATAAAGATTGTGGTACGTATATTGAATGATGGACAGGAATGTCTAGAAAAAACTGTAAACAATAAAACACGTCTAGTTTTATTTGAAAGTATCGCCGGAACAACGGACAGTACATTTGTGTAGATGAATGTCGTCGAGATTTGTACAGTTCTGAGAAAGACAGTTGGTAATGGTGTTGACTGACGTTTCGACATCATGGACTCTGAAGATGACTAAAAATTGAAACGTCAGTCAATACCAACAACAACAGTCTTTTTCAAGACTACACTTAACTTGTAGATCCACAAGGGCAAACACGAAACGATATTAATGGCTCAAACCACTTACTTTACTGCAAGCAACATTACAACTATATGAAAAAGTTTACTGTGAAAAACCAATCTTAGTGTACTCCTGTAATACTGTATATCTTCGTAGGAACACTGTTTTTGTTCATATTCATTGACAATACAGTTGGCATTAAGTTAAATCAGGAATGTCTTTGGATAATTATTCATTGCTCTTTTCAACAATCAAAGGTCCTACGGTGTTGTTCTCTGGGAAATGGCAACTCTTGCTGAACAACCATATCAAGGAAAATCTAACGAAGAAGTCATGAGATTTGTTCTCGATGGAAACACGATGGAAATTCCGTCATCATTTCCTAAAAATTTGTATGTGTTCTACTATGTTTTATGTTAATGAAGTCATTGCTGGCTTCCGTATGTTGGATTAAATGTTTGTCTCTCCCTCCCTCCCCCCGTTGCCTATATTGGATTAAATGTTTGTCTCTATCTCCCCCCTGTGCCTATGTTGGATTAAATGTTTGTCTTTCTCTCCCTCTGTGCCTATGTTGGATTAAATGTGAGTCTCTCCCTCTCCCTCTGTGCCTATATTGGATTAAATGTTTGTCTCTCTCTGTGCCTATGTTGGATTAATTGTCTGTCTCTCCCTCCCTCCCTGTGTCTATGTTGGATTAAATGTTTGTCTCTATCTCCCCTCTTTGCCTATGTTGGATTAAATGTTTGTCTCTCTCTCCCCCTGTGCCTATGTTGGATTAAATGTTTGTCTCTCTCTCCCCCTGTGCCTATGTTGGATTAAATGTTTGTCTCTCCCTCCCTCCCTGTGTCTATGTTGGATTAAATGTTTGTCCCGCCCTCTCCCCTGTGCCTATGTTAGATTAAATGTACACTGTTATATCCCCTGTACCATGTTACACTTATTCTGATGTCCCCTTTACCATGTTAGGCATAAACTTGCCGGGGCAATGTAAAATTTTGATTTTCTTTATAAATATGCAGTAATTTAGAATAAAATATAGATGGCTAGAACCTGTCAGTAGGTTTGTTTATTTGTGTTTAGAACGGAGATCATCCTTTCATGCTGGGAATACAAAGACAAAAATAGATTATCTTTCTTCTCCATTGTTGAAAAACTTGAACGATTTTTATCCATTGAATTCACTGAGAGATCATTTTATCATGACAAGGGATTACGCCGTAATACAGATTCATGCAGTCTCATTAGCTCTGCTACTGAAAATGGCAATATGGATGTTTTTGTTCAATTATCTTCACCAACTAACGATAAGGAAAGTTTTGTATGAAAATTCGTAGTTCCTTGAAGTTTAACACAGATCGCTCAAGGTTGGAGTGGAAATATGAGCACGCAGCCCAAATAATATTCCAATATTTCAAATGAAATTAATGGCAAATTCATGTTTTGTTTTTAAACTGTCATTTTCCACAAATATTACTTTATGGAAACTGAATTTCTGTATCAGATTAGTAATTTCAATCCCTGATCTAAACCTTAAGCCCAGCGGATACGACAAAAATTCAAGCATTAAGCATTAATATTTTGAAAATGCTTTCCTGTTGAGCGCAATGTTTAACAAATGGTTGGGGCTCCAGCGTTTACAAATTCATTATTATCAAACTTAGTCAACGGAATCTTTGCACTCTCTCAAAATTATCCTAATGAAATGAAATTTTTGCTGCTAAAATGATAAATTTTTTTATATTGTCACGCAAAATATAATGTAGAAATATTTGGCAAAAATGTGCCTGTAGATATCAATGATTGTAAGAAAATAAATTATGCAAAAATTACGTCATGTTCGTTGGTAACTTCTTTTCATTGCTTAGCAACCTACCTGTCTGACAGCGACCGCGAAACTTCGATGTCTGCATAAGCCAGTGTAAACATGGAAAACATCATTTCTTTTATGAAATAACATGAATACGAAACAGATAACTTTAAAATAAATGTTTAAGTTTTTCCTGTTAAATGTATTCATGATTGATTTGCAAATTCTCTCGAAGTGATTTAAATTATTGAGCTGAAATTTTTGAGCTCAGGTCGGATTGCTTCACATACTGCTTTGCACAGGCTGATGCAGACTGAGCTGTAAATCAATCACCGCGCGCGTTGTATTGTTATTTTATAAATCATGATTATTGCGCAAGGTATACCCTGCCACATTCTTTGGTCTAGTGCTTTGAAAGTTTTTAAATACTGTAGCTCTTCCATGTTCACTACAAGCGACGAAACTACTTCCCTTTGGTTTATTTTAATCTGGTTTTCTTTGAACTGCATTATGTGAAAGTGAAGAGACCATTGGCGTACGCAGCTCAAAGTTTATCATAGAGGGTACTTAACCTCTAAAATTGAAGGTTAACATTTCCTAAGTCTTTCAATTCTTTCTGGTTATTAGTTAAATTATTCATTCCGTACCGATAAGACTAAACGTGACGCGAATGTCCGGCGAGATTGACCCGATGGATGAATGTGAGACAAATTCTTTACTTATTCATAATAAAACCGCAGTTGTGGATCTCCTGTGGTTGCATTGATTGTACTATGATTATATATTGTAATAAATAAAAACAAAATAATAAAGATTTCTTTACTTGCTTCAAGTGCTGTCTTTGTGAAGACTCAAGAAGATTTAAAACCTACAAAGCCTCCTAAAGCTTAGAAGAATAAAGGTCAGGTCAACTAATTGTCACTTTCAGCCTCACCTCTGTTTTCAATCAGTTTCTAGGCCTATGAAACAGACTGTTCATCGATTTAAAAATTTTATGCAATTGTGAAAACCTGACATTCAATAAAACGAAAACATTCAAGCAAGAAGCTAAATTTGTGGATGTCTTTACAGCAAACATTCACTTTTGTCATAAACATTTTGTCCAGTTGTATGATATATTAAATTTCATTCAAGTTATAACGTTGCTCTTCTTCTTTGTCTATATCATTTCACACAATCCATTTTAGACGTACAGTCATATTGGATTGATTATTTTTTCAAACCCATTCTTTTCTCTATCGGTACTTTCATATTTTCCCAGTTGCCATCTCTTTATCATTTCTCAGCAAGTTATTATTACTATGTCAACAAACAAGATTTTTTTATTGTTTTTTTTGGATGTTCGCGTTTGTTATTTTCTACTTATGGTTCGCTACCATCATCATCCTTACTATTTCTATTTCCGTCGTATTTAATTTTGTTTAATTCACTTTTTACCGTCTATAATACAAAATCCAAATATAACGGAAATTCTCGCCTCAGGACTAATTGACTGTAATAGCTTTTGAACATATTGCAAGCCTTTTTTTTATTTTCAACTGAAACTTATTATTACTCTCAACTCTAAATTGCTTTCACATCTTCCATTACTATCGGCCATCGGTCAACAACCACAAGTATTTTATCTTTTACTTGTCTCAGTTCTTCTCGATGTAAATTGATGTTCGTCCCCTGCCCACCCATATTCCTTTATTTCTACAGCATACATTATCTTTGTTTTTGAGTATTCAATTCTAAACTACAATTCCACAGATGTTTTTGCCACCTGCAAAGCTTTTTTGCTATTCTTCTTCTTTTCAAATCAATGAATAAAACTTATTTATAAAGTTGATGTTGCGACATGTTCCGACTCTTTTCAATGCATCAAAATCATTTCACTCCGTTCTCAATCTCAACTCACAGTTTCATCCAAATAGCCGCCAACTTTAATGAGAGAAGCTAATGAAAAAGACGACGATGTGTCAACACATAAATAAATAATTATATTTACATTTGAATGAAAACGCGGTATCATTCATGCAGTAATACTTGTATGTTCAATTGTCCATCAACTTACTTTGGCTGCGTTTACACTATACCGGATTCTCTGATCACGACGTCTACATTTGCTTTAAAAGGGATAACTGTACGGAGTAAAAGCTAATTAAGCAGATAGATTTAGTCGATTTGCTTGTATTTCTGACGTTGAACAATTTCACAGCTGAATATTCAAGCAGCTACGAAAGCAATCCGATATTGTGTAAACGGAGCTTTTGTCAAGGCTAACGAACCTCTCCAGAGACCAGAGTAGTCCATTGACAAACTCTGATTGACATCTCACCTTGATTTACTCATTTTTAAGCGTCGTTGAAAGAATAAGTTTTCAACTAACAATTTCTTTTCGGCGATGATTGCTTCTTGTCGTTTTAAAAAGAAAAAAAACTTTAATAGATATGTTTTCACCAATGTAGTCACCTACTTCTGTCTACAATGCAAAAACCTTTGTGATCATTCACCGGAAATATAATGAAAGACGTACATTTTTTTGTGAAAATGAACGTTAACTTTGATTAAAAACTTGTGTTATCAAAAGGTGTCTTTATGTGTGTATGTAACACTTTTGAAGGATGGTAACAAGTTAGATAAGTAACCCGAGCTTATTCAGGAACGATTCGATATTTCCTTTGATAATTATTTTTTTAGCCATTCTTGAGGGTATGATGAAGAATCGATTTTTTATGATAGTTGGATTATCGCAATATTTTGCTATGTTCCTAAATAGCAAGAAGCTATCCTGTGAAATTTAAACCAAACGAAGATATCAAACAGCGAACATGTCAGACCATGAAATCCCAAGTATGTACTGTACTTCTGTATGAATAATTCTTGTATTTTCATGGTTTAAAGAACTATAGGATATTTCAAAGATAACTACGATGTTTTCCGTCCATATTTCTTGATTTGAGTGAGAGAGAATGTTCTAGAAAACAACCTCCGTCGTCTTGTAAATGCAAATAATACATTTGAAATCTTTGTTGTTGATATCAATATAAAGCTTTCATTATTATACTATCTAAGATGTTGATCACACTTTGTAACAGCTGAAATTTGCAGCACTCTTTTCAATCGGAAATGAAGGAACTCATACTTTCTATAATCCATTGTAATTGGAGTGAAATTCTCGCAAGTCTAAACAACACACACACATACAAAACCTTCTAGCAAACATATCGGTAATTAAATAGGTATTGTTAAAGAACTGCCTATTTTTGCTGCGATTTTAATTGTGTTTTATTATGCGAGAAGAACGCTTATCATACTGGTGTATTTCACAAGAAAGTTTTAAAATAATTCTACTAGTTGGGAGATCTGTCATCAAATTATTTTTAAATGGCTTGTCAATCATAATATTTTTATGAAATTGCTAAATAATTGCTTACGAATTTGAATGCCTATGAAATCTTGCTTTATTTCGATAATAAAAATCTATTGAAAATAGCTGCGTTACATTTTAGTCAATCAGATGCTAAACCTAAATACTGCTAGTTAATCTTGGTGTTCTGACTTTAAACTCTTTATACATTGTGGCGTTTTATGTTATTGTTCCTTGTATGGCTGTGGTACGAATAGAAAAATAGTATTTCACATTGTAAGGGATTAATCAGATAATCATAGACAAATCTTATTTTGCCAAGACAATATAGAGTAGACATCAGAAGTTCAATTCGAGTTGTGTAAACATTACTGAAATGAAATTTCTTATTCTAAATTCCAATAAAATTAAGTCTACTAAATTCTCATTTATGAAGTCTAGTAAATTCTAGTTGAGTTAATGAAGTTTTGAGTCAGTCAAGCTTTGGGTCAAACAAGCTTTAAGTCAATCAAGTTTTCTGTCAATTAAGCTTTGAGTCAATTATGTATTCATTCAACCATGTTTTGACTTTTGCGTCAGTATTTAATCTCCAGACAAGCACTTAGACCCAATGTATGATTACCTAGTATGTATGGTTCCACAATGTAAAGTGTTACACAGCATTTGTGCACATTACATTATACCCAATACCTGTCTAGTTACACATTTTGTATGGTTGAACATAGAATCTATGGTTGACCAATAGTTTGGTTACACATATGGTTAGACTTCACAGTACCTGTCTAGTTACACATTTTGTATGGTTGAACATAGAATCTATGGTTGACCAATAGTTTGGTTACACATATGGTTAGACTTCACAATACCTGTCTAATTACACATTTTGTATGGTTGAACCAAGAATCTATGGTTGACCAATAGTTTGGTTAAACATATGGTTAGACTCCACAGTACCTATCTTGTTACACATTTTGTATGGTTGAACCCAGAACCTATGGTTGACCAATAGTTTGGTTAAACATATGGTTAGACTCCACAGTACCTGTCTAGTTACACATTATGTATAGTAAGCCAGTAAATATACACAAAATCTTCAGTGTGTATCATTAAACTGAGAGAAAAGTTTGTTTGTTTTTTTTTTTTGGGGTTGGTTGTTATTGAGTGAAAAGTTGGTTATTATTGAGTGAAAAGTGTTCCAACCAAATGAAAGATACGGCAACATTGCCTGCTAATTTAAGCCAATAAAGTTAGTATGAACCATATTTGATGATTTCCAATTAATATACATAGTTACTAAAACCGTTAATTTTTCATATATGATGCTCAACCCAATTACCCAAACCACAACCCCTCGACTGAGCAAAGTAAAATCTTCCAATAATTTATTTACAATGTGGTGTGTGGTGCCATGGCATTTGTTGACCAATCTGAGAAGAATAACAATGTGAAGGTAATTCGTCTTTCGCCATGGCAGACCTACCTAAATAATTAACTTAACACACCTCTTCCGAGGTTTGCAACTTTTCATAAGCCAGTACAAACACAAAAAACATCTTTAATTTCTTTTATAAAATAAAAATGATGCAAAACTGACAACTTTAAAACAAGTCATTATTGATTTGCAAATTCTCATGATTGTTTGGTTGATTTAATTGTGGAGCCCCGACCGTTTTGTAAGACTAATGCAAGAACAGCTATAGACCAATCAGCGCACACGTTTTATTGTTTGTTTATAAAATTATGTTATGTTAGGATGTTTGTGTGCTTATATTTACGTATATGAGTAGTTATTAATGACTTTTGAAGATATTTTCAAAACTTTTATGATGCAGAACCCCAGTTAAAAACGCCAAAGTGTTGTAGATATCCTGAATAAATAAAAACATAAATATCTGTACATTTTATGTTAAAACTGAAGGGTTTATAATTTGTAGTTGAAAATATATATCAATTTTTTTAAAATAGACAAGTTTCAACATCTCATGATGCCATCTTCAATATAAGTGAAATAATAAGTGATACAAGGTTTTTATAAAAGTAATATGATACATAAATTACAACAATAAAAAGGAAATAAGATAAATTAATGAGGAGCGGAATAAATTAAATATAAAACAAAACTAACAAACTAACCCTGACCTCAATGTTCAAGTTTTTAAATTCAATACAATATTTAGTTTATAACTCTGACCTATAACCCTAACCTTTAAACCTTACCTTCAACTCTAACCTTAACCTCTAACTCCGACCTATAACCTCTAACTCCGACCTATAACCTTAACCTTTAAACCTTACCTCCAACTCTAACCTTAACCTCTAACTCCAACCTATAACCTTAACCTTTAAACCTTACCTCCAACTCTAACCTTAACCTCTAACTCCGACCTATAACCCTAACCTTTAAACCTTATCTCCAACTTATAACCCTAAACTCTAACCCGCTGCCTTCGTTCTTTTCTAAAAACTTTTACTGAAATTCAATTTACTTTCAAAAGAAATCAGTAGGGCACAACAGAATACATAAATATACACCTCCCCCCCCCCCCACAATTTACGTTCTAGTTACGCCTCTGTATTTGCCAAAGGAAGTGTACCTAACCTGTAGTGAAGGTGAATTAAATAACTTTTCGATGTATAACTCATGCTTTAAATAAGGCACTTTAAATATATATTTATTTTTGTTTTTGTAGATAGTAATGATGGTAATAATGACTTTCTACCCATAATTCCTTTCAGATTGTGACGTACACATGTCAAATTTACCCAAGATGGAGCCGGAAAAAAAGTAAGTTATCGTTTTACATTGTGACCTAAGCCTGTCTCCATGGAAACGAGTTGAAATTTGCTGGAAAATATTAGTATTTTAACTTTTGATATCACCCGACCTTTGAATAAAGAACAAACTCCGGTGTTGATGTTTAAAACGACTAACTGAAATGTACTTTTAACACTAACTTTTACATAATATAGCAAAAACTTTTTAAACAGTGATATTTTGATACGTCACGCAATTTTTTCTGTGTTCACCCAATGTGAAATCAACAGATCTCTAAAGAAATGATTAAAGATAGTGTTACGAAATTTATATAGCATGTCTTAACTCGCCTGCTGGCTACGCTTCTGATTTAAAAGAAAAACTGACTGCAATCTTTTGCGTACTTTCTCAAAAGCTATGCGACGCTTTAAATTTCAACATAAAGTTTCCGTTTGTTTATAAACTATCCTAAAATATTTTAAGCTAAAAGTTTACACTCTAAATCAGGGGTTCTTAACCTGGGGTCCATGAACCCCTAAGGGGTCCATGATGGTGCTTTAAGGGGTCCGCAAATCCAAATAAGAATATCTACAGTAGGCTACGTATTTCTATTGACCGATTAGAACCTAAAAAAGCAACATCGTTTAATGATCGTTCGAAATATATGCTCACAAATCTTTGGACGGAATAAAAACAAGATGTTTTCGCCTTCGATATGTATATTTAACTGAAGTATGATTGACATGTTTTTCTTTTCTATTGTGCATTTATAATTAGTAGTCTAATGTTTCTTACACATCGCATTTGTGATAAATAGGCCTATAATCATACACAATGTCTATGACATAGACATTGTGTATGATTCTATTACGACATAGACTCTATGTCGTAATAGAATAAATAGATTGAACAAAAAACCGTGCACGTGTATGCTGCATTGAGTATTATAGAAAGCTGTCAATTTGCTTATGTGTTTTCTACTACAAAGGTTTATAACCTGGAAGGATAAATAAATTAAAAATTTTACCAATTTAAAAAAATGTCGAAGAAGAGAAAGTACAGTGAAAATTATGTAGCTTTTGGTTTTACCTTTATTACTGATAGTGATGGCAGCGAAAGGCCGCAATGTTTTCTATGTGGTAAAGTCCTTGCCAATGCAAGTTTGAAGCCAGCGAAACTGAAAGAGCACCTCATATCTATTCATCCTAAAAACGCACTGGATAGTGTTGATTCTTTTCGTTCTAAGAAGGCTCGACTTGAGAAATCAGGGACTTTGCCGAAGTTCGGATTCATCAAGACGCAGAAGCCTTGAAGCATCTTATAAGGTCGCTTACCGCATTGCCAAGGCAAAGAAAGCTCACACTATCGGAGAGACATTGATAAAACCGTGTGCTCTGGAAATGACTGAGCTAGTATGTGGCACAGAACAAAGAAAGAAACTTGAAGCTGTTTCCTTGTCAAACGATACCATCAGCTCCAGAATTATTGACATTTCTAATAATATTCTGAAACAAGTAATGGAGGAACTTAAAGCATCACCATTTCCATTTAGCATGCAACTGGATGAAAGCACAGATGTCTCTCAGTGTGCCCAGCTTCTTGTATATGTTCGTTATATGCACGCTGATGCAATTAAAGAAGAATTCCTATTTTGCGAGCCTCTCTCAGAAACTACAAAGGCTGCAGACGTATTAGAGATGGTGAACAACTTCTTTGCCAAACAAGACTTCAATTGGAAGAGAAATATTGGTAGTTTGTGTACCGACAGAGCGCCCGCAATGCTTGGAAAAACCTCAGGGTTTGCTTCGTTGGTAAAGAAAGAAGCTCCTCACATCATTGTGACTCATTGCTTTCTACATCGACATGCATTGGCATCAAAAACTCTATCACCAGCTTTAAAAGAAATTTTGTCTGTTTCTGTAAAGATCGTCAACTTTGTCAGAGCTCGAGCTTTAAACAATCGTATATTCAAAAGACTTTGCCAAGAAATGGGTGCACAACATGAAGTACTTTTGTACCACACTGAAGTTCGCTGGCTTTCGAGAGGTCAAGTTTTGAAGCGTTTGATGGAACTGAGAAAGGAAGTTTCATTCTTCTTACGAGAAAAACAAAATCCTCTATCAGTGCAATTTGACAGAAAGGAGTTTCTTTATGGCTTAGCTTACTTGGCAGATATTTTCGGTCATTTGAATGAAGTAAATCTGTCATTTCAAGGACCAGATGTAACGATTATGGACGTTACAGAAAGACTGCAGGCTTTTCAAGCAAAGCTTCCTTTGTGGAAAAGAAGACTTGAGACAGACAACTTTGCCAACTTCCCAATGCCGGAGGAAGTGATCTCTCAAACTCGAATCGATAATACTGAAGCCCTGCTTTCCTCTCTACGTGGAAATATGCGCGAAAAATTAGACAGATTGCAGCAATCTTTTGAAAGTTATTGCTCACATGATCCGAATTTTGAATTGTGGATTCGCAACTCATTTCTTGCAGATCTAAATTCTATTGGTGATGACGATCTTGCCAAAGATGACCTCATTGAGTTGAGGACAATGCAAATGCTAAGGAGCGAATTCAATTCAAAGAACCTTGCAGAATTCTGGTGTTCCTTGGCACAAGCGTATCCTCGCCTGGTGAAGAGAGCCATGGTTGCTCTTATTCCTTTTGCTACTACCTACCTCTGTGAGGCAGGGTTTTCTGCTCTTCTTGCTATCAAAACGAAACAGCGAAATCGGTTGGATGCTAAGGATAACATGCGTGTGGCCCTGGCAAAAACCGTCCCACAATTTCGTGTTCTTGTTGAAGATAAGCAGGAGCAACCTTCGCATTGATTTAAAAAGTTATTTGCGTTCTACTTATTGGTTACTGCACTGTATTTTTTGATTCTTTATGGTTTTGTAATTGTTGTATAACTTAATTGACTCGGTAATTGATTTATTATTCATTATTATTCGTTGAATTATTAATTTGCTTCTGTTTGGTCTGCAAATTTCTGGACTATATTACTAAGTTAATTAAAAGCTAATTTTGACAATTGCGATGTGTTTCTTCTAAAGGGGTCAAAAGCTTTCATTAGAATGTTTTGGGGGTCCGTGACCAACAAAAGGTTAAGAACCACTGCTCTAAATCATCCTTGTAAATATTAATTAGTTAGACCGTCACCTTGTGTTAAGAGCTCACTCACGCTGTCCGAGTGCGAATGCTGAGAATTTGCGCTTCAATGGCGGCAAGCTCATTGTTCTAGCGATGGCAAGATTAATGCTAATTTATATCAAGAAGCCTGTGGAGAAAAAATACAACAGTCTTGAAAATTCCTATATAATGTGGTTTTAAAGCCCCACGCAATGAATGTGGTGATTATGAGTGAGCTCGGCGTACGTGCGATAAAATTTCCTTTTAACATCATTCAAGTTTTGTGAATTACGCTTGATTTATATGTTCGCATAATGCGTATTATTATTTTTTTTATTCATACCTTTTATTAACGACTGTTAAATCTTCGTTTTCTTCAGAAAAGAGATATAATTCATTTCAATGAAAGAATTCGTTGACTTTCATGTTCAACAAATCGAAGAAAAGACGATTATTATGCAATCCCCACATTAATCCCTTCATTCAGACATAATTTTCACTCAATCTATGACTCTCGCACGTGCATGGTGCGTACCTGTGAAGAAACGTGTGCTGTCTGCGTTACATAATTAGTTGACGAATAAATGTTTTGTCTGGAAGAGTGTGGGTGTTTATTTAAAAGACAGGATGTATTCATTTTAGATCTGTTTTGTCGTACGTAATGCGCTAACAGTCGCACGTGCGCTCATGTATATATAAAGGAAATAATAATGTCTCCCCGTGTCAATTGCAAAATAATGGTAGACTTATTCATATGTCTTTAAAAATTAGATGGATTCAGTTTTTCATTAACCAAGGTACGTCTCATTACCTAAACACTTGGATGTTAAAATTATCATTGTTCTAAACATGAGGTGTATTTATTTCGACATGTCTACCAGCTGTTGAAATATGTATGTCAAAACTTTTAAGTTAATAAAATTGTTAATAACACAAACTAAACACGACTTTGCATTTTGACATGCTCGCCAGCTGTTTTATGTTTGCATTTCGACATATTCGCCAGCTGTTGTATGTTTTTTTTTTGACATAGCAATGATTATAAAGCACACATTTTCATATTTCTGTATTGCATAAACTGGGTGAGCATTGAGGTTTAAGCAAGCCACGGTAACCTATGTATGATGTAAATGTATAGTGAAAATTAAATTGCACACGTTGAAAACAACCAAACGAAGATTGTCAATGAGTATGTATAAAGCAAGAAATGGACAATACCGAAATCTCTAGCTTGGAAAGGTATATTTCTTCACTTCATGTTTTTATGTATAGGAGAAACTTATTCTAGATTTTTATTTGCGATCAAAATCATCAACACACTGTAAAGTGCGTTAAAAATTACACCAGCTTGCTCTTGACGAACTTGTGCACGTGTTCAATTATTGTTTTGTTTCAAGGTATAATTTATAATTTTTTACCAGTGACAGGATCTCACTCTGTATACTTACTTCAATAGCTTATAGATCCGCAATTTTTTTCTGTGATATGTGCTGTAGTAGCAAGAAATCATTTTCACTAACGAGTTTCTTGGTTTCTTTAACATGCCATTTTGTACTCTTATAGAAAATACAAACGTTTATCATTGATAAGCATGCAAATGTGGCGTATAGTTGATTTATGTAATTCTACATTTCAACGTATTCTGTAATTGCTTTGACTCTTTCCTAAGTGAAGATTAAAGTAAATGGTTTGAACCCGGGAGTATCGTTACATGTTTATAAATGTAGATCGTCCTGGTTGGAATAGTCCTGAGAAGGACTGTTTTTGTTGTTTTTGACTGACGTTTCGACAACCTTAGCGGTAGTCATCTTCAGAGTTCATCTCTGAAGAGTCATTTTGACTCTGGAGATGACTATCGCTAAGGTTGTCGAAACGTCAGTCAACAACAACAAAAACAGTCCTTCTCAGGACAATACCAACGTGGACGATCTACATTTACAAACATGTAAGTAAGATTATTATGAAAAGCACGGGAACAGCCATGCACATTGAAATATAATACACACCTTAATTTTTTATTGGCAGTGAGATAATTTCCTCTTTTTTTTATAATTCGTGCTTTTTTTACGCTCAGTTGTCTTTTATTTAATTTTGACGAAGAGGAACATATTTCGAACACATTGCATGAACTGAGGCATTTTATTTAGTTTTACAATGTTTCGCTGTTACTCGTGTGATTCGTCATTTAGCCATGAAAAATTGATTTGTTAATGTGAACAGTATTAGTAAGATTCCATATTTAATGGAGGCAATTCTAGAAAATTATTTATGTAATGTGAACAGCATTAGAAGCATTCTTTATGTAATTGAAACAAATCATTTGACGGTTACAGCTTCCGACGCAAATTCATTAAAACAGTAATTTATGAGAGTTATGCTTTGCAAAATTATTTATTATATCGTTACGTAAGTGTACAGCTGACGGGTTATTTGTTGATTTGAACAGTAGGAATTCATATCATAAGGCAAGATAAACATGCGCACGTCTTTCATACACGTGTCTGTAGCGTACATGCATTCATGCATTACGGGGTGTCTTTGTAAAACTACTCGTCTTTGAAATCAGCCAACTTTTAGAATTTGCGCAAATTGATCCTTCAAAAACCTGTAAACGCAATTAAAACAATGGTACATACGAATTGTGTTCATGTCTGCTTAGGGATCATGTATACCTAAATCGTACAAATTCTAAATGTTGGCTGATTTCAAAGATGAGCAGGTTTTGAGATCCCCCCCCCCTGCATCTTCTCCTGAAGTTCGAGGAAATATAACAAAAGGAATTCTTTTCAATTTGCTTCTGTACTACCTAACGCGCAAGTGCTTGTGATTGGGGGCTTATGTCGATGATTACGTCAGAAGCTTCATCTCATTCTTTTGTCTTTTATTTTCATGCTGTAGTTGCCAATGAAAAGCAGGTTTTAGAGCATGATCACATTTGCTATATGGATATTCAGGGTGTATAATGACGTATGTTATGAATGAATGAATGAAAATCTTTATTTTGACACGCTGGCCTTGTCAACTGGGGTTGATTTCCACAAGGGGCGTGCTTTTGTTCAAAAACAATTACAAAATTTACTAAGAAATAAATTATCTACAGAAGAGAAGATATGTAATATATGTGCGTATATAAGAATAAATTATCTATAGTTTTGAAAGCCATTAGTATACCAAGCCTTCGAGTGCATAAAGTATTCTTATATACGCACATATATTACATATCTTTGTGACAAGCATTAAAGTCAGAGGCGTAACTGGAACGTTAATTGGGAGGAGGGGGGGTGGATGTTCATATATTCAGTTGTGCCCTTCTGATTTCTTTTGAAAGTTATTTTACTTTCAAAAGAAATCAGTAGAGAGGGCACAACCGACTATATGAATATAAACACCCAATTAACGTTCCAGTTACGCCTCTGATTAAGGTTTTTTATCCGCTCCATTTTTTACATTAAATTTCAATCGCAGAACATGCGCAGTAATCCACCAGTGGTATTAGGTCATATAATGATCAGGCATTGAAATTTCACCATAGATCATATTCTAAAGAATATCTTTTCCATACACCCTGCATACAGAGTGCATCTTAGAACAGTTCATTCCAAGGAGAATGGATATTGAGTAGCCGAATTCATCATTTTCTTTTTAATACACTCCTGTAATTTGTCTTGTATAATTTAATATTTATCATTGACGACATGGTATTATGATCGAGACCATTGCAACTGACAGGTTTCCAGCAACATTCACTGTCACTCACCTCACCTCAACCAATCACCTTAAGTAACACTACTTACTCACTGTCACTCACCTCACCTCAACCAATCACCTTAAGTAACACTACTTACTCACTGTCACTCACCTCACCTCAACCAATCACCTTAAGTAACACTACTTACTCACTGTCACTCACCTCACCTCAACCAATCACCTTAAGTAACACTACTTACTCACTGTCACTCACCTCACCTCAACCAATCACCTTAAGTAAAACCACTCACTTACTGTCACTCACCTCACCTCGACCAATCACCTTAGGTAACACCACTTACTCACTGTCACTCACCTCACCTCAACCAATCACCAAGAGTTTTACATGAATTCAATTAAAAAGTCATTTCTTATTTTAGAAGCTCACATAGCGAGATCGAGAAACGACGTCGGGATAAAATGAATCAGTATATCAATGATTTATCCATTATGATCCCGATACCTCCCTCAGTGAGCAAAAAACCAGATAAACTGACTGTATTACGATATGCTGTGCAACATATGAAGGCCTTGAAAGGTTGGTTAAAAACTAATCAAGGATTTATTGAAAATAGCAGACTGATGGCAAATGTAATTGTCGTAACTTAAACAATAAATCGTTTTTCTGAACTGTGACATATTTCTCGACTAACATACTGTTTTTGCTTTCTCTGAACTCAAGCACTGTTCATTTATCTACAAGAGGACTACAAACTGTTAAACTACAGGTTCACACACTCCTTAACTTTACGAAAAGTTTGTGTTACGTGGTGTAATATAAATGGCTTCACACTCACATTTACATTTAAGACAATACATGCTCCTGAGGAAGACGACCACCATCTTTTTGTAAACTAGATGGCTACAAACTCCTAAAGTAAGACAATATGGCTACACGCTCCTAAACTAAGACAATATGGCTACACACTCCTAAACTAAGACAATATGGCTACACACTCCTAAACTAAGACAATATGGCTACACACTCCTAAAGTAATACAATATGGCTACACGCTCCTAAACTAAGACAATATGGCTACACACTCCTAAAGTAAGACAATATGGCTACACACTCCTAAAGTAAGACAATATGGCTACACACTCCTAAAGTAAGACAATATGGCTACACGCTCCTAAACTAAGACAATATGGCTACACACTCCTAAAGTAAGACAATATGGCTGCACACTCCTAAAGTAAGACAATATGGCTACACACTCCTAAAGTAAGACAATATGGCTACACACTCCTAAAGTAAGACAATATGGCTACACACTCCTAAACTAAGACAATGGCTACACATTCTTAAAGTAAGACAATATGGCTACACACCCTAAAGTAAGACAATATGGCTACACACTCCTTAAGTAAGACAATATGGCTGCACACTCCTAAAGTAAGACAATATGGCTACAAACTCCTAAACTAAGACAATATGGCTACACACTCCTAAAGTAAGACAATATGGCTACACACTCCTAAAGTAAGACAATATGGCTACACACCTAAACTAAGACAATGGCTACACTCCTAAACTAAGACAATGTGGCTACACACTCCTAAAGTAAGACAATATGGCTACAAACTCCTAAAGTAAGACAATATGACTACACACTACTAAACTAAGACAATATGGCTACACACTCCTAAAGTAAGATAATATGTCTACACACTACTAAAGTAAGACAATGTGGCTACACACTCCTAAAGTAAGACAATATGACTACACACTCCTAAAGTAAGACAATATGGCTACAAACTCCTAAAGTAAGACAATATGGCTACACACTCCTAAAGTAAGGCAATATGGCTACACGCTACTAAACTAAGACAATATGTCTACACACTCCTAAACTAAGACAATGTGGCTACACACTCCTAAAGTAAGACAATATGGCTACACACTCCTAAACTAAGACAATATGTCTACACGCTACTAAACTAAGACAATGTGGCTACACACTCCTAAACTAAGACAATACACTTGAACCAGAGGTCTACATTAGTCATCAACTTATGACCAAGTGCGATGTAACACATATCCTTAAGGATGAAGTAATTTTTAAATGTGTTTTTTCCTCAGGCTCGGGGGAACCATCAAAAGAGACCAATCATAAGCCTAGTTTTATGTCTGATGATGACTTGAGGAACCTTATTACTGAGGCCGCCGGTGGATTTTTAATTGTGGTGGAGTGTGATCGAGGACAGATTTTATACGTCACAAATACAGTTGAAGAAATATTGTTCATATCACAGGTAGCTTGATGTTCACTAAGATCATTGGCGATCGTCAAAATAGATCATAGCTGCTCAATTTTAAAGTTAAAGTACTTTCATAAAAACATTATTGGTTTTGAATTTCCAAAGAATATAACTTTACTAATGGACTTGTATCTAAGGGGCTAAGAAATGTAAAAAAATAGCAAAATGGACTGCAGTAATTTCTTTGACGTACTCTAGATCCGCGACTAACATATTAGTTTTTGTAACTTCTTTGACGTACCCTAGATCCGCCACTAACATATTAGTTTCTGTAACTTCTTTGACGTACCCTAGATCCGCCACTAACATATTAGTTTCTGTAATTTCTTTGACGTACCTAGATCCGCCACTAACATATTAGTTTCTGTAACTTCTTTGACGTACCCTAGATCCGCCACTAACATATTAGTTTCTGTAACTTCTTTGACGTACCCTAGATCCGCCACTAACATATTAGTTGCTGTAATTTCTTTGACGTACCCTAGATTCGCCACTAACATATTAGTTTCTGTAACTTCTTTGACGTACCCTAGATCCGCCACTAACATATTAGTTTCTGTAACTTCTTTGACGTACCCTAGATCCGCCACTAACATATTAGTTTCTGTAATTTCTTTGACGTACCCTAGATCCGCGACTAACGTATTACTTTCTGCAATTTATTTGACGTACCCTAGATCCGCCACTAACATATTAGTTTCTGTAACTTCTTTGACGTACCCTAGATCCGCCACTAACATATTAGTTTCTGTAACTTCTTTGACGTACCCTAGATCCGCCACTAACATATTAGTTTCTGTAATTTCTTTGACGTACCCTAGATCCGCGACTAACATATTACTTTCTGCAATTTATTTGACGTACCCTAGATCCGCCACTGACATATTAGTTTCTATAGATGTGCAGTGTAATATTTGCCTAAAGCTATGTCAAAGGATCTATCTTTACCGAGAAAATTTTAATGTTAAGATACATAGAATTTGCGAAGCCAAGAAATTTGAAATTTGAAAAACTGTTTTTAAACGTTATTTACCACAAGATGCGATATTAACATAAAATTTTGTTTCAGTTGTGAAGATAACTTTTTTATGTCTAATGTTCTCAGGACGATCTGGTTGGATTTGATTTTCTGGAGTTGATTCATAGCAAAGATATTGCCTTGGTGAAGGCGCAGTTGTCCACAACTGTCTCGGAAAATGAAGAAAAGAAAAATATCTCACAGAAATCTCCTTTATTGAGAGGCGACATTGAGAAATGTGGCAGTCTGTGTCCCGGAGCGAAGCGCAATTTTCTTTGTCGGATGAAGAAACGAGCGCGTGCCGAAGATGTGCCGAATCTTGGATCGAAATCAACGATACGAAAAACCAAAGCCAACGTTTTTGTGGATGAAAGAGATCCAGTCCTCGGTAGGTTTTATCATTCTCGATTCCTTTATGGGTTTTTGTCTACTTCTATGCGCCGTGGCTTAAAATCTACACATTTATAGGACGGGTGCATGTTTGATTTCGTGTAAGTAGACACTGCAACTACAGAATAAACGATCATATAAATTCAACTAAGTTTTAACTTTCTTTTGAAAAATGATTTTCTTTCCTGCGTAGTACTTATTTTATATCGCATATATTATTAGGAAGTTACTATAATCGCCATTTTAAAGATATTTCACATTTTCATTTGAAAAAGGTTTCATATTCGCCCGATTTATACTGGACATTTATGATGGATGATTCGTCTGGACGAACTTGGGAAAGCAAAACTTAGTTCGTCTACGAGTTCATTTTTAAACTGACGAATCATTCGTCAAAACGAATTATTTGACTAATTGTCTGTATAGTGCATGCATGGGTAGTACATCTTGGTGTATAGTGCATTTATGAGTAGTACATCTTGGTGTATAGTGCATGCATGGGTGGTACATCTTGGTGTATAGTGCATGCATGGGTAGTACATCTTGGTGTATAGTGCATGCATGGGTAGTACATCTTGGTGTATAGTGCATGCATGGGTAGTACATCTTGGTGTATAGTGCATGCATGGGTAGTACATCTTGGTGTATAGTGCATGCATGAGTAGTACATCTTGGTGTATAGTGCATGCATGAGTAGTACATCTTGGTGTATAGTGCATGCATGGGTAGTACATCTTGGTGTATAGTGCATGCATGAGTAGTACATCTTGGTGTATAGTGCATGTATGAGTAGTACATCTTGGTGTATAGTGCATTTATGAGTAGTACATCTTGGTGTATAGTGCATGCATGGGTAGTACATCTTGGTGTATAGTGCATGCATGAGTAGTACATCTTGGTGTATAGTGCATGCATGAGTAGTACATCTTGGCACATCATTCTTTCGTTAGTATAAATACGGAATATGGAAAAAATGGCCAAGTTCTTCTGCATGTGGTTCGTGTAGGTAGTTCGTCTCTTGTTTATACTTAAATGGATGATTCGTCCAGACGAATGATCTGTCTCTTGTGGGAAAATGTCATTTTAAAGAGATTTCATCGTTAAGCTTGAAAGATTGTCATTTAAAAGGGATCTCATAATTTCCTTCGAAAGGGATTTTATTTCGTGATTTTGAAAGAAATTTTATCTTGACATTTAAAAGAGATTTGACCATGCATTTGGAAAAAAATTTCAACTGTTCTTGTTTGTAATACCATTTTCCATTTTTCTTTTCATCGAACATCCCCAAATAGTTTCTTGGAATAAAACTTATCGCGCTATCTCAATATTCACTAAGTTCTCATTTTTCGTAATAATTTAGTATCATACGAAGGATACCTAAAATCATGGCCGCCAAAGAAGGATGTTAAATCAAGTGATCCTAATTCACGAAGTTGTCTTGTTGCTGTTGGTCGTGTGTTTCACGTTGATACAGAAGACACTGACTACAGTCAACTGGACGAGATCAGTGAGTTTGAGACGAGACAAAAAGCTGATGCAACGTTTATACGTGTTGATAAAAGGTACTGTATATATTGTATCATATTTATTTGTCAAAACTGTTGTTTTGTACAGAAGTACTGCCTAAATTCATAGGGTCTTTTGTTTTAAAACAGTTTTTTATAAAACTCCTAAGTTATTTTGGCCATCAACTATGGCAATTCCTATCTTTAAAACAACTTTTGCTTAAAATATAAAATCGTGCCTAATGAAATTTCCTTTTCTACAGTTTTACAAAGATTTTTGGTTATTATCCTGACGAAATGATTGGAGCATCAGCTTACAATTTCTTTCACAAAGATGACCTAAGAGTTGTTGCTCAAGCCCATCACAAAGCTCTTAGAAAAAAATGTGGTTCACAACCGGAAGTAATCTATAGATTCCGCGCAAAGGCTGGGCACTATATACCCCTAAAGACTACATCGGTAGTGTTTCGTAATCCATGGTCGAAAGAAGTTGATTATATTGTCACAAGAAGTGTCGTCATAAGGTGAGATTATTTATCGTGCGGTTAATTATCGTTAGTTTATTTATCGTGAGGTTATTTATCGTGAGGTTATTTATCGTGAGTTTATTTATCGTGAGGTTATTTATCGTGAGGTTATTTATCGTGAGGTTATTTATCGTGAAGTTATTTATCGTGAGGTTATTTATCGTTAGTTTATTTATCGTGAGGTTATTTATCGTGAGGTTATTTATCGTGAGGTTATTTATCGTGAGGTTATTTATCGTGAGGTTATTTATCGTGAGGTTATTTATCGTTAGTTTATTTATCGTGAGGTTATGGACTGTAAAGATTATTGTAAAATGAGGATCAATCATGAAAAACAACTTATTGAAACTGATTTCATATGAAATCTTTCTGAATTCTTTATTTTTTACAATCATTAACTTTTTCTTTTACTTTTTTTACTATTTTCTCCCTCGCTTAAATTTTTGTCTTTATTTTCTGTGCTTAGTACATAATCTTCTCGCTGCCATAGTTGTTTATTTTTTTGTAGTTCGATTCCTCCAGATATTCCATTCAGTACTATTCAGAATAGTTATGCAAACTTGGTATGATTTCTATTTTTCTTTTTTAATATTTATTTTGTGGGAAAAAAACATAACGTTATTTGATTCTTCATTTGTTCATTTTAAATAGCATTAGTAAGATTAGGAAGATAAACCTCAAAAGTCCTCGTGTTTTATGACATGGCTGGCTTGAAATGCTCTGTTTAAAATGCTCATCTTCAAATGCTCATCTTCAAATGCTCATCTTCAAATGCTCTACTTAAATGCTCCCCAATTTTCTTTCAGAACTCATCAGAAAACAACGTTGATGGAAATGATGAAGTTATGAGTGAAAACCTGTGTAATCTGTTACAAAATTGACTGATTTTGATAGCAATGACGGTGAGTGTAAGCTCGATTCGTTGAAATCGACAAACTTATGGTGGGTTTGTATAAAAAAATTTAGATTGCTTGAAAATACAACTTGTATTTTTTTTCACCATAATTTGTTTGATAAATTAGACAAACAAGCAATTGATAATGAAATAAACCTTTGCTTGCACTATACTTCATGCAGTGCGCCTGAAACAAAAAACGCAACACGCAGATTTTAGCCTGTTTTCCACTAGCCACCTATCGTAAGGTATCGCAGCAAAACGTAGGAAGTCGCATGCGTGCTTATGAATTTGATGGTCAATAGGCGCAAGCACGCATGCGCCATGTTACGTTTTGCTACGATACGTTACGATACGTGGCTAGTGGAAAACAGGCTTTAGACATGCATATCGACTTAGTTTGTTGCATAATTTAACGGTATTTTGCAAAACGCAAAATGAGCTGATTTATGTATGGTCTGTGTTTTCGCGACACACTGTAGTGGACTTCTTAAATGACAAATCTTTTTGCATGACATTCGAAATATGAAGGCAAAATTAGGGGGTTTTTACCCCCGGTCTTTCTTTGACCAATAAAACAAAGCTATGCTTTAGAATTTTTGATATCATTCATTTCCAATAACTTCTCATTTTGATTTATCAATATTAGAGCAGCTCAAAAATGACAGTATTTTTTCCAGACTGATAATGATCATTTCTCAATAGTTTCTATACCCAGATAAAGGCATAACCAATAGGAAACTCAAAAATGACATCGTTAAGCGTGTTCTTGTTGTATGTTTTGTCATTTTGCACAGAATCTAAGACTCATACGTTTTCAAAATCTGTCTAGTTATTTGAGCTGCACATGTGTACTTATATAATATATTAATCTTAACACGGTTTTAATATACTCATGAAAAACATGTGACTTGGACGAGATTTGAACTCGCACCTTCGGGATACTAGTCCGCCGCTCTACCTGTTGAGCTACCAAGCCCACAGGGATTGGAGACGAGTCAAATCTGTTTTAAACTGCGTATGGACGAGAGATTCTCGCCACTATAACAGTTACTGGATGGCACCGTGTTTCGACTTTATTCCAAAGCCATCATCAGAGTATATACATAATATATTAATCCTAACACGGTTTTAATATATGCACATGAAAACATGTGTACTTGTCTGATTTTAGTGAAATCTCAGAGAAAGCGTGGTTTGAACAATGGACCTAAAATGATGGATGAATCCAGCAGGCTTAACAGCGTTGGTGATATAGGTGTAGCTCTTGCGGAGGAAGCAAGAAGAATTGGACAGCAATTAAAAGTGTAAGTAATGTCTTTATTTGGAATTTCTTCCATCTTTCTTGACAGTGAAGGTCTGATTTTCATTTTGCCTGTGGAATATTTAACAGTGTGCTTTCAGTGGCCGCCACGTTAGTCGAAAATTTCATGTTCAGTTGAATGTTAAAAATCTTGAAACAACCGACCAACATGGCTGCTATGACGTCACATGAAATATCCCATTGTCCTAACAATTAACTTGCATCAACTATCAGTTTACTTTACAAAACGTTTAGGAATTCTCAATCTGCGAAGTATTCTAACCTCGACAGACCTAAATCTGTTCCGCGGACGTCTAACTTCACTGAAAACTCGCCACGCGAGACGGGAAATTCTGTTCGTGGTGTTGCGCAAGAGAACCAAAGGGAAAATGCTGACATGAGCCAGGAGGATGATTTCGGCCAGGAGCATAACAACTTAACGGATGGTATCTTAATGGAGCAATTAGCTGGAATACAAGGTGCAATTGAAGCGATGGAAAATCCTGGTTTGAATGATGATGAGGAAGATAGTTTGTCATTACTTATGAATGTAATGGAGTCGGGAGATTTAGGAAGTCTTAGCGATATGCCGTGGAATCTCGTGTAAATCTAAAAGATTTATTTTAGTAAATTGGTGAATATCATTTAGTAACGATCACGTGACGAAGGTAGAATTTAAAGACGGTTTTCCTCACAGGATACCGCGAGTGATGATGATGGGTTAAGTTATTCTTGAACTTCGATTCTTAGGAGTCTAACTCTTAGACCTGTCTCACACATGGGGAATCTTTTATTTGCTGAATTCATTAGAAATTTAGATAATGGTAGATCTCAACTCGTTATCTATTGTTTATAATGAGTTTTGTTAGTTTGCAAAAAGTTCAAATCCTTAATTCAAAAAAGTCATGTTAAAAACGTCATAAAACAACTAAACATTCAGTTCTTTTACACGAACATAAATATGTATGAACTGTCGTGGATTTCATGGATTGTCAATGTATTTTAGAAGTGAGCAAAGCTTGCAACTTTTTGACTTTAGATAACTTGAACACTAGATTGCTCGTTACGCTAACAATTTATCATATAAGATGTAATTAGTATAAAAATAGATGTCGTCGACACTTAGAAACTTAGACATAAACACGTCTCTCTGTCTATAATTACAGATAAAGAAAAACTAAAAATGTTTTTACATCTGCGGACGATATTAAATATTTGTAAAATGTTATGTTGTGATTTCATCTATAATTTCTGATCTATATTTTGGTGAACTGTTCAAGTTGAACTGTAAACACACTGAAAATTCCCAATGTATCAAGATTCTGTTTGCATGTATGAACTATTCACTTGGAACTAACCAAGCCATCAGGTATTGTTTGTGCTTTGATAGTTAAAATTGTGTGTTTCAAGCTAGATTAGACGCCAAATTTCCACTAACATTGGCTTCAACTTACCCTAATGTCAGTCTACCCTTACAGTGGCTGTTTTAAGTGCGTAAATGAAATACGTGATTTTTCTTTTCAATTGTGTATTTGCATTATTTGTCAACTTTTAATGTCAAAAGATAATGAATTGTTGTCAATTTACTATTATGTACTTAATTCTAGTTGTCATTCAAACTGCAATAATGCGTGAAGTTTACAGGTGTTGTTGTCTAAATGCGTTGATGTGTCATGTCGAGAACAAACGTGTTTCAGCGCGTCATGCAGGAAAATACTTGATTAATATGAGCTAAACAGCGTACAATGAACTGGTGAGATTGTCGTTTAAGATGAAACGACATTGTTCTATGACAGGGGCGGATTGAAACTACGTCACATTCAGCACGCGACGTAGTTAAATTCTAAATTTTGAATGCCACTAGTTCAAAAGAAAAACAATTTGCCGCGTGTGGAGCAAAGTCTGTTTTGTCGAAAGGACTAAGAGCATTTTCTATTCGTCTTTGCAGGTTCGAATCTCGTCTCGGTATGGTGTAGTTTGTTTCGTTGTGTGAATAATGATCATGAATTCTTTATCCGAAAATTAATTAAATTTTTTGTGTCCTCACAACGAAAGCATTAGAAAAATAAACATATTGTCAGGGTTAGGGATAGTATTATGAGAAAATTGTGCAACAACGTGCATTCACTGAGCAATGTTATTGTTTCCAAGACCTGGATTAAGATTGGAATTAAGGGATCAACAGGGCGGATCTAGGATTTTTCAAACATCAGTCATAAAACGTCGGAGCCGCTCCGCACCTGGGGGGTACGGTGGCCCATAAGGGACACGACCAGTTTCTCCGTAGAAATCGACCTTCTCCGTAGAAATCGACTTTCTCCGTAGAAATCGACCTTCTCCGTAGAAATCGACTTTCTCCGTAGAAATCGACCTTCTCCGTAGAAATAGACCTTCTCCGTAGAAATCGACCTTCTCCGGGAAATAGACCTTCTCCGTGGAAATCGACCTTCTCCGTAGAAATAGACCTTCTCCGTAGAAATAGACCTTCTCCGTAGAAATCGACTTTCTCCGTAGAAATCGACCTTCTCCGGGGAAATAGACCTTCTCCGTGGAAATCGACCTTCTCCGTAGAAATCGACCTTCTCTGTAGAAATAGACCTTCTCCGTAGAAATAGACCTTCTCCGTAGAAATCGACCTTCTCCGTAGAAATGGACCTCCGTGAAATAGACCTTCTCCGTAGAAATAGACCTTCTCCGTAGAAATAGACCTTCTCCGTAGAAATAGACCTCCGTAGAAATAGACCTTCTCCGTAGAAAAAACTACCGTGAAATTGGCACCACATTCAACACAACGGGAAACATTACATCCCGGGCGGAGAGGGAGGGTGCGTCTGCGATGCATAATGGTCAGTGTAGTGGATCATAGTTGATAATTATTGATAATCTTTGAAAACCCTAAGCATCTTTCACGATTAATAATCATTGATATGAATATTGGCTTTTCCCTTATTCGTTTAAGTGGCTTTTCCCTTCGAATAAAATCATGGATGAGATAAATGCAATGAAAAATTTGGAGATTTGTTTCATTAATGAACATTTCGATGGCGTGAACATTGAAAATGATTATTGTTTATCGTACTTTGATGGGAAAAATGAAGAATTGGAGGCTGTTTTGCAGAAACTTCAAGCAATTAATTCTATTAGCTTTGTTACCGTCGAAAATCATACGAAAGAGATGAGTAATAAGAGATTTACTCAAGCAAGTAAGTGCGTACGCCAAAAAGCCGTAAACTGTATGTTTGACTTCGTCAATCTTACATCCAAGCAACTTAAATGAACACGGATAACATGAAACCAATCATGCTAATGTTAGTTAGGCCGCAAGCAAGGTTTACAAATACGTGTGAGGATGACTTTGAAATAAAGTCGAAAATTTACAGTTCACTTCTCGTCTTGTTTTGATTGATATTTTGCAATCTCAAGATGTCCTGTTTTTTCAGAATTTGTTTTATATTATATTTTTTTAAATTGTTGGCTGGTCAGAGTTTTTGGACAAATACATGTGTTGCTTGAAATAAGATCCCGACGACGCAAATACGCTTGAATAATCCCACTTAACACACTTAATTGAAAATATCGTTTTTTCCAAAAATGGGTTGATTGGAAAAACAATGATCGCGCAGATGTTGTAACTCAGCTATAGAATGAATTACAATACATGTTCTCGTAGATCATGCAGTTTTTGAAGACAAAAGAGGATATCTTCCAATTTCGTTTTTTGGCAAGCCATTCTCTATAAAAAGCACAGAAACGCGGCATTGTCTCCATGGACCTAATAAGGTACGTAAATCAACATCAATGATCAATCACCAGACAACAACATCAAAGATATAAAAAACAGTCTTTTTATCAAAAATTTCTAGTTATTAACACTGCCTATAAAAATGTTTGTAGAGTTAACTATTAAAAAATCTTATTCAGTAAGAAAGAGAATTACATTCGCTATACATTAAAGAAGAAATATTTGGGCTTTTTACATATATATAGCGGGTAAAAAATTGCGTTGCTTTATTACACATCCAGGATGGAAGAGGAGGTTATAGTGTACAGTCAGTGGGAGACCACGAATATGAAAAGAAACAGCGAGTTAGACTACAAAACAGTCGAAAACTCCAGTGCCCTGCAACTTTGCAAATTCGCTGCATCGAGATTTTGATGATTACTTCATGGACAAAAACGCTTGTCAATCCAACAACGCCATAAAAGTTGCCAAACGTACGCTTCTAACTAAACTAAACGAGGCCTTTAATAAAGAGAACGCAAAGTCCGTAGGTCCACGCGATTTTACCTAAGGATACCGCTAAGCTCTGCTCACCAAAACACCCAGTGGGAACTGAGTTATCAATTGGCCAATACGTCGATTCACGTGTCGTGAAAAATCTATGATTTGGTCGAACAAAATATTACCAGCGTTGCTGAAGTAAAGCGATGGCTGGACAATTTCGTAGAGAACGATCTATTTCGAGATGTTCCAAAAACACAGGTTCCCAAAAAAGCAAATCGACGATACTATCCATCCCGGCAAGACATTCGAAATCACATTGGTAGAGCCATTTCTTCTTTCAAATCTTGCGACGATGACCAGGAAGCACTGGCAAGGAAAGTTGACGAGTGGAAAGCAAAAGATCCCACTTCGAATTTTTTTTATAGGATGCGAGAGGAAACGACAAAGAGAAATAACGACAGCGAAAGAGTATCCGCAGAGCAAAGCTTTTTGTTTGTTCATCAAGAACAATGGCAGCAGCGTTTGTTGACAAGATATGGATACGAGCTTGTTTTGATGGATGCTACATACAAAACAACGAAGTATGCGATACCCCTGTTCTTCATTTGTGTTCACACAAATGTTGGCTACAAAGTCGTGGCCGAGTTCATGTGCCAAGCAGAGGACAGAGAATCTATCAGTGAAGCTTTGAACGTTGTCAAATCATGGAATCGTGATTGGACCCCTAAGTATTTCATGGTCGACTATTCAACAGCCGAGATTGGGGCGATCGAAGAACAGTTTCATGACATAACAGTCTACATCTGCGATTTCCACAGAATTCAAGCCATGCAAAGATGGTCAAAAGCAAAGAAGCACAACCTAACACCAGAAGAACAGGAAATGTTCCTGAGCCAAATGCAGAGAATATCATTTGCAAGCACAGAGAGTGAGTATGATGCCGAAGTCACCAACTTACGGAAGTCTGGATTCTATGAAAAAGTTAAAGAATATACTGAAAACACATGGCTTTCGTGTTCGGCACGTTGGGTCCATGCGTTTCGAACACAACAAGCAGTGAACGTCGTCAACACTAACAATGGCACAGAGGCAATGAACAAGCTATTTAAATACGAATATTTACCAAGATCAGTGGATAAATCTGTGTATGGCATTGCAATCACAATTGTAGAGTGTTTCATTCCTGACTCTCACCAGGGCTATATGCAAAAAAACCTTATGTTTAGTAGTGCATATGCAATGTATAACAAAAGCGTTCCAATTTATTTAAGAGACAGACCTCCACAATTCGTAAAACATTGCCTTAAAAGTCGTTATGCCGCCACAGAGTACAATACCTCTGATATTTCAGCAGTTAATTTCCAAAAGGGGGAGTTTCATATCAGAAGTTTAGCCAACCCACGTGAAAGGCATCTTGTAAATTTGAGCAAACCAGAGTGTTCTTGCAAAGCTTGGAAGAAGACTCATTACCCTTGCAAACATTTTTTTGCAATATTTTCCGCCAATCTAGAGTGGAGTTTCGACTCTTTGCCTGATCACTACAGAAATAGCGTTTTCATTACACTTGATAATGAACATTTCACCATTATAAACTATGATATTTCAGAGAAAACAGCAGAGGAAAATCAACAACCATAGAAACGCCGGAAGACACCAAATGCGACATCGAAAGCACTGCAGATAAATCCGAAAAGTCTTTTCATCCTGCTTTTAATTCTAAATTGTGCGAAGGAAAATTTCAAAATCACGACACACCCAAGTTGAGAAAAGTTCTTCATGAGAAACTGGATGCTATAAAAAACACGTCCTTTCTCGTTGATAAAGTTGGTGATCTTCAAGCAGCTATAGAATCGGTAGACAAAATACACCAGAAACTAATATCTTCTTGCCCAAATGCAAACGGAATTCTGCTTCGAAGTAGTCCGGTGAAAAAGAAACTAAAAATCAATAAAACAGAATACCATCAAGTTTTCCACAAAAGCCTACCAAAACGAAAAAAATGGAGAAAAAAGGATTCACTAGCTCAGGTACGTATGATGTAGTGAAGCAAGATCACAAGCAGAAGTTAAGGGGCCGTATGAAAAGACATTGCTAAGTATTTACTAAAATAATTATAATCAATATATCGTTCACCATCGGGTATGATTTTGTTTCTGTAGAAAACTGAAAAAATACCCATTTGCATAATTGAAGGGATTGAGGATGATGCACTATACAATTCAGACATTGTAGTCGCACAACGTACTAGCTTCCCGCAAGAAGACTTTGACGCAAATAAGGGTTGTGGTGATCATTCCCAACGGTAACGTATAAATCAAATGTCCATTTTTATACAATTTATTGGATAATTCCCTAGTATTTATGGTATATAACAGCTTTAAATATCCTTTCTTTGAATCAAGCAGAAAACACGAACCCTTGTCAAGATTAATAAATGCAACAAAGATGGGGTTCAAATTGCACGACGTATTGTTAGATTTCGGGCAGACACAACTAACACTCGGCGATTTGTGGACACTTATTCCGCCTAAAGTGGCACGTATGCACAGTTTAGAGACATCGTCATTAACAAATTTCCATCCTGGTTGGCTAATTGATAAGGTTGGTAAGCGTCTAGGCTAAATAACCAGTGAAGACAGGGGAGTTAGAAAATGGTAGCTATGGGGGCTTTCGTCCCTTTATATTTAGGGGGCGTCCCCCCTGTTTTCTTATAGTAGGGGGCATCCCCCCTGTTTTCTTATAGTAGGGGGCACTCCCCCTACTTTAAGAAAACAAAATAACATAATGAATCTTACTAGGAATAATTTCATATCACCATTAGGTAGTAAAACAAAATGGGCTGTAATAGAATCGTTTTCTGTCTCGTATTAGGTATTGCTCGTAACAAACTACACTAACGTGGTTATTTCTGAAAAATTAACCGCTCGTCATTTGCTGCAGCGCACCATACTTTGAATTTGCGATTGAATCTAATGTACACAATATGTAAAAACATGATGTTATTGCCAAATTTTTCTTCCCTATTGATGCCCCTGACTGCCCTGAGTGAAGGTATAAAATATACGAACATGATAGAGCGTAGGATTTGCGTGACTAAGGGAAAAATGGTTCTGAAAATACACTGTTACTAATAAAATGTACATATTAAGTCTTTCCTCCATACCAAGTTAGTGTTCGTTCATTTTCAGGTGGTGGAAGCATCTTTGTGGATGTTGACTTTGGAATATAATGTTTTCGCTGCAGATGCATCTTTGACAACAATAGCCAAACGTGGGGCTAGCACCCGTTTGCTGTGGTCTGGCCAATGTTTTTCTTCTGTGTCAAAAATATTTGTTCCTATTAACGAGTATGGTATTCATTGGACATTGCTGGTGAGCAAATGTAGTAACTACTACATGTAACAGGGAATGCAGAGTCAGGGAGGGTGGAGGTGGGACTATGGCCCTCAATTTTGAAAATTTTAGATTTGTCTTTGGATCCAAATCTTGCAACTATTAACTTTTGCATCTTTAGTGGTGGATGGATACATACCCCCTCCCCTTAATGAAAATGTGCTCTGTGGTCCTCGATAAGAACACTGAAAGATTTACTCTTTTACTCTTCAAGACTGAAGGAAATTTTTCTACCATCATATGAATTATTTATGACAATTTATATAAAGAATTTTCCACTTATTTCTAACTTTGCCAATAGGTAATTGACAAATCTAAGAAAATACGATACTTCATTGACCCCATGAATGGACAAAAGGAAATAACAATTGATTTTCAAACACACCCGCATCTTATGGACCTTATAGACAAGATAAGGTTTGATTACTTAAACAAAGATTTAAAAAAATATTGTAAAGGTGTTTACAAGGCATAACAGGATTTTCTTTGAGGGGGGTAAGAGGCAAATTACTTGCTTCCTTGCATGGCATTAAGTACAAATTAGAATCATTACCTAAGACATGTGAATGTAATTGGTCTAATATAAATAGGGAAGTAAGTTTGAAGTTTTTACATTATGCAGAGCAGAGAGATATCTTAAGTATCAAGTTTGATGAAAAAGCAATACTTAAAGTACTGCTACTGTATTTTTTTTAGTGAAATTGCTGACATGAAAACTGGTTGGCATTCTCAATTTTGGTCATGTATCGAGCCATTACATTTCTCACAGCAGGACAGCTTTAATTGTGGTGTACTCATTTGCCTTGTAAGTGAGCACTCCCACAGAGATTTTACAATCCATTCTATTAATTTATACATTGCTCATTTCTTGTAGTTATGGCACTAGATTTCTACAAAATGCAAACCATGCCTACAAATCACAATGCATATAAATATATATAATTATATATATATGGTTATTCCTGTACATTAATTTTAACAATTTCCTTTTCACAGTTTGCAAGGTGTATTTGTGAAAATTCAAGCCTAAACAGAAATTTTAAAATGGAATTAGAGAGAGAGAAACTAATATCACTCATATTTGGCTCTTGCTATGATGATATTCATGAGTATGTTTTAACCAAAGTCTTTAAAGCATTATACAGTGGATGAGAAACTTAAATTCATTTTAAATTCATTTCTTTGTTTTGCTGTAGACTAAATACTGGTGTTTGCAAAATCTGCAAAGATAATGATGGTGAAGACTGGCTTGGATGTGACAAATGCTTTCAGTTTTCCATTCGAGCTGTTTAAATTTAGACTTTTCTGCTGCCCTCTCCAACTATTTTGTTTGTCCATGCTAAAATTATTGGCATTGATATCATACAAATGTGTACATTTATCATCTTTACATTAAATAAGTTTCCAAGGAAACAGGCAAACAGTCATAAGTGCTTCAATGATTGTGCTGGATTTAGAAGAAGTAAACTTGAATAGGTAGCACTTAAAGCTTAGCACAACTTTGTCATAACGTCCTATCCATTTCCTGTATTCTGCTTACAAACCTTTTGCATTATACACTCTAAAAGCATGGTTGTAGTTTCTTAATTCAGTTGCTTAACTTAAAAGTCAAAATTGATTACAGTTTAAATACAAAAACAGTAAATACGAAAAGGAGAATACATACGTAACATACCTGCTTTTGACGAGTGCAGAAAAAAGTTTTCGTATTCAGCGATCAATTACGTAGCATGAACTCATACAACATGTACATCGTTTTTTGCTGACCCTCTAATCTTATCTTTTATCATTTTCAATTATAAACAGTTAACTGTAATTACAACATTGTTGTTATTACAGTTCACTGAATATAAATCATTGGGATAAATGGGAGTAGTTGAATAATACCATTTTATCCACTACACTGACCATAATGCATCGCAGACGCACCCTCTCTCTCCGCCCGGGATGTAATGTTTCCCCAACACAACATTCATCACAACATTCATCAACACATTCAACTAAAATTTATCATTCAAAATGATAAATCGAAAAATCGTCTTTAAAACACGTTTTCCATCAAATACAACAGTAAAAAACAACTCTTAACTGTTTATTACTATTTTACTGTCCTTAACCATCACAAAGAAAGTATAAAAGTCAAAAAATTGAAGAAAACACTAAACTTTAGGTTACAGTGTACTTTTCATTTCCCTTAATTAGCGTATAATTTAAAAACTACACGGTAGAATTTTTTTAAACTTGGCCATATTGTAGATATTTTTATTGCCTAAAATATATCCAAAATCTGGAGCGTGCACAAAAAATAAGTTGTAGAAAATCATCGACATAGTTAGGTCACACGAATGCGCGTAATATGGTCTTATATAATTAAGTTAAGAATTTCAAGTCATTGCTAAACAAAGGCCTGTAAATAAAACTACACGGTAGAATTTTTAAACTTTTCCATATTGTAAATATTCTTATTGTCTATAACATATCCAACATCTGGAGTGCACAAAATATAAAAGGAATAATATTCCTTGAGAATGTACTCTGGTATAAACTGTGAAGTTGGCACCACATTCGACAAACTGTCTATAGCTAAAAACTACACGGTAGATTATTTTAAACTCAATTATATTATAGAATTTTATATTGTCTAAAATATACCCAAAATTTGGAAAGTGCACAAAATATAAAGGATAGAAAACATCGACAAATTTGGATGACTCAAATGCACGTAGTATAATATAATTCTCGACTTAATTATATAAGATCATATTACGCGCATTCTTGTCAGCTATGTCGATGATTTTGTACAACTTATGTTTTTGTGCACTCTCCAGATTTTCGATATATTTTAGGCAATAAAAATATCTACAATATGACCATGTTTAAAAAAATTCTACCTTGTAGTTTTTAAATTATACGCTAATTAAGGGAAATGAAAAGTACACTGTAACCTAAAGTTTAGTGTTTTCTTCAATTTCTTGACTTATATACATTTTTTGTGATGGTTAAGGACAGTAAAATAATAATAAACAGTTAAGAATTGTTTTTTACTGTTGTATTTGATGGAAAACGTGTTTTAAAGACGATTTTTCGATTTATCATTTTGAATGATAAATTTTAGTTGAATGTGTTGATGAATGTTGTGATGAATGTTGTGATGACTGTTGTGTTGAATGTGGTGCCAATTTCACGGTAGTTATTTCTACGGAGAAGGTCTATTTCTACGGAGAAGGTCTATTTCTACGGAGAAGGTCTATTTCTACGGAGAAGGTCTATTTCTACGGAAGGTCTATTTCTACGGAGAAGGTCTATTGCTACGGAGAAGGTCTATTTCTACGGAGAAGGTCTATTTCTACGGAGAAGGTCGATTTCTACGGAGAAGGTCCTTTCCACGGAGAAGGTCTATTTGGAGAAGGTCTATTTCTACGGAGAAAGTCGATTTCTACGGAGAAGGTCGATTTCTACGGAGAAACTGGACGTAAGTTTTGTATAACGAAGTCGTGTCCTTATGGGCACCGTAGAGGGAGTCTGAGGAATCTCCTGAGAAATTTTGAATTTCAGAGCCTTGAAAATGCCATTTTCAGCGTTTTAGAGCAATGCAAAATGTATTTTGTGGGCATCGTTTTTGCGTAAAACAACACATTTTGCTTACGTTTTTCAAACAAAATAAAATGAAGTGAACAATACTTGAATGTTTTGCCAAATATTTAGGCTCATTATCATGCCAAATATATGGCTCATTAGCATGTCTAGGAACGTAAAATTTATTTTACAATAATGCTATTCAAAAACAGATATAGTCTTTAAACATTTCTACCAAGTTGTCAGGCATGGACCCCCCTAGAGACCCCCATTCAAACCTCTATGTAATGAGTTAAGTTAGAAATTTGGTACTACAAGGGACAGTTCATAGATATAGAAAAGCTCAGCCTTCAAACCATGCAAATTTATTGTAACCCTTTACCCATCTCCACATCAGTGTCGGCAAATTCACTTTTTGAGAAAAAACTCAAAATTTTTTTCTGCCAAAGATTAAGCAAAAATTATCAGAGTGAAAATTGCAGTTAAAACAGTTTAATGCCATAAATCTTTATTAGGCATTTCACTAGACTATTATCTCCTGTAAGTATATGCAAGGTGTGCTATATAGCAATCACTAGTAGCATTGTATTTGCGAATACAAACAGAATGTAACCAACATGTCTTTAATTATATAATTACATGAATGTTAAAATTGGTTCATGTGTCATGGTTACTGGTTATGATAAATATCTCTTCATATGATCAAAGCTCGTTTAAATGTAAATCTGAAATAATTTAGTTTAGAAATTATAATGATCATCAGAAAAATTACCTAGTGATCATGAAAAATACTTTGCTATTTTGCCAAATTTCAAGGTTTATCTGCATAAATAGAAAGACATTTTTACTTTATAGAAAATGCTTTTTATACATCAATAGCCCTTTGGAATTTATGGCAAACAATCTGGTATGAGCTGTAGATTAACACACCTTTACATCTCTACATGAGGTGTTCAGTTAGAAAAGGGGACAATATGTGACATGGGACAATATTTCATGTATGTGAAATACTAAGGTTTAATATCATTCCAGTCAAATTGTCAAAATGGTTGGGGTTCAGGTTGGGTATCAAATCTTAAACAATATGTAGTATAACTGTCTAATGATTGAATAATCAATGATCAAAAACTGAAAAGCCCGAACATTTGTTTATGATAAAGTAAATAGTATGGCTCCTTATGGCTGCAGATTTTGTCCATTGAAATATATTTGCAGGAATGTAGGATTTCGCTGCCATATACGGCCACGATTCCCAAGCACTAAAGAAATCATAGCTAAAGTCCTTCAATCCTTAACAATTTTGAAGCATTTGATATATTACATTGCATGCACTTCAGTTGTCCTTTCTACGATTTTGGATGTAAATTTCTGCTGATAAAACTCAAAACAATGTTGGCTTTCTATTGAACATCAATGACTGAAATGTCGCTCGAGAGATCGTCTTTGCCAAGCATTTACAATTATCCATAAATTTTTCACCCTCTTGAAAAAATTCACAGTTTCGACAGCAGCATTCATGTCATTATATGAATTTGTAAAAGATTTCCATAGATTCCATCTGATTGTAGTTTAGTTTCTATCATGACTATGAAACGATCAAACATTCAATTCAGACAGTGATCATTTATTCAGTTCATCTCGATCAAATCAAACCAATCACAATGAAACAAACAAATGAACAATGTCATCATTGAATCTCCATATGCCGTCAGTCCAGACTCCAGATGTCAAAATAGGGGTTTTGGCGTTCATAGACTCTCCTTTATCCGTCGAACCAGTCAAGCCACCTGCTTATCAGTCAGTTATTCCAGGTCAATTAAAATTCAACTGATCTGGTTACCAACGAGATATTCATTGGATTAGTCATTAGTTTTCAATAATAATTAAAGCTGGATTTTTATCACGAAGTAAATGCGATAATAAGAATAATTAATGAATTTTAATTAACATGAATAGGTAATTTTGGAATTTCAAACATCAGTCGCGCGACTGATTTCACATACTCAGATCCGCCCTGCGGGATCAAAGGCTAAAATACTTATATTTCACTTGCAGGTAAGATAATTTCAAGTGAAACGGTCACAGGAGGTAAGATAATTTCAAGTGAAAAGAAATCTGTCCCACTTTCTTCAAGGTAATATTAATTTTCTTCTATTAACGCATACTTACCAACCTGGGGGTTCTAGGTTACCGCCATCCGTGTGTTGGGTGACGGCGCAACATTTCATGTTAGTTTATTATTTTCCGAAAATGATTGTTTTCTCCAAAATATCTCATGAAATACTTTAGCTTTTGTAAAAAATCACATCATTAGATAGCGTACAATATATGCTTTATGTTGATACAAATTTTATTACTAAAACCTGTCTTATTACGATGAAAATATGTGTCTATGTGCCATCAACGTTATGGAAAATTATAACGCAACAAAACACTAACAACAAGCTGATTGGAATTTTACAGTTTTATGTTTTAGATATTGTAAAACAGAGCATACCATTGTAAAATTCACTCATTTTTTTCAGATAGGTGAAATGATAGCTTTTCGCAATAAAATTAGGGCTGTTTTGGGCAATCTGTTATAAATCCTTCTGAAATGTTTTTAAGGGAAATGTTCGTTGCCATGGCGATACATTCATAACGTCTTAAAGAAAACCACCGCTCAAACACTCTTTATTTTATATAAAACTATGAAAATACTTCATCTTAACCTTTATAAATTATGAATGTTTATAGTACATCCATACAAGCTGACAGGCAACGTATTTATTTTATATTTAGGGTAGAATTGAATATCATGGCATCATCATCCAAGAAAATCAAACTTTACGCAAACAATCCACCGCGAATTAGTAAAGAAGATCTTTCATGATCATCGCACTCTGGATGGAAGATTTTGTCACCCATGAAGAAGCTGAAATCGATGAGAATATTAACCAAGTTGGGGCAGTATTAGTGTCTGCTGACGACATGATATACGCAGCTGACTGTTCACGAGAGGGAGTTCATGCAGTTGCTAGACTATTGATAAAACATCCAGAAAAAGCGAAAGGCTCCAAAATCTTCATGTCTCGAAAACCTTGCCATCTTTGTGCGAAACTTCTCGTTCAAACAGAGGTTCAACGCGTTTTATCTTCCCTTTATCCAGAGTATTATGTTTCATCCAACGAAAGTAAAATCGACGAAGTCGATGAGATGTTTAAGTCAAGCTCAATCTCTGCATCATTGTTTGTGTTTGATATAAAAAAGAGCGTCCTTGAACACGAAAAACTAAACAGGCGTTCGTTGAGGAAATGTGATATTAATCGCAATAAAAGTCGCATTAAAAGAAAGTTTAAGCTTAATCAATGGAAATCAGATTGGCTCGCCAAGAAGCGTGGAGAGCCGTGTGCAAAAATCAAACGCGAGCTTCCCTGGCCAATATTTGATTTTGGAATTTGCCGAAGCGTCAAAAATCAGTTCGACGATGCAATAGAATGGATGGCAAGGGTAATTGATGCGAGTGGAAGGTCTTTAAAAGGCAATTTCCGGTACTGTCCTCTTTTGCCAAAGGACATTGAATTTAGCTCTACAAGTGAAACGCAACCATTGAGTAATTTCGACCCTACAAAGGAGAGCTGTCAACAGAAAGCTAATCATTTAATGATTCTTGCAAGTTTTCTTACTCGACGTACAGATGATCCAAAAACAGGAGTGGGGGCCGTGATTGTAAACTCAAAGATGGATATCCTCTCGTTTGGTTGGAATGGATTCCCACGAAGAGCTGTTTATGGTGAGTTTGGAAGAGGATCGAACAGCGATAAAGGTGTCAAGTCGAAGATTCCCTACGTATTACATGCCGAGCAAAATGCTTTGCTCATGCGTAATGGTCAAAACGTGAAAGATGCGATCCTTTTTGTAACAAAGCAACCGTGTAACGAATGCACACCATTGTTAGCGATGGAAGGAATCAAAACAGTTGTGGTGGGCGAAGAAGTTAAAGAAGATCTACCACAAAAACGATTAGGGTATGACAAGTTTATACAAAAATTGAAAGATAAAGAGTTTGTATGCTTTGAATCTTATTAAAGAGATTCAAAGCAAGATCGTTGAGGAAAACGTAAGAATCAGAGTAAAGGCTAGCGTAAAAGCAGTAAAACAAAGATTTTTTCAAATCAATCGGTTAATTCATCTCACTTGGGTTATTTCTCAGCATTTTGTGTTTACTATTCTTCTTTTTACCTATGAATATGTGAATATTAAAGCCCAGCAAAGTGCTTTTAAAGAGCCATTTAATACAAAAATAACGTATAAAAGAAATATCTATTTAGAAGCGTAACGTTTCTTTTTGACACTCAAGACATCATCAGACAGTATTAAATTACAAGTATAGAGGGATGTATATATAATAGTTATTTACATAATATTAAATCATAATATTAAATAACATGGTGGGATGAAAACGTGAAAGTAAAGATGGTATGACGTGGGATAAGTGGAAATCACGAAAGGAGCGAAAAACACACACAATCATATAGTATACAGACATGAGGACGGACGAAATTAGATTAAAGCAACTGAAGGACAATGGAGTTTCCTTGGATGTTAAGAGATGGTTTCATTTTGCTGATTAAGAGGCTTTCGTGAATAAGAAGCTCTTTTATTTTAGTATTTTAAAATCCTCGAAGGTGGCAGTGTGTCCTGTGGATTTAAGGTGTGATAGTATAGAGGAATGACTACCATGTTTAGAAGGTTTACCAGTCAAAGGGGTGATGCCCAAATGCTCTGAAATTTGAGTGTGTAAGTGGCGGATGGTTTGTAGATCACTGCGTTCTCATGTACACACACATGCTGTAGGAGGTGAAGGCTTGAGTCCAGCTAAATGTGGCTTAAGTTAAAAAAACGACTCTCAACTATCTGATATAATACTCATTGAAGTACACAATTAATGTTGCTTTAGTTTTTCTTGTGTCATCGGTGATCCCCTTAGTTCCTCTGGCATAGATTCCAGAGTGGTTTTAGTGTTTTGCTTAATACTACTCCCGTATTCGTTGACCACACACCGCAAGTCATCGTAATAATAGTGGATCTGTTCTTAGCCTCCCTTCTTAAATATGTCCCATAAATTCGCAATCGGACGCGAGTTTACAACCTTGTACCAAATGGAATTGCCAATCTTTAAAGGGTTGAATGATATTTTTCTCACGTATTTCTTTAAAGATTGCCAACGTCATCATATCTAAAACAACCAATGACTGCTGCCCTATATATATTTAACTGCTGATTCAACGAACGAATTTATCAATCGCTGAGTTCTGACAAAAAAAGGCACTAACTATTGCCATGTATTTAAACGAGGGATTCGTAATTATTTCAAGGTTCTCTGAACAACAGCTTTTGACATTTTCAACTTTTCTCATTTTCTCATTTTCAACTTTTCTCTCTTTTTTTTGCCAAAACGGTTGTTCTCTGATTTTTAGTTCTAATAAAATCTTCTTTTTATACAGAAGACTTTCCTGACTGGACGAAATCTTTCTGTATTTCCCTTTATATGAAGCATCTGAGTCATACCCTTGTAATTCACCGTAGAAATTATACACAGTGCATTTTTATAAAACAAAGGGAAAGTCGGAATTTCAGGACATAATTCTCACACTAGGGAATTTAGAATAAAACAAATCACTAGTGACGACATTATTTGATCGCTCAGGTATCGTGCTCTAAACCGTCAAAATATGATATTTTAAATCTTTAATGTCCATAAAATTAAGAACGTTACATCAGCTTCATTGCCAAGGATTGAGTTGATATCCTAAATTCATGAAAATGACGTAAAAGACAGGCAAGTCGACTTTGGCATTATGAAACGATCATCAAACTGAGATATTCACTCAAATGTAATCGAAATTAAACAATTGGTACTTTTCACAGATAATTTTGTTTCATGAGTTGTATTGATGTTTGAATTATGAATTTATGTGTTCGTGGACATGCTTGCAAGAAGGAAGTTCTACCTCATGCTGTGATGAACTGACAAAACAAGTTTTAACATGTATAGCAAAATTTAAACAATGAATCTTATGATATTCGAATCAAACATATTTATTACTTGTACTTGGGAGAACAAGGTGCAAGAATTTTCCTGCTTCCGATATCCTGCTTCATTTCAAGGTCAATTCAATTCATTTATTATAAACATTGTTATAAAAAGCACGTGACGTCCAAGATTGTTTGCTTGTTGCGTGGCATAACACGGAAGCAGCAGAAAAATTGAATTGTCACTGTGCACGTCAAAAAACGAATGTAATTTTATCATTTCAAATGAAAAGAAATATTTCTCGTGGCATAAACGTACATTTATCTGTGTATTAAAAAAAAGCCTTCTCAATTATGAATTAGTTTAAGATGCTCACGTTCTGTATAACATAATTTTTGTCTCTGAAAACTTCTAAGAGTCGATTTATAACATTATGAATTATTGGCATTCAATAAAAACTTTTTGTTTTTGTTTAAAACCATTTAAAACCGTTTTGTATGAACCATTTAAAACTTAAAAAGCAGGTGACTATACATTACAGCGCAAAAAAGCTTTTTCATGAAATTTGAATTTCGATTCTCAATATTGTATTTTTGATTTGCTAGTTTAATCAGTCACTCGTCTTCTAATCTTAAATATTCTTACCTTTATTGATGCATCTCCAATGTTACGCTTGTCACGCAGTGTGTGTTCAGCGTTCAATAATTACAAATGTTTAGAATTTACTCATACGAGCAGCAGCTGACATCAATCACACTTATTTTGTGTCTAGTGTAGAATGGCTGGCAACAGCAAAAGGGAACAATTACGTGATGTTTCATACGCAGATAGTCCACCGCGAATTAGTAAAGAAGATCTTTTCATGATCATCGCACTCTTAATACTATTCCCGTATTTGTTTACAACACACAGCTGGTCAATCTGATCTTAGCCTTCTGCCTTCTTAACTCCCGAAAATTTGCAATGGGATTCAGATCCGGTGTTCGGGGAAAAAAATTTACGAGAACCAGATCACTTATGTTCTCTTTTTTGTAAATATTTTTTTACATAAGGGAAGTTAGTTTTGTATAGTTATCCTTTATTGAAACGAATCCTCTTCCGCACAGCCTTGTATATCTCATGAAATTTGCACGTCTTTAAATGGTTGAATGATATTCTTGTCAAGCATTTCTGGATCGCCAAAGTCATCGTGCATATCTGAAGCAACTCCAGACAGCTGCCAAAACTATATGTTAAACTGTTGGTTGAACGAACGAATCCATCAATCGCTTTTATACGTCTGACAAACGGGCACCAACTATTGCCATGTATTTGAAAGAAGGTTTTTTTTAACAAAGAGTACGTTCTTTACGGGAGGGAGGTTTCTCGTGTGTTTCTTTAACTGTTGTATAAATATCTCTAGCTGTCACAGTGGTGTTGTTTTCTTTAATATACTTCTCTTCCTTCAGGCTCGTAGAGTTTGTCTTATCCATCCTTCGTTGGGTTAGAGTTTGTTTCTCTTAATCATTGCAAAGCTCTCCAATCAAGGGCTTTGACGTTTTCAACTTTTCTGAAAACTGCGAAAATTCGATCCTTTTATATTCTAATATTTTCTAATTTCCACCATCATTTGCACAATGGTAAAATCTACTGTTGTTCTTCTATCATGAACTGTATAGTTCGGTTAAAATATTTCTGACTTTTGGTGTTCGTAAAAATCTTTTTATACAAGGCTTTCTTGTTTATCCCCCCCCCCCGACATATTTAATTCTTTCTATACTTCTCTTGATATGAAGCATCTGAGTCATACCATTGTAATTCACTATAGAAATTGTAAACAGTGCATTTTTACAGGACAAAGTCGGAATAAGAGTTCATTATTCTCGCACTTGGGACAGTAAAACACACGACAAGTAATGGCTATAATCCATCGCTTTCGCGGGCCTTGTACTCTTAGCCATACCAAAATTGTCACATGATCTTTTTAATCTTTAATATCAATGAAATAAAGAACTTTACGTTAGGTTCTTTGTCAATCGAACGTATCGTCAGGATATTTAAGTCAAGTTCATGTTTAAGTCATGACATTGTAGCATCATAAATCCACGAAAATGACAAACAAGATAGTCCAGTGTACTTTCGCATTATGAAAAAAGACATTCACTCAAACAAAATATTTACTCAACTCCATGTAATTAAACGTTTGACAGTTTCTACAGATGATTCTGTTTTGAGTTGTTTTGGATGTTTGAATTAGGTAACTATGTTTTGTGGATTTGCTGTCAAGCTGTACCGCATGCTGTGACAAACTAATTTGAACATTATATGAATATTTGAACAAAGCACAGTTATACTTGCGAGCTCAAGATGCAAAAATTTTTGCGACATCCTACCTAATTTCAAAGTGAAATCAATTGCTTGTATAAATCACTATCATCGATAGTAGAAAGCAGGTGATGCCCAAAATTGTCTGCTTGTTGCTTGGCACAACACGGAAGCAGTAGAAATATTAAATTATCGTCGTATACGTGGACAAACGAAGGTACTTTTATCATTTCAAGTCAAAAGAAATCTGTTCTCGTTGCATCAAGGTATCGTAAATTTATCTTTAACTCTTCTTCTAAATGCTACTTTGATTTCATTGTTCTTTTTGTTATGTTTGACACTTGTATAGGTAGGCAACACACAGCAAAAATATGAGTGTTTGAATTTACATTCGCCTTATCGCGCAAACATTTCTTGTGCAATCAGTACGCAAACAACTATTAGCTATTTTTACTGGAGCAACTTTAGTTCTAAAATTTTATTTTTAATTTGTGCTCAACTTTTCAACATGTTGTGCAACTGCCTGTACATAAAAATACCGCGTCGATTCCGTCTTTCAAATGGAAGTTTTCTCAATTATGGATTCGTTTCACTTTTCTTCCCTTACCAAAAGGATGAAAGCATTCGCAGTTCAATTCAAATAACATCCCACTTTAACGTTTTTGTATGCCACATGCAGTATAATGATTTTCAACCAACCCTCAAAGTTCTTGCGACTGACATGCATATATTTTGTATTTAATGTAAGACTAAAATAACATGAATGGAAAAATACATGTCTGTCTATAACTGTTTACGTTCTGTCTAACATGAATTTTGTCTATAACTGCTTACGTTCTGTCTAACATGAACTTTATAAATGATTGGCATTCAACTTCAAAACCATGACGCAAGAAAAAACTTTTTCTTTAAAAATTTCTTAAATTAGCTACAAAGCATGCAGGTGACTACGTTATCTTTTTGTCCACACATTTTTCGATTACTCGTGATAAATGACCATCATTCATCGAAAAAGCTATGATCAAAACAAAATAGGTTATTTCTCGAAATGTGTACTTTGAAGCTTATAATTTTGTGTATTCGACCCCCTATGCTTGCTCAATCAGCCAATTATATGTCTCCTTTAGGTTACGCTCGTCGCATAGCGCGGGGTTCAATAATTATAAATGTTTATAATTCATCCATATACCATATACAAGCTGACGTCTATTATATTTATTTCATATATAGTATAGAATGTCTGGCGACAATTCCTACGCAAACAATCCACCGCGAATTAGTAAAGATAATCTTTTCATGATCATCGCACTCTGGATGAAAGATTTTGTCACCCGTGAAGGAGCCAAAATCGATGAGAATATTAACCAAGTTGGGGCAGTATTAGTATCTGCTGACGACAAGATATACGCAGCTGACTGTTCACGAGAGGGAATTCATGCCGTTGCTAGACTATTGATAAAACATCCAGAAAGAGCGAAAGGCTCCAAAATCTTCATGTCTCGAAAGCCTTGTTATTTTTGTGCAAAACTTCTTGTTCGATCAAAAGTAGACCGTGTAGATTATCTTCCCTTTAAACCAGAATAATATAGATCAAGGGGAAAGTCGTCAGGCAACGACTATAAAATCGACGAAGTCGGTGAGATATTTAAGTCAAGCTCAGTTGCTGCATCATTGTTTATATTTGATATAAGAAAGAATGTTCTTGAAGACGTTAGGCATTGTAAATCAAATAAACCATTCAATGAATCTAAGTTTAATAAATGGGAGTCAGAATGGCTCACTGAGGAAAAGGAAAAAATCAAACGCGAGCAAGCATGGCCAGCGTATGATAAGAAAATGGACAAGAGAGTTAAAGAACGGTTTGTTGACGCAGCGAAATGGATAGCAAGGGTTATGCATGCGACTGGAAGGTCTTCAAAAGACTCTTTTCAGATACATCCATATGTAAAATCTCAATCCAGTGATTTCGACCCTACAGATCCGAAAAATCGACAAAAAGCCAATCATTTGTTGACTCTTGCAAGTTTTCTTGCTCAACGTTCGGATGATCCGAAAACTGGAGATGGAGCCGTGATTGTGAACTCAAAGTTGGAAATCCTCGGATTTGGTTTGAACGGATATCCACTAAAACTGCGTTATGGTGAATATGGAAGAGGATCAAGCCGCAATATAGGTGTCGAGCAAAAACTTCCATACGTTTTGCACGCCGAAGAAAATGCTTTACTCATGCGCAATTGCCACAACCTTAAAGATACTATTGTTTTTGTAACAAAGCAACCGTGTGATGACTTTATTAGCAATGGAAGAAATTAGAACAATCGTGGTGAATGAAAAAATTGAGAGAGAAGTTGAGAAAGAAGATAAGGAAAACGTTGAGGAAGGAAAGTTTACGTACAACAAACTTCCCGAAATGATAAAGAAAAATGTATTTTCATGCTTTGAAGCTGTCGAAGAAGCAGCCCCTGAGACTGAAAATCTCTTTTTCTATAGAATTTGTGTCCTTTCTTAACATTTTCATTTATTGAAAATATTTTTGAATATTTATTGGGGGTTTTTAAGAAGAAGAAATACAAACAAGATGCCCACAAATGTTGAAAATCATAAGCAAATATATGTTATAGTAGTTCTTTCATAACATCATAGGAGCACACAAAAACTTGATGATGAATGCTCACTACATTATTTGTCTGACCAATGGACATTCTTCCATTCACTGATTGTCCAGTGGACGATAAAGTTTTACAAACTGTACCCAAGTACGCCGAGTACACTGTTTAAAAAGGTTTTCTCGTAACTAATTAGTTATTTCTTGCCATTCCTTTCATGAAGGGGACCTGGTATGTCGGTTTTCTCCGCTCTTTTAACGAATCTGCAAAGTCTGTTGTACTTGGAGAGGAATCATTGCAAGGCGTCTTCTTACATCTTCCCGCTTCTGCATTTGAGAACCGATCTTATCTTGTGGTTGTCTTTTTTCCCAGTCCAGTACCAGTGTTCTCCGCGATCTCCTTTCTTTTAGCGAGAACACAGCGATAGGAGATCTCGGTGAGATCACATTCCTTTTATACTTTTGCCAACCATTCCATTTAGCACAACGAGAACCCAGCTGATTTTTTGCATCTATCCCTGGGTTCTTTTGGCTCGTTCTTTCTTAGTTGTGATATCCATACATTGCTGTCTACAAAATTGCAAACTTTGTAGAATTCACAGCAATTTTCATAATGATTATGGGGAAGGCACTATGAGTGAGCATTTTCCTCTTTGGCTTTTTGGTGGCGGATGTTTTAACTCGCGAAGGCTTTATTTTCAAAACCTTCAAAATGATTGAGTTCTTTTTCAAGTTTGTCCCAAACAAACCACATGAAACATTTCAAATCAAGACAACTTATTCGTTCCCATTATTACAATTTAACTTAGGTTGAAAGAATTTAGACCATTTGACCCTATTGTAAACTGTAATATTTCTTTTTCCAACGTCCAGTGATGAGCTCTTTGTGCGGCTTCAAATAAAACATTTTTGTATATCATTGTTTTGTATAGGTATTAGTGCTAGATAAATTCCTCCTCCTTATACACCCTGTAAATATGCAATAATTTTAACATCAACACTGTTATTTTTGGGGTGTTGAACTAGCACTTTCTCTAGTGCTAAACTGACACCACCGGTGGTGTTAAACAAAGGTGTTATTATAACACCAATATTGGTGTTGATTTAACAACATATGACCTTAAACATATTGTAGCGTGTTAAATTTACACCTCAACACTTTAACACCCAATTAATGGTGCTGAAATAGCACCTTCTTCTGCCACAAAGGTGCTAAAGTAACACTGTTTTTTGGTGTTAAGTGGTTGGTGTTAAAATAACGCCATTAGCAAGAGTTACAATAATCTATAAAGGGCGGTATTTCTGCACCACTCTCCTTGTAAAATCATGGGTGTCAAAATAACACTCATTTTAACTGCTTTTTTAACTTATTTTTATACTTATTTACCACACGCGGCAAATTGTTTTTCTTTTCAACTAGTGGCATTTAAAATTTAGAATTTAACTACGTCGCGTGCTGAATGTGACGTAGTTTCAATCCGCCCTGTTCTATGATACCAAATGATATTTTGATTGTGTAATAATGTAATATACTGTGGATTTACCGCCTGTGCTTGTCTTCTGCTATATTCAAACTTGGTATGATATATATTTTTCTTTTTTAATATTTATTTGATGGGAAAAACGTGACGTGATTTGATTCTTGGTTTGTTCATTTTAAATAGCATCAGTGTTTTCTTCCATGGCTGGCTTGAAATGCTCTGTTTAAAATGCTCATCTTCAAATGCTCATCTTCAAATGCTCTACTTAAAATGCTCCCCCAATTTTCTTTCAGAACTCATCAGAAAACAACGTTGATGGAAATGATGAAGTTATGAGTGAAAACCTGTGTATTCTGTTACAAAAATTGACTGATTTTGATAACAATGACGGTGAGTGTAAGCTCGATTCGTTGAAATCGACAAACTTATGGTGGGTTTTGTATAAAAAAATCAGATTGCTTGAAAATACAACTTGTATTTTTTTCACCATAATTCGTTTGATAAATTAGACAAACAAGCAATTGATAATGAAATAAACCTTTGCTTGCACTATACTTCATGCAGTGCGCCTGAAACAAAAAACGCAACACGCAGATTTTAGCCTGTTTTCCACCAGCCGCGTATCGTAACGTATCGCAGCAAAACGTAACAAGGCGCATGCGTGATTATGAATTTGATGGTCAATAGGCGCAAGCACGCATGCGCCATGTTACGTTTTGCTACGATGCCTTACGATACGTGGCTAGTGGAAAACACGCTTTAGACATGCATATCGGCTTAGTTTGTTGCATAAATTTAACGGTATTTTGCAAAACGCAAAATGAGCTGATTTATGTATGGTCTGTTTTTTCGCGACACACTGTAGAGGTCATGTTATTATTCCTCCTGACTTTTCTTAAATGACAAATCTTTTTGCATGATATTCGAAAGATGAAGGCAAAATTTAGGGGTTTTTTGACCCCAGTCTTTCTTTGACCAATAAAACAAAGCTATGCTTTATAGAATTTTTGATGTCAATCATTTCCACTAATTAATCTTTTTTGATTTATCAATATTAGAGCAGCTCAAAAAGTTACAATATTTTTTTCACACTGATAATGATCATTTCTCAATAGTTTCTATACCTAGATAAAGGCATAGCCAATAGGAAACTCAAAAATGACATTGTTAAGCGTGTTCTTGTTGTATGTTTTGTCATTTTGCACAGAATCTAAGACTCATACGTTTTCAAAATCTTTCCAGTTATTTGAGCTGCACATGTGTACTTATATATAATATATTAATCCTAACACGGTTTTAATATGCACATGAAAACATGTGACTTGCACGAGATTTGCACGAGACTCGCACCTTCGGGATACTAGTCCGCCGCTCTACCTGTTGAGCTAACAAGCCCACAGGGATTGGAGACGAGTCAAATCTCTTTCAACTGCGTATGGACGAGAGATTCTCGCCACTATAGCAGTTTACTGGATGGCACCGTGTTTCGACTTTATTCCAAAGCCATCATCAAAGTATATTTATAATATATTAATCCTAACACGGTTTTTTAATATGCACATGAAAAACATGTGTACTTGTCTGTATTTTAGTGAAATCTCAGAAAGCGTGGTTTGAACAATGGACCTAAAATGATGGATGAATCCAGCAGGCTTAACAGCGTTGGTGATATTGGTGTAGCTCTTGCGGAGGAAGCAAGAAGAATTGGACAGCAATTAAAAGTGTAAGTAATGTCTTTATTTGGAATTTCTTCTATATTTCTTGACAGTGAATTTCAGATTTTCTTTTTTGCCTGTGGAATATTTAACAGTGTGCTTTCAGTGGCCGCCACGTTAGTCGAAAAAACCGTGAAGCGATTTTTTTGGGATTTCGTGTTCAGTTGAATGTTAAAAATCTTGAAACAACCGACCAACATGGCTGCTATGACGTCACATGAAATATCCCATTGTCCTAACAATTAACTTGCATCAACTATCAGTTTACTTTACAAAACGTTTAGGAATTCTCAATCTGCGAAGTATTCTAACCTCGACAGACCTAAATCTGTTCCGCGGACGTCTAACTTCACTGAAAACTCGCCACGCGAGACGGGAAATTCTGTTCGTGGTGTTGCGCAAGAGAACCAAAGGGAAAATGCTGACATGAGCCAGGAGGATGATTTCGGCCAGGAGAATAACTCCTTAACGGATGGTATCTTAATGGAACAATTGGCTGGAATACAAGGTGCAATTGAAGCGATGGAAAATCCTGGTTTGAATGACGATGAAGAAGATAGTTTGTCATTACTGATGAATGTAATGGAGTCGGGGGATTTAGGAAATCTTAGCGATATGCCATGGAATCTCGTATGAATCTAAAAGATTTATTTTAGTAAATTGGTGAATATCATTTAGTATCGATCACATGACGAAGGTAGAATTTAAAGACGGTTTTTCTCACACGATACCGCGAGTAATGACGGGTTAAGCTAAACTTGAACTTCGATTCTTAGGAGTCTAACTCTTAGACCTGTCATGGGGAATCTTTTATTTGCTGAATTCATTAGAAATTTAGATAATGGTAGATCTCAACTCGTTATCTATTGTTTATAATGAGTTTTGTTAGTTTGCAAAAAGTTCAAATCCTTAATTCAAAAAAGTCATGTTTTGAAATGTCACAAAACAACTAACCATTCAGTTCTTTTACACGAACATAAATATGTATGAACTGTCGTGGATGTCATGGATTGTCAATATATTTTAGAAGTGAGCAAAGCTTGCAACTTTTTGACTTTAGATACACTTGAACACTAGATTGCTTGTTACGCTAACAATTTATCATATAAGATGTAATTAGTATAAAAGTAGATGTCGTCGACACTTAGAGACTTAGACATAAACACGTCTCTCTGTCTATAATTACAGATAAAGAAAAATTGAAAATGTTTTACATCTGCGGACGGTATTAAATATTTGTAAAATGCTATGTTGTGATTTCATCTATAATTTCTGATTTATATTTTGGTGAACTGTTCAAATTGAAATGTAAACACACTGAAAATTCTCAATGTATCAAGATTCTGTTTGCATGTATGAACTATTCACTTGGAACTAACCAAGCCATCAGGTATTGTTTGTGCGTTGATAGTTAAAATTGTGTGTTTCAAGCTAGATTAGACACCAAATTTCCACTAACATTGGCTTCAACTTACCCTAATGTCAGTCTACCCTTACAGTGGTTGTTTTAAGTGCGTTAATGAAATATGTGATTCTTCTTTTCAATTGTATATTTGCATTATTTGTCAACTTTTAATTTTCGAAAGATAATGAATTATTGTCAATTTGCTATTATGTACTTAAGTCTAGTTGTCATTCAAACTGCAATAATGCGTGAAGTTTACAGGTGTTGTTGTCTAAATGCGTTGATGTGTCATGTCGAGAACAAACATGTTTCAGCGCGTCATGCAGGAAAATACTTGATAAATATGAGCTAAACAACGTACATTGAACTGGTGCTATTGTCGATTAAGATGAAACGACATTGTTCTATGATACCAAATGATATTTTGATTGTGTAATAATGTAATATACTGTGGATTTACCGCCTGTGCTTGTCTTCTGTTATATTCATTTTGCCGTTTTTGCGGGTGTAATAGCCTGCAACTTCCAACCCACCTTCATACGGTAGGGTAAACTGGAGTCTCACACTGACCTGGTCTAAGTTGTTTTACTTCATTATCTTTGTAATAATGAACGTTATAGAGACTATTGAAATTGATAAAGAAGAGACTGCTGTAGCTGTGGAAGATAGCAGCTTACCAAAATCGTGCTCTATTTGTAAAACTGGCTTTGATAGCGTCGCTCCGAAACTATTGCCATGTCTTCATTCATTTTGTCAATCTTGTTTAGAGGATCGTCTAAGAGGCAACGAACCATCCACGACATCTGCTGTTCCATGTTCGGCCAGACTAAAATGTCCAAAATGTGGCCAGGAGTTTCTTGTGCCAGCTAGAGGGGTTGCAACTTTAATTGATAATCAATTTATACTCGATATTGTAAAGAAACCGAGTCGAGAAAATGAATCTGCAAGTCACAAATGCACATCGTGTGAAGATGACAGTGATGCTTCATCGTTTTGTTTAAACTGCTCAGAATGGCTTTGTAGCGCTTGTGTACAGGCTCATCAACGCGTTCGTGTAACGAAAGATCATGAAATTAAATCGGGGGAAGAATTAAAAGAAAGTCTACGAAATAACAACCGGAGCGAACGTTGTTTATATTGCAAGAAACATCCTAGCGAAAAATTACAATTGTTTTGTGTGAAATGTGAACGATTGACGTGCAGAGATTGCCAACTTCATGAGCATAAACACCACCAATATCAGTTTGTCAACGAAGCTGCGGCCAGGTATAGGGAATTCTTTAAGAAAAAACTGATATGTTTGGAAGAGAAGCTCGCTCCCCTCGCCGAATCTATTGACTCGGTTAAAAATTCAACGACACATTTGGAACTTAAATCGGAGGCTGTTGTCAACGACATTAAAAACACTTCAAATGATATCATTTCTGCCGTGAGGGAACGCGAAAGTGTCTTGCTAAACGAATTGCAGGCCTTAGTTCAATTTAAAAGAAAACTCTTACTAAAACAGACGAAAGATTTGAATCTTATGCAGGCAATACTAAAACACAATCATGAGTTTACACGTCATGCTGTACTGAATGGAAGTGATGCTTCACTGTTGATGACACAACGACAACTGGGCTCTAGGATTCAGAACTTATTGAGTTTAAAGTATCGCGTTACTCCAGTTGCACCAAGTGAGTTAAAGTTTGTATCTGAATCAGTAAAATTGTGCAATGTTATAGCAAAAACAGGTTCGGTCATGACCCAATCCAATCAAAGGTCCAATCATCTCCAAGCTCGAAGTACCAACCCACCAGCTTACCAAACTGCAATGAAAATTAATCCCTTCCCTTTGTTAAATAATCGTCCTGGTTTGCATACAACAATGAATCCCAAACCTTCATCAAAAGTTTACCCAAATGTTATAACGTCACACATTGGTATGCCTTTGCATGGTGTACAAAATTCTTCCATGATTCATCCTTCAATTGCTCAAGCACCAAACAGAACTAATCCTATCCCTCAAACAACCTGGCATGTACAACATAGTCCTAGTAATCCCCAGGTACCTAGTTATAACTCAAGACATTTAATGAACACTGATGTATCAACCATAAATTCTTCAAGAAAGGCTGTGGATGTGTCATATCTTGTTAGACAGCCAACATCTCTTCCCACTCAAGTTAGCCCAAGGTTAGTAAGCTGTAAATTTCAACAAATCAACATGCTTTTTTGAAAATGGCATTTACCTCCAAAAAAGTATGAAATTTATGAATTGTGAGAATAACGGGTATTGGCAAGTTAACTCAATACACCCTGATTGTCTTTTATGTGCTCTATGTGGATGCAATTATTTATTTTAAACCTTTGTAATGTTTTGTATTTTTGTTCATTAACTTCAACTGTTCTATGAACGACGTAAATATGTAAGACTTGAAAGTTCGTATAATTAATGATTGAAGCCGTTTAATGGCTTGCATTTCCGAACTTTAATATGAGACAATTATTAAGACACTAATCTCTAAACTATATTCCACATGCAGAGGCATAACTAGAATGTTAATTGGGAGAGTGTATATTCATATATTCCGTTGTGCCCTACTGATTTCTTTTGAAAGTGATTTGAATTTCAAAAGAAATAAGTAGGGTACAACTGAATATATGAATATAAACCCCAATTAACGTACTTGTTATGCCTCTGTCCACATGAGCATCTACTAGTATTACCAATTAATGGGTGTTGCTACATATTCTCAATTTTATATGATTGGTAATCATCAAGGGACAAATTTCCATACTTCAGTCCATTTGAACATCTCTGAGGCCAATCAATCTAAATAGAAACATTTCTTACGTACCATGATCAAAGGAACTTTTGTTCAAGACATTTTTATTTCCTGTATTGTTTGTTGTGCTATGATGAGAATATCCCTTAAGACTTCGTCAGATGAATAAAGTTTGCCAAATGGTAATATTTGATTCTCCCTGAAAACTAGTCTCACCCATATTGTCCATCATGATTGAAGTGTCACCCCACCCTACCCCCATGCTGTTTATTAAACTTTGTTGAAGTGCCACCCCACTTTACCCTCATGCTGTTAATTAAAGTGAGTTGAAGTGCCACCCCACCCTTCCCCAATGTAGCTTATTAAAGTTTGTTGAAGTGCCACCCACCCTACCCCCATATTGTTTATTAGAGTTTGTTGAAGTGCCACCCACCCTACCCCCATGCTGTTTATTGAAGTGAGTTGAAGTGCCACTTATCCTACCCCCATGCTGTTTATTGAAGTGAGTTAAAGTTCCACCGCACCCTATGCCCATGCTGTTTATTAAAGTTTGTTTAGTAATATCATCTTTCATGTTATCTAAATGACATCATGTTTGCTTATCTTTAATTTTGTGTTTTCAATATGAATATTATGAACACCTAAACACCATCATTTTAGACGATGGAAATACGTTTTTCACAAAATTGCTGCCAAAGCTGCTCAATATTTGATGATTTTTTTTTAATTATATATATATGTAGTGCCTAATAATAGGTTATGTATAAAATTTCTATTTGAATGAGAAATGTACTCAATCATCAACAAAAAGCGCCGCCGCGTTTATAAGAACCGTTTGACAAAAATATTCCAATAACATTAAACATCTGCTTCCACCATCTGCCACTAAATACAATGTGTCGTGATTGCCAGACAACATAAAAGCTGTTCTAGGCGTAACTATTTACAAATAAAAATATGCAATCTTTACAACAAAGAAAACATTGTGGTTGGATAATAAGGACGATTGGTATTTTCATGGGCAATGTGCCAATGTAGTGTTGATTGATAAAAAATGCAAAACATTATGTCGACACGCCTCTTTTATAAATAATTGACACGTTGCTGTTTGTCGGACATTCGTGAAATTCTTGCTTGGCGCCATTTGTCTGTCTTGTCTGACGTTTTTTTAATAAGTGATGAAAGTTTGAATTTTGAAACACACACCAGAACCAGAACTAGAACCTTATAAAAAATTAAATTAGTTGATCAATTGTTACGTTGTTTTTTTCTGGTGATGAACCTGATCACTTCTTTAACGCTTTCTTAAATAAGATTGGAAAGTGTTTTAATATAATTTTATATATAGTTATATCGTTTATATAGTGCTATATTTATTCTCCTGGCGAGTGTGGCAAGTTAAACAACTGCCATACGAAACAGTTCTGTAGGGAATAAATTTCGATGAAGTAATTCGTGGTTTATTTTATTTTCAATTAGTTATATAGTTATATAGTTACATAATTTTATACATAGTTATATAGTTTTATAACTATAAGAAAGAAAGCGTTATAAGAAAGTGTTTTATTAAAGCGTTATAAGAAAGTGTTATATTAAAGCCTAATAAGAAAGTGTTTTAAGAAAGCGTTATGGAAAAGAAAGCGTTATAAGAAAGTGTTTTATTAAAGCGTTATGGAAAAGAAAGCGTTATAAGAAAGTGTTTTATTAAAGCGTAATAAGAAAGTGTTTTAAGAAAGCGTTATGGAAAAGAAAGCGTTATAAAGAAGTGTTATAGTCTTCTTTCTAATTGAAAACGAATCATTTGAAGTGTTAACTGCTCTACAAGACAACTTCAACGATATCAGTCTTCTGAGGGGATAATTACTTTTAATTGTTCCAGTTGCGTAAAGTTTATTCGTGTTGTGTAAAATATTTAGGTCTTCACTCACTATAAAAACAGTAAATCTCTAATGAAGTGTTAATGTTCGGAAATTTACATGGCACAACCAACTTTGCGGGCTGGCTACGTCACTACGATAAAGACAAGTAGAAATTCTACTTTGATGTTTGTGTAACTAACTGTTAGTGTTTTAACATTTTCAGCTCACCGACAATCAATTTAAACAACATGCTAAGTAATATCTTACGACGAGATAATTTACCTACACCTCAAGCACGTGAACGCTCTGCGTCAGCACCCTCAATATCAACTGTCAACAATCAATCATCCTCTCCAAATTTACCCCGACCCTCCCCTGATCCTTCACAGTCCTCATCAACTCCATCACCTAGTCCTGTACTTTCCAGCAAAACCCTTGTTTCACCCATACAATCCCCTCTACCTACTTTTGTTGAATCCGAGATACGGGAATCCGCTGGTATAAAGATTAAAATTGAAAAATCTAATCTTTCTCCTGAATATGACTGTTCTGTTGTGAAAGAGGTTGGAAAAACTTTCATATTACTTTCTGTAGACTCTAAAGATTCATGAAACTTTGAAATATTGATGTGTTGTATCGGGACTTACCCCGCTTCTTCCTTACTTGTCGTTTTGTTGCCTATGTTTGGCAGAAATGAATTGTGAACGAGTAACTTTTTACAAGTGCCCCTCCCAATTTGTTCTCGTTTTGTCACATGAAAAATATATTGAAAATATATATATGTCAGTTTATGGGAATTTTGCTTCGTGTTTTGAACCGTCACGAGACAATTGTTTTGGAAAAAAAAAGTTGAATTTTGTTTTAAATGAGAAATTTTTTAAGATCCATTATTTTAAAATTTTCTGTTAGGAAACGAACCACTCTCCCTTGAAACGGTGTTATGTTGGAATTACTAATCGAATAATTTTTCATTTTAGGAGCCAGATTTAGCATCATCTCTATGCAGTTGTTCTACAGGTAAAGAAATTGTCCATGTTTCATCCTCACCAATGAATGGTCCACCATCGTCCAACAGCAGTAACGATGATTGGTGTGCTGTATGTCATAATGGTGGAGAACTGCTGTGTTGTGATACATGTCCTAAAGTTTTCCATTTAAATTGTCATGTACCATCACTGACTTCTACACCAAGGTTTGTTTTACCTAAAGTTTTCCATTTAAATTGTCATGTACCATCACTGACTTCTACACCAAGGTTTGTTTTACGTACCTTGAAATTATTGTTGAATTGATGATTAGACTACATTAAATGTGGGGACAAATCTAAAATTTGTTTTCAAAATTGTAATTATCAATCAAAATGGATGGTCATGTTAGGCTATTTTCAGCTTAAAATGGTTTAATATTCACCATAGGTAGCACTATAGCTTACGTAAAAACATTGAACTAAAAAATACATGGAACGTAACCTTTAGCAAACAGTTGAAACGAAATTTTACAACCAGACACGCGAGATTTTACCCCAGACACGCGTGTGTAGTGTTTCGAGCTTCTCTCGCGGAGTAATAATTCGTTGACTACACACGCATGTCTTGGTGTAATCTCGCGTGTCTGGGTGTAAGATTTGGCTTCAAAAAATTATTAGGGTTTTCTATTACAGGTAGCGTTCCATGTATTATAGTTCAGTGCATAAAAATGATTAAATATCTACCATGACACTATATAGGTTTAATTAAGTATTGTGACTATGGATTTGCCCGGCGGAATGCGAATTCTTAATATGAATATAAATGCCCAACATATACGTATCTTTCAAAAAGGCCATCGATAAAATATTTTTAACGATAACGTTTCCTCTTCTAAAGCATACAAAGTTGCATGATTTTCAGATGTATCTAATATTCTGGTATTTTATGCTAACTCGATAGTGATTCTTGGAACTGTGGTTTATGTGAAAGCTTGGATGCACCGCGGAAGCAACATGGTAAAAATAATCTCTATTTACTGCTCCCATGTTATTTTTAAATATTCTATTTCATTCATTGAATAATTTTCAGTCCTAAAATACGATACCAGTAACTGTATAAAACCAGTAGACGCAAAGAATTGTCTTTAAAATATCCGAATATATTCAATACTTCATGTAGAAAATGCGAAACGTCGTGCGCCAGTCGATGGTATTTCAGAAAGAGACGCTAAGGTGAGTGCTTGATGTAGAATTCCTTAGTCTTCCACTTTGAATGTTTTTTTTCTTTTTTAAAAAAATTTCTTCACCTTTCCTTATTAGTTATTCTAAGGCTTTGACATGTGAATTGTTTGAACGTGCGAGTAAAGTTACTCGTTTGTGAATGTAGTATGTCCAGGTTAAAGCAGACAGTTAACATTGACACTAGCAGTTCTTCTCGGTACTTTATTAACCTGGACGATCTACATCTACAAACATTTAGCTTTAGCATGTATGTTGTATATTTACCATGTCTGGTCTTGGCACTTGTTTTTTAGTTCTACTGTTTGCCCGATTTTTTGTAATATGCTCAGTTAATAATGCCATGCGCGTTAACTGTTATACATTGCATCAAGTGCTTGTGTTTATAGAGATGTGAAAAAATGCTGCTGGAGTTGTTTTGCCATCCCGATAGCACACCGTTCCATGATAAAGTTAGTAAGGCTGTAAGTTTATTCAACGTGTATTTATAATAATTTATTCTATGTTGTATTGTTTTTACACCATTATAACGATTTTTGTAAAACATGAAGCCTTAGTGTGTACAGTCTGAGACTCGGAGTGTTTCTAAATTTTGAATATTACTCTCTTGCATGTGTATGGTTTCAGACTTGGTCAGAGATGACCAATGTGTATGATTTCGACCAAACACCTGGATTACTTGAACTTCACTTCGACCAATTCAAAAATGCATTAACAAGTTTGATTCAAAAACTAGGTCGTACGATTTTATTTATGCTGCTATGAACCAGTTCATCACTAAAATCCTTCCTTATTGTTAAAATCATCCTGCATGTAAAAGTCTCAGAAGTTATGCAGTAAGCAGTTGACATTGTAATACAAATAATTCATAGTTTTTTCATTTACTTGCATTTGAGCAACGTTTTTATATTACGTACATGTAGGTGCCGAACTATTATAAAGTTATACAAAAACCCATGGATCTCACGTTGATAAAAACCAAACTTCAACCAATGCATTTTGAGCACTATAACTCTGTAAATGAATTCATCGCTGACTGTAAGCTGGTCTTCAGTAACTGCGCTCTGTTTAACGATGTAAGTTCCACCTTTCTTTATTGTACTTTACTAAATAATGCCATGCAATGAATTGCATACCTGAGTATTTTAGCGCAAGGTTTACTGATAAATATTTTACATTGATCTCGCAGTTAGTGATTTAGTAAAAACTCGAAAGGTTCACTCAAGGTCGTGGTTTTCCGAAACTTTGTACTATCCCTAAATTGCTAGTTTCTTTACCACGATTGTAAAAGAAAAAACAACCTTTGCAAAGTTTGTGCTTTTGTTTTGACTCAATGCTGAAACAATGATAAAAACTGCATCCATGATATCATTGCTCTGCGTGGATACAATAACTAAGTGTTTAACTAAGGATACAATAACCAATAATTTAACCCGTGTTATTTTATTGTGTAAAAACTTCTGAAGCAAACAAGTTCACAATTGTCGATATGTCATCGATTTTAAGTTCCATGATTTGATTAATCATAACTTTCTTGAAATAGTTCACCATTGTTCCTACTTTATTTAAATGGTTTGAGCCCGGGAGTATCGTTACATGTTTGTAAATGTAGATCGTCCAGGTTGGTATACTCCTGAGAAGGACTGTTTTTGTTGTTGTTGACTGACGTTTCGACAACCTTTGCGGTAGCCATCTTCAGAGTCAAAAAAACAAAAAACAAAAAAGAAAACATATTTTTTTTTGACTCTGAAGATGACTAAAGTTGTCGAAACGTCAGTCAACAACAACAAAAACAGTCCTTCTCAGGACTACACCAACCTGGAAGATCTACATTTACAAACATTTATTTGCACCGTGGTATTGTTTTAAATATTATATTTGACAATAAACGAAGGAAATATATATTTTTATTTTAGGCTGAGTCAGATGTGGGAAAAATGGGTAAAAGATTAGCAGCAGACTTCCAAAATATCGTCCGCAAATATTCAGAACGCGATGATGACATGGAGCCTGCTGCAAAGAAGAAGAAAGAAAATGACATTTAAACATGTTTTTCACACGGGTGTAGAATTGAGTACAATTGGTGTTAAATATTGAAATATAGTTATATTTCTTATTTATTTTAGGGTTTATCTTCGAATTTTTTATCTTACTCTGTTGTGTCAATTTGAAATCTTCACTTCTGCAGTGATTAAACTAAATTTGAAATTCGCGCTGTTTTAATCAAAGTTTCGGCTGCCATATTGCTCTGTTGATCAATGCTTACAAAAAATTGTACATTATCAACGTTTTTTTATAAGTCAGATCAAGGTCGTTTGTAATGTAGAGTCACGAATGTAAATATAAGATGAAACATACTCCAATTTGAGATATATTGTATTGAGTTTACCGTTTCAAATACCTTTTTCCTCTGTGCGATTTACATGTGTGTTGAGATATCCGTCAAATTTAAAGTGAGACTGCTATTTGCTTCCTATACTGTGCCAGAGGCGACGATATCACCATGGAGCAATGGTAATTACTGGCTAAATTATTTTAAAGCCATCATCACAGAGTCAGAGTTTTTTATTATAAAGGGCAGGAACCGAACAAAATGGAACGGGTTTGTTGTTTTTGTGTTAGAATTAAAAGTTTGAGTTTTGGTTCGGGTTGGAATTAAGCGTCAACCATTGGCGTCAATATAGATCCTGCTAAAATTAGCAATTATGTTGAAATTGAGTTTGTTTGCCGGTATTTTGTTTCTTTTTTAGACAGCAAAACAAGGAGTCCTCTGAAGTCTAAACTGCCTTCGTTCAAAATTGCTATGATCCTGTTAATGACAGAGCCCTCTATTACCAATACGATGAGCTACACCTTAATTTATTTTGCATTCGAATGGTAAATATCAAAGCCCAGCGAAGTGCTTTTAAAAGAGACTTCCTACACAGAAATAATATAAGAAAGAGTATTTATATAGGAAGCATAACGTTACGTCTTAACTCGCAAGGCAACATAAATTAAATTAAAAGTTGTGTGGAATATCTATAAGTTAAAGTATTTGCAGCATACTGAATTTCGTGAATGTGATTGGATAAAAGATATGACAATCAAGATTAGATGATATGTTATGAAGTAGGATGTAGAGATACATAAAAGATCTTATATAGTTTTGTTATAAATGACTCTTTCATTCAAAAGCACTTTCCTTTCATATTTATCATTGGAATTCGCTTCGCTTCCCGCCTAGAATCACACTTGGTCATTAATTTGAATTATTGTATTTTTTCAGAAAAACTAATGTCAAGAGTAGTGTACAAGGCTTCACTTTACTCTGAAGATGACTACCGCTAAGGTTGTCGAAACGTCAGTCAACATCAGCATTAATACTCCTTCTCAGGACTTTACTAACCTGGACGACTACATCTACCAACATCTAAGAAAATTTATATGATGTAGTACATGACGTATTTCATTGAACCAAATTACCGCTGGTCTCAATTGACTAATGAAGGCGCGGCTATCTAGTCTTTGTCTCTTTCTTTACCACGTAGAAGTTATGGTAAGATTTATATAGTTTGTTTTAAATCCTTTTATATCTTCATTGGTTTGAAACATCGTTCTTGTAGACCTCTCTTATATGTTATTGTAATACCTTTTTTACTTAATTCGTGTCATATTTCTCTCTTTTATATTATACTTAACTAGCTTTTGTATTTTATTTTAGACGGCTCGGTTGAAAAAGACTCGAAAGCTTCGAGGACACGTTAGCCATGGCCATGGTCGAATAGGTAAGTATTGAATGGTTGTTGAAAACTTTCAATTAATATTTTCGCAGCAATTTGTTTGCATAAAGCTTTAAGCTAGAGTAGAAATGAGCTTAGATCGGTTGATTTTGTGCTGTTATTAATTTTCCCCGTGAAAGACTTAGCTATTTTCATTTACCTACCACCCATTGCAATGGTAGAATTGCTTACGAAAATGGGAATATGCGAGTTCTAAGTTTTAGTAATGTAATTCAACAACATTACAAACAATATATATTTTATTTGTGTTCCAGTGAAATGTTGTAGATTGTGAAAATGTTATTGACTTGGCACATTGTCTCTTTATTTTTGTCTCGCGGCTGGCCTAGATTTAAATGTGTTGAAGTTAATAAATGTTGATGGTCTATAAAACATCAGAATAAACTGTAACTAGTATATAATAACTCTGAGGAGGATTATGATGGGCAGTATTCATTAATTCTTGACATGTTTAAGAAATTGTTTCGACATCTTAACTTGGACTGTACATAAACCATGGTGTAAGACCAGCTGTTGAAATCACTTAAATACATTAACTATTGATTTATTTTTTCTCCAAAACCAGGCATAATGTTTTTGCACAATTGTAGTCTTGAACACCAAGGTGCTTCTAAAATGATCAGAAAAGATAGAATCTGTTCAAAACTTTTAATTGTCATTGTTTATATGAATGTGCGGCCTGATACTACATGCTGTCTTATAATTGTTTGCTATTTTTTACGTAAACAATAGTACTCATACAAGGTTTTAATGCCATTTCTAATCAAACAATGTGGAAACTCAAAATCTGTTCATTGAGAGTTGTAATTATCCCAGATGATGGGATGTGAGGGAGATTTGAAACATTTAAACCCATGATCAACTGATTGCTTATAATTTACCTTAACATCAAACTCTTCTCAACCAATTCACTGAGGTTACATAATTTACCATAATACTATTTATGATCAAGGTAGACTCATTATTATGTCTAGGTTGAATCCAAATCTTTTGTACATTGAAATATATATCTAAAAATCAAAATACTTTATGAAATGTCTTATTGGTAAAATTTTGGCTGGAAAATTTTCCTTAGAAATTTTCTATCATTTTGATGTTATATTTGTATTTTGAATTAAAATTTAGCTGTTGTAATGTATTCAGACATGCCATGGATTTGCTATGGGACACATCAAATCTAGGACTAGGTTTTTGTTTTATAATAAATTATTTACCATATGGACACATTAACTAAGGATTTTTATAAAATAAACCCAATAAAGTGTGTGGTCAAAGCCTTGTTTCCATCATCCTGTGCAAACTGATCTGAGCTCAATCAATCAAAAGGAATTACCTAATCAATCATGAATACATTATAGAGCAAAATTATAACGCTTGTTCAAAATTTTTCTGTCGCATTATTGTTATTTTATAAAAGAAATAAAAATCTTTTTTCATGTTTACACTGGCTTATGCAAACCTCAGAGACGTTTGTTAGAAATCTCAACATTCAGTCTTGACCTTGCACTGATATGCTCTAAAGTTCTCCTAAAGATCTCCTCGGTTTGCAAAAGCCTGTGCATAGATATTGTGTATCATAAATTTCTGTACATGTTTGTAAATGTAGATCGTCCAGGTTGGTATAGTCCTGAGAAGGACTGTTTTTGTTGTTGTTGACTGGCGTTTTGACAACCTTAGCGGTAGTCATCTTCAGAGTCAACAACAACAAAAACAGTTCTTCTCAGGACTATACCAACCTGGGCAATCTACATCTACAAACATGTAACGATACTCCCGGGTTCAAACCATTTACTTTATAAATTTTTTTATGTATCAGATGTTTGTACATTTCCATACATGTTGCTTACATATTTAGTCAATAGAAATTTCAAATGTCAACAATCAGTCAAACTATATGTCGACATATGTTGTAAAAATTCATTTCATTTGTATTTTTTATGTAAGGTAAACATCGTAAACATCCTGGTGGTCGTGGAAATGCTGGTGGTTTAACACATCATAGAATTAACTTTGACAAATAGTAAGTGGAAGTTTTGAATATCTTATTTCAGTGGAGGAAATTGCGTCCGAAGAGATGTGTTTTTTAAAATGTTTTCCTTCATTATTGACTCAATCGATGTCGTCGAATTATTCACAAATCTTAATTAAAATTGTAGTTTTTTTAGAAGATTTGTTATAACGGCTTTATTCCTAACTACAAGTCTGTATAATGAAAGCTATACCGTCAATGCCTGTGTTCTACTTTGTACGTCATTTCCAGCATTTGGTCATCTACGCAAAAAGTCCATGATGACAAAATTTTTGACCTTTAAAATACATTACAAGTGTTCTTGAAATCGATTTATTTACACTACTTATTTCCCTCGTCCAGATACGTATTTAGGCAACTTTAGTACGCGAGCTGATTATTTCTCAATAATATCTTTCTTGTTTATCTTCAGAATTTTGTAATTTTGTTTTTCAATGTTTTTAGCCATCCCGGCTATTTTGGCAAAGTTGGAATGCGATACTTTCATTTGACAAAGAATAAATATCATTGTCCTACTATCAACTTGGACAAAATCTGGTCATTGGTCAGTGACCAAACTAGAGAATATTACAAAGACAAGAAAGATGGTCCCGCACCTGTTATTGATGTTGTCAGAGCTGTAAGTGTTGACGGTTTTGTTCTTGAGGATTAGCAAAGTACAAGTCGTTTATTTCATTTGTCTATTTGGTGTCTTATCCCAACACAATAATTTGTCTTAAAAGAAATTGTAGAAATGGATAAACACAATATGAAATAACTTAAATGCTGTATTATATACACGACCGAATTTACTGAATTCATTTTCATATTCCTAAATCATCGAGGCTTAAGCACCAGTGAATTGAATTGCAAATGATAAAATTGCTGATTGTATAGTAGATTCATGATGCATAATGTTTATCATTTTGTTTTGTCAAATAAAAACAATGAAACGCGTGCAGTGATTGGTCTAGAGTTGTTTTTGCATTAGCCTGTGCAAAACACATCTGAGCTGAACCAATCAAATCGATCAATCAGTCAAAGAGAATTTGCAAATCGATCACGAATACATTTTAGAGGAAAAATTAAAATGCTTGTCTTTCGCGTTATTTTATTTTATAAAAGAAATAAAAGATGTTTTTCGTGTTTGCATTGGCTTATGCAAACCTCGGAGACGTTTGGGAGAACTCTCGAGCATGTGCAACCTTTGGTCTCGGCCTTGCACTGATCAACTCTCGAGTTCTCCCAAAGGTGTCCTTGGTTTGCATAAGCCTGTGCAAACACAGTGAACATCTTTTATTTCTTAAATGTAAAAACATTGTTACACGACTGTTTCCCATTTAACTGTTTTGCCTAGATGTTCCTCAACCAATTTATGTTCAAAATTCATTGTGTTATATTTCAGTGGAATTTTTTTATTTCAAGTTTGTAAACATACTATTCGGAAAAATTTTGTTGTTGATAATTATTTTATTTCTAGGGCTATTTCAAAGTACTTGGAAAAGGGCTACTGCCCAAACAACCAGTAATTGTAAAGGCCAAATTTTTCAGCCGCAAGGCAGAAGAAAAAATT